ATAGGCAAAGGGGCTGTAAATTATAAAAAATGCCAACTGATTTTCGGCCTTTGCTGATTGCTTCAGGCAGTAAAACATCTAAGACATTCTCCATATTTGAAATTACGAGTACAGGTAATTTTTTTTGTTGGCATTGTTTTTCAGTTTGCAATGGCGTTTCCAGAATTTTTGTATACCTAGGATTTTTAAAAACCTTTATTTTTACGAACCCCAACTTCACGGAACTGTTGAATTGAATTACTTGACACGATTATGCGGTCGTTATTTAATGTATTGTACATGTTAGATATGAATTATTCACACATTTTCCTTTGAAGGAACAAATCATTATATTTTTAATGTGAACATTTTGTAAAGTATCGAATTTTGTCACTTTTACAAACAAAAAACAAAACTACTTAGAAAGCTGCTTTTTAAGTCCTGCTTCTGTTTTTAACAACTATACATCACTTTTACGAAATAAGGGTAATCTTAAAGACGGTGAGCATTTGTTAATTTTTTTTCAGCCTACCCTCGTAATTATGACTGTAGGCTATAATCATAGGAGCATATCGTATTAGTTGAATGTTTAGCACATTCGTACGCAGTAAAATTTTTGCTCGACCAATAAATGCCAAAGTTGCAATATGTTAATCTGATTAGTAGAATATTGTTCTAAGTTTATTCGTCTGGAATTGTGTTGGGAAAATTTTAATCTTTACCAACCAGTAATGTGATAATTTTAATAAGAATGTGTGTAATGAATTGTTGCTGGTGATAAGGTAATCTGAACGGTCGAAACATTATGCCAGATAAAGTCAATATGGGGGACGTCATGTATCAACATCACACCGGTAATACGTAATAAAATTATCGGTCATATGCGAATTCATTATCGATGTAGACGTCGACGGATTATCTTTATTGCTACAAGATGTTCTATTTTAAGTGATCTGAGCTCTGCTCTGACTGATTTGAACGTAAAGGCCCGCACGGGTATTACATATCTTGAAAAGAGACATTATGCTGATTTTTTTTGACATTGTATTGGTTTTTTGTGACATTATGTAGGTTTTTCTCCAAGATGTTAACTTAGCACTAGCTGATGGACACGTTGTTAACTCGTTTTGTAGTTGTACTTGTTGCCTAAACGTCATGAGGCTTCAGTTATCAATGTTTGACTGTGATGTGATGTAAGATCTGCTACAGAGATGGCATTACTGGAGGTCTCTCTGAATTACACACAACACGGGTGCGGTGGTAATTTCTCGTAATCCTCAAAGTTTTTCGTAATTTGTAACTTTGAACATAACCTCTCTCCAGAAAGCACAACACAAATAACCCGTCGGGCGCAGCTAATAGATATACTTCATTAGCAGCATATTCAGTAATGATTTTCTCACACAGCAAATATCACTCATTTTATACACATGCAGACCAATGCACATAATGATCCAGTTGCGATCTTGTTGTTCAACCAACTTTCTTCTCACAGATGAAAACTACAGATTACTCGGCTTCACAAAACATATACAACTAACAATGCGTCTAGTTGAGTCATTCCTCCATAGATGGACACACAACGATCCTAGTGAGCAAGCGTGGAATGACTGTTTGCACCCTAAAAACTACATTGACTGCCAGATGACATTTTATAGGTTTTTGTTGACGTTTTATAGGGTTTTTAACAATTAACTAATACCCCTGCAGGTTTTTCAACCGCTGCTGGTTAACTTCCAAGCGTGGTAGATATAACTTTAACCATTAGTTGTACGCAAATCCGTTTTTCAAGTTCTGCTTAACCAGTCAGTGATCGTTGATCTGGCAATACAGTTTCTGTGTCTGAACTATTGTGTTCTGTGCATTTTATGACGCTGGACGTTTGTCTCCTGTCATCCGAGGTAACTTCTTACTGTCAAGCTGAAAAAAGTTACGCGTTTAACTACAAATTTCTAATCAAGCAGTAGACTTCTAGTTAACTAGTATTTTAGGGTAAATCTAACATCGAAAAACGCATTTAGATAGCAGTAAACCTTTTATTTAAAAAAGCGGGCCTAAGGGCCGGTTTTTTTGAATTGTAAGTGAACTGCTACTTGGCTACTAACTAGAAGTTAATTCTCAAACAATGTTTTGAACGTCAAGTTTGTCCTAAGGCGGTAGTTAACTTCAACCAGAGGACCATGTATCGGATAACTATAAAGTTGTAAACAAACCGCAATGTCTAACCTTAGCTTGTCAGTGACATAAGTTGTCTAAGATGACACGAGACATAAATACCGAACATCACGAAACGCATAGATCACGATAATTAATGCATAAAAGCTTGCTGCATCAACGGTTTATTGATTGTTAACTACAATACTACTAACTTGTTCCTTATAAGGTGGCGCTAAAACTGCCAACTTTAGAGAGAAAGAGAGGAACATATTTAGGTTAGCTAAAAATCTGTAGTTAAATCGCCACTTCCTTGACACTGAAATGGGTTGGGACGGATGACAAGATACACAAACACCGAGCATCACGAAACGCACAGAACAGACGTACGTAAAAACAGCGTTGCTGCATCTACAATTTTGGGCTAGCTAACCACACTTTTCAAAACGAATTTACGGTCAACCGATGGCTAACTTTTAGTATATATAGTATTTTTCACGAGTATCCATTACTGTAAAATGACACAACTGATTATCTAATAATATTTCAAAATTCACCATATCGGCAAAGGACACATAGTGAGGGATCCGTCAATGTCAGATAGAGTCATGACTTGTTTTGTTCTTTTTTGTACGCTATAGATTCATTCGCTAAAAGCTCTGTTATTTAGAAAAGGTCATTTGCATACAAAAACAAAACGCTACAAAGAAGTTTTACTAGATTTACACCCGATTCATTAATGCCAACGTTGCAGACTAACAACAAAAATGTCACGTGCTGATCACCTGTTCACCTCGGTAGATGTGAAAACGTGATGGATACTCGTGAAATAGGGTATAGTTATCCAACTTGAAAGTTAATCAGCGATAGAAAAGCCGCGTCTAAGAGTGACATTATTGCGCGATGTAAATCACAATAAATGAATCAAAAAACAAGTTCTTGTAAAATGTATACTCAATCTATAGGATTTGCAAAAGCGTCCAATAGAACTCAGGCAGGAGCAAAAACAATGGCACGACGTTTGGATAAATTTAAGCAACACTTGAACAATCAAACTAATGCTTTCCTGGCTGCTTCTTGTGTCATTACAATGACTCTGTCCGTCACTATATACTGCAAAAAAATTGAAATTTGTAGTAATGGGAACTAAAAGATCGCAGGGTGTAGATTTTTCCTATTTTTTAAAGCCTATAATTTAAAAAATACTATTTAGATTTTTCTGATAAAAATTGTGACTTGGCCTATCCCCAGTTTCCGGCTTGACTTCGACTTCTGGGACACCGTGTATAACATTATTATACATCATAAATTAAAGGTACCTCCTACCCTACCTAATCTCAACTAGAACGGTAGCAGTGATATCCTAAATATACTAAGTGACATATAAATCCGAACACCCAGTTTAAATGGTTTTATTTTAATAAAATTTTGATGAATGAAGCATAATAAGTAAATGATAAAAATTTCAAAATGATTGCACTGCTTTAAAGCCCTTTGACCTTTAATAATGTGTGGATGCACCCTGATGTGCTACGCATTCTCCAACGCGCCTAGGCATGCTTCTGATGAGGTTGTCAATGTCCGCCTGTGGTATCTCATTCCAGGCAACCACCAACTCCTCTCGAAGTGCTTCTAGAGTCTGAGGAGGACGTTGCAAATTGAGCAATCTCCTACCCATCATATCCCACACGTGCTCAATTGGGGATAAGTCGGGAGATCTTGGTGGCCATGGTAACAATGTGACATCATTATGTTGAAAGAAGTCTATTGTGACTCTTGCAACATGTGGTCGGGCATTATCTTGTTGGAAAGTTGGATCTGCCAGGGTGTCAAGATAGGGTAAAAGATGGGGTTCTAGAACTTCGTGGATATAACGCTGCGCGTTCATGTTACCTCTGATTAAGATTAAAGGTGACCTGGAACCATAAGCTATAGCACCCCAAACCATAACTCCAACAGTGTGATGAACATGTCTTTCAACAAAAAACTGTGGATTCCTCCTTTCACCACGTCGCCTTCTAACCCTGGCACGACCATCGTGCATGCCTAAACAAAATCGAGACTCGTCACTAAAGACAATACTGTTCCATTCCTGATCCCAGAGTGACCACTCAAGGCGATTACGTCGGTGTTCTCGAGTTAAAGGGAGGACCCAGTGTGGCCGGTATGAAAACAAGCCAAAACTTCTCGTTCGTCGGTAAACACTTCGCATGCCAATAGGTCTTCCGTGTTCTGCAAACCATTCATTTGCAATGGACCTGGTAGTGGAGAAACGGTCCCTTAAGGCCAATAATCTTAGGCGGCGATCTTCACGGTCTGTTGTTCTACGGCGGCGTCCAGTGCCCCTTGCTCTTTGCGTACGGCCTTCTCGAAGCCATGCCTGACAACACCTAACCACAGTGCCTACACTTCTTTGCACTCTAACTGCAATTGCCCGAAAAGAAAGTCCAGCTTCCCGAAGTCCCACTATACGGCCCCTATCAAACTCACTAAGTTGACGAAATCGTACAGGTCTCCGTACTCTCGGCATCGTAACCGATCGTAAAGGATGTCAAGAACCAAAATCCGCCAACGTTGATTTCTTACTGCGGCTGAAATATTCATTTTTAGAGCGTTAGTGAATTAAAAAAAGCAGTATAAAAACCGGAATGTCCAACTGATAAGGCTGAAAATTTTTTCACTTGTTATTTACAGTAAGATAAATACATTCACCAACTTTTATTAAAATAAAACCATTTAAACTGGGTGTTCGGATTTATATGTCACTTAGTATATGTTGGACGCTTGAAATACCTTAACTAATCATATTGCATTGCCACCATTAATTTATAGCAAGAGAAGTGCGCGATAAACGTCCTGTGACTGACTATTTCACATAATATTTTGTTTTCTTCAGAAATGGTGGAGGCGATGAAGAAGGTGGCGAAGCTGGACGTGGAGCTGACCGTGGAGGAGCGGAACCTGTTGTCCGTCGCATACAAGAACGTGATCGGTGCCAGGAGAGCCTCCTGGAGGATAATCTCGTCCATCGAACAGAAGGAGGAGTCGAAGGGGGGCGATGATAAGCTGGAGATGATCCGGCAATACCGAGGACAGGTGGAAAAGGAGCTTAGAGACATCTGCTCGGACATCCTCGCCGTGCTAGATAAACATCTCATTCCGGCGGCGTCCACTGGTGAGAGCAAAGTCTTCTATTATAAGATGAAGGTAAGACTGAAAGCTCTAAGGCAAAATCAAGGTCAAATGTCCCTTTTTTCAACTTTCTTTTCATCTAATTATCTCTCAGTGTGTAGAGATGAGTAAAAAACAATGTTTTCAATTTTTGTTCTTAATAAATACATTTTTTGTACGTTTCGTACGTAACTTATTAACAAATATTAGTGCAGGTCTGAAATTGTATGATGAAATTCCACTATTATAATAGAATTCCTATCACTGTTTCTCTTCTTTTGCAGCAAATTGGGTTTTCAAAAAAAGCAAAGACTTTTGAAGAAAAAAGTAATCACCCGCTCAACATTTCCATAACAGTTGAATATTCACATACAATTTTAGAGTTGTAGAGCTTGTTAACAAGTTACGATTGAAAAAAGAATGCATAAAACATTGTTTTTCAGTCGTATCTATACACACCATAAAACAATCAGACGAAAAGTATTAAGAATACTCGTTCAGACAGGCTTATGAAAAAAGGAAAATGCGACGTTAAATAAGGTTATTTTTTACTTCTAAGGTAGAACGAGTTTTGATGTATGATGTACATGCGGCAGATTTTTCCACGGGGGGAATTGCCTGTCGCCACTCGATAGTGTTGTCAAACTGGGATTGGCATGACGAATACCAATATAGACTATGTCATCACGCATATGATCCCAGTGCAATTCAACGAGTCTGACATATGGATCACACCCTTAGTAGAACATGTGACCCTCCTGGCAGTAAAGCTGCCTATGTTCGTCATAAATCTGACGAAAACGTATTTTATTTACGACTGGGTGGTAAAGTGTGCTTTGTGAATATATATTCTGGACATTAAATCCTACTTTTCAGCCCTAGACTCCCTTATACTGGGGTAACAAATTAACTTTACCACCTAATATGCCCAAATTTATTTATGGTAAACACATTATATGGAGACCACGGGAATTGCCTATATTCGTTGCTAGGCAACTACCGGTTTAATTCCAATAATGCCCAATTCGCAAGTTAGCTTTTTGGTTAGTTAACTATAACCGGCTGTACATTCTTCAAATATTTTGACAGCGCCAGTTAACTTACCAGAAGTTTATCATATGTTTCTGTTGCAACCCTGCATCTGTGGTTTTTAGACACGTGTTCTGTGCGTTTTGTGCGCTCGGCGTTTGTGTATTGTGTCATACCCTCATACTGTGATACGTGTCGTACAAGACAGCTTGTCTTTTTTCAATAAACTTTTGCAAAATTCTTAGAATTTTGAATAAAACCTTCGTCAAGCGAGGTAAGGTTTTTCAGACATTGTATAAATATTTAGTAGTGGACCCCATAGACGAGATTATAGAAATGGTCTTAAAAACAGGTGGCAAATACAATGACGAATCAACCTTATATGGGCAAAAAATACGCTAAAAATACAAGCTTGTAAATATCTGTTAAATATCGTGTTTCCCACTTTTTTAGCACCACTTCTATAATGCATGACTCAAAAATTGTTTTCGGTTTTCGGCAGCGGAGAAAAAAGACTGCTATTCCTGTTGCTAAAATTTATCATAAACTTTTCTAGCATGGAAAAAGAGAAGAGCAAAAGAAAAGCTCAAAAATGAGGATATGTTGTTAGTATCATTATATATAGTCCGTTTTGTACGATGAAATCTTGCAAGGAAATCCAGATCGTCAAATTCGTCAAAGTAATTTGGCCGATGGTGGATTATTTTTGCATTCTTGCCTCTTCGTCTCTGCTATACGCATTCAAGTCGTAATCCATAAACATGTTTCAGCTTTAAATTTATATTTATAAATAAATTTTTGAATAAATGCCAAAGTCTGTGTCAACAAATGTCAGATATTGCTATTTAACTACAGCCTTTCTAGTTAACTAACATATTTGGTCTTCTGGCTAAAACTATAAACATGGTATTTAAAAACGCTTTTTCATTGATAACTGTAAGTTAATACCAAAGTCATAGTAAACCTGCGACTGAAAAACTGGCCTTAAAAATTACTTTAAATTTTTTGTTTCAGCCGGTTTGTCACCATTGGCGTGTTAGAACCTGCAAACGAACTCGCGCCTTGGTACTCCAATTTCACTCCACGGGCCACAAACGCTCACTTAACGCCTGATTTACAAAAAAAAGTGATAATTTAGATCCTGATTTTTATTCTACGGCAAAGCTACTTTATTTTTTTAATCTTAGTCCATCCTAGATAAAATGTTGTATGAATCTTGGGCATATTATGCGCAGTTGGCCTTTATTTACCCCGCGGGTCATAACCGTCCTCTTTACGTCCAAGATGCACACATCACTGTAATTTTATGACATACTGCATGAAGTGATACGAATGAGAATATAGTTACTTTTACCTATATGTCCTTACAGCATTCACAACACAATCCCAACTTTCGGATCTACTGGACGACCCGTCTACATTATTTCTCTTTTTATTAAGGTATTTTTTTGTGATTTAATAGGAAAGTGTTCAATTTTTGTTCCAGGGTGATTACCACAGATACCTAGCCGAATTCGCTACTGGCAATGACCGTAAGGATGCCGCAGAACACTCTTTAGTTGCCTACAAATCTGCCAGTGACATCGCCATGACGGAATTGCCACCTACACACCCAATCAGGTTTGTTGTATTACATAAGCGTAATAGGGAATGGTCTCGTTTTACTTCTCACGCCTATTGGTGCGCCTATATTGTAATCGCGAGAATTTCAAAAAATGAGATTGTTTTTTTGATGTTATATGAGAGCCTCGGTGGTAAAGCGCGTCGAGATAGCAACCCGGGGCTCGCGGGTTCGAATCTCCGCCTCGGGTAATTCCTTAGCATGGATGTTGTGTTGTCTATCTATAGCCTTGTTCATACAGCTGTCGCCAACCTGTCAGTGATCGTATCCAACATCCCGGTACACAAATTCCATTCATACTGCCGCGCTATTTAGACGGAATTCACACAGCCGGATCGCAGACACAGTCGCCAACAAGTCACTGACCACTACAAACAAACCAAATATCACGCACGTGGTGCAATGTTAACAGGTACATCTATCGCTGGAGCTGGTTTATTATATCAGCTACAAGTAGATGGCTCGTGGAGTAGTACAGTGTTGGTACTGCGGGGTCGGCAAAGAGGGGTCGAATGTGACCTAGTAGCTTCGCCTCCCCACTGCCACTACTACTACCAGTTGAATGTTATATGACAGTATGTCCGCTAATACTTGACCCGTCGCACGTCTATAACTTGGAATGTACCGGTCGGACTTTGACAAAACAGCTTTGTAGTGTTTCTAAATCGGTCCAGTGCGGCGGAGAATGAGGCCAAAAATTGATAAAATAAAAATCGTTCAAACGTTCGGCTTTCGTCTATCCGACGAGACAGTCAACCAGCTGTAGCTCAAGCTGTTTCGTGCTTGTTGGCCACTCATTCCCGTGGTCTAGGCTTGATCTCTTGTCTGAGGGACAACTATACACCATCAAAAGCGTGAAATCTATGGAAATAAGACATCGCGAAGCGTCATCTATCACTAGAGTCGACCACTGCGATGAAAAATATTTACAGAAGCGGGTCTCCGTCCTACGTGCATCAAGCCCCGCTGGTTATGCACGGCACATTACATCTTGACTCCATGACTATATTGATACCATATATCGGACTCAAAATAGTTAACTCGATTTCTGCCGCTCTAGAAGACCAGATATGCTTCAATCTTTACAGATTCCTACGCGATTCTCCAGCAGAGTCTGTGTTGAGTTTTTGTTCTATGATACCTGGCACCAGATGGCCGCAATTAAATAATGTGTGGATGCAATTTATTACTACTTTTGAAACCAAAAAATACGATTTTAGTTCACAGGAATTCCGCTACGCGGAGGCATAAATATGCTCACTGGAGCTTTGCCTTCATTCCGTAGATTATTTTGGTTCCTCTTATAAAAATCATTGGCAACGCTGCATGTCGCGTCTATACGTATAACAATATGATCTATCCAGTCGTATCTAGATTCCCGACGTTTTGAGTACGATTTTGCAGCCAGTGAGTTTCTTTTGCCTGTTACTTGTTAAATACGAGTAACTTTCTTTGAGATCGAAATGGCTAGCAGTCAAGAAGAGGTAAGTTGTGTTTTTACTACCCACGCCAACTGGTGAGGAATGATTGTTTTTTGATTGATTCAAAATTTCAGGTGATGAAATTCTGGAATAACAGAAAAACAAATAGATGGCTTTGTAACAGATCATTATCTCCAAGTGAGGACAAGAGTGGAAATGATTCTAGACAAGAGAAGGTTAGTTTCAACAATGACTAGATTCTTGTAAGTCTTAATAGTCCTTTGGCCCACGGGGAGAGAATATTTTGTGACAACCTAACCTTAAAGATTTTGTGAAACTTTTTCTTTACGTTGATTGGGACAAATATTCAATAGCGACAATTCCTTATACGAGGCGTTGTACTTCTCATGCCAATTTTCAGAAAAGTTCGAAATCTAAACATGTTTTTTTTTAATATTTCGTGACACAATCCCAAAAATCCATGCTACTCATTTCTGTCAGTCTGCCTGCAAATCTTTGGCAACTCCATATGGATTTTTTTAGGCACAAGATTGCTCCTAAGAGGAGTATGAAAAAGTTTTGAATTTTTTAAAACAAAAAAAAAGATACAAAAAATGCTCAAACTTTTTCTGTACGTTTCAGTCCCCTAATCATTTTTCAAAATCTCTTTGGATGGCTCAAAATTGAAGGATAAGGTGGGAGATTTTTTTTTGCGTTCGTGAAGAATCACCCATAAAACTTTAACTGCAGCAATGGTCGTTAATCTTTTAACACTTATCAGAATTTCCCTTCAAAAATCGCATTAGTCATAGTTTTTCATAAGCTATAGACACTGGCGGATTTAGCGCCCCCTCCCTAGACGTCAGACACTTGTTTTTGTAATCTAACACCACTCCACTGTGTTACTTTCTCACACGTCATGGCGACAGAAGCATACTAAATATAAGTTATAGCTATATGAACTGAGCATTGCGATTTTTTGGTATCCTTTGGTACTCCAAATGCCCCTCTTTGACATCACTTAAGGTGATTTATGTTGTGTTTGAAGTTTTTTATGTTTGAATCTTTAATATTATTACACTAGTTAATTATACATGCCACCTACTTATTTTGTTTTCATATAATAAAATATTGCACTTTTGAGTATTTCTGAGCATTTTCCATGTTTTTTTTCAAGTTGGCCTTGACCAGATAGAACACAATGGATTTAAGGAGCAATAATAGGATAAATTCTAGAAGTTCCACTGAGATTAAAAAATGACCAGCCCCAAATATCGTTTGCGCCCCCCCCCCCCTAGACGAAATCCTGAACCCGCCTTTGGCTATAGACTTTGAAGTTTACGAATCATATCCAAATGTAACTTCTGCAGTGACCTGTGATATGTGAATTTATTGCCATATCAACAGAGTTATATTTCTAGGACCAACAAAATTCCCCTGCGTCTCCTACATATGATAGCGATGCTGATCCCGAATTTGTTCCAGACACTGAAAGTGAATCAGAGGAAGAACCCAAAAGAAACATTCCCAAACAAAAACAGGTAAATTATGAACGAAAAAGCCAGCAAACATAGGTACAATATGACCTCCGTTTCTAATACAGCACCATAATAACAGTGATGTGACTTTTCGCCTTCATAAGTTCGCTAAAACTTTGCTTAAAATACACCCGCCGAATTTTTTTAAGGTCGTAGATCATACAAATGACATAAAAAAAGATTGTATGCGCAACATATAGATAATCGCCACTTGTCAAATCACATGCGCGATCTAGGTTTCGGATGAGCGAATGAAATTAGAACTCTTTGATTATAAAAAAGTATAGCAAACATAAAGCTCATGAGATATTTTACTATTTATTACTTTTTTGTTCTATTTTTATAGCCTCATCTATGTACTTTTTATTTCAATACGCGTTAAAACTGTTATAAAAATTGCCAAAAAGTCCATCAAATATTAATCCTGTGAATTTGCCATTTGTTATACTTTTTTACTTCTCGCGTAAATTGGCGGGAAAGTATTTGTAATTGCGAAACATTTCTAAATCAAGATGATACTTTTTTAATGTTTCATGGCATGTACATCACAAAACCAAGTTCGTTGTTAGCAATATATGGCATACAGGATGTGGCAAAATACCGTGACGGCTCGACAACTATTTGGGAATACTTTTCAGAAATGCTTCAAATAAGGGTTGTAGGATTATGCGTCATCTATCGGTCGGTGACCTTGGTTTTTACCTTGACTTTGACCTTGAAGGTTAACAAAATTTCAAATAATGTAGAGACCTATTATTGATTCGAGTAATGAAACTGGCGGAACATTTTAAATTCAAGCATCACCTTGAGCGATCCTTATATTTCACATTGAGTGATCTTCAACGTCAAATCACCACTAATGGGTAACTCTTCGGGAATGCATTTTAGGGTGGAATACTGTAAATAAAAGTTGTAGGATTAATCCTCAGCTATCAGAAGATGACCTTGGATTCGACTATGACCTTGAAGGTCATTTAAAGGTAGAATTTTAAACGTAGATCCTCATTTTTGACTCCTGCAATGAAATGAGCGAAAAATATTACGTTTAGATATGTCCTGAGGTGACGCTCATATTTGACCTTGAATAAGCTTCGGGCTACTATACTAAGGCAAGAATTATAGTCCCGGCCAACTAAGACAACGTTAAAAGCCCTGGCCATATAGTAGTAGTTTCACGTTGAGGGATCACTGTTTTCCAAACTACTATGTTCTTTAATTTTACATTTGATATGACTAGATGATTCACCAATACATAATTTCAATTTATTAATCATCGCTTGTTTCAGAAAATGGAGAATGAACCTCCATTGATTTGTGCTGGTGAAGGCGAATCTGCAGAGCCCTCTAGACACGCAGCATCGAAGAAATATAAACGCCAGACCGATATGTGTTACTTCTGTGAGACGGACGTACAGAACTTTGTACGCCATCTGCGAAGGAACCATTTATGCGAAACAAAAGTTCAGGAAATATTTTCACATCAAAAGAATTCTGTAGAAAGGAGAAAATTACTTGCAATTTTGAAGAAAAAAGGCAATTTCATAAAAAATTCAGAAGAGTGCGTCAAACCTGTGAAGAAGGCTCGTTCACCAAGTGCATCTTTTCTTCCGTGCGGAAATTGTCTTGGATTCTACAGATCAAAGTTTTTATACAGACACAAAAAAAAGTGCTTGGAAGGTCAGTCAGCAAAAAATGCTCAATCTGAAGCGCAGAATCTTCTCGTAAAAAATAAAAGAATTGACCAAAGATTGAAAGTCGAAGTCTTTGCCAGAATGAGAGCGGACAAAATATCTCTTGAGGCTAAAAATGATTATCTTATTTGTGCCTATGGTGCTAGATATTTGAAAACCCATAGAGAAAAGCATTTTATCAATGTAACGAGTAGAAAAATGAGAGAGCTTTCCAGAATATTACTAGAATTGAAAAAACTGGAGCCAACAATACACAATCTGTTTGATGCCCTGAAACCGAAGCACTATGACCAACTAGTTGAAGCTACAAAATCAGTAGCAAACTACGATACTGTTAATGACACATTTGATTCTCCCACATTTGCCATGAATATAAGTACCGCACTGAAACAGTGTTGTGACATAGCAATACACATGGTTATAAAAAATGAACCATCAGTTGAAACAGCTACTTATGAAGCTAGCCTCAAAACGATGATTAATTTGCTGCAATCAAATTGGAGATTTGATGTCTCTGGCCGCGCTGGCAATGATTTGAACTTGAAAAAATTCAATAAGGTGACTATTGTGCCATTAGCAACAGACCTTAGGCTTTTAAAAAACTACTTATTGTTGAAAGCAGGAGAGGCAGTGAACAGGTTGGCTAGAAATGCTGCTGATGCGAACGCTTACACTACTCTGCTGGAGACAGTTTATTGCAGGGTAATACTACTAAATAGAAAAAGACCAGGTGAACTGCAAAGGATGTTTCTTCGCACTTATGAGAGTTCTGAAATTAAAAGTGGCGCCTATGAAGAATTTGAAGAAGTCATTACCGAGGCGGAAAAACTACTGATAAAAAATCTGAAAAGAGTTGTGATACGAGGTAAAAGAGGCCGTGGTGTACCGGTATTGTTCAGCCACGATATACAGCTTCATGTCAAAGAATTACTCAAAGTGAGGAATAATTTTGTCCCAAAAGAAAATCCTTTTTTTTTTTTGGCAAACCACGGCTCACCGGGCCAATTCAGGGATATAAAGTAATTGCAAAATATGCTCATGCTTGTGGAGCAAAAAATCCTCAAGCAATTACTTGTACCAGGCTTAGAAAACACCTTGCAACATTGAGTCAACTATTTAGTTTAAACGAAAATGAAATCGAACAGTTGTCCAATTTCATGGGACATACACCTGGGGTACATAAAGACGCATATAGGCTACCCGACGATTTGTACCAGACCGCGAAAATTTCAAAATTGCTAATTCTGATGGAAAAAGGACAAGCTGGTGAAAATAAAGGGAAAGGATTAGAGGAAATAACAGTGGACTTAGAAGAAGATCTATTAGAGGAGAACGGGTGTGATGACGAGGATGGAGAAGATATGGAAAAGGAAGAAGAGGATCAGGAAGAAAAAGAAATAAGAGAAATGTTATCTAATAAAACAGTAGTATCAGAGCAAAAAGGAAAGAAAACGGAATTACCTGTGGCTGTCAATAAGAAAAAGCGTATTCTTACACCGTGGACTAGTGAACAGAAGGAAGCAGTAACATTCTTCTTTAATAAGAACATAAAGATGAAAAAAGCTCCAAAAAGAAAGGACTGTGAAGAAATTAAAAGTTTATACCCCGAGTTGCTAGCCAATAAAGACTGGCTAAAGATTAAAGTTTTTATACAAAATGCGTATTCAAAAAGAAGCAAATAAGTTGTAAAATGTGAATGTGAATGAAAATAAAGAAATCAAGCTCACTTGAGTTCATTTATTTTGACCGCTAGTTGTACTTAGACTGCTATCAGAGGATATCATTAGTAAATGTGTGTATTTCTTGTCATAGTTTATGGAAATATTTAATATAAACGTTCATACCACCTTGCGTTGCACTGCTATTTGATAACTTTTTCTTTTACTTCTTTTTTTTTCCCGATCCTCTTTTTCATCCTCCCTCTTTTCGACATGCTCATTATCAGATCTGCTCTGTTCCAAAAGAGCTTTTACTAAATCCACTGTTATTTCTTCTGATTATTTTCCTTTGTTTCCGTTAGCTTGTCCTTTTTCCATCAGAATTAGCAATTCAGACATTGATGCATAGGGGCTGCGATTTACATCTCCATCTACCCCTAGTATATGCCCCATAAAATTGGACATCTCTCAGATTTCACCTCCGTTAAATTAAATAGTTGACACAATGATAATAATAATAAACGTCTTTATTATTCAGATACTGTACAACTGGTGAGTTTATGATACGAGTTGTTTTCTAGGCCTGGTATAAGTTTGCTTCACACTCGATAGGTGTTTTGCAATTCCAAAATACCGGAAGAGCCATTAAAAATTCATTGGCAGCTCTCTCCCTTTTTTCAGTTCAAAAGTATTCCACTACCAGATATTGTAAGCATTAACATTATAAGCATGTTTAGCCGATATGTTATTTTCCATTAGTTTGAGTTGTGCGGCTAATGGCACAATGGTTATCATATCATTTTCTTCCAAATTTATGTTACCATTACTGCGGCTATATCATCAAATCTCCACATTGACTGTAATTGTCTTGGGCCTAGGTTGATACAAAGTTGTGCTGACTGATTGCTCATTTCATATAACTTCATGTAACTGAGTGTCAAATGCGTCTCTACCAATTTTCTTATAAATTTCGGTTTCAAGTTACCAAACGGATTGATTTTACTTCTTTCAGTATTATTTATACATTCTTTTCGTTGGTAGCGCCTTTCTCTGTGAAATATAATCTAAATAATCTTTTTCTTCAAGAAATATTGTGTCTAAAAAGTTATAGTACAATTTGACATATAATAATATCTATTTACCAATAACTTATATGTCATAGATATAAACCAAGTTAATAATTAAGCTGAACTGAAAGATGGTAAATTTCGCAACACTGTCGGAAGCAAAATAACCATTGCTACGTTAAATATACAACTTATGGAATCAAAATAGTTCTACTTACGTACAGATTTATACTGATGGTAGTAATTTAGATTTTCATATAGAGGGAACCAAAATATTTAAATCGCGAAAAAAGTGTATACCGTGTATATTGGTGCCTTCATAATATGGACAATAAAAAGTATATCGGTATAAGCAGAATTCAACGAGGAACCTATATACACATCAAAATGTATGCTAGCGCAATTCCTAACGGTGGACGCAGAATGCTTTGTCTTTGAAAGGAAGCAGTATGGTCTTAAGATGTAAATATATATATATATATATATATATATATATATATATATATATATATACGCGATGCGGATGTATGAACGTGCACAAAACGATCGACCGTTATGAAGGCGCGTTATTTATGCAGAGTGTCCTGAAAGTTTGAACTTTCAGATTCAAGTACGTTTGTAAAGCGAATTTGCGGCAAAACAAACACCTGAATTGTAAAGAAAAAATTAAAGAAACATACTCACTGTTCATTTTGTAAGGAATTCCAAGTACACGTTTTGTTTAAAAACACTGCTTGAAGTTCGATTAAAAAACACGAGTTTGTTTACCTCTTCCAAATTTGCAACATTTGGGGCTGTGTTGATCTTGTGTTCAACCATATAAACAAACATAATGCGACACTGATGGAAAGAAACATCGTGCACGATGGCGACGTTCTGAGAAGACACGCGGGATCTTGAGAATTTGCCAGTTCCGGTTTTTAAATGCGGTTTGTTTATAAACTAGGTTTACATAGACATCTCGCGATGCTTGATTTGGATACTGACTCACATAGCCTTAGTACAACATCATACGTTATGACGTATACCTTTTTGGAACCGAATATCTCGGTTATCTTAAAGCTTTTCTATATACTAGTATGTTACGAAAAAAACTTGCTCATTATTGCCTGTGTAAAGGAAGGTTTCAACTTTGGAGGCCACACTGTATATGCACTGCGCAGAATGTCGAGCAGTTATAAGCCAGAGGCGTAATGATCTTCTGTCATCAGGATGAAGACTAGCTTGGCAAACCATTGGTAGGTGAAAATCGTAGGATTCTCACCTATTTCCGCAAAGTATTTTGAGTTTTTCAAAAGACCATCCCCACTTGTTGGTTGTCCGCTCGGCTGTCTCCAGGACTACTAGACCTATACCACATTACCATATTCATCCTAAAAAAGTCAAGTTCTTTGATAAATGCATTATTTTTATTATTATGCATAGTATTTTACCGTAATTTAAATATCAAAATATCATGCTACTCTTGTTACCCCAAAATACCTAGACACACGCTATTTAAACACATGGAAATCCACAATATAAATAATTGTTTTAAGTTTGTGCAAATTGTAGACACGAGAAATAAATGATTTAACATTTGATAACAATTCGTAAAACTACAAATTTTCGTAAAACATAACCACCACTAGGTGAAATGTAATAACTTGTTCACGTCTCATTCCTTTTTTTATCGCTCTCTTTTTTGAAATTCAGCAAATTGCATATGTAATTTCCAGAACGAATAAGAAAAAGTGTATGCGCAACTTATTTGTAGTAACAAGACACCAATGGAATTATCAACACAGATTATTGCCATCTCTGAAGCAGATGTTACATCACATCAGAGCCAAACATTGATAGCTGAAGCATCATGACGTTTAGGCAACCTGTACAGCTATAAATTGAGTTCACAACAAGTGTACAACAGCTAGTGCTAAGTTAACATCTTGTAGAAAAACCTACGTTATGCCACAAAAAAACCGACAAAAAGTAAAAAAATACGACAAAATGTTACATGATTCTAATGTTACCAGATTGATACTGTTGGTGGAACTGAGGAGAAATGTCTAGATCGGAATGTTGTCAAATGAGTGGGGATTTGGGGCTTATTGTATGGACTTGTTTGATTGACTAGTTCAAGTTCCTTTGTTATACATGTTCGTAGCAAACTTTTTTGAGGGCTAATTTGTGCCAAACATACCCTTTTATGAACTGATAAAATACGGTTAACGTACTTGACGCCATTTTGTTGTAGCTTTAGCAGGGTGGAACTACGTGATACCTAGTCGTCTCAATTTACAGGTTAGGTTTGGCGTTGAACTTCAGCGTGTTCTACTACGAGATCTTAAACAGCCCCGATAGGGCGTGCCGGCTGGCGAAGGCGGCATTTGATGACGCTATCGCCGAATTGGATACACTATCCGAAGAGAGCTACAAGGACAGTACGCTTATCATGCAACTGCTCAGGGACAACCTCACCTTGTGGACCAGCGATATGCAGGGTGACGGTATGTGCGACATTAGTAGCCCTCATTTTATATAGTAGAAAATTGATGTTTAACTTACAACATACCAGCTAGACAGGCTTATTAAGTTTACTTCCATCACGAGTCAGTCGCCAACCGATAAGTCAGGATCTCTTAGAAATCCGGAAATGTTTGGAATTTGAATTCCTCCGTCAAGTACAATATGTATAAAAACTCTTGAGGCACCTTTTAAAGCTTAATCAATGTGACTTCATTTTTTTTTCATATTTCCATGTTCAGAAATTGCCTTTGAATTTTCCTGGCAATATTCTGTGACATTCCAAGCACAAGACTATAGGGAGATATTGCAAAAACCCTTTATTTTGACATTACGCATGCGCAGGTACACTCCTGCATCTGTGAGGCATTAATAGGGATAAGACACGTACTTATTTGGGCTAAGATAAGGCGGGCTTATTTAGGCGTTCTTATGTCACATCGATTCACGATCTGGGCGAATCGGGTGTGGTCGCAAACCTGAATTTCGCTGTAGATTGTATGGATAGTGTTTTGAGGGCGATGACAAGTTGAATTGTACTGAAGAGCTACGCCTCTATCAATTAATATAATTATGGAGAATGATATATTCTATACTAAGTGACATATAAATCCGAACACCCAGTTTAAATGGTTTTATTTTAATAAAATTTTGTATAAGCACTTAATGAAGCATAATAAGTAAATGATAAAAATTTCAAAATGATTGCACTGCTTTAAAGCCCTTTGACCTTTAATAATGTGTGGATGCACCCTGATGTGCTACGCATTCTCCAACGCGCCTAGGCATGCTTCTGATCAGGTGGTCAATGTCCTCCTGTGGTATCTCATTCCAGGCAACCACCAACTCCTCTCGAAGTGCTTCTAGAGTCTGAGGAGGACGTTGCAAATTGAGCAATCTCCTACCCATCATATCCCACACGTGCTCAATTGGGGATAAGTCGGGAGATCTTGGTGGCCATGACTGACAACACCTAACCACAGTGTCTACACTTCTTTGCACTCTAACCGCAATTGCCCGAAAAGAAAGTCCAGCTTCCCGAAGTCCCACTATACGGCCCCTGTCAAACTCACTAAGCTGACGAAATCGTACAGGTCTCCGTACTCTAGGCATCGTAACCAATCGTAAAGGATGTCAAGAACCAAAATCCGCCAACGTTGATTCTTTACTGCGGCTGAAATATTCATTTTTAGAGCGTTAGTGAATTAAAAAAAAAGCAGTATAAAAACCGGAATGTCCAACTGATAAGGCTGAAAATTTTTTCACTTGTTATTTACAGTAAGATAAATACATTCACCAACTTTTATTAAAGTAAAACCATTTAAACTGGGTGTTCGGATTTATATGTCACTTAGTATATTTTCTCCTCATCTGCCTCTGCCAATTCAGCTTCCATGTTACAATCTCACACTGTAAAATTTCAAATCCAAACAAGTTAGCTAACTGAAACCAAATTGGAAGAGAGGTTAAGTAAAAATTATAAACATGGAGAACTGTCAAAATATACCGTAGTTCACGAGTATCCATCACGCTTTGACGTCTACTGAGGTGAACAGCAGATCAGCAAATTTCATTTTTGTGTTAGTCTTCAACGTTGGCAATAATGAATCGGGTGTAAATCCAGTAAAACTTGTTTGTAGCATTTTGTTTTTTGTATGCAAATGAACATGTCTAGATAAAAGAGCTTTTACCAAGTACAAAAAAACAAAAGCAAAATGTGGCTCTGTCTACCTGGCATTGGCGGATCCATCAGAATTATGAGTTCTTTGCTGATATAGGGAACTTTGGAATACTACTAGATAATCAGCTGTCATTCTATCGTAATGGATACTTGTAAAAAAGACCATAGGGTACATGTGCAATATCCCAAATTCCATTGTAGTTCAAATTGTGCCACCCAGGGCTGCGTTCGTAAATTGTTACAGAGTGTTCTTTGTACTTCTCTGTGACAATTTTAGCGTTTGTAATTGTTTGACGTTCCTGTTCAATGCATTCAGGTATTGAACAAATACTTTTGGAACGTCAAAAATGGGCTTTTCTTCCCGTGCTCAAAACCTTGGGAATAAAAGTGTTGTCGCTTGTCATTCCCATGGTTCATTGTTTGTTTACTTTATTTGGTTATCAAAAAGTGCCAAAAATTGACATATATATTTTTCAGGATAAATGAGCTACCTCGTTTCTTATACTGAATACAATGCTCGAAGAAAACGTGGTTAGAAATTAGTCGGCTATCATCAAGTTACATCACATGACTCTGTAGAAATTTAAGCGTTCTAAAAATAAAATTTCATAATATTCCGTAGTACAATTCCATCTGTCGAATCTATATTTCATTACTGTGTATGGTGTTACATTACCAAGTGATTTACAAACGCATCCCTGTGATAATCAGTTTTTAGGTTGCTACACTATTTGCTCCGTGTCTGCCAGTCTTTTTATTTGCTTTAATACAGTATATATGGCTTCCGAACAAGCATTTAACCATTTTTTTATGTAGGTGAGGCGGAGCCCAAGGAGCAGCTGCAAGACGTAGAAGATCAGGATGTATCATAACTTGGTGCGGAGGCCGGCGCATCGACGGCTGTTCCCCCTCACCACCCTACTGCTACGTCATAAAACAAAAGTGTGTTACGTATTACATAACGCGTGTGTGTAAAGGACAAAACAACACGAAGACTGCTGTTGTGTGCGTGCGCGAACGTGTGACTGTCTGTATGTATGTTTGTACGTCTGTCTGTGTGCAAGTTGTTAAGGGCTGCTGATTTTACGCTGTTGCGCGGTGCAAGTGTATAGTGCGCCCATGGACACTCGGATAACCAATGGCAGCGCGCGCGGCGTTCGGATACAGAGTTTTGGGGGAACCTGACAATGGGTTGCGAGAGACATGATAGCAAAAAGCGAGTGGTTCATATCATTTCAAAAAGTTATAAAAATGTGTTGTACTTAGTGTTTGATCTACCAAGTTTTAAGTTTATCTCAATAGCCTACTGAAACTTGGCAAAATTGCTATATGGTTAAAAGATTTTGGTCCGTCAAAAACTGGCGTTTCATGGATTCTTCGTTAACCACATCAAAAGGTGTAACTATAGGTTCATAGTTTTACAAAAAGAATCTACGGGGCATACAAAATAGTAACTGGTTAAAAAGATGCGGTGTATAACAATTCAGGTTGTGGAACATTATTCCAATAATTTGGAAATAAGCACTCTGTTGAAAGACAAGGCGAAACTTTCGTCTTTTTAACCTCTTCATATCTATAAATCTTTTCATCCAAAACATCAAAAATGACGACGTATTCAAAAGCAGGCATCTTCAACGGTAGGCGGGTTTAGACGAAAACAGGATGGCGGCTCGCACGAATATTGCCGCCAAAATTATTCTGAGGCAACTATTTAATATTTTCCTTCTGGAGTTATTTAATTGACATTGGAGAACTATTCAATATTTTACAAAGTTCGTATTTTTGTGCCTCGTGACTTAATGGCGTTTTACCTCTGAGTGTTGCATAACAGTGAATACATGGAGTTATAGTAGTATCAAAACTGGACAGTTGAGAGCTTTACAGAAAACTGACTGCATACGCATACCCTTTTTGTCTTGTTTATGAAGGCAAGAATGCCCTAACCTATTTGAATATGTGTATATAAAATTAATAAATAATTTGTCCTTGATAATCTCAATTTATAGATTCTCGAACAGCTGCTTGAAGATCACAATAAACGTCGAATTCATTCAGTGCTAAAGAATGAAAGTTCTGTTGCACTGAATGGTATCCTGTACCACATTGTATCTCATTATCACTAAGAAGTTTTTATGAAAAAAATGAAACAAACTGATTTACTGCACTCAACTTATAAACTCAATTTTTCGATTTAAATCCTCTTAATTTAGACATACTCATAATTTTATGAGCATTGCATTTGATGTCACAAAAGCTATCAGCTAACGAACTGCTGTACTATCTTATATTTTGAAGCTTTTTAACATGTCTCTCGCGCCTCTACTTGCGCACCCCCATCACCCAGCGACTCCACATACTGTATTATTATTACTATTAGCTGTAATGATATGATTATTCTGTAATCGTTTTTTGTCTCCTACATACATCTACATGTCCCGAGTACCCACCCCTATTGTCCATTTTATCCCCTAAATATATACATGTAATGAAATTCAAAATACCTCCTTCTCGAAAGCAAATTGCTATCTGATGATTAGAAGAGCGAAAGAGGAAATTTATAGTGCGGTAGAACAATGTCTTGTGTCTAACATTAAGCAGAGCCAGTCAGTAGAAAAGATTCAGTTTTGAATGATAGTATGGCAACACAAAAAATTGAAAAATCAAAAGGTACATCTGGCTCTTGTGCATCATTTCTGCTGGTCAGTTTTTTTGCTGTAACAAATATCAAATACAGTAGCACAGTATTAAATTGGGGATGGTTATCCAGTTCCTAATAATATCTCCTCGTGTTCTAAATTTTTTGATACTATTTATCTTCTCGCATATATAGACCTCTACCCTGCCCTTGTTCCAATTTACTCCGACTTTATGTACCTTACATATTGTCCAAAACTGTTATCTGTTCACAGAACTGGCTCCTTATTAAAAATATTTCTTCAAAAAATTACAAAAACAAAATAATCCCGCTTTTTTAGGCGTATACGTACATTACATCAGAATTGAAATTCTTGAGTATGATTCATAATAGAATTGTATTTTTATTTGCTGAGAATGGAATTGCGCAAACGTGTTGTATTGCAAGAGTCAGTCCAAAGGAAACTACAAAACAACCAAATCATTTATCTAGAATCATAACGTTCAATGTCAAACATTTGAAATTATGCTTTCTGTCATATACTCATGCAGAGGCTAATTCATAATGTTTCTGTATACGAAATTAGGTACAAAATATTAATCACAATAAACACCTATATGTGGGATATAAGGTGAATGACAAAATTTCAAGTTTGGTTGGCTCTAAAAATTTCCTGGACTAATGTGAAAACACAACTGTTTTTTAAATACATAATAAACCTTCAGTAACGACCAACATAAGAATAAGTGTGTCTCATCTACTTTTATTGCTCTTTTTTTTACAACTTTATAGAACTACGCTTAGAGAGACTATCTTTTGCCTTCTCGTCGTTATCATAGAGATAGAACTGTTGTTATTTTTTTACAATTTGATTTTCCGTTGTTCATTATTTTAATTTTCGCAGACTTTTCGAACTTTCCTTTGTACATGTTTACACGTTTGTAATCGCGCGTAAAGGTTTCGTAAAACAAAAAAGCATTCCGAATTTGCATTTTCTCTATTAATCAATGTTTTCTCTTAAGTACTTAATATATTTTCACGTCAAACATGCACCATTGACACAACAGAATTACATACAGAGGGAAGATGAATATGTCTTCATCTCAGTATTACTGTTGTGACGGTAGTATGGAATTTGATAATGTGAAAGTAAAAATTCGCATAATATAAAGGCTGAAACTTGATGTTTTGACTCTTTATTTGCTGCCACTTCTTTTATACAATGTTATCTGACATAGACCAAGAAAGAGAGTTTAGCAACAACTCCATGATGACTAATCAGTTTTTTCCTGTTGATCAAAGTTTTAACGATGCATGATCATTATCAGTAACCATTATGCCTCAGTGGCTGATTAAGATGTGCAAATTAATACATTTCTGACACCAGATCACTTCTTTTTTCTTTGCTGTATAAAATCTATGCTAAGCTCTGAATCAGTCGTATCAGATTTTTCATTATACATCTGTTGGAGGCCTACACTGATTTAGTCAAAATGTCAAGATGTGAGGTGTGGATATAATACAATTAAGAAATTGAAAGTTGCATTTTATGCTAGAAAAATCTCTCCCAAATATTCAACAATATCTAGATTTCTTGAAATGGTTCCTGATATTCATTTTCAAATACCTGGTTCTTCCATAAATTAACCTATTCTTCCTGAATATAGCTAACTTAATACTGTATTCCAGCATCGAAAACGTTATCAGAGATGGAATATCTATCAGGTCGGCTATCTTCAGTAAAATGCGTTAATCAATGGTTCTACGTATTCTTCATATCATATTCCAATACACCTCAGTAATCAAATCTGGCTACTCAGAGTATTCCATTTCCTAACTTCAAGTGCCACATCTCGCATTTTCCTGCATCTCTTGTATGTTATTGAGATGGACAATTTTATTCAGTAAACTGGCAGATTTTTTGCACTAAATGGACGGCTGTACTTACAATAGTAATTCACAGTTACACTGCCAGGTAACGTGAGTGTATCACAATAAAAGGTATCTAATGGGTGAAACGTTGATTTGTAAACGTTTTTACATCGTGGTATAGTTTTTTAAATCATTTTTTGTTTTGCATATTTTTATTGTGCGCATGATTGTAAACAAAGCTGTGTAGATTGATATAAAATTTGATGTATTATTATAAAAATGATTAAAATCTGTTTTAGTATTATTTAACAATCCCCAAAATTCTGTCGTTGAAGTTTTCCTCGCGATGTTGCGTTAGAAAGAAAAACTTGTGAAAGCAAACGGTATAATCGTTTATAAAAGTTGGCTACATTTCCTCGCCTGGAGTTCATCATCAAGAAGGCGTTCCCTCTCATCGGCGCATAATAATAATGTAAATGTAAAAAGCACTATTTCAATAGCTGAGGTTTTAGATATACAGGGTGTTCATTTGCAAACTTCCCACCACAGATTTATCGAAAACCACTGATTAAAAGAAAAACCTCCGAGACACGTCAAAATATTTGTCAAGAGGGACAACTTTTCAACCAAAAACTACTTCAACCTCTGCCCCCCCAGGGGCATCCCCTTAAAAATTTTAAATGACAAGTGGTATCGAGTGATAGCTTGTTTGAAAGGTCTTTCGAAGTCCTTTATTTTGACGTTTGATTTGTTGAAATCGGTAGCTTCGTTTTCAAAAAAAATAATCGAAAAATCTATATTCATCTTAATTTGTGTAGATAAAAAACAAAAACTCACCAAGATATCATTTTTTATTTCAATAAGTGTTCAAAATGTTGCCCGTTATTGGCCAAAGAATGATATAGGCGATGTTCAAATTCCTGACGGACATTTTCAAAAACATGTGGAATATCATGGCAGCTTTCGATGATGTGTTGAAGTTTATCCAAAACTTTCAGGTTTGGAAGTAAACAATAGATTTCAAATGGCCCCATAGAAAAAAGCCTAACAGCGTCAAATCAGGAGATTTAGCAGGCCATTCTGTAGGCCCTCTTCTCCCTATCCATTTATCTGGAAACTCTTTGTCTAGTCATTGCCGAACCGGAAGAACATAGTGAGGAGGAGCGCCGTCTTGCTGGAAATATATTTCAGCCTCATCAATTATAGGGGTTCCATCTTCTTCGATTTGGTTTTCAATGGTTTCAGTGATAAGTGGATTGATGGTATTTCCCAACATATCCAAATAAATGTCTCGATTCAAATTTCCATTAATAAACAATCGCCCAATCACTTTGTTTCCTAAAATGCCTGCCCATACATTAATTTTTTGGGGGTGCTGGGTATGCCCTTCTACAAAAGCATGAGGATTTAAATTGCTCCAATACCTGTAGTTATGCTTGTTAACCAATCCATTTAGATAAAATGTGCATTCATCACTGAAGCAGATATTCTTCACATGAATGGTATCCTTAATTGCTGTAGTCATTTCTTCACAAAACAACATTTTGAATGGATGAAATTTATGGAGTTTAGTAACTGTGTATACAGAACCTAATGAAATACCAGTCGCAGCAACAATTTTGCGTAATGAAGTATTAGGATTTATTCCAAAATGACCCAAAACTTCAACTTGAGCGGCTTCATTCAAAACTCTCCGTTGATCACGTTTTTTATTTGCAACAGTGTGAGTAAATTAAGTAACAAGGTCCAAAACATACCTATGCGAAGTTATCTTCCCCGGATGTCTGGCGTTAAACGTGACGGCAGTTTTCCGAGCATTAAATTAATTTTCACTCTCCCAACATTGTCGCAAAGGTAACTGACAGCAAATTAAAGTCTTTCTTTCCCTTAGCAACAAATAACTAAACAGGTACAGCAATAAATACAGTTCGCCCAGGATATCTGTGTTGATGAAAAAAATTCGGGTTGTTATTCTGTTGTTGCCACGTCTAATCTTCCGAATTGCTGTTTATGTTGGTAGTTTCCGTTTTAAAAATAAACGAATTGTAGATCTGGCAAACCCTAACGGGCAACATTTTGAACACTTATTGAAATAAAGAGTGATATTTTCGGGTGTTTTTATTTTCTATCTGAACAAATTAAATGAAGATTTTTCTAGTTTTCTTCAAACCAATCGACCGATTTAAAAAAATTAAACTTCAAAATAAAGAACTTCGAAAGACCTTTCAAACTATTACTAGATGCCCCTTGTCATTTAAAATTTTTGAAGCGATGACTCTGGGGGGCAGAGGTTGGAAGGGGATGAAGTAGTTTTTGGTTAAAAAGTTGTCCCCCTTGACAAATCTTTCGCCGTGTCTCGGCGTTTTTTCTTTTAATCAGTGGTTTTCGATAAATCCGTGGTGGAAAGTTTTCAAATTAACACCCTGTAGAAGCAAATTTCTGTGTCCCCGCCGTTTTTTCGATATATTTGCATCGTCTTGGCGACGTAACTAAAAATTCAAAATACCACTTCCAAGGATTCAACAAAATGGTTGAAGTGACGCTTTCATGAATGGACATAAATCAAAAATAAATTCCATGAAAAACCTCATACAAAATGTGAGTATGATATGAATACTATACAGGGTCATCAGAATCATCTAATGTGGCAATAATAATTATAATTCAAAATGTTTATTAGTAAAAGTGTAAAATCATTTATAAATGCTATGCTATAATTCAGTCCACAAGAAAGGGTTATTAATTCTAGTATTCCTCACTCCGTCAATTTTATTTTTTTAGCTTTATTAAACCACGCAACCATGAGAAATGTGATTCTGGTGGATTTGCTCAAAGCTTTGCATCCAAGTGCTGTACTCATTATACCATCTGGATTTAAAATGATCCAAAGTACTGTGGCAGATATTTCACGTATTGTGATTCAGTAACTGTTATATCTAAATCACGACCGTTACAAAATATCGTGAAAAACGTGACGTGATTACGAGTTCTAGAACCAGGTAACGGTAACGGCAAGGGCGAATGACATCATGTGATCATGGCGTTAATGTTTGAATGTACTTGAGATGCGCACGCGGGCCAGCCGCTGAGGTATACCACCGTAAGACTTCTATGGTCTGTATGGGTAAGACGTCAATGATGGTCTGCAATTGATATCGTATCTTATAGACTTTGTTGGCTCCATGCGATTTCATTGCGGTATTTTGTTCAGGATATCAGTATACACATAATCTCATCGTTATTTGTAAATCGTTATCATGTCACGGTTTTAAATTACTGAAAAAAGTAACCACATAAGATATTCAAAAATAACGTTATCCACCGTTTCTAATCCAAAGGGTCCAGAATGGTTGGAAACTGGATATGGAAATGATAAAATACGTTTTGATATTTCATTCCCCTTATAGTATGGTACCTAAGTTGGGGAAGTTTTATTTGTTTCAAACAACGACTTCGGACTAGCTAGAAGGGAATTGTCTCCAAAGTATCATAGTCTGCAGTCAGGATGAAAGTTCATAGCAAGTCGATGAGGCTTAAGCCGCCAGTTTGAAAGCTGTTGACATTTCACGTGAAATTCGTATTTTTCTGCAAAAACAAAAGTGTGTGGGTCCATCCAGTCTTGGTATTACAGACAGTTATCGAAAATGGTGAAGGTTTCAATGCAAAAATCCGTTTACACATGCACTAAATCGGTAAGTGTCAGTATACGAGGGGGTACCCAAAAAAACTAGAATTATTTTTTGAAAGCTATTTATTTTCAACTTTTTCACAAAGTAACCTTATCGCCTTCAAAATACTGTCCACTACAACTAATACACTTGTCCCACCGGTGCTTCCACTGCTCGAAACATTTTTTGTAGTCTTTCTTAGAAATGTCTGACAGCTCCCCCCTCGTTTTTTTTCTTGACCTCTTCAATGTAGTCAAAGCAGCGTCCTTTCATGCCCCTTTTCATCCGTGGAAATAAGAGAAAGTCGCACGGAGCCAGGTCACGCGAATAAGGTGCGTGAGGCAGCGGAACCATGCCATTTTTAGCAAGAAACTGTCGAACAGAGATGGCTGTATGCGCAAGTGCATTATCGAGGTGGAAGAACCAGTCTCCTGACTGCCACAAATCGGGACTTGAACTTTTTCAACAATTTCGTCGATTCGGGCAGTTGATGGACGTCCAGAGCGAAGTTTGTCATCAATCGACATGTCGCCATTTTTAAATCGAGCAAACCACTCATACACCTGAGTTTTTCCCATAGCATCATCTTTGTAAGCTATTTTCAACATTAAACAGTGTCAGCAGCATTTATACCAATTAGAAAGCAAAATTTCACAGCTGCACGTTGCTCACTGAAGCTTGCCATCGTAAAAAACGAAAGCTCTAGCAAAAATAATGACTACAGAGGAACGAAACAAGCCAGATCGACAACTCAGGTGGCACTGAACTGGTAATGACTTGCGTTGTACGCCTCTAGGGGCAGAAATGTGTACTTCACAAGCTACGCACACTGCAATGCTATTCCGGTTATTTTTGGGTTCCTCGTATTATAACCATTTGCGTTGTGAAAGGACATGTATCTCAACGTTGGACAGTTGTGAGGTAATTTTGATTTACTTCAGTCCACTTCTTGATTCTTTGAGTGCTCAGTTTGAATCTAAGGTTTGTTAACAGGAGTGTATGTTTTACAACAACATTGAAGAATTAAAAGTATTGGAGCCAAACCAATTTTTTTGTTGCATACTGAAAAAGATCCAACCGAAATTTTAACCTTGAGTCTTATCTAATTGTGAATCTAAATTTTTTAGGAAGGATCCTTACTTGCAGTTTTATAAATAGTAATTTTACGTTCTCGTTTTATTGCCACGGGATTCTAGTGAGAAGGCTCAGTAGGCCCTAAAAAAACTGTGAATATCAAATTGATTAAATTACTGCCAGATATTTTTATTGGATAATTTCCATATTATGATCTAGGTGTTTGCTTTTAGCAAAGAATCGCAACACAGATAGTATTATTTCTGTCCTGCTAAACGTAAGTTCACTCAATACGATTGGCTACCTGGACACCCCTCCAGAGAAAAAAAAGTATGCCTATGTTTTGGCATGTCACCTTGGAGGCAATGGTAGAGAAATGAGCCAAAAGTATGCACTAAAGCTACACAATTTTGGCGACAAACAATCCAATATAAAGGCTTGGCTCATTCTAACCTATTTGAATTCATTGGTTTCAATTCCTGAAGTGAAATACATATACCTCTCTATAGGAAGGAACAAAAAAGAAATTTACTAGTATCACCGAACTGAATGAAATACGTTTTTTATCATTCATTAATTGCGGTAGAATACGACATTTAGAAAAATACCACCTCGTAAAGGACTTTGAAAGGTAGCACGGGACAAAAGGAAAGTTAATATTGGCAAGACGTGCAATAAAAATCAACTAATCTAGATCATGGATCACTTTGAATGTACATATACCCTATTCGTAGTCCATTTACGTCCCGGCACAACAAAGATGCAGCGCGGCAAAGCGGCAGCCGCCTAAGCGTTGCAATAGCTATTGGTCATTCGCCCATAAAATGACGAAAAAGTGCAGGATTTGACAGGATATAACTCAGCCTTGGGTTATCGCCGGCAGTTCATATTCGGAGCTTACATAGCGCGTGTTTCTACGTTAACATGTCGTCTATGGATTCAGCAGATGAAACTGCATATTTCTCCCAATGCTTCCTCTTCAGTGATGTCTCCTCCCCAAAAAACGTAACAAGGAGGGACATTTGAATATTCAGGCAAAAGAAACTCTCCTAGGACGTTTTTCAACATTATTAAAGCATATAAAAAAAACAAAAAATGTCTACACCACACAAGAGGCTGCATCACACGAAGCTGTTTGATACAGTTGATCAGGCGCAAAGTTCATCAATTTTTTGGAAAGCAGGAACTTCCCACCATAATTATGTAGTCGGAACTTCAAACTTCGTTTTTAAAAAACTTTATTTGGTTCCAACAATAGTTTACATGGACCGAACCGGAATTACAGTGTATGTGTGTTCGCTGTGACCGATATTGAATGACTCATAATTCAGATACAATCGTTAATATAAACCAAAAGTGATGAGCTAGTAAAAAGGAATACGATGCAATTATTATATCAATTATTAAAGTGTTAAATGACAGCATAGAGTTAAAAGGCATTTACCTACTTGAAGTGCCTTACCAGTGCAGCATACAAACGAAGGACTACATTTACAAAAGTCAAAAAGGAACAACCATGGAAAAGCCGCTGTTGCTTCCAGAGGTCCACATTTCATCAAAAACGGAAAATCCAAAGGAAATCAAGCTAGTACATATTTCCTTAGATAAACTTCATCACTTGCAAGAACGAGCCGACCAAATCCAGGTAGATCTTCCCGAAACAGTGAAGCACCCCTACAAATGGAGTCTACCCCTGTATGCAATTATGTTAATTGGAATTGCATGCATCTTCGTGAAAAAGTATTACCAGAGAAGAAAAGGATCAAGAAGAAGCCAGCATTTAGATGAAATCGAAATGTAACCCCAGAGGCACGAAGTTTTGTTTGTGCCCTCCAAAACTTCACATCTTAAGGGTGGAGGAGTTATGTTGCTGTCATTCAACACTTTATTAATTGATATAATAATTGCATTGTATTCCTTTTTACTAGCTCATCACTATTATGTCCCAGAATTTGATGGGAATCCCTGTAGACTATATAGATATTTAGAAATAAGCACAGATTTATTAAATAACTATTGGAACACTGACGATACAGGATGTGTCCAAAACAAAATACTGCTGCATGGCATTTTCTCGAAAAATTATGTAGTCGGAACTTCAAACTTCGTTTTTAAAAAACTTTATTTGGTTCCAACAATAGTTTACTGGACCGAACCGGAATTACAGTGTATGTGTGTTCGCTATGACCGAGATTGAATGACTGACTCATAATTAAGATACAATCGTTAATATAAACCAAAAGTGATGAGCTAGTAAAAACGAATACAATGCAATTATTATATCAATTAATAAAGTGTTAAATGACAGCAACATAACTTCATAGACAAAGTATTACAGGAGGTTAATTAAATAATTAAAGAAATTATTTTATGGAGAAGAAATTATTTAAAGTCAATAAATACCGCGACCACGGCAGGAAGATTTATTACTTGGATGAAACCTGGATAAATGCAGGACATATAAAACCTAAAGTATGGACTGACTCTAAAATAAATCAGCAATACAAGCCTTCTTCATTTGTATTGTAAAAATGGTGTAATGTAGACTGAATCTATTAGCCCATGCTGAAAACTTAGCTATACCTGGAAGATTTGGAACCAACACCTGTTAGATACTCTGCTTGTATTATGATTAGTTTTCTTGAATATCATATGAAATAATTATTTCAAAGGAAAAGGAAAACGATTTGTTATGTCACATTGGCAGTGAAGATGGCTTTGTGCCCACTGCCCTATGGGCATTTGAGTCAAAGAAAATGACCGACTACCATGAATAAATGGACGGGAGTTTATTTGAACGATGGTTTGAAGAAACGCTCCCAAACCTTGACGACAATGCCGTCATTGAACTTGATAATGCTGCCTACCACACTAGAAAAAAATCCCACAATGTCCACAAGAAAGGCAGAAATTCAACAATAGCTCCTATCAAAAGACAGTTTCAATGAAAATATGGTCAAAGCAGAACTTATCTATCTATAATCTTAATATTATTGACAAAATGGCTAAAAACCAAAATAAGAACATTTTAAAGATAGCCCTTTATCACTGCGAATTAAATCCCATTGAAATGATTCTCAACAGAGTGACGGCAAACCATTGGAAAGATTGTATCCGTCACGTTCAAGAGACAATCGAAATAAAGTTGTGGGATTTGGACAATATGATCGATATTCAAATTGTATCTGTAATAATTAATATTAACCATTCCGGCGATGATTCAACTACTTGCAGCGAATAAATAATTGTAAAGGTATGTTCACTTCTGTCTATAAAAATAACCATTTATTTTGTTAGATTATTCCAAGACCATTGAGGAAAATACAATCTCGATTTTGTGAATGTTGTGTTTTGTCTGGGCGTAAATGGATTATGAATAGGGTACAGTTGGTGCAATGATGAAATTTCATCAGCTTATTCATCGAATTCACTTTTCTCATAACAATAGCGCGTGGTCCTTCATTGGAAATGGAAGGTGACTTAGGGCGGCGGACTGGTCGCCTTATCCAAAGCCGAAATAAACATATATAATTTTAATCTTAGAAATATGGGAAAGTACATAAGTACAACTAAGTCATAATAAAAATTATGTGACCATAAAAATATATTGGTTAAAAAACTAATCACGAGAAAGTGATAACTAATATAGTGGAGTTTGGGACAAAGTGGCTTACATCAAAATTTCCTACATGCTACCGACATCTATGAGTGCTCCTATGTACAGCCCTTCCTCTCTGGATGTACAATCAATCAGTCGAGTTGAAACTGCTCTCAAGCACGCACGCGGTTTTATATAGTGAGTAAAGAATTTAGAGCCACGTGTTTATAATATTCAGAGATAAGTAAATTAGAGGCATCGATTAAAGTTGATATGATTTGTTTGATATTACATATTTTTTTAATAAGATTTCGTATTTAGTAAGCCTGTCTGTACGAGCAGTGGAATAAAAAACAAAGGTAATATTTTTTTATTGTTGATAATAACTTTACCCCATAGCATGATGTAGGGAATAAAAGTAGAGAAATTCTTTAGCTACGGGTTTGTAAAGCCCAGAGGTAAGTAAAGTAGAAAAATAATCAAAATAATTGCCTTTTTTACAGAATTGGGGCAATGGTGCGTAACTATAAACGGAAGAGCCAGCAGCACTCTTGGTCAGAGGAAAGTATGGCAGCAGCAATACAAGACGTTAGACACGGGATACTTTCCGCAAAAAAGGCAGCAGCACAGTACCACGTTCCTTTAACAACACTTCGGAGGCGATTAAGTTCTAACAACGAAACCAATGTAGCAGCTAGAAAATTGTTAGGTCGATTTAGACCGGTTTTTTCGGCAGAACAAGAGAAGGAGCTGGCCGATTATATCTTAGAGATGGAAAGTAGGCTTTTTGGTCTTGGCACGAGGGAGGTAAGGCACCTTGCCTTGCAATTTGCGGAAAAAAACATATTGCACACATCTTTAACGCAGCTAAAGGACTTGCAGGGCGTGATTGGATCTATGGATTTCTAGAAATAAACCAATATATTTCTTTAAGGCTTCCAGAATACACCTCGGCAGCTAGGGCTTCGTCATTTAATAAATTCAACGTTAATTCATTTTTTACTCTATTGGGAGAAATTCTTCAAAAATACAAATTCCCAGCCAGTAGAATTTTCAACTGCGACGAGACGGGTATCTCTACGGTACCAAATAGGCCCTCAAGAATATTCTCCATGAAAGGAAAAAAACAAGTGGGCAGTATTTCTTCCGCTGAAAGAGGCACTCTAACAACTGCCGAAATTTGTTTCAACGCCACTGGATTTTACAAGAGTTAGAAAATGTCCACCACTCGAGCAAGGACTTCCTTCAGAATCAATCGTGGAATATCATCCATCAGGGTGGATGTAAAGTGAAATATTTTCAGAGGCTTGGTTTGAACACTTTCTAAACTATTCCAAACCTACCGAGACTGATCCTGTTTTACTAGTCTTAGACGGGCATGCCACCCACACAAACAATCTAACTTTGGTCGAGAAAGCAAGGGCAAATCGTGTGCACATTATTGTGATACCACCACACACATCTCACCGTCTACAACCCTTGGATGTAGCCTTCATGTTTCCACTAAATTCATATTACCAACAAGAAACGAAAAAATGGATTATTAATAATTAATTTTTTAATTAATAACCCTGGAAAGGTAACTTTGTATCAAGTCGGAGAGCTTTTTGGAAATGCTTTTAAACGCGCCGCAACAACACAAAATGCTATCAATGGTTTCAAAGCGACGGGGATTTATCCCTTTAACCTTGATGTATTTCCAGAAAATGCATTTAAACCGGCAGATGCCACAGATAGAGCTCTCAATGAAGACCGCCCAATAACTCCGCAATCCCTACAACAACTGAATAACCAACAAATCAATAATTCTCCACAACCAGATCCCTCTAGCGCTAGAACACCATCTCCTGTTAGAAACGCAGAGCCTACAGCCCCTATTCTTAGTGAAAGTAATAGTTACTATTAACCTAAAGATATATTGGCATTACCAAAAGCAGGCGAAGCAAAGAGCTCCAAAACGAAAAATGAGAAAAGGAAAAACTATGGTGCTCACTTCAAGCCCTAATTATGAAGAACTAAAAAGAGCAGCAAATAAAACCCAAATATCTAATGCAAAGAAAAAAATGGTCAAAAAAGATTTGATGGCAGGGGAAAAAACATTGACCGCAAAAGAAAGAAACATAGAAGAAGTAACATCTTCGGATAGCTCAGTTGAAGTGGAGCTAGAGGATTCTTCTTGCGATTCGGACAATTGCGATATAGAATTTTATCCTAAACCCAACGAATTTAACATCTAAGCTATTGAAGTTGAAAACTTCAATGCAAATGATTTTATTTTGACAGAATTAAAATGACAAACAAACGTTTTGTTGCTCAAATAATAAGCATTGAAAAGGTTCCAGAAACTAATATCAATGTGTCATTTTTGCGACAATATCGGCAGTCATGTTTTTCCTGAAGTTAAGGATTTTAGTGAAGTTTTAAAAGAAGAAATTTTGGGGAAAATTAGAGTTCAGTCTCTAAGATATGGCAAAATACGGGTCTTTTAAAGCAGAAGATAATACGTCTCGACTGAATAGTTCTGTTTAGTTTTAGTAGTTCTTCAATATTATGGACGTTACCAAAACCTTTTTCGTATAACGAAATTCACTAGATTATAATTTTGTTCATTTTTCTGATACGAACTTTTTTTCCTTTCAAGAAACTATGTATCATTTTTTTGATGATTGGTACTTTATTCTATATAGTTTATTTTTTTCACCCTGAAAGTGTTAATACAAATTCTATTCATAGAAGTCTGATTTACTTTTTAGATAGTGTCCACTTTACCCCTATACACATATCCACTTTGCCGCATACTTGGGGCAAAATGGATAATTTATAGCTACCTATTTTTTCTATTTTTTTTTCGTAGCACTTATTTAGAAACAACAGACCATTTAAAATAATAAAGTTCTTTCACGAATAAAGCGATTGGCATTGTTGTGCGTCTCATTCTAATTTTCTATAAAGTATTTTTGGTATTTTGAAGTTAAGGTAGCCACTTTGCCCCAAACTCCGCTACCTAATAATAGTGAGAAGTTCACATAATACAGTAACTAAGGAATATAAGTTTTCAACCTACACAAAAACTGCATGAAAGGAACTATTTTTGACTAAAGTTTCGACCAGAGAATTTGACTGTAATATTCTAAAACTCCATACTACATACCTCAATACTAATTTATTGCATCACTTTCCAATACAGAACTCATTGAAAATGATGTCTAGCAACTGTTCATTACTAACATGTCCTACTAGTTTTCCTAAATGTCTTAAAGATTTTCTCAAATACTCAGCCATTATAACTAAATCACACGCATCACCTTTAGAGCTTTCTTGTAAGCACGTTTTGAGATAATTGACACAATCCTTCAAATGCTGTCTATGTCTTGCTTGATTCAAACTTGGATGTTCTTCAGTGGGTTCACCACAAAGCGTTTTCAGCTTGTTTGATAGAACGTTTGTAAGCTTTGAAATACCTTTTTCTGTTTTACAAGATAATGTCACTGTGTTGTTAATATCGATGTCTATTTTACTGCCTAGTAAATCTACTTTGTTCAAAACTACAATACATTGTTTATTGAACAAATCGTTTCTATCATTCTCATTCTTGATCAAGCATTGCAAATCTAGTTGTTTTAAATATTCTAGAACATAGTCGCTGAATCTTTTACAAACATTTGTTACTGACCACTTCAGGTATTTTTCAGAATCTATAACAAGTAGTACTAAATTCGACGTATCCAGCAGCTCTAGAGCTCTTCTAATACCCTCTTTTTCAATTTGGTCCAAAGTTGTTGTTCTCAGGCCGGCAGTATCTGCAATAACTAATGGATAACCTCCTATATTCAGAGTGATTTCGAGGATATCTCTTGTGGTCCCTTCTATAGGTGTAACTATAGCTGCTGGTCTTTGACACAGAAGATTCAAAATGCTGCTTTTACCCACGTTTGGTTCTCCTAGAATTATTGTCCTGACACCTGAAACAGTAAAATATATGATTAAGTTTTAAAAAAAAATCTCAAAAATATATTTTTTAATCTGTGCACACAACAACACTGTTGTGAAAAATATCACATCTCAGTTCGGAAGAAAGTGTTTTTATTGTTTTTGTTCTGCTATTACAGTAGATGAATTTACAGATTCAAACCATTACCTTGTCTGAGCATCTCGCCTTTACGCCCATCATTAATATGTTTCTCAATTTCATCAATCAACTTTTGAACATTCTTACTGACAGCTTCCAGCAATCCCAATTCAAGAGTGTCAGTCTCCTCAAAGTCGATCTGAGCTTCTATGTGCGCCACGCATCCAGTCAGAGACTGCTTCCATCTGTTGTACAGCTTGCTCAATGCACCTTGGCTTTGTAGAAACGCCTGTTTTCTCTGTAGCTCTGTCTCAGCCTGCAGCAAGTCTGCTAGACCTTCAACTTCTGTTAGATCTAGCTTTTTGTTGTAGAAGGCTCGGCGGGTGAATTCACCTATTTCAATAATATAATTACTTAGTGCTGAAATTAGTAGAGGAGAAGGTCTAAATATAGGCTAGGGTCTAAATATAGGCTACTTGATACTGTGGTTTCCTACTTACTGGCAAAGAGAAGGCAACAGCGCACAATGATGTCTCGTCAGTCAAACCGTTGGCGGTAAAAAATCGGTTGTGTTCATTTGACATGTGTAGATGTTATGTTCCACGGTGTGCTATATCCTGTGATTTAGCGACTCGGAAAGATTATAAGGTATGTTTATTTTCTTTTTGACACTGTGATCTTTTGAACTTAGAACTGATCTATTTCATTAATGATTTTAGTGACATACTAAGGTTATTCTTACATAGGTTACATTTGCTATAATGTTGTTCACTAATATTTGCCACACACCTATTCTTTTTGATAACGATGGTCCAAATATAGGCTACAAAGTGTGGTCCGAATTTGGGCTAGCCCGAATTTGGACCTTTATTTAGTATTACGACTTATTTTGGTTTCAGAATGCCGCGCAGCAATCCAAAATATGTCAAGAAAGATAAAAGGAAGTCGTGGAAGAAAGAAGACATGGAAACAGCAATTACAGTGGTTCGAGAAAAAAAGATGGGAACCTTAAAAGCGGCAAAAACTTTTAATGTGCCTCGTACAACCCTACAAACTTTGAGTAAAAAACTTGACCTTACTCCAGCACAAGCAGTTTGTACTAAGCTTGGGCGAAAGCCTTACTTGGGTGAAGACTTGGAAAAAGAGTTAGTTTCCTACTTACTCATAATGGAGCAGAAGTTTTATGGGTACACTATCCGAGATTTGCGCAGAATGGCTTATCAAATTGCAATTAGAAATCATCTTGAAACGCCATTTAACCGTAACGAGGCCGGCAGATCTTGGGTGGATCTTTTTTTAAATCGTCATAAAGAGCACCTATCTATTCGGAAACCATGTGGAACATCTTTCTCAAGAGCTTTAGGCTTCAACAAAGAGAATGTTCAGAGTTTTTTCAATATGCTCGAAGAGGCTTACGAAAAACACAAATTTCCAGCTGAGAGAGTGTTTAATGTTGACGAAACAGGACTTTCTATTGTTCAAAGCAAAATTCCTCATGTCATTGGTCGAAAAGGAAAAAAGCAAATAGCAGCCTTGACTTCTGCAGAGAGAGGTTCTACCGTAACGATAATTGCATGCATGAGTGCTTCTGGAGTTTTCGTCCCTCCTCTAGTGATCTTCCCAAGGACAAATATGACTCAAATCCTAATGAAAGGATGCCCTCCAGGTTCAAATAGGGAGAGCTCACCCCTCAGGATGGGTTCAAAGTAATATTTTTACAGACTGGTTTGCTCATTTTATTGAGAAAGTCTGTCCGACAGAAAACTCGCCAGTTCTGCTGATTTTGGACGGACATTACAGTCACGTCCGAAATCCAGATTTAATTGACATGGCCCGAAAGAGTTTCGTGACAATAATTTGTCTTCCACCGCACTCTACACATAAACTGCAGCCGCTCGACAAGACATTCATGGGACCATTAAAAGCTTTTTATAGTGAGGAAGTAAGACAATTTATTAGACATTCAAACCGCGCTGTTACACCATATGACATCATGGAGCTCTTTGGGAAAGCTTACCTTAAGGTCCAGACGGGAGATATTGCAGTCAATGGTTTCAAGGCAACCGGAATTTTTCCTTTGAACAAAAATATTTTCACAGAGGCTGATTTCATAGCCTCTGAAATCGAAGCAGAGAAAACATGCAATGCACCCCAGGCTGATCAGTCAAAGGTGGTAGGATCTACATCATCTTCCCATGCATCATTTTCTCAATGCTGCTCTTCAAGCACTCCAAAGAATCTACCTGGACCATCGAAGCAAATTAGCCCTTTTCAAATTGCCCCAGTACCCAACATCAAGAAAAAGGTCACAAATCGTGGTCGCAAGTCTTCAAGTGCGTGTGTGATCACAGATACACCATACAAAGAAGAGCTTTCGAAGAGCCTGGAAAAGTCTGCAGCGAACATGAGCAAAAAAAAATTGCTATTTAACGATTTTGATGGCTCAAAAAAAAAAGAGCAGCAATAAGATGACAAAAAGACCAAAAATAAGCTCAAAACCGTAGTCAGAATCTTCAGATTCTGATGGTGACTTACCCGACGACAGTTCGAGTGACATTGAAAGGCCTAATGGACATTACCCAGACGATGAGGATGCAAGTTGCTTATTTTGCAATGGAATGTTTTCAGAAGACACTAGAGGAGAAGTTTGGGTGAAGTGTTTTCAGTGTTTTATGTGGGCACATAGTGACTGTGCGGGTGCTGAAAAGGACATTTACATATGTGACTTTTGTAAATAAGTTTTATATTTTGTCTCCAAGACTTTTTGTCGATAAACTTGTGTTTATTGTTTCAAGCCTGACGTAATGGCGATAAGCATTTGTGCAACAGTTATTATTTGGTTTTATAGTTTAAACTGTTTTTTTAATAATATGATTATTGATAACATTTCATACCTAGAATATCTTTTTTTGAAATACTGTGAAACCACGGGCAATATCTAGATGTATTTTGATGGTAGCCCATATTTGGACCCTACCTGCAAAATCTTGTATTTTACCTTTTATAGAAATAAATATTGTAAAGTGAAAGCTTTTCATATTTAGACTATTTTTTCCCGGTATTATTACATACATATGTTCCAGCTATGCTATACTAGGCCTAATATTAAAACAAATATGAACATTGTATTTTAAATAAATAAAAACAAAGCACCAGCCCGTATTTAGACCTTCTCCTCTATCAGAATGCTGCTATGTTAAGAGAGCTTCACAGAACCTACAGACCAGTAATAAATCCTGTGAAGTTGACTACATGACCACAATAACACTGAAATGGGTTTGTCTTACCTGGTTCAGCTAATCTCAACTTTGGTATGGATTGCAGAGCATTTAAGACACCAGTGACCACGGCTAAACCTCCATGAACATGTAGTTCAAATGAATCTTCTCCAGTGAAACACCTAGGGCCTGGAAACCAGATCACCAAGCCCTTGTCTAACGTTTCTGATGACACTGGATGCTTGATGCTTCTAAAATTATATTCAATATTATTTTTTTGTCCTGGGTCTAGTGCGGCCAGCATATTAAGGCCAGCTAGTTTCATGAATATCCATTGCAGAGTGAGTGGAAAAGATATTCTGAGTTTTTACAAAAAACACTGAATATCCCCTTTTAAATAACAATGTTAAAAAAGCCTTATCATCTAGCCAGAAGAAAATTTGCAAAACGCTCATTTTTATCTACCAATTATCACATCATTGTTTTAACTAGAGTCTGCTATTAAATTCCAAAAATGTTACAGCCATGATTAACATACTTTGACTGCTAAATAACATACACTAATGAAAAAACTAAGGGATCAAATAAAAATTGTAAATTTTTTAGTGAAAAGATGTTTGAAGCTGCAGATTCCACGCAATTCTTGGAAATAGTGTGAAGAAAATAATTGCGATTTTTTTATTTAGGTCCACGACCTTTTTGATTACCTAACCAAAAATTCGAAAATATATTCCAAAAGTTTTTCCACAGATCTATAAAAGATCGTAGTTATGTACGATATAAAAATGAAATTATTGTTTTTTTTTTCAAAATTATTTGAACAAAATTGCGCTCGTAGGAAATTATTTTTGAGAAAACACGTTTTTGAAGTTATGGTCACCTAGGGGCTAGTACCTGTCAAACTGAAAACGCTTTTAGCAGCAATAAATGTGATGCTTTTATTTTTTGAAACTTTATTCAAAGCAAAAAAAAACGTCTGGGTGAAATGTTAGAGGGTTATTCACCATTTGATATTTAGCCCTTGACTTTCCAAAGAATCTAAAATAAATGATCAATGGTCATCTTGGAAAACCCATTCCAGCTTTTGAGACCACCATTAGATTTTCTGTACAATGATAAGTTCCTGAGATATCAATGATCAATACCAAAAGGATCGTTTTTTATTAAAAATTCGATATTTCGGCAAGAACTGGTCATATCAAAGCAAATTAATGCTAAATAAACAGGCTAATGAGTCAATGCATTGGTTTAGCAGAAAAACACTTTTCCAAGTGAATGAACCAAAATACAAATATAAGAAAAAAATCAATTTTTTTTTCAGACCTTTCACTGGGATTGCATGGTACCTGCAGTATTCAATTTTTTTTCAACTAAAGGATTCAAAAACTAGACATTTGAAACGCTTCTCTTTGAACCTGAATAGGGTCATTTTTTACTGAGATACACCATTTAAAGAATCATTAAAAATTTACAATTCGTATTCTATCCTACAGTTTTTTGCATTAGTGTATTTGCCATATGAATTTCGTTTTTGATATTCCTGTGCTACATAGCATTGAAATTGATACTTCCCTCTCCTTCATAATAAAATAGCAGCAGTTTTTGAGCGAGGTTTTTAAAGATCCTCAGCATGAGCCATGACAAAATGAGTAATACTATTTAAACAGCCTTTTCAGTGAATGCTACATGTTACACTTTAGCCCTGTTCGTTCAGCTGTCACCAAGCTGTCAGTGATCTTGTCCAAGATCCTGCCACACAAATTCCATTGATTGTGCTATTCTATATAGATGGAATTCACATGTCCAGCTCCCAGACACAGTCACCAACCACTGTACAAACATACCTTACACAGTATTCAATGTGATCTGTACCACCAGTATTTATTGATGGATCCATCAGTATCAGTGGATTTCTATGTATGCTTATAGCTCTAATCATGATTTAGTGCAGGTCACAGTCAAATTGTAGAAATTACTTTCATACATCCATGTCCTTCACAAATACATATCCAATCAGTTTTCATGCTAAGACATTTGTGTAAGCCCACTGACATTCATTTTTTAGTTTTGTCTAATTGCCTTGAACATTTTCTTCTTCCACATTTATACTTGTTATTGCCAGTGGCTGATCATGGGCATGTGATTTGAGCAAAGCAATACCTGGATGTACAACTACAATGTTAGCTGTGTGTGTTATTTATAGGAGTATTTTTAGAAAATCTCATTGGTCCTGGAACTTATTCTATGTATGTGTGGAAGAGTGATTAGAGCAGTTGCTTCAAGGATCAGGTACGTCAGTGTGCAATTTTGCTTAGTAAGTTGAGCTCCACATATGGTCCTGTTGATCAATCTATTTCATTTGACTTTGGCTATATTTAGACTGCTTAAATAATGACAGGTCACCATAGTTCTATGTGTAAATGCAGTTCAGTACCCATTTAAACTGTGTTGCTATGCACTATATAAGCACATAGCAACCTATTTATGGTGTAAAGATGACTATTGTAACATAGCCACCATAAACAGTGCAAGAACTGTATATCAGTAAATATTGAGATCCATTGCTATACTACACATTCAATTAATATCATGATTTATGATGTCACACTTGTAGCATTTGCCTCCAGTTGTTAAAAAATGTCATATAAGACATGAGCCTGAGACACTGTTTCAAGATAAATTCGAAATAATTGTATTTCCTAAGTTACAAAAAGCTGCAAATTGAGCAGTCTGTCTGAAGTGTAGTTAAAAAAAGAACGCTTGTCTCACCTAAGTAACGCATGTCTGGGCTCTGGAAGCTTGGGTAATCTTGTCAGTTGTAGTAGCGCTTCTTGTGAATAGGGGCCCGAGACCCGAATTACGGCTACACCACATTTACCCTGCCCCGAAGACAACGCAAAAATTGTATCTGAAGATAATGTTGAGAAACACTGTTTTAAACGGAGTGATTTCCTTGCGAAGGAACAGAGTAGACTATTAGAAAGCATTGTTCCATACCATTTTTATAAAAATATCTGTGATAAAGCCAAAATAAACACAAAATGATGACCAAAATAAAAACATAACCTAACTCAACTAGTGTCCAAGGCCACGACCACAGAACAGATAACACAGCCACGACACAACACTGAGGCACAGTACCATAATTCATAAAAATGATAGATGGCAGTAATAGTACTCTCTACGATACTTCTTTTTTTAATGGTAACAATAGAAATGCACACTATCATTGAAATCCTTGTTTCTATTTTATGTCTCTACATTGGAGCCTTTATCTATTTCAATCCTATTACATGCAAAGATGTGGGTACGATATTTTGCAGGAGAAAAAATGGTGGTTAGTCACTTCTAGTGCGTCAATGCAAAATTTTCGTGGCTGACTGTACTCTGTAGATTAGTCTCAGAATGTCAGAATTGAGAAACTATTGGGAAAATGGTGCACGTTGTTTTTTCAATCACTGCTGACTGATGTCATGTTAATGGCAAAATTGGATAAATATATGTTTATTTTGTAAATCTGTGAAACGACAAACATATTTTGTTGGTGAGTGGAAATTGTTCATGATATTCAACTAAAAAAAAGCTTTTTCACGCCTGTCACGGATATTTTCATAAATATAGCCGAAATATTGGTCCCTTGAAAAATTCCGTAACGTTGTCGTAATCGATAAGATGTCTGCTCCTAAGATGTCCCAAGTTCGTGTCCATCTACCTACCAATTTATTTTAGCTGCTTTATTTGATTTTTTATCGTTTATCTTTGATTACTTACTATTTATTGTTTATCCTTAAGTTGATTTTTAGGAAGGATTTCCAGAGGGTTCAGTAATAAACTATATAATTGTGATCATGTATTCTTTTTGATAAAAATAGGTACCTATTTTTGTATAAATTAGGAAGATAAAGACTTTTCCTAAGTTTTCTATCAGTTCTTGTAATACTGGATTGGTTTTTTTAAAATTATTTTCATACAGAGCATATGCAAAAGTATTATGTTGAGTTCATTGATATGTTTTGAGGTTTTTTATTTTTTCGGAATACTCCAAAATACTTTTTCATTCATAATCAGAAGAAAGGTACAATAGATGGAATCAGTCTCATCTTTATTTTACAAAAACACTTGATCTAGTCACTTTCATAAACTATAATATTCACTAAATGCTAATTATTCATCCTTTCCCAGTAGCTCATTTTGTTTAGTTTTTAGAATTGTTTCTGCTTTCTCAATATAAGTATCAGCTAATGCTATAATCTGATTTTCCACAGTCCTGACTAAATCTTCAGATACTCCTTCCTTCTTTTTAATCTGCTTCACTTGTTTAATTTGAACATCCCTTATGGCATCCTTACATTTCACAAACAACTGTTTGGCTGCTTTTGCTAGAGATTCTCTGTACTCTTTAGTCACCTGTGAAATAGATAATTTTTTTCCATGAATTTCAAATTATTTTATATTCAGTTAGAAATGTGTTGGTAATAGTTAACTACAGTTCTGCACTTAAGTATTAATAATAAATTTAAACAGCTGTAAAAGTCATTCTATTCAACCAAAACTGATTTGGTCATTTTTATATGTTTTCAATCATGGGCACCTACAGAGGACACCACAAGCCTCTCTGAGAATGTGGTAGCCCTTTGAAATCTAGATATTAAGCATAGTTTTATAGTGTACAATATAATTGAAAATTTGTTTGGCCTGGCTCTCCACAAACTGTTGATAACTAATAAACTTTCACAATATACAAAAAGTCCCCTCCACAACCACTGTATCTAGATCAACAAATATTTTGACATTTTTTTTATCAGCCAACATTATATTATCTTACTACCTTTGGAATTGGTACAAAAAGAGTAGTTCCATCTTGCTGTACATTTAAATTCATCCCAGATTTTTCAATAGCTTTCAGTGCTGCAGGAATTGCTTGTGGGAATGTGGACATATTGATGACAAGTGTTTTTGGATTTTTTCTGACAATCTGGGCCAGTTCTTGCAATGTATGTTCTTTACCATCTAGGTGAATGGGTAATTGTTCAACAGAACCTAAAGTAAAACAAAAAAATTGCCTAAATATCCCTCATATAAGTGATTTAAATTTTGTTGAGTGCTATTGGATTATGAACAGATTCACTGCTTTTTAGATCTTAGTGAATTTAAAATAACAAAACCACATTTTTTATAGATTGCACCTTACAACTGTAACTGCCAATATAATCATATTTACAGTTACTGTAATATTGAATTGCTGGTGATACTTAGGCCCGTATCGTCAGTCGTCCCTACAATTGTAGGGCGCCTTTATGGCCTCCTTGATTGTCATAGTTTTCTATTTCTCCGTGTCAGAACTCTATTTTGAGGTTATGTCACAAACATCTATTTGCGTCAAATTGTGCTTGCTTTTGAGTTATATCATGTTTTATCAGCCTGAAATTTCCTACAATTTAAAAAGAAAACATATCTTCACAATAGGAGAGCGCTGACGCTGACATGGTACAAGTGTAATCTAGACATTTTTGAAGGAGAGAAAGGAGTATGACAATCAAGGAGGCCATAAACGCGCCCTACAATTGTAGGGACGACTGACGATACGGGCCTTAGACAGGGATAATGCAGAGGTTTTTCTGTAGGGTAAACAAGTGCAAAAACTGCTGGCAAGCTTTACAGTAGAGAGCTTATTGTATCCATAATTAAATTAGATTATATATTATCATGCTACACCACATCTATCTAGCTTGTCAGGGAAAAACTGTTCAGTTCCAAGATTCTCTTAACTTTATGAAAGTATGAATGTCAGAGTTATGTTGTTATAATTTGGAAAATATGAAGGTACCTGTAGTTGACCTGAGAGATAAATGTGCAACAAAATCCTTTTGTAGGTTCTCTACTGCTTTTTCCATATTCTTTTTGATATTTTCAACATCTACCACTTGACCCATTAGTCTTTCATCTATCTTCACTGTAGGTTTGTGTTTTGCTTTTGCATTCTTTTTGCTGCTGTAGTATCTGTATACATCTATTTGAGGTAAATTTGGATTTGGCACACATGTTTTTTGATTTATTCTGTGTGTGCTCACAACAACAGAAGTATTCAAACTAGTAAATGACCTGCAAACCACAGGAAGGAATCTTGTTATAGTACTTCGCGTACCGAACATATTTATCTAATCAATGCGTCAATATCTTTTGCAAGTGTAGTTCAACTTTGAACTAGTATAAACATAGTATTTGAAGTGAGATTAACTATGCTGGTCTTTTAATGCCGACATGGGAGTAAATCTTCAGAAAAAATTGGATGAGTTTTATTAATATTTATCTTGTTGTTATACGTTTTTGGTACGGTATGTCACACGTGAGAATGAGTGAGGTTATGTTTTTTTTATCCGAAGTCTGAAGCTATGCCAAAATGACATTTATTTTCTGTCTTGGTAGGAGTGGGGATGGGGAGTGGTGGGAGAACTGTTAGTGATGATTATTCATCGATTATTCGAATAGTCTGTTTGTAGAGAAATGTGCTAAGTATATAAAATTGTAAAATCGAAATTATTTTCCTTATTGGCAACTGAAACTGAAATATGAGAAAGGTGAATAGGATTCCCAATAAGTTCTTCAGAAATAGGCGCTGATTGAACATGATCGATGTTTAGCTCAAATATTGTTTCTTTTAGCTACGATCGAACAGAAAAGCATATTTTTGCCGAGATTTTTCGGGAGATATGTACCACCTACCGGTTTTCTATGCCCGAGGCCCATCGAGGCTACACGATCCAATAAATTGAACAATTTATTAACCTTGAAGAAGAAGTATAAATATTGTCAATTTTGTCACTACAATAAATTCATGAATAAATTGCCAGATAGCTAAGCGGCAACGAAACTGCCGGTGTGAAAATTGTACGGCGAATTAACTTTTAATTTGAATTCTACTTGGAAGCTACTAAGCAACTCAACATTTTTTATATTAGCCGGCCATGGATCAAAATTTGTATGATCTCGGGCGAGGTAAAGTCTTCAGCGCTTCGCACATTTTTATTGAAAGGGGAAAGCTTAATGTAACTATTGAAACTTATCCTGTGGTTTCCATGTTCATAGAATTCCATTATATCTGGCTGAACCAAACCGCATACAATATATTTAAATTTCTGTTTAATGTCCGACATTTCGCTCACCACTGATGTGGCCTTTTTACTCATGATCATCCAGATACGATCTTGCTATTTAACCAACTTTCTTCTCAGAGATAAAAATTTCAGACCCGGATCAGTCAGCCTCACAAAACTATGCAACCAATAATGCGTAGTTTAGTTGTGTGACTCCTCCTTAGATGGACGTTCACAACGATCCTAGTGAGCAAACGTGGAATGACTGCGCCCTAAAAACTACCTAGTCTGCAAGTTGACATCTTATAGGTTTTATTGAAGTTTTATAGGTTTTTTCATGATACCCGTGCGGGTCTCTGCTGGTTTTGCGCGATGCCATCTTATAATTGCAATGATGGCTTCGTGCAATCTCAGCAATGTGAAAAGGAAAAAGCAAATGAAATGTCACTTGGAAAACGTAAACAAAACATATTGTCACCAAATTTGTCATTTGTTCAGTGGTGGCCGAAACGTCGTGCACTAAACAAAAATTTAAACATAATGCGTTTATAGACACTCTCAAGCAGAAAAGCTCGACAGTGTTTTGCACAGTCCCACCACGGTTATGTTTGCAGCATTTCTTCATGATATCATTGCACAAGGGTTTCATACGAAAGGTATTAGCCATCTACTCTCCGTCGACCACATACATACGTTCGCGCCCATGTAATGTACAACCGAGCAGAAACATACTGTTGGTTCCTTGGTCTGTGTTTGTCCTCTTCCTTGCTCAGCACCATTCGTTTGACTTGGTTGGGTGTCAACCCGTATACCCTCGCTTACATGCCTGGCAAAATTGGCAACAATGAGCCTCTCGCCGAGCGTCAAGTCCAGCTGTCCAGCTTGGCACCTTGACCTCTAATTTCTCGCCGAAGATAACAACCGCCAACTTTACACCCATAAACTTGAGCAACATTCTCCTGGAACGGGATTCGATCGCACGTTTTCCATTAGAACAATACTTCAAGCAATTAATATTTCAGTTTCAACAATTTTACTTTAAAAAAATCAAGTTTAGTATAAATCTGTATTGTTTATTATGTAAGATTATCTGATTTGTTCCTGCAACCCATAACTTTCTATTAGTTTAATCATTCTAATAATGTTAACAAATTTTCCAGAAATAATTGTAATGTTTGGTTTTATTGATGCATGATGTTTAGGGGAAACAGGTGAATTTTTATGGGGAAACTTTTTACTCAAAAACGCGTTTTTTAGGATTCAGTTGAAAAACTTTGTATGATTGAAAACACTCCGAATAAGATTTTTAGGTACTTAAGAAACCTATACAATAAGACCACACATAAAGAGATCCCAAAAGCTGTGGCCAAAAACCTAGACAAAATACAGGTTTTGTCACTTGTTAGTAAAGCGACAATAATCTAATGCAGACACTTGGAATCCCTTAGATCTGTAGTAGATACTTGCAAATAACCCCAAAAGAGTTAATCCGACAAGTACGACGATATTCGAAAAACATATCACCGAGTTTATACACATGTTAAAACAAAGCATAGGTGTCTACGTCTTTTTGTTGCAAAGAAAAATTCTTTTCGTTAAAATTTTTTAATACTTTTGTTTATGCATATTTAGATATGAAACACGCGTTCAATTGTGAGTCTTGAAGTTTATTAAAAAATAATTACATACGAGATGCATAGAATTGGTTGAAAAGTTATCACGTAAAATGAAGCCACAATTATGGTTCAAACTGCGTTAACCGAGTATATATGACGTGCTCAGAATGATGGCTTTATCGAATAAGTGGGTCAAGTAATACATATTCTTTTTTTAAAAATATAATTTTGTTTTTTTTTTCTAAAGTTTCCAATATAGTATACTTTTTGAAATAGATATGAAAAAACAAGTAATCTTTGCGGATACGAACTCCAATAAACATTATTATTATTATTATTGGTGTTGTTAGTTTCCTCTCGTCTCTGGACGATTTTCAGGAGTAAACACGGAGCTCGACAGGAGCTCCGAGATATTTACCCTAGCACTTTCCTTAGGATATGTGTGGTACCCAACAATGCAATCTTTTGGATTTCAGTTTCCCTGGGCCGACCTGGTAACATTTGAAGGTAGTTGTTTAGACCTATTTTAATTGTTCCCAGGGCGCCCACTACTATGGGTATAGTTTTAGCTCTAACATGCCACATTCTACTGATCTCTATCTCTAGGTCTTTATATTTTGAGATCTTCTCAGATTATTTCAACAGCGCGTTTGAATCATCAGGTACTGCGATATCTAGCAGAAGGCAGGTCTTTTTTGTTTGTTGTGAATCACAATATCAGGCCGATTTGCTCGGATTGTTCGATCGGTGATAATAGGCACGTCCCACATGACAGTGGTGTCATTAACACTTAGTACTCTTTCTGGAACGTGCTCGTAGTACTTGCTAGCCACGGGCAACAGTAAATCTTTACATATGGTCTAGTGGACATAGCTAGCGACGTTTTTATGCCTGTGCGAGTACTCGCTGGGCGCCAGCACCTTGCAACCTGCTATTACGTGACTGATATGCTCCTCTGCGTGACCACATACTCTGCACTTGCTGTCTGTTGTCTGCTTCAAGATGTTTGTTGTATAATACCGTGTTTTTAGTACCTGGTCTTGTGCTGCAACTAAAAGACTGTCAGTCTCGCCCTTTAGTCCAGAGCTCTGTAACCACGACATTGTCGCCTGTTTGTCTATGGATGGGCTTATCAAGGTTTCTGAAAAATTGACCGTGTAGAGGCTTGTTTCTCAAGACTTGCTTTTTCTGGATTTCAGAGTTACGGCGCATCATGTCTTTTATGTTTTGTCCGAACACATCATAGTTGAGATACTTAGATTTGATTTGTATAGCTTCCCTGTGAAGCGTGTATTTCAGTTTTTCCTCATCATGATGCCTAACAGCTTTCAGAAGTTTATCGTTACTGGATCTTATATATTCGCTCAGCTGAACTATCTCCGAGTTGAAAGCAGACTCAAGCTCTATCAGTCCTCTCCCGCCTTCACGCCTTCTGATATACAACCTCTGAACATCAGCTTTAGGATGATGAATTTTGCCCATGGTAAGGATCTTTCGCGTTTTCCGATCGATTTTCTCAACGTCTGATCTCAGCCATTCAACTATCCCAAAACTATATGTTACCACAGGTACAGCTAGTAAGTTGATAGCAGAAAACTTATTTTTAGAGCTTAACTCGGTCTTCAGGATTTGGCGAACTCTTCGATAGTACTCTTTAGTTACTCTGCTCTTCATCCTTTCATTATCAATCCCATCTTTCTCCTGAATACCAAGTTACTTGTACGATTCTCCTATGTCTAAGTTTCTTATGAATGTATCGCCATTTAGCCTGATGTTCTGGCCACCATTTTTCCTCTGCTGTATATTACGGCGGCACATTTATCTAAACCAAATTCCATTTTTATGGTATCACTGAACTCCTTGACAAGAGTGAAAGCTCGGTTTAGTTGTGCCTCATCCTTGGCGAATATCTTCAGATCATCCATTATTTTTTTTCATGCTCATAGTTCTTACGTATGGTGGTGTACTATCTTTGAGGGGGAGTTCACCCCAACCAAGGATAGTTTTTACAGAGACAGTGCTTTTCTCGAGAAATATGACACGTTTGTAAAATAACGGCTTTTTGGAATAGTATGTGAAGGCCGTTTGGAAGGTCCAAGGTCTTTAAGCTTGAGGAGACTTGTTTGATAACATCCCCTTCCACAGAGATAACAATGGGTACAATCTGCACTTCCCTTAGCTTCCAAATCCTCTTAATTTCAATCGCCAGGTTCTGGTATTTAACAGATTTTTCACGCTCTACCTTGAGGATGTTGTGTGTAAGCGCAATTCCAACCTCAATTATCTGTGCATATTGGTTGCTTTTGTCTATCAGGACAATATCAAGACGGTTAAAGTCTACAGTTTTGTCGGTTAGAAATGGCCGATCCCAATAGAGTATTACATCCTTTGATTCCAGAACTGGCTCAGGCGTGTACTTGTAATATGGCGGAGGAGATTGTACCAAGTTAAGTTCACGAGCTAGCTGTGAATGGATTATTTTTGCAACCTGGTTGTGTCTTCCCAAATAATCGCCAGCTGCCAACGCAGGGCAAGCACCAGTAATATGTTCGATGGTTTCGCCCGCCTGGTTGCACTTCCTACATTCATCTGGGACGTTGGATTTGAGAATATGTTTTTCATAGTTTTTTGTTTTTATTACTTTGTCCTGGATGGCAGTTATGAATCCTTCCGTTGTTGGATGGAGATATCCCTTTCTCAAATAGGTGAATGACAAAGCTTTATCTGTGTTGTCACCTCTCAGTTGGCATGGGTAACGGCCATGGAGAATTTTCTCCTCCCAGCATGCTCTCCTCCTAGTATTCGATTCCGTGGCCGTATTTGCTTGAGGTTGCCGAAAGCTCAAAGGGTTAAATGAGTCATCTGCCTCCACTACAGCAGCTATCTTAGGACTTAGATGGTTATTAAAGTAATTTTGTAATTTGGCTACCTGAGACTTGCAGAGTTGTGTTATGTTGAGCAATCCGCGGCCCCCTTGTGCGCGAGGGAGGTACAGCCGTTCGGTTGATGCCTTTGGGTGGTGACAATGGAACTTTGTGAGCTTTACACGAGTGATTCTGTCTAGCTCTTCAAGGTCTGTATTACTCCATTTCACAATACCGTACGAATATGTAAGTGAACTTATTGCCCAACTGTTGATTGCTTTGAAAAGATTCTGCGAGTTTAATTTGGTGTTGAGTAGTTTTGTAAGCCGACGGATGTACTTTTCTCTATAGATTGACTTCATGGTAGAATGACACACACCCCTACTTTGGTGCATCCCCAGGTACTTATACGGTTGGTCTTCTGCTAGAGGCGCGATTTTTTCTAAATTTTCTTCCAAAAGAGTTAGGTTACCTTTCCTTATAGTGACAGTGGCTCACTTATCTAACCCAAATTTCATTCCTATATCATTGCTGAATATACTTGTCGTTCGCACTAGAAAAGCAAGATGTTGCCTTGACTCGGCGTATAGTTTGAGGTCATCCATATATAGCAGATGGTTGAATCTGGTAGGCTCACTCACATCGAGCCTATACCTATACAGAACCACATCGGGCTGAGAGAATCACCCTGGAATATGCCTCTGCGTATGCGCACGTCTCCTATGTCCTCCGAATTAACTCTTAAAGAGGTTCCCCAGGTCATCATCAGATGGGACAATAGGTTTATGATGCGGATGTCTACTTTATATATACTAAGTGACATATAAATCCGAACACCCAGTTTAAATCGTTTTATTTTAATAAAATTTTGTATAAGTACTTAATGAAGCATAATAAGTAAATGATAAAAATTTCAAAATGATTGCACTGCTTTAAAGCCCTTTGACCTTTAATAATGTGTGGATGCACCCTGATGTGCTACGCATGCTCCAACGCGCCTAGGCATGCTTCTAATCAGGTGGTCAATGTCCTCCTGTGGTATCTCATTCCAGGCAACCACCAACTCCTCTCGAAGTGCTTCTAGAGTCTGAGGAGGACGTTGCAAATTGAGCAATTTCCTACCCATCATATCCCACACGTGCTCAATTGGGGATAAGTCTGGAGATCTTGGTGGCCATGGTAACAATGTGACATCATTATGTTGAAAGAAGTCTATTGTGACTCTTGCAACATGTGGTCGGGCATTATCTTGTTGGACAGTTGGATCTGCCAGGGTGTCAAGATAGGGTAAAAGATGGGGTTCTAGAACTTCGTGGATATAACGCTGCGCGTTCATGTTACCTCTGATGAAGATTAAAGGTGACCTGTAACCATAATCTATAGCACCCCAAACCATAACTCCAACAGTGTGATGAACATGTCTTTCAACAAAAAACTGTGGATTCCTCCTTTCACCTCGTCGCCTTCTAACCCTTACACGATTTGTATGGGTACCACCGAGACGGTGTTGCCATTTATACTACCTGTGATGTTCCGGCTGTGTAATAGTCGTGTATATCTAAATTTGAGACACTTTCTCAATGAAAATTTCCTCAATATGTGAATACGCAATGACCAACATTTAGTACTTAATACTGACCTGGAAGTAAGTTCTTATCGATCTTTATCAAGCAGCCGGTCGATAAGATCACCTTTTTCTAAATGTAAGACTGTTGCGGCACATATAGACTTATAGTAAGTTAAAAAAATAACACACCATAAAGTCTCGAGCGTTGCACTCCAATATTAACAAAATCGTTATCTCCAGCCTTTTCAAAATCGTCTGCTCAAGTGTGCTTTTTCCAAATATGTCAACGAAATTAAAAAAATCATATATACAGGGTGTTAGTTTTGCCACAAAAATTGATTTACCCATTTTATGTTTTAAATACCCCCTTGAATAACTTGCTATGATAAAATCAAACATTACATTTATTTCTCGTCTAATATGATTAGACAAATCTGACGATCAATTTGAGGCGATGTTTTTATACATGTCAAAAAAAGTCAGTACATAGATAAATAGATGCGGTTACTAAGTATCGCGAAAACTGGTCATAGTGACTCGAAATTGCCCAGGTTTTTCGGTGGTATTTTCAGGAGGGAGATAGTGAACCCGAATCGGACGGCATTCAAGAACCGATGAAAATATCGACAGAATCCGGGATCTTGTGCGTACAGATTGTCGTCAGGATGATCGGGGAAGATTTAAATTTGACTCACACCACCGTTCATCAGATCAAGAACCACTGCGTGTTGCATTACGATAATGCTGTGGCTCGCCACCCTCCTTATTCGCCTGACTTGAGTCCTTGCAACTCTTCCCGAAGTTACAAAATCGTCGAATGAAAAATCAAAAAACACTCAATTTACAGACCTCATATAAAAGTAACTCCTGATGTTGTACCGCAACCCGCCAAAAACCGTGAAACGACCTATACTCATAGGTCATGGAACATATGACAGTAGTGCCGGAAATTCTTAGCTTTATGCGTGGAAACTAAACTACCCGACCCGTTTGTTCTTCATTTTTTTAATTTATGATTTTTCATTTATTTTTTGTATTCACTACTTGTATTTCTTACAGAAGAAATGAGCAAAAACGCAAGTTCAGAGAAGAAAAGCTCTTCACCGGCTGGCACTAAAAAGCAGAATGTTATTATATTCAAACCTGATGAAATTGCAAAGTTCGGTTTGTTCGGAGACAATCTAGTTGCTGGGAATACTAAAACAACCAATCCCGGCAGATCGAGCACACCTGAAGAAAGTGAACCTAGCACAAGCCGCCATAATGCTTCTATCAGTCCAAAAATGAAAAGGGGAAAATCAACACGTGAGAATATAAAGGCCCTAAGTGTATCGGGCGATACTTCAGTATCAACGGATACCCAGAGTGGTATTGACGTTAAACGCAAGATAGGCGACATACTGAAAAAAACATTTCAGGAAATGAAAAAGTTCGAGCCAGATAAATTTCAACCTAAGAATACCTCATCCGTCAGTGGTACTAAAGTTTCGTTGGATTGTGACAAAAAAAGTGAGATAGTTTCATTACTTAAACATGCTAAAAATAAGAAAGAAGCAGGTATAGAAACAGAGAGCATTGAAGCGGGCGTATCTGATAGTTCAAAAAAAGTTAAAGTTATAGGAATTACTTCGGTGAAGTATAGTGATGAAGAGATTCAAAGTATCTTAAAAGGAAGCGGAAATTCGAATCCCAAAAGTAACACAGTTGTGCAATCTGACGATTCGACTGCGAGTAAGTTAACAAATAAGGTTGTTGCTAGTGAACTTCCTACCCAAAAAACTTCACCAACAAAAAGCTCTCAGTTTGATAGTAAAGGTAATACAGTAGGGAGTAAATATAAGCACGGACATGTTGATGAGATCATTGATTTGGAAGAAAAAATTATTCCCGCTAAAAAGGCGCCTCGTGAACATGTTGACGCCAAGGCTTTGGTAGCAAATAAGGATTTAGATAGGATAAATATTGATAAGAATGCAAGTATAGCTGATACATCGGAACTTTTGGACTCAGAAGGGTCTAAGTTAGAATCTATAACATCTACAACTATTGAAAAAAAAGTCAGTGAAACTCAGAGTGTGGTTGATTTCAATAATCCAGCTGATTTTGATTATTATATCATACAGTTCCCACCCAGTGATGACACCAAATCAACATGTGATAAAGATAAAACTTGTAATACTGAAGTTAAAGCAGTTGAACAAGAGTCTGTTGCAGAAACAACTGAGGAGATACAGAAAGAGTTGATAGATGACGAAACTAAGCCCGCAAAGAAGCTGGAAGAGATCGACATAGAAGACGAGCTATCTTATTCCGTACTTACAATGGAGAAATCTGAGGATCCTAATGAACCAGAAGATGAGGTACCAAAAACAAAAAAGCTAGCTGGTCAGGAACTAACTGATCCTGATGTAACAAGTGAAAAAGTAGTGAAAGTAATAAACGTGGAGAAACACCCAGAGCCTGTGGGTGATGAATCCATTTTCAAAGTAAATGTGGTTCTTGAGGTTCCTAAGCCAGAGGTAGTTGATACTGTCCAATTCTGCCCCAGGAAGAGGAAGCAGCAGATAGATTGTAAAGTGGATGAGGAAGAACCATTTGAGAAGACCAATAAACATAGAACTAAAAAAAATAGAATCGAAGATGATGAATGTATGGTGGATTCAAGTAAATTCAAGTGCATTAAACAGTATGGGGTAAAGCCGCATTTGACGAATCAGAATCCAATTGCAGATATGGCTGGCGAGACGGATTTATTGGAATTGAACGATTTGGCGTCAGTCGTGCGCATTGAGAATGACGAAAGTTTAGAAGAAGCTGCTGAAGAAGTACAGCCAATGGATTCACAGGCAAGATAATATTTTGTTTTTTAATGTTTATGACTAGTATTGTTTGGCTTTTTCTAACTATCACCAGCACAAAACCTTCATAAAATATATAATCTGACGGATACCTGCGCCCACGAGAGCATACTACTATATTTATATATATATATATATACAGGGTGACTTCGAAGTTGAGTCATTTATTTTAACAGTGAGTAGATCTGATCCAAAGAAATGATTTTTTCCTTTAACATTTTTCTGGTAAAATTAAAGTAACAAAGTTATAGCCCTTTAGAAGTTTGAGTACCGCCCTGTCTCAATAATAATATTATGTGCTCGTGTTTGGCAACAACGGATATAATCCGTTTTATCGGTTCAGCGCATCGGAAACAAAAAAGCGAAAGAATTTGAAACGATGTTTTTACTACAATTATTATTCAGTTGTATACAGTCAGTGTCAGTCGGTAACGCGTGAGTGAATAGTGGTGTCTGTTGCGTGGCTCAAACGAAATCAAAAATGGCACATGTTTACGAAAATGCTGAACTTGTGGACATGATTCTTATTTACGCGGCATCACGGATTTATGCGGATCGGTTTCCCAATCGAGTGCAACCAACCCCTCGTGCCTTTTTTAATGTAGTACAACGGGCTCGTGAATCAGTTGACTTAAGACCTCACAGGGGAGGACATGCCGGTGCTCCAAGACCTCACGATCAAATACAGGTTCGCACTGAAATACTTGTCGGGAGGATACTTTATAAAACAAGGTAACATTTTTTTAATTTTTTTTTATTTTTACACACATATTTTGGTTTATCTTCCTTCTACAATCATTATCTGAAAATTAATGACTCAACTTCAAAGTCACCCTGTATATATATATATACTTAAATTTCTTTGGGTTGTTCTCCTAACAGTTAAGGCAATTAACTATGAATACTATATACAGGGTGACTTTGAAGTTGAGTCATTAATTTTCAGATAATGATTGTAGAAGGAAGATAAACCAAAATATGTGTGTAAAAATAATAAAAAAAAAATGTTTACCTTGTTTTATAAAGTATCCTCCCGACAAGTATTTCAGTGCGGACCTGTATTTGATCGTGAGGTCTTGGAGCACCGGCATGCCCTCCCCTGTGAGGTCTTAAGTCACCTGATTCACGATCCCGTTGTACTACATTAACAAAGGTACAAGGGGTTGGTTGCACTCGATTGGGAAACCGATCCGCATAAACATGTGCCATTTGTTATTTCGTTTGAGCCACGCAGCAAACACCACTATTCACTCACGCGTTACCGACTGACACATTGACTGAATAAAAACATCGTGATCAGCGTTTCAAATTCTTTCGCTTTTTTGTTTCCGATGCGATGAACCGATAAGGCGGAGTATATCCGTTGTTGCCAAACGCGAGCACATAATATTATTATTGAGACAGGGCGGTACTCAAACTTCTAAAGGGCTATAACTTTGTTACTTTAATTTTACCACAAAAATGTTAAAGGAAAAAAAACATTTCTTTTGATCAGATCTACTCACTGTTAAAATAAATGACTCAACGAAGTCAATCATATATATATATATGCATTTTGAAACAGTGCTCTAGATTAAAGGACATTCAAATCAAATCGTGGATTTTTTTCATTGCAGTGCAAAACTCTATTTAATAATAGAACGGCAATGGTTCACGAGATAATCTTAGACCTATATTTCTAAATACATACTCTTTCTTGCATAACCAGGGTTCCACGCCAGTCATCGCAACTTTACGTGAGCTTGCGTGATAGCGTGTTAGTTCACATGACGAGACAATACTGGGTTAGTGTCTTTCGATCTGTTTTTTCTAGACGCTTCTTAATCCAACTGTGCAAGGACTTTTATTATTTATTTCCTTTAGCAAGTAACTACGGATGAGGTTAAGCCCGCACCTAAAAAGCGCGGGAGACCACGGCGAAAACAGCTTTATATGGATGAAGATGTTCCAGCCACTGTGTTTTGCCCAATCGAATCATCAAAAAGCGGCAGAAAGAGACGAAAGATCAATTATTTCAATCTTGAGAATAGTTTATATGGAGAGATGGAAGAGAACTCCTCTGGAATCGGTAAAAAGAAGGGTCGACCAAGAAAAGTCAAAACCGAAGATGAACTGACTGTATTGCAAACTGCCACCGATGAATCTTTTGGCGAGAGCAGTGCTGACGTGAGTCTGGCAGAGATCGTAGAAAGTAAAACTTCCGTCAAACAGAATCCTGAGGAACCGACTGGTGAGGTCAGTATTTAAATTAATGATGACCGAGATTCACTTTGAAGTGTTATCAGTCTGTAATATTTGAGGATATTTGTTTCTGCACTTCACCCATACCAGTGACAAATGAATATGTTTAACTTGCTTGTTTTGAGGAATTTTGAAAATCAATTTTAGTCTTCGCGCAGTACGTATCTTCGTTAGTAATATTTGAATAAATACCATAAGAATGTAGAAACTGTCTTCAGCGATATTGCATACAAGTCAAAGATGTGTGTATTTTGTTTGGATGACGGGTAGCAATACCACGATACAGTTCCGCCACTTTTGCGTGTAAGATAGTCTTAACAAGTTAAAACAAACCGCATTGGACAGGTCTGTGATTTATTTTCTCTTTTTTGACCCATCTCATTTTTACGCTTGTTAGGATACTAGCGAACCAGGAGCGAACAAAGAGGAGTTCTTAAGCCTGGACAAAGTAAGAAAATATAGAAGAACTGGAAAAACCGTAGAAATGGTCAATTCAATTTTTACTGCTGCAATGAATACCCTTAATGAGACACAAAATTTGGACACCTCAGTCGATGGCCAAAAAGAACAGTAAGTTGTAGGAAGGGTCTTTATAATACTTGCTTTTAGGCATGAGATAACGCAAAGCGCCATATATCGCACCAGAATCGACCATTGTGGATCGCGCATCGCTACTATTAGTTGGAACTGTCATGCATCTCAGTTCGAGTTTGATAACCGTGCCGCTAGATGGCTGATGATTCTGACTGAAAGTAGATGTGGTCTACTTGCCATTGCAAGCATTTTGTTTAATACTTGCTTTCCATTTGACGTAGATTTTTATTTGACTTATTTGACAATATATGTCGCCTCAAATATTTTATTGTTGCAGTATGTGTACTATAGTTTTTTAAGTATATACGTTATGAAATTGATTCAATAAGGAGATCCTAACCATTTTAGAGACCAGAATATCTCATCAGATGATACTAGAGGCTTCTGTTTCAATTTTTGCTTCTGTTATTGTTTGTTAAGTTGTAAAATGTTATCCAATAAACCATTCAATTTGTTGTATTACACATTTCTTTGTTTTTATTTATTCTCAATAAGGCGAATATAATATAGTGGTGGAGATGCAAGCGAAGAAATGTACTAAAAGGAATGACTTATTTTGACGGAGGGTCAAATTGTGATGGTGGATTTTAAATTCTTCTAAGGCTGAAACTAGATAATATATCCAGTTTCCTTTGACAAGCACAGATTACATATTGAATTCAAGTTAGAGTTTTGGAATTATGGGAATTAAAAAAATCTAATTTGGTAATTGTGTCTCGAACTGTGTCAAGCTACAAAATAAATACTGAATACAATAAATGACAATTTTAGGGCTTCAGTGAACATGGTGAAAAGGATAAAGTTAAAGGGAAAAAGGTAAGTGATTCAGATAGTGTTTTGAAGTGATATCATTTCAACTCGATGCTTTTTCAGAGACGGAAGGTGTAAAAGAGAAGAGACCTTCGAATTGAACGAGAAAAACGAGATAACTTGTGTTGTTTGCCAAGAGAATGTTTTTTACGATAAATGGGAAGAGCATAATTCTGAAATGCATTATGATTTATCTTGGAGAGCTGGAGAAAATATTCTATTGGTAAATTATGCATTTATTTTATCCATAGTGTTTATCTAAGTTTATATGCAACATTTTCCTGAAAATTATTTTCGCTTTTGCTTGCTACTACTGTTGTCTACATTACGTTTCCAGTAGTAGCCCTTTTCTACGTGAAATTAAGATAGTATTGTTTTCAGGATATTGATCTAGACGCTTTCGTGAAAAAGAAAGTAGAACCGTTTTTAAGGAAACTAAAGCAAATAATCTGTGATAAATGTCAGACGCCATTCACTGCTTCGAGTGCATTCATAAAACACAGAGAAGAATGTTACGGTATTTTGGTGAATAATATGGTGATATGTGCTCTATGTAAGGAAGAAATGACTAGGGATAAGTTTTATGCACATAGACAGAAGAAGCACAATAGCTTGGCCTGGAGAGTCGGCGACGTACCTTTGGTAAGTTAGTTTCTAACAAAATATAACGCAATTACAACTTCATACTAAACAGCGTTTTTGTTTGTTTGTTATAGATGGATTTAGCATTAATGATAATGTTACACAGTATATCACAATATTTTATGTCTTCAAGACTACATATTTTTATACAAAATCTCACTACTATTATTTCTGGTTTTCCATGAGATATTTCTTCAATTTACATTTGAACATTCTCATACTGGCACACGTCTTGATATCATTACTTAATTTATTAAATTCGTACAATCCTTTTTGAAATACTGATTTGTTTGTTATATTGCTACTACAATTCTGTAAATTAAAGTCTATACTTCCTCCAGTAGAATAACTATCATACTCTTTGTTCAATTCAATAGAATTTTCTAAATGATTTTGGTAGATGATTTTTTAACTTCAATATGAAAATGAAAACCAAATAGGTCATTAAATGTTTATATAGCCATGTTATATCGTCAGCAACTATTTGAATTTTGCCGTATTGTAAAACATCAGGAATATCGTTGATATACAAATAAATAGTAATGGACCTAATTTTACTAAATCCTGCTTGAAATTTTGTCAGTATGTTGTTTTCTTCAATATATCCAATGATTTGATCATACATGATTCCTTCTAAGAGCTTCTAGACATCTGGCCGTTCATCGATTGGTCGCATGTTTGTATGTGACTCAGAAATTCGAATTTTTTTGAACGGGAGTAACTTTAGAACATTTTTGAGTTGACTTAACAATATTTTCTTATTCCAGGATTTGAATAACCAATACTTTGTTATGTCCGTTCTAAATGCTCGATACAAGGCCAAAAAGCCTCTGTTCTGCTACAAATGTAATACAGCAAAGAAATCTGTGATTGGATATCTATCCCATCAGTCCCAGTGTGGTGTCAATGAGAACGATGCAAAAATTTCTTGTCCCGAGTGCGGCAGAAAAGTTCTTCCTGTCAGTATGCCAGTGCATATCAAGATGGTACACGAAACACCCAAAATGAACAAAGTTACAATAAGTGAAGACGGTCCTGTGCTTGATTATAAGAGGAGGGCAGCGAAAAAGTGAGTTATATGCTTTTATACTGATTTTGTTTTGTATTCTGTATAGGAGGAAGGGTGATCAGCTTGTACGTCCTCAGGGGTCGCTCAAGGCTGGATCGTCACCCACCCCAGACTAGTGTGAAAGGTGGTGATGTGACCCATCGGAGTTTTCCCTCGCATTAGCCATAGGAAGCAAAAATTCTCCTAGATGGAATGTAGTATCGATAACTGGGCAGTCGCCAAACAAGTGGTTGACTGTGTCATTTTCGTGTTCACAACATCTGCATAAGGATTGATGTAGCAAATAATTAGCCATATGTTCTTGAATACTTTGTGGGTATGCTCTTTTAACATAGTTGTAGCGCTACGATGGCTAAAATGCAGAGGGGCTCTCGTGCCAGAATTCTGGTATCAGTAGCCTTTTTTGCCAGCCAGTCAGCTATAATATTACCCTAGAATTCTGAATGACCCTTCATCCAGGCAACCGTTATGTTGTTACTGGTGGAGGCATTCACAAATGCCAAATGGTGGTCTTGTAATGTTCTCGTTGTGAGCTTGTAATAATTAAGAGTCAGTATTGCCTATCTGCTATCCATGCAGATACTAATATTTTTGCTTATAACATTACTGGGCTCAATTTTTGATGTCAGCTAAGATTATGCTAATTCGACCTGCGTCACGTTGACAAATTTATCCATAGACCACTTGCAATTCAATCAGAGGCTTCTGTAGTTTACTTCGCAGCCAGCGTCATAATTTTTTTAGTTCTTAGAAGCTGTGGAAATAATATAGGATCGATCTGATTTTGTTAAGTGTAATCGTGAAAAATTGTGTTGTCTGTGTTCTCTGATAATACTTTATCAGAGACAACAGCAATCTTTCTGTATCAAAAAAGTGCAAGCATTTGTTGATGGAACCAAACCTTATTTGCCTGACAGAAACCTGGCTCAGCCCAAATACACCTGACTATGTTGTTAATTTGCCTGGTTACTATTTGTATAGGGTAGATTCCCCTCGCACGCCGGGGTATTGTGGGGTCTATGTTTATGTACGTACCGAAATTGCTGACAACTTCACAATAACTACTTCCAAGAGCTTCGATGGTATCGACAGTCTCTTTTTGGAACTAACACGGCTAAACTTCAGTTTTGTATTAGCCTGTGTCTACAGACCGCGTCCCTGTATTGGTGATGTTTATTTGTGTAAATTCATTGAAGAACTTCTAACCAAGAATTCAAACATTCTGTTAACTGGTGATTTCAACTTACGTGACATCAGCTGGCCCATGACAACATTACCAGAATGCAACTCCCCTTCTGCCCCTTATATTGATACGATCGACCTGATATTTATCAATGATCCTGACTTTGTTTCCAGTCTAGACTACCTACCTCCTTTTGGCAAGTCGGATCACTGTACTTTATTTACCTCACTTCAATTCTATGTACAAACTCCATTACGTAGACACTTCAAAACTGTGAAGCTATTAAACCACAGTGCTCTCAATCGAGCATTGTCTGAAATATACTGGTCCAACCTGCTTGCACAAGTTAGCACTGAAGATATGTGGGATATATTTTCTCGTCGAATCCAACTGGAAGTCACTAAGCATACCACCACGAAGAACATATTCAGTCACCCAAGAAAGCCTTGGATTAACCATAACCTCTCAAGGATGTTGATGCGTAAAAAAGCGTTATGACAAAGATTCCATAGAAGTAGACTACAACAGGATTGTGTATCTCATCGATCTTTCTCTAACATCCTTTCCAAGAACTTGAAAAACGCCAAGCGCAATTATGAGCAAAATCTTGTATCATCGAAAGATAAGAAGAAGTTGTTTAGATACTTGAGATCCACCCTGAACTCTAAGGTTTCTTCTCCACAAATCCGTGATCCCAATGGCCGAAAAATCTGCCAATCTTCTTGCCGATGCTTTCAGTGAAGATTTTGTGAATGAACCTGATGGTGATGGTACTCTTCCGAACTTATCCAGCCCTCATAGATGCCTAGCGACCATCTGGAACATAGATTTTCAATCTCAGGACATTGAGAGGCACCTTACTAAACTGATAACTTGTTCGTCCCCTGAAAAGGTTGGGATTACTTCTGCCGTTATGAAGTACTGTGCTTATTAGAGGCCGTTCAGCGTCGTGCTACACATATGCCTTATGGCACACGTAAGCCAAGTTATAAAGACCGCCTCGAGTTATATGTATAACCTGCCTGCTTTTGCTGATAGAAGAATGCGAGGAGATCTCATCATCACTTTCAGAGCAGTGCATAATTTGTTTGGTGTGGACATGTCGCATCTGTTTCGTCTGGCAACGAACAATCTCGGAGGCCATAACTTCAAATTGCATGGAACAGTCTTCCATCTTATGTAGTGAACTCGGCATCCATCAACAGTTTCAAAAACAATTATGATAGACACCGCAGTGCTTAACATATTGTTCCCATTCTGTATATGTCTACTTCAGAAGTGCTAAGATTGTCAAATTGTTATGTTTCTTTTGCCTATACACTATTATCTATTATGTGTTTGAGTTTATAGTACTTGTACTCAACTCAAATTTGTTGTTTAATAATAATAATAATAATGTATAACTTAGTAATTACTACTCGGGTTTTGATGTTTCAACGCAAGGTTATCACAGCCCAGGACAAAAGAGTTTGTAGCATTTAAAAATCGGCCCGTGGCAATATAAGTGAAAAACAAAAAATACAAAACGTGTCCAAACTTTGGTTTCGTACGTTTTATGCTTTATAAGTCTTTTTAGTCGTAGTTAATATTTCTTTTTGGAGGGATTTTTGGAATGAAAATGAATACATTTTTTATTTTTTGACGATTTGTAACTTTCTGATTAATTAGGACATTGGCTGCTCGAAAATTTTTGAACTATGCTAGATTCAGATTTCAAGATGTATGTTCTTAAAGATACTTGAAATTTTTTGATAACAAATTTTTTTCAAAATCCTAGTTTTTCAACGTTACTCATATCTCTCAGTCGTTATATATTCTCACAAATACTTGAGGATCTATTACAGGAAAATTAAACCTACTAATGGATATTTTTCAGTGCTATGTCGATGATTACAATGTTCTCAAAAGGAAATATGATAGAAGATGCATCAAAGGTAATAACTGCTTTTATACTCTTTATTTTCCCATCACAAAATATTTGTTGTTTCAGTACTATGTAGAGAATCCCGAATTCACTGAAAGCTTTGTGAAATATTGTTTACAAAAAGAAGCAAATACGAATACAGCGATCAAATGCAAGTTCAAAGACTGCAAGTTTACAACACTGAACGTTGACCATATGGTATCTCATTTGAAGAGCTGTGATTTGAAACCTCCAAAGGTAGAATATTCACCAAGTATAATAACAAATAGCTTTCTCGATAGCAGATAGTCGAGCATCTTCTACATTTCTGAAACTTAGAAACATCTATCAAGGCTATTGTAATAAATTTCAACGTCCATCTCATTAATATAGATCTGAATATATACCTTATTTTATCTGACTCTTGTAAATTACTCAGGTAAAAGATTTTCTAAACGAAAACGATCTGCTGAAGATCAATTATTATGGATTGGCTTGTAGCTACATGTCTTATAACATTATGGTATTATTAGTATGGCGGAAATCGTGGGAAATTGAGAGTGTGTGTGTGGCCCAAAAAATAATCATTAGGTTAATTTTTGGAATGTAGCCACTGGACTTCTGTAGAGAAATTTTCAAGTCAAGATATTTTTTTTGTGCAAATTGTTATTAAATTTTAAAATGCGTAAGCTATTGTAACGAAACACCAGTTTTACCATTTAAAGTCTAATTTGTTCCTCTTACACTAATTTATTACAATGCTTGCAACTAATTTATATTAATATGTCGACTGGACTATGGTATTCTGCTACGCTGTTGAGCCATCGTCCGTTGTTGGTCGACTCCGCCTCACTCTGCCCTCTGCACGTGTATTTACGTTTGAATCGACGAATCCAGCAACGTTCCCGCGTTTTCCAGACATAACTTGAGTCTTCATCGAAGCTCGTAGATGGCGGTCGGTATTTCTCGTTGCGAGGCGAATGTTCTCGATGTGCGGTCGCGTAATTCTGGTTGCCTGAGTGTTGACGTTACAAGGGTATCTCAATGTTTCTTACAGTTCTAGTTACGAGGGCATTGCACTATGTTAAGAATTATGATAACTTATTTCCAAACGTCTATGTTTATCATGAATCAACATTCAAAAATATTTCAGAAACATACTAGAACCCATTTCAAATATCCTCCATATTACAATTACGTCATGTTATTAAAAAAATTACCAGTAAAATTCAACAAATCAGTGATTATTTTCCATTAAGAAAAAGTAGTTAAGAAAATATTGTTAAAAAATTCATTTTGCAATGTAACCCAGTGCTCAGAATGTACGAACTTGCACTTGTATATAGTACCTATATAAAGATGGTATCATATAGGTATTGTTAAAATATAACAATGAAAGTTGATGTATTCTTTACCACATATACAAATCTGTATGAAGTGGATATGAATAAAAAATATGTGAGCGTTACTGTCTTTTTCAATTTTCAAATCTCAAAATAATTTGCATTTCAGCATTTCACTTGCAGAAAATGTCTGGCCACGTATACCACTCTTGATGCACTTTCAGTTCATGTGAAAGATGTTCATAATAAAAGCGTGGACGATGAAACAGTGCAATTTAGTGACGAGACTTCCGATGATGACATGGATAACGCGGACATGATACGAGATGCGCGAGTTGTGCAAAAAACTAAAAAAGCTGAGGCACAGAGTGTTTGTAAAGGTCTGTAGGTCACGTGAAATTATTTCGTAATTTAAGAGGGTGTGTTGGGTGAACGGTTTTTATTCACTGTTTTCCATTTTTAGTGAAACCATTATGTATTGCAAAGCTTCAGAGACCTGGGAAATCGATGTTGTTCAGTTGTGCATTTGAATACAATTTGGAATTGTAAGTAAATGCATTGATTAACATATTCTCCACAAGGACATCAACCTTCCAAGAACATATCAACTCTAGTAGGGAGTTCAATAGGGGATTTTGGGAACTTACTCGGAAGCGGCAGGATACCTTGCATCCATCCAGCTAGAAGCCTAAATGCCTGGACGCCGCTGCTATCAGGAGCTTAAAAAAATGTTAATCCGATTTTTGAACTGCCTTATGTTAATCAATGGCAAACATTATTTATTTTAATATACACCGCTGATTTTAAATACTACTGAATATTTGTTTCTTTTGTAATGTTTCAGTTGTAATAACTGCTTCTCTCAATCCGAACTTTTCAATCAATGGCACTGTACAAAAGAGAACTGGAAGTTGATAGACGAAAATTTGATACACACTTACCTACCACAATCTGAGATTTCTTGTGAAGTTGGTATCAAGCAAGTACGAGGTTTTGGGGAGATGAATCAGTGCTTCTTCAATAGGTTCGAACTTTTCGAGGCTAAAATCCAAGAAAGTATGTGAATGATTTTAAATGTTAGAATGACGCATGTACCAACTTAATCCTTGTATTTTCTAGATCATGTTACAATGTACTGTGGCGGGCCTATTAATGCATTGTGCTGGCTCCCTACACCGTATCTCAGATTAGACTGTAGACAAGTGTTAGCTGTTGCTGTTACAAATGATTTCGACAGCAGGTATCACATGAAGACAAACTACGCAGAACCAACAGCAGTACAATTGTGGGATTTTGGCAATTTGAAGAACAAGCATAGTATAACAATGCCTAGGTTAGATAATTTCTCAGTACTTGTTTATTTCTAAATAGCACCATATACATATTTATACATGTATTCTCATGTATCAAATTTTAAACTTAATGAATTTACTGAAGCATGAGCGCCTTAGGTGACAATAGTATATTTCTAAATACGTATCCTTCTTCGCATAAGCGGATCGTGAGTTTACGTCGTAGCTCGTAAGTTCACAATATCTTCCTGCGTTTATTATTGCCACATCTACTTTCTAGGTTGATGTACTGTATAGCATTGAACATAGGACCAGTTTGGCATATGGAGTGGTGCCCTTCTGGATGCTTTGATGAGAGTTCTTCAACTAACGGTAAAACATTCAACAGGTTGGGATTATTGGCTGTAGCAGGATCTGTCCCTGGAGTTCATGTGTACGCGGTGCCAAAGCTAAGTGAAGAAGACTGGTAAGTACCGTCTACTGATTTAGACCAGGGTTCTAAACTAAAACTATAGTTTTCTTGGTATATGATTTTTACTGCTGTTGAATATGTCACTTTCTGCAGGGGCTTGGTTTATACGACCAAACCTGTGTTGAAGCTGCAACTGAGCAATACTCAAGATTGTGGCAATGGAAATTATTACCCAACCAAAATAGCATGGTGCAAGGTGAGTAAACGAATTTTAAGATTAAGCGCACTCTTGAGACCCAAACTATATAAACTACGTCCATATATTCACCATAGCTATTTGCAGTTATGCTAGATCGCCTCTTTTAAGATGGAGTAGGTCTAGAGGTGTACCTAACGAACCTACTTATTCTCCAAGCTTGTCTGTCTCGTCCGTATCAAATTTCAAAACGCTCTGATAAACCGGTTAATTTATCAGTGTTGAACGATGCATAACGATTGAAATATCTGGACACTTTTATTCCTTTCTAGGCTTCCAGACACAGTATTTTAGCAGTAGGTTACACAAATGGTATGGTAGCGATGTTCAATTTGAATTGCAATTCATCGTTATTGAAGATTAAGGACGAGGACGAAGTAGAAGTGTTGCTACCATATAAATCTATACAAGCACATAAATTTGCTATATCAAGTAAGTAGAATAAAACAGTCATGATTGTCAGAGTTCGAATTTTATTTGATATGATTTATGGTTTTTACGTTTCTTCAAGATGCTATACAACTCGTACCAGTACAGTTCTTTATTGTCCAAATTTTGTCTAAATGGTGGTTGAAGCTTCTGCTAAAACTTCATGAAACAAATATATGAAAATTGCCTCAAATTGCAGGATAACTCGCGTAGTAGCGATCTATGGTTTTCAGTTAAAAGTTACTATGCTAATTTAAATGTAACGTTTACTAATTTTATTTTTACATAAGTGCTTCAGGTTTTGCATCACGCTGACGGTGATAGATGGTTATTAACTGGGGGTGCGGACAAAAGTTACGTCTGGGATCTGAAGAATGATACGTTTGTCAATATTTCACCGAAGAAGCACATCCTAGATGGAATATGGCTGACGCATTGGCTTTCAACTGTTACTGCTCATGATGATATAAACGTTCCTAAAGCTGGTAAGTAAAACAGAATCTTCAGTATTTTGCAGCATTTTCATATAAAAAATGATTTGGAACATTAGGATTAACGTTTATCTTGGCGCATCACTTTCTACTCGATTCGTATTTTCAACAACTTACTTTTTTTGAGTCAATGCCTTCACCCTTTAAACTAATACAATATATATATATATGTATATATATATATTATATTTACTGCATGAGCTTATAGTACTGTGTACTCTGCTCATCTCAATTATCATAATAATATATATATATATATATATATATATATATATATATATATATATATATAAAAGAAAATGATCATGCGGAGAAAGGTATATAACAAAAAGTAGGAAAATAATGAGCAAAATTCGCAAAAAGGAAAGTGGATTCGAGCAGAAAATAGGATAGGTAACCCGAGCGATACGTATTTCTACAAAGGTAGATACACATGCCCGCACATCCGGATATGGGTGTAACCTGAGGAAACAAGATGGAGAGGGAAGAAAACGACACACGAAGTCCACAACAAGAGCCAACCCACACAACAACAACCGGCCGCGTGGTTGTGGTTAGATGTCTCCTTGAAAATTCGAGGTCTTCTAGCCTTTTTATACTACAATATGTAGGTTGGCTCTTGTTGCGGACTTCATGTCCTTTTTTCCCTCTCCATTTTCGTTTCCACAGGTTACACCCGTATCCGGATGTGTGGGCTTGCGTATCTACCTTTATAGTTGCATATGTGCATTCATTACGGGCGTGATGAAGCCAACCAGCAGAAATACGTTTCGCTCGGGTTACCTATCCTATTTTCTGCTCGAATCCACTTTCCTCCTTTTTGCGGATTTTGCCCATTATTTTCCTACTATTTGTTATATAAGTTTCTCCGCATGATCATTTTCTTTTTGTAGATCCTTTGGGCTTGAAGTACCACAGCAAGTGGCTATAACCGGCCGCGTGGTTGTGGTTAGATGTCTCCTTGAAAATTCGAGGTCTTCTAGCCTTTTTATACTACAATATGTAGGTTAGCTCTTGTTGCGGACTTCATGTCCTTTTTTCCCTCTCCATTTTCGTTTCCACAGGTTACACCCCTATCCGGATGTGTGGGCTTGCGTATCTACCTTTATAGTTGCATATGTGCATTCATTTCGGGCCTGATGAAGCCAACCAGCAGAAATACGTATCGCTCGGGTTACCTATCCTATTTTCTGCTCGAATCCACTTTCCTCCTTTTTGCGGATTTTGCCCATTATTTTCCTACTATTTGTTATATAAGTTTCTCCGCATGATCATTTTCTTTTTGTAGATCCTTTGGGCTTGAAGTACCACAGCAAGTGGCTATAACCGGCCGCGTGGTTGTGGTTAGATGTCTCCTTGAAAATTCGAGGTCTTCTAGCCTTTTTATACTACAATATGTAGGTTAGCTCTTGTTGCGGACTTCATGTCCTTTTTTCCCTCTCCATTTTCGTTTCCACAGGTTACACCCCTATCCGGATGTGTGGGCTTGCGTATCTACCTTTATAGTTGCATATGTGCATTCATTTCGGGCCTGATGAAGCCAACCAGCAGAAATACGTATCGCTCGGGTTACCTATCCTATTTTCTGCTCGAATCCACTTTCCTCCTTTTTGCGGATTTTGCCCATTATTTTCCTACTATTTGTTATATAAGTTTCTCCGCATGATCATTTTCTTTTTGTAGATCCTTTGGGCTTGAAGTACCACAGCAAGTGGCTATAACCGGCCGCGTGGTTGTGGTTAGATGTCTCCTTGAAAATTCGAGGTCTTCTAGCCTTTTTATACTACAATATGTAGGTTAGCTCTTGTTGCGGACTTCATGTCCTTTTTTCCCTCTCCATTTTCGTTTCCACAGGTTACACCCCTATCCGGATGTGTGGGCTTGCGTATCTACCTTTATAGTTGCATATGTGCATTCATTTCGGGCCTGATGAAGCCAACCAGCAGAAATACGTATCGCTCGGGTTACCTATCCTATTTTCTGCTCGAATCCACTTTCCTCCTTTTTGCGGATTTTGCCCATTATTTTCCTACTATTTGTTATATAAGTTTCTCCGCATGATCATTTTCTTTTTGTAGATCCTTTGGGCTTGAAGTACCACAGCAAGTGGCTATAACCGGCCGCGTGGTTGTGGTTAGATGTCTCCTTGAAAATTCGAGGTCTTTTAAACATTTTATACTACAATGTGTAGGTTGGCTCTTGTTGCGGACTTCGTGTGTCGTTTTATTCCCTCTCCATCTTCGTTTCGTCATTTTACACCCGTGTCCGGATGTGTGGGCATGTGTATCTACCTTTGTAGTTGCATATGGGCAATCATTTCGGGCGTAATGAAGCCAACCAGCAGAAATACGTATCGCTCGGGTTACCTATCCTATTTTCTGCTTGAATCCACTTTCCTCCTTTTTGCGGATTTTGCCCATTATTTTCCTACTTTTTGTTATATACTCGTATATATCCTTTAATTTCTTTGGGTAGAAGGCAAAGTATTGCAAAAGTACACTCTTATAATTTAAAATCTCAAGCTTTCGAAGAATTTTTTCTTCATCGTCTGGAGTAAGTTGGCGTGATTGTTGCTGAAATTGTTTTTTAAACAACAGTGAAGGGAACACATAGTCGACGAATAAAAAACTGGACCGATGAGGTTCGATTAGGACGGAATTATTTTATTGTCGATTTATAGTCGATTTGCTTACCTATTTTGTATGGCATTGATGATTCCACTCATCCTGAAATTGTTTTAGGTGCTGGTGCAGGTCAGTTAAACTGTATTCGCAAGTTCCTTTCGGATACCGGAAGTTTGGTGACTAGCCAAACGTCAGTGAACACGATCTCATGCAGTGATTGGCTAAATTCTATCATATCGGGAAATCAACTTGGGGAAATACTCGCTTATTTTCCACAACAGATGCTTTTTAATGCGCAAGATGATAAGTGGCGGTCCAAGTATAAAAAGGTATGTGCCTCTGTGCATGTTTAATTAACTATATAACCTGTGTTTTTTATTATTGTAGGCTTTAGGTTACACGAAGTTGATCAAAAAGGGGAATCAAGAGAAGAAAGCAGATAATGAAATTGAGACTGCAGACATGTTAGAATATAAGAAAGCTGTAACTAAGTATGGAGTGGTATTCTGTGATTTGAAAATGGTAGGTAGTAAAAGGAACTAACTTGTAATTTTTGGAGTATCGTGGATATGTTTATTGAACACGTTCCAATTTCCCCGTGTTAACCATTTCAATATCTTTAAGATTTAGGATTTTCAAATTTCATCTAACAAAAAACTACTTAGTTTTTATGGAAAATGGAGCACCAGATGTATGGTGGACGCACTCATGGAATTTGCATAAATCTTTGAGGCTAGTGTGTTCAATTTTGCTTATTTCACACTTGTCTTTTTTTTCATATCATTGATTTGGTTCGAGTAGGAGCCTTAATATAAACTTTGCTGAAGATGATGGTGGGGCTCGGATCCAGTTCTTTTCTTCTTCCAGACACTTGGGTAACCCTGTTTGGTTGGGATTGCTCGAAGGACCATATACCTAATATTGATGTAAGAATTTGATAACTTTTTATTATTGGAGGACAACTTGAAAGGATTTACAGTAATAGCGGACAAAATTTGCTTTGACGTGCCCGGTTTTACAAATTGACGCCACATTGTTTTAATCTGTCGTCTACCCACTTGAGCTAACATAAGCTCTGTAAGTAACGTCATCTGCAGGTGAGCGATCAAATTATATAATAAAAGGATTAAAGTAAACAGATGTCCTGTTTTCTTTCCTCCACTGCGACCATAAACAACATATTTGTTGTCTTATGCTTTTTAGCAATTATCAGTAAGGATGGGTCTAGACATTTGAAGACAGATGACTGAAGGCAAACAAGATAATAATAATAAATTGCTTTTATTGCTCATGTAAGTACAGAAAAAGTACATAAATCTGATGCAGTGAGCAAACGGCAAGGTTCGCTTGATTGACAACCATTAGTTGTCAATCCGCGCTCTTGCACCTAACCAAGATAAACAGGTCTAACGAAAAACTCAATACTGTGATTTGCAACCTTTGCATATAACGTCAATGTTGATACTCCTAGAGTGACAGTGGGACGCCTACTCCGTGTTTGGCTGCATAGAAGCAAACGCTGTCAGTCAGGGGGGCCGGGAGACTGTAGTTTTCTGCTGTCATCGTAAGGGCTGGCAGTACAGCGATTGGCGAAACCATCCATAGGTGGCGTGGCATCTTTGATTTATTTTTCCCACAAAACTTTGCTCTTGAGATACCCCCATGGGAAAACATCCATTGAGGGCAGTTCTGATCGTGGCGGCCATGAGATATTATCAAAGCGAAAGATCAACTCTTCTGGAAACAGCTCGATTCAGTCTATAGTGACCCTTGCAGTTTGCATTGTGGCTTCATCTTGCATAAAGCACATAGGTGCGTTGTACGCAGAACGTTGTCTAAGCTGTGGTCTATTTGTGATATTTGCCGAAATACATTATTTATCGTTACAACTCGCATCTTTTCAAAGAATTATTTGCTTTGGTGATGTTCCATGGCCACCGCGATCACCATATCTGATACCCACTGACTGTTCCTGTAGGGTATCCCAAGAGCAACGTTTGCGTTAATGCTCCGAAGAATATTGCAGAAAAAATAAAATCTGGTGTTTCATTTCCAATCAAAAGATCTTTCCTAAAATGTGTAGTATTCTTTTCAATACTGCTCTGCGGATTCCAAAGTAGCGTATTTTTTAAATATTTCCAGATAAAAAGTATATAACTGAAAATCGGTTTATATTTTGACGTTAAATATTTTCAGGATAAATCGGAAGACCTTCCGTCAGATGCGCAAAGACTCAACAATAAACATCAGGAAATCTCTAAGCCGAATGTGTACCCTCTTCAAACCATAAATAAAATCAGTTTTAATCCCAATTGTCAAGCGAGTTTATACTATGCCACTGGATACCAGATAGGGTTTGTTAGGGCCAGCTACTTGAAATTCTTGGACAGTGATAAACAGGTTGTGTAAAAATATAAAGTATTTTACTTATAATAATTTACAACTTAAACAATGAAATGTACTCCCTATGATACTTGAGTTGTATGATGCTACTGATAACATTCTATATATCAGGAATACAGCAGCACAAATGATGAAATTGGCTAGATTACTGGATTGGCTCGTATGCTTCTCCTCCCTACATGTATGAAATTATATTTATATTATATTTGTATCATATTTTGCACATGGTATTCATGTGTATAATTATGTAATTGTGTAAATATCCTTAAGTGTTATGTTTTATCAAGTTGTTTTGTCTTAATTTTTATATTTTTGATGTATTATTCCATATTCTCCGTAGGAGTAAATAAAAATTCAAACATATACTATTCGTTTTATTTCATTTCGAGCATTTTTCAATTTTTTGTAAGGTACAGTTAGGTAGTACCCATTATGAAGTCGACTCATACCATACTGCATACAGGATGTTCCAAAAATCATGTTGTTTGAGTTGATTACGTGAGTGTGTGAAGATTAATCTAGTGTATTTGCGAAACACCAATGTGCCGAGTAGAATATGTCCCAAATCCACCTTACTAATGTTCTGACTAAATACAAATATTCTAACAGTATCTCAAAAGATGTGAGCTCTTGCTTTATATGAACGAGTGCAATTGTTCCCTTTCAGCTATCCAACCCCCAGTAGTAATGGAGGAGGTACAATTACAACTATTTTTTCTAAAAATATATTAAAAGCTAAAATCTATAGTTACAGTCAAAAAGGAATACTATCTATATTAAAGTGAAATATTCAAATTTAGTGTTCAATACAAACAGGGTGGAATGAGCGACTACAAAATCAAACAAGTTTAGAACTACCAAAACAAAATGATAAAAATACCGAGTACAGGTAAGCATGATCTCAGACAATATAGCGTTAAACACAAATTAACCTAAATGAGGCTAAGGCTTCAATACAAGTTATGCAAATAAAACCATTGGGTAAGACGTCAATGAATAAAACGCATAAGGATATCAAGCTATGCTATAGTTGTAGTCACCCTTCTTGGCGGTTTGTTATCAACGCCATAGGACATAAGTAAACAGATCGAGTCTCCGTACCATGGGCGGAACACTGCGCAGATTAATCTTCACCGCATCTGCTACTCTCTCCAGTATGCATGAAGTGGCTAACAGGGGACCGCTGTTTTCATTCTCTTTCTGGAAATAAATTTAGCCCGAGCTGTCGACCTTCTCCAGTGATCGATTTCCGGTCTTTGTACAATTTCATGTTGAAGATTGATAACAGGACATAACTCGTATTGCACGCCGATGTCCAGTAAGTTGTCACTTTGGCAAATATGATTGAAAGGCGCTCATACGTAATGACAAAGTTTTCGAGACGGAGACACACAACTACAAAACGTATGTCTTTGAGCTTACGGAACAAACGTTTACACACAGGGGTAGGTTGCATGTGTATGTATGAGGGAGATGAAGATATATAAAGGGATACTGGTGTTCTTACTTTGACCCGCAAGAACGGTGACTACAACTATAGCTGAGCTATTTGTTTAGGGCTAAGAAGTACTGTTCTCCACATTACCTCCTCACTCTATACAACCGTGTCGAACTTCGTGCATCCAGAACTGGCCGATACGATCGCTCCTTTATCCCTAGGATGTCGAGATGGTGGAACAATCTACAAGATGTTCTACTAACCTTAGGCAGTTCAAAAATCGGACCCTCGTAGCAGCCGTGGTACCCTGACATTTATTTAGGCTTCTGCCTACGCGGCTGCTTCGGTGTAATATGTCTTGAATTTAATGCCAGTGCTACATTTCGTGCTACAAAATGTTTGTGTTAAATACCATACAGCAATATTTAAGTGCATTACTCAGTGCCAAAAGGAAAATGCTTGACTTTCAATGCCACAAATATCCTTTCAGAATATGCGCCATCTAATGAGCGCATATATTCTTAACGACAAGGATATTAAGAAATCTAATCTGAAAAATACCATCAATCCGCTTATCACTGAAACCATTAAAAACCAAATCGAAGAGGAAAGAAACCCTATATTTGATGAGGCTGAAATATATTTCCAGCAGACGGCACTCCTCCTCATTATCTTCTTCCGGTTACGCAATCGCTAGACGACGAGTTTCTAGATAAATGGATAGGGCGAAGAAGTCCTATAGAATGGCCTGCTAGATCTCCTGATATGACACCATTAGACTTTTTTCTATGGGGCTATTTGAAATTCATTGTGTCTACTCCCCAACCTGAAAGTTTGGATGAACTTCGTCAACGCATCATCAAAAGCTGCCATGTTTTCTATATCCTATATCATTGTTTGGCCAATAACGGGTAACATTTTGAACACTTATTGGAATGAAATGTGATATTTTCGTGTGCTGTTGTTTTCTATTTGAGCAAATTAAGATAAATAAAGATTTTTCTAATCTTCTTGAAAACGATTCGACCGATTTTTAAAAAATCAAACAAAAATAAAGGACTTCAAAATACCTTTCAAACAAGCTATTAGTCGATACCCGTTGTCATTTAACATTTTTAAGGAAATGGCCCTGAGGGGCTTTTTGCTTAAAAAGTTGTCCCCCTTGACAAATCTTTTGAAGTGTTTTTTTCTATTAATCAGTGGTTTTCGATAAATCCATGGTGGGAAGTTTTTAAATGAACACATAATATACAGGAGATGCGACGAATTTAGTTTATACCCCTACTTTGAAAAGGTTACTGTCTCTTAGTTGGCGCTATAGCTGGCTATATATGTTAGTTTCTTATTTATTTACTCATTCTTTATATTGTGTTTTAGGAGTAAATAAATATTATTATATATAGCTACAGCGACATAACTGTGAGAAATTCGTAAAGAGGACGCGACTGTTTTTTATTTCGTCTAGATTTTTAGAAATGCGCGAATGTGACATTAGGGAGTTTTCGCATGCCACTTAACGTGCTGCGGTATTTTCTAGGCACGTTATTTTGACAGATACACATGCTCAGTTGTGGGTTTCATGATAGCGGGCACTAATTACGTTACCGCCTAGCGTAATTTGAGAACACTTAGCGCGAGGCGGTATATGGTCGTTTCGTGGATACCCGGAACCAAGCGGGCAGGCGATGATCGTTACGATTTGAGGTTAGGTGCCGTTATTGGGTGATTTTTGTATGCTGAGGGCGTCATTTACAATCAAGACTTCCGAAATTATCCTTAAGTATTTCTCAATCAGGTTTACATGATATCTTGCCAAATAATATTGTTGAGAAAAAGCTATCAACGAAGAATTAATGCAGTTAATGTTCGACATTTTTTTATAAATTACTCAACATGGCGATAACTCAAAAACTGTGCATATATGGTTTTCATAACAGGAAATGACCCCCATATCACTGCCTTTCATTTGATCACCATTTTTGGATACCCTGCTTATTTTACTACTGGAGGGAGTGTGAAATGAATGCAACACTTTCCAGAAAATCAATCATGCTTTAATGCGACCAAAAGAAAAAAATTATAAATAAAAATTACAATTATTTACAAAATAATGCAAATCGAAGTTATTTGTAATGCATTGAGTTCTTTACCAGTCATATGTATTGAACAAGGAATGTTCAACATTTCACAATAATATTAATATAAACAGCTATTAATACGATAAGCCACTAACTGAAGATATTCTGCAGATTTGGAATCATGCTATCTTTCTGTTCAACTTTTTTTGGTATGGCAATTCGAGGCAGATCTTGGATCTTCACTTCTTTCTTGAACAGCTGGCCCATGCTCCTGCCAATCAGCTGAAACAAAAATGACTATTTAGTACATAAATACTACCAAACCTGGCCAAGCTTTCCAATAAGGACGACTCGATGTTTGAACAGAATAAAACAGGTTGTGTGTAAGGTAAAAACGAAATCAATAAATTGTTTTAGTCAGAACTTTTGTGGAAATCTTGCTTCTTCAAAGAATGTGTAGTTGAGAAGTTTCCGCAGCATTTGTGTACTTTCCTAGCTTAATCTACTCATTTGAACTGACCTCATGTATAAAATTTTATACCTGTGTTGAACTTCAAGGTGATAACGATACGAGCTAACTGTCGAAAATGGTGGTTGCTATTTGAATCTATGAAGTTGACCTCCAAAAGGCATTGAGGTCAATATCATTTTAATCTTCTAGAACTCTTGTACTAACCTTTTTTTAGAAAAAAATGTGTAGTTGTCGTTTTCCGACGTTACAGCTGACCTACCAATATGACTACCTGACCTCATAAATTATTAAATCATATATAATAAAATAATAAATCTTTAGTTGATCAGGAATCTGTCTAAAAATGATGGTCGCTATTTAAATTTACTAATTTGACTTCTTAATGAGCTTTGAATTCATCATATAGGTCATCAACACACAGTTCTCTGATCTCCTGGAACCCGTGTAATACCACTTATTTTTTGAAAAAAAAAATGTGTGGTTATCAAGTTACCTATTAATTATGTCATCGTTATAGAATATTTAGGAGATATGGCCATTAAAACGTTATCTTTGATGACAGAGTTAATCCAAGATTGTTATCATACAAATCTGACAGTGTCATGTGTTTAAGTGTTGCGCAGTTTAGCCGGATTTTTCTGGAAGTATTCCTTTCGTATGCTGTTTTGTGTATGCTATTGCAAATAAACATGGTGTCTTGTACTCTGATGTGCTGTAGACGATTTGATGTGGATACCAAGAAATGGCTAGGCATAACGTTTCACAGGTTAGTATAGAACTAGAATTAGAGCTTCTTTAGTTGCTAAATTGCGACTGATGTACACAGACTTGTCAAGTGCCAAAATCACGTAACTCTTTTTTTACTATTTTGATTAGTAATTTTAATTTCTCTTTATTAATGGTAGAGTGTCCATTCCTAGGCCAATCCCTTTTTAATAATTTTCTTTTGGCAAATTTCATAGTTTATTGATTGTATAATTTCACACGTATTATATCTTTCCTTCTCAGCGACTCAGTATTGCGTTGAAATCTTTTGGACACTAATGTTATTGTATTATTAATGACTATCTCAGAAATGTCCTCATAAAATATCGTTGGTCCCTCGTAGAGTTGGTTCCGCCCATTGGCAATCAGCGCCACCTTGTGGTTTCTGCACCTACTAGCCGTATAGGAATATTTGATTCCTATCAAGATACCGTCTTTTAAAAATCTGTATGGAGAATATTTGGTTTACTATCAAGGTAACTTCTTTTAAAATCTTGCATGTACAGACGGGTCCAACGCCATTTTTTCTTTTCTTTCTACTGAGGTATGGTGTGGGCGTCGTTTCGTTAACTTCCAGATTCTGGGACCAAACACCAGTTTATGGAGTAGTACCTTTTATTTCTTCCTTATGTTTAGTTGCTTTGGTTTTGGTGCTACCCCGTCCATTTTCTAATGGGATTTTAAGCTTCAGCGGTAAGTTCTTTTTTGTATACCATCGGACCACGTCTATTAATGCATGTCCTGAAGAAGTTTGTTCTGTATCTGAGAACCACCATTCACACTTCTCCAGCTTTGTTTTGTAGCTGCCTTGTAGCTGTTTACAACCGATGTAGCTGGAAGCCACCCCTTCCCCTTGACAAAAAAACCTTTATGTGAACAGGTAAAATATCATTTTAATTGAGTATTTTATAGGTACTGATATATTGATTGTTGTTGACTGAAATTCTTAAAGTGTATTTGTATTTATTTGGCATTTTTCATATTCAAATACGGGGCAGTGCTACATGCCACCTTCTTTGGGCCTTACTATATTACAATGATCATGATTTTTATTTGTGAGCTTCCATAACTTTATTTTAGAACATGGGATAACTTTCTGAGGGTATATCACTTTAGTACATTTTTATCTTTTCTTGCCTTTGCTTTATTTTTTGTGTAGAAGAGAATGTAGATGGTTTTTCTTCAGGTTTCGAGTGTTTAAATCAGTAGTTTTGTCTCAGACAGAGAGTAAAGAGTAGATTTTTTCTCTCTAGGGTTTTTTATACTGTAGATTTTGGAAAGCGAGGCAAGCAGCCCCTACCTTGTGACATTCCTCACGTCACTGCCGACTGGTTTTTGACCTGAGGACATCTCGGCTGCGCCTAGAGCCGTAACTGGAAGAAGACCACTGTCCAGATAAGTCTAGGTTTAGGCGTTAAAATATTTGTAAAGCCTTCGTATGTGTGCCATGGTAAACGTTTTGCAGGCTTAAATATCACGGTCTAATAATCTCATTTGACAGGTAGTTTTGAATAATATCCTTTCTTTTAACTTGCACTCCAGTTTTATTTGGCTCTCTGTGTACAATCAATTAGGTTTTGTCATTACTGTGAGATTCTTTTCTTTTGTGTGAATGGTCAGGCAAAACAAGTTCCAATTAACACCTCGGGAATTTATGGCTTAATCCGTCAAGTCACTGGCGCTCTTAACCGCCCTATTATCCGCTTTATTGAGCTAAGGCCTAAATTTGCACGCCTCAGACAGCTGTTTTGCATTGATGGCCCTTAGATGGTTTATCAATTGATTAATTAATCAAAAAACGGAAAGACGAATCATACCACCATTTCCTCTTGTTTATAAAAAAGGCGTGGCAGAGTGTGAAGCCTGAGCCTGGCCAAAATGATACAAATCTGTCATCATTGCATCCGCCCCTGATGCTGTTTTCAATTGATACAGATATTCTACTAGCACCTCTTTAGATTCTATCTCTGTGGTCTGAACCCTTGTATGAAAGTTGGTTCCTATGCAGACTTTCGAGCTGATTACAAATGGTGGGCGATATTTGAAACCACAGCCAGGTTATTACCTAGGTCATATTAGACACCACCAATACATTTTTTGCATCTGAAACGTTTGTAGAAGCTTTTGGTTCCAAAAATGCTTGGTTAAGTTTACGAGGCGGTCAAAAATTTAATATATATGTCGAAATACTCTTACATATCTTTGTACGATAAATATATGATTAAAAAAATATACTTACATTACCAGTTAGCTTCTTGAACAAGTCCTTTTTGACCTTCTCCACCTTGTTTCCCTTGCTGGTACTGCCAGAAATCCTTTCGTCCAACTTCTGGAGGTCCACCGGATTCACTCCCGGTATCTGTTGCATAACGGAGAGGACCTCCAGAAATGATGGTCGTAGAAGTTCGTACACCTGAGCACCCAATGTCATCAGAGAACCCTGGTTGGCTTCGTGCTGACCGTGGAGAGTTAGCGCGTTCAAGATGGCTGCCATTATGTGAGCAGCCATTTCGCCGTTTAGGGATTTGTCAGATGCCAGTTGCCGGACTATTGGGGCTGGAAACAAACGAAAGTATTTAATGAATTCTGAAATATCGGAATATTGCTATTGTTATGGAATACTGAAAGGAAAATCGTTGACAGGATTTCATCGTAGACCGTTTAACATTCTCCATACCCAAAGATAGAGCGGTCATACCGGTTAGTTCGTGGTTCATCTTCAATTCACTCTCTCCCTTCTGAAAATGCCTTAAACCACCAAAGACGGAAAACTATGAGTTTTCTGAGAAAATAGGCAAGTTGTAAGACGTCTAAAGGAGAGAAATGACATTAGGGACATTTCTCGCGAAGCGGGAAACAGAAAGTCAGGATTGAAAAAATCCGTTCATATTGTTTATTTGATTTTACGGAATTCATTAGGATTTTTTGAAATGTTAATTCCGATTTTGGGCCTTTCTTTAATTTCAAATTCGATTTTTTATGCAAAAAATTCTATACAAAACACTATGTTTGATATAATAATGTAATACTTTTCAATTCGAAAAAATCCCAATTTGAACTACAACCCATAACGCAGTGAATCAACGTAACAAAAAATCGTGATTTTTCTTTTACGCCTACTATATATGCAAACAAACCCAATGTGAATGAATTTTAAAACCTAACTTTTTTCGTTGCCCGCTCCACGTGGAATGCCCCATTAGCTCCAATCTCTCCCTCAACCATGTTGGGAGAGACTTGCACATTCTTGGGGATGTTGATAATATTGAGATTAGTAAGTAGTTTAATTCCCTTTTAGTTCGAGATAATCCCAAAATTAAATAATCCACTCACCAATAAGAAGCGTAACCTTCAACGACGCGTTACTATCGATCCACGCCAAGGCTCCAAGCACCGTCAACACAATCGAATGACACGTCTTGTCGCTGCGCAACAGTATCAAACCTAAATCAGAAATGACCTCTGTTGTGATATTGGACCTGGTGGGAGGCGGCGTGGGAGAGTCCATACTGTGCTCCTCGGTCTCCATGGATTCACCTCCGGCATCTGCCGTCAGGCTGCCTCCCACCAGTGCTACCTTCAGAAGATCTAGATATTCGCGCGTCAACGCGCGCGTAAGGATGTCTTCAAGTACTTCTTGCGCGTCGCCGTTGTCCTCTTGCGCTTCGCGGTTGCGGAATTCGATCACTTGTTGCCATTTCGCGTGCAGTCTTGAAAGAACTGAAACGATAATTTGAGGATGAAGTATCTAAGTACAATTAGCAAAAGCTTAAAAGCCCTAGTTACAAAATGGTAGCAATTGCCACTTCTATACAGAGGTCATCATGTACAACTACTACATTGCTACATATAAAAGGGAATTATAAAAGTTTTGCAATATGACTTAACAAACGGACCCAGGAGGATTCATGTTACTGCATGTTGAGACATATCCTTGAATAGTAGCCGCCTGCAGCCCGTCTGTTGATTAAGTTGTTCATTCGTATTCACAGTGTAGAGGGCGGACTATGGCATCGTAGTCACGTAGTGAGATAAGGGCAGTTTTACGACTATATTCAGGTGGTACAGAGAATTCCAAAGGGACAATTTCACTCTGGAGGACGCTGAGAGGGAAGGAAGGCCGCGAACGTTAGTAAAAGAGGAAAACATTACTGCTGGGAGGAAAATGCTTGACGAAGACCGGAGACTGACATACCAGCAGATAGACGAGACCTTACATAACAAAAGCGATCCGGCGCACCCGTGCAAAGCCAGATGCAACAGCGTTGTGCGCCGTGCAACTTGTCGGCTCGGGTGCGGTCGGAGTTACTCGGTTGGACCAGGTAGGGTCCCACGCGGAGATACGCAACGCGAATCCGTTTCTCCGCGCGCTTCAGGGCAAGTAGCACGAGGTAGTGAGGAGGGGAACAGAAAACGGATTGCGAGGAGACATAGAGACAGCGGCGCGAAATTGGGGAGAGTGGAGAGGGATTCGCACTCGGCCGCGGCTGATTTGCACCGAGCACCGTGCAATGCATCCGCGCGAGCACCCTGTTCAGCCCTGTATAGACCTTCATACACCAGTAATTGATTCAACTCTACATGACCATTTACACGTAAGGAAGCTTTGTTCTCTCTGGATACCGCATAGTCTGACGGAAGAGCAGAAGACTCGTCGTACGACTTGGTGCCGAAAGATGCTGAAAATGTTCGATAAAGGACCATCTCGGTATGTGAATAGTATCGTGACTAGTAACGAGATTTGGCTCTATTATTACGATCTGCCGACAAAGGCTCAAAATAACGTAAGGGTCCTTGATGATGAGGATACACTGTCAGAAAATCCCGATCTGTTAAGAAAAAAATTATAGGTGTAATTTTCAAATCGAGCGGGATTGTGGACAGTGTCGTTTTGGACACACAGAGGACATTCACAGCTAAGCGGTACACGGAACAGTGCCTGCCTAAAGTCATAGAGTCTATGAAAAACCTGCGGCCAAAGCCAAAAATGGACACTTGTTACCTCCACTAGGACAACGCTCCAGCTCTTCGCGCCAAAGCCTGCACCGAGTATTTGACCACTACTAGACTAAAACTTACTGAGCACCCTCCTTACTTACTGAAGCTACAGGAATGAACATATTCCAGGTCATTGGTGTTTTTCGTAATGAGGGGGCTCTAACACCTACGTTTGGAAAAACAACATCCCAAGATTGCCGCTTTTTTATGATTTTACGAAGTAGAAAGATGTTATTTTTTGAGGATCCATACTTTTAATAATATGGAATATGCAAGCTTTTTTGGTATTCTTTGTTGTTAATATAATGCCATAAACACATATTTAATTCATAGGAATGTCAGTATTTGTTTTTTAATTAAATACCTAAAAGTGCAATTCCAATGACGATGATACAAAACGCATTCTCGCACGCTTCGCAGTGACATCTGAACACACTGGTTTGTCATGTTATTCTATGTTTGGTTAATCTGCTGTCAAGTTTTGAAAGGTTCTGTTTTTCTTTTGTTGTTTTTAGAAACGCTGACTTGGCGATGAAATTATTCTGCTGGTGGCAGCACGTTCCCTATCAAAGGGTGTTGACATCTATGTTGAAAAAGGAGCATAGCCCGTTGTAGTTAGATAGCTCAGTGGTATATTCCGGGTCAACCAGCACTCTTTGGAACTGATCAAACTGAGGTTGACAATCAATGACAGCGGCATAGGATTTGTTGCTCACTTGCCAACATCGTAACGTCACGCCAATACCGTGGCGTTCCGACATTTTAAATCTGCCGCGTATTTTTCCAATTTTTTTATCAATTATTACTCGTAATTTGATAGTATGAAATACGGTTGAAGGTGGCTTTCTGTAGCAATATAGACTGTAAATAAAAATAAATAACCAATATTTCCCATCCCAAATGCGATTAAAATTATAGGCATATACTTACTTATAGGAGAGATATGAGCCATTATAGGTAGAACCACAGCCTCGTAGTATGGTGCTGGGCACGAGTAGATGAACTGTTTCAGGTACACCCTTACTATTGGTCTAATTTTATAATCTGGGATATACTGTAAAAATACAAAATCATCGTACAAAATATGATTCGAGGGCTGGGGATGTAGCATAAAAAAGTGTAAGACACTGATGAACATTGTTTAAATTACTCTAGTTTGTCATAAATTCATATTAACTTAGGTATAGAAGAGTTATGCTTAATACTTACTTGTAAGTAAGAGAGAACATTATTGATAATGGCCAATGATAATTCTGGAATACTGTACAAATCTCTGCCTAAAGAAGGACCCACAGATCCCATCATATGGTAACAGCTCTCGTGTAAACCTGTCAGGAACCTTTGCATTCTTTCCAGTCGACTCTGTACCACCTGGAAATATCATCATTCAAATTAGCTAGAGTAATCACCACGAAACCTCTACTAAACAAGCTTATGGAGCTTAATATTTGACACGTTGATCCTAAATATGATACAAGTGTTTTGGAGAATTTCATTTTATACTGTAGTTACCTGTGTTTCACATTCAGAAACAGCATGTCCAATCAGACCTAATAGATTCATTTTCTCAGTCTCCTGCATTGCTAAGCACCCTTTATAGCTGTCATGGATAAGATTTTGCGCTTCCACCGTGAACAGTTCATTGAATATCCGTATCAAAGACAAAATGTGGGGCAGAAGTGGAACAATGTGTGGAGCTGCAGGGTTTCGACATACCGGGTTGCCGGATTCAGTTAGTGATACCACAAAACCACCTGAAATATGGAAGTGTCACAATTTCTCATAACAAACTATTTCTCACGTCACACAATTAAATATACTATGGAACGGGGAGTTATCTCCATAAATATGTCGCTTTGCTCCATTTTTGAATATATAAATCTGTGCTGCTTCGAATGCTGTGGCTTCCATCATACAGCAAAATATTGTACAAAACCAGGATGGGCATACAGCAGAAGTTTTCAATACGAGAGAAATGGAAAAATGTTGGAATTGTAGTGAAGTGAACCAAAAGGACAATTTAGGCTTACCAATCAATCATGGATATTTTGATATAAATTGTGAAGTCTATAAAAATAGAGCATGAGAAAAGAACAAAATAATAACATAAGTGAATATAGTTGTAGTTACCGTTCTTGGCGGTTCAAAGTAAGACTACCAGTATCCCTTTATATATCTCCATCTCCCTCATACATACACTTGCAATCTACCTCTCTGTGTGAACGTTTGTTTGGTAAGCTCAAAGATATACGTTTTTTAATTGTGTCTCCGTCTCGAACACTGTCGTTACGTATGAGTGTCGTTCAATCATATTCGTCAGAGTGACGACTTACTTGACATCGGCGTGTAACTGAGTTGTGCTGTTATCAATCTTCAATATAAAATTGTACAATGCCCGGAAATACGATCAATCGAGAAGGCCGACAGCTCGTGCTAAATTTATTAGAGTATTTCCAGGAAGATAATGAAAACAGCGGTCCTCTGTTACGTACTTCATGCGTACTGGAGAGAGTAGCAGATGCACTGAAGATTAATCGATCTTATTTCATATGGTGTTGATGGCGTAACCGCCAAAAACGGTGACAACAACTATAGCAATCAGCCGGCCGGCCGGGCCGCGAGTTCGAATCTCGCCTTCGCCATGGATGTTGTGACGTCGTGTGTTTGTCGTCCATAATTATAGAAATATATAAAATATCCAACCTAGTTTCTGGCTGCATGGCCTAGTCCTAAAGCCAAAAAAAAAAAAAAAAAAAAAAAACTATAGCAATTTACATGATTCAGACTTGCGAAAAAAATTACGTCTAACTAGTATTTTGTGCAAAGTGTCATCAACATCGGTAACACTATGAACACAAAATATAATGAATTAAGGCCAGTAAAGGTACTACCAGATATTGAGAAAATGTTAGAATCGATGGTTCATGACCAAGTATTGGAATTCATAGAAGAAAACTAATTTTAGTTAAAACCCAAGCAGAAGGAATTTTCTACAGAAACAAGTGTGTAAATAGTGACGGAAAACTGAAGAAAGCAATTAATACTGATAGGGTGGTGATATCTGTATTCCTTGATTTCAAGACAGAATTTGAAACAATAGATAGGGCCATACTGTTAAGTAAATTGGAAACATGGTGTATCTGGAAACGTGTTGAAATGGTTTTTCAGATAATCTGACCAACAGGATGCAAGTAACTAAGGAAAATAACGTTATTTCATCAAATATGAAAAACCATTTTGAAGTTTCCCAGAGTAGTATCCTAGAACCACTTTTTTCATCTTGTATGTAAATGATTTGCACAGTATCCTAAAAAAATACGTATACGTAAATATTAGTGGCAAAAACATTGATTTTATGGATTTTTTCAAATAACCCGGCATAACTTTCGCGAGTATGTTGAATTTTGAACTACATTAAGAAAAAAATATCAGTAAAGTTAGTAGTAACGTAGGCTATATATAACGTACTCGTATTTCCGAGAGTTTAACTCTATACAGGGTGTCCGCAAAGTTGGGGTTTTCCTTTACACGACGTGTAGATCTTGAAAACATAAGCAATTTTTCTTAGTACCATATACACCAATGTCTTAAGGGAACCGAGATAAAGGGCTCTGCAACATCAAAAATATCTGAATACCGTCCTGTAGCCGCGACTCGCGACATCCCCGACTGGTACTAGGGCACTAGCTCAACCCGACGACAGAACTGAGTCGGGGTCAGTGTGTCAGGTCAGTATGCAACCTTCAACCGACGGTTACGGTCACGCGTGTAGAGGTAAACGAACCCGTATAATCGATTGCGTTTTAAAAAACAACAAGCACTAGAGACGTGGCTAGAGAAGTGCAAGTATCAAAAACTAAAGTGTGGCAAACGCTGCGTGAAGAGGGGCTGTATCCGTTTCACGTCCAACGTGTACAAGCCCTTCAACCTGACGATTTTCCAGCAAGAGTGCGGTTTTGTGAGTGGTTGTTGCATCAACATGACAATAATCCGGACTTTTTGAAGTGCATATTGGTGACAGACGAATCTACGTTCACGCGTAATGGGGTGAATAACTTTCGCAACACTCATGTTTGGTCAGTAGAAAATCCGCACGCTGTCCGTCGGGCACATTTTCAACAAACATTTTCTGTGAATGTTTGGGCTGGCATGGTGAACGGTATGCTCATTGAACCATTTATTCGCCCAAATCGATTGGACGGGATGCAATACCTAGACTTTTTACGCAACATTTTGCCTTCCTTGTTAGAAGATGTGCCATTAAGTGTAAGACAATCAATGTGGTTTCTGCACGATGGTCATGCACCACCGCCGGCGTCTGCTCGGTAGCGCATCAGCTGATTTCATTTTCTGTTGGAGCGGTATGATTTCGGGCAGAGACGTACTTAGCCCTTCTCGTCAACTGGAGAGTGAATACTTTTTCTTTTATTTTTTTTTACTTGGTCGCCCTCGTTTCACTACACATTACCTTTGTTATTTCAAGGGTAGTTGTTTCTGAAAAGGAAAACCCCAACTTTGCGGACACCCTGTACAGTAAGAAAATTATGGTAATGGTATTATAAATGATTTTCTTACTGTATAAATACCATTGTACTGCCAAATTTGCTGTTTCCAAAGATTACAGATCTTACAAAATAAATGTATGAGGATAATACGAAATAAAAATAAATACGAGGGGGGTATATTTTGAATGCGCATTAAAACCGATGCAGTTAAAACCGGCAACAGTGCACTATTAGAAAGAGCAGTCCTTTATTAGTAAGTCGCCGCATACAGTGCATTTGCAAGCGTCTTACAGATCACGTGGTGTAAAACATGGAGTTGTCTCGAGAGAGTTATCGCGTTATGATTTACTATGACTTTAAAGTCGGTTTAACTAAACATCAATGTATCGAACGGTTACTACAGGCATTTGGTAATGAAGCTGCGTCCCAGGCAAGTGTGTTTCGCTGGAATGCCGAATTTAAAAGAGGGCGTGTTTCATTGTCTGATAAAGAACGTAGTGGTAGGGCATGTTCTAGTCTAGTGTGATTCCAGAAAACATTGCGAAAGTTCAGCGGCTAATTGAAGATTTTTTCTGCACATATGTGACTATAGAAGCAACTCTTGGGGTGGGTTCCGTAACAGTGCACACCATTATGCATGATCATCATTCACAAAAAGTTGTTGCAAAGGTGCAATCCTGCATCACGACAATGCCTTAGCCACACTGCCCAACTAACTGTAGGCTTTTTACGCGAGTGCCACATCAAAATGCTAGAACATCCGCCTTATTCACCAGATTAGGAAAAATTTTCGTCCGAAGAGGAAATCGATCAAGCAATTAATCAGTTTGTTGAAGGCATTCCAAAAACTGACTAGTTAGAAGCATTTCATTTGTGGAAGGTCAGGCTACAGAAGTTTATTGATGATGGAGGAGAATACTTTGAACGTAAATACACTAGTTTTCAAAAAATAGTTTTTAGTTTTCATGTAACTCAAAATATATAGCGTGGTCCTCGTAAATGCCAATCAATAAAATGCTCAGTATCTTAAAATTGCTCAACATCAAAAATTTCAATTAATACCTAGTCATGATTTTGATTTATAAAATGAAAAATAATTTATTGCTATCATCTCTATCTGCACTAAATTCTGTAAATGCCTACCATCATTTTTATAATGCAAGTGTGATAGGCATGGGAGAAACTTTTACAATTAAATTCTGTTTGAATGTTATTTGCTCTTTGCTTCCAGCATTTTAGTTAACTAACGTGGATTTTTATTAGCTATTTCAGTTTGAAATTTAGACTTGGAACATTATTCAAATGGTGAACATCCTACCCATAATCGATTATAATCAACCAATAGTTGTGAGATACGAATTTTATAGAAATACAAACAATTGAATTTCAAAGTGTGCATCAATATTGTTTATATAACCTATGACAGATCGATCATCACTAGCGGTTTGCCTCATTGTGCTGATGAGACCTAGGTTATGGTCAAAACTAGGATGTCCACATCCAAAACGATATGGATAGTGGAGAATATACACTAAACTAAAATACAAGCAATGAAGCCATATTGTATAAAACATCTTTTTTAACCTCCATAAAGAAATTTGATAGATTATATTCTCACCTCTTGTTGCTCTCTCGGGATCGTCTGGCCAAGAACATCTTTTTATTACTCCTAAGAAGAGATTAACACAGAAAAAGATATTGCTTCGATTCTGACCGCAAATATCTTCAGTATTGTCCGGAGCGGGAGGTTTGTCCAACCCTACAGACGAAATAAATTCTACAGCACCCCTTAAAGCACCTGCAAATAGAATATGCATTGTTAAACAAGAATGTATCAATACAAGAATTTTTGTCTTATTGAACTTTTGAAATGTTGAACCGACAGAAATAGTGTGATATTTCGACGTTTGTAGAAGAGATGATGGAAAGAATAGAAGCAATGATGATTCTGAAATATAGTGGATGATTATGTTACTGATGGTGTACTATACCTGAATTAACAATATCTAAAAATAGAGTATTAGCTTCTCTTAGAACTTCTCCAACAAAATTGCTTTGCCTATCATAGTCTCCAAAATGATTAGAGATCAGGAGTAGTGCCTCTTGAAGAGTAACCTAAAAAATATTAGACAGTTATAAAGAAGTCTGTTCAAGTTGTAATATGCATTTTCAATTCTCTTGAATTAGATATTTGCCTTACTAAAATAAGTACTTAATATAATTATGTAGACAACAATTTATTCTTTAACTAGTAAGCTTACTTTTTCTAAACAAGTTAAATGCGCAGGACCATCAGTTCTGGATAAACTTTCTACTGTTGCTTTGATCTGGTCGAATACTGGCAACAACAGCAAAGGATACTTATTGCCTATCTTCACCATCAGTGAAGCAGCATGGCGGCGGACATTTTTCAATGCCCGAGACCTTGAGTTTATCGACTGACCTTCTGGTGTATAGATTAATGTAGAGAATATTTTGTCGAGCACCTGTGGTAGGAGAGCAGCACCAGACGCCGCAACTGAGTTCACTGAAACAAACAAAATATACATTTTATTTAAAAAAAAAATACAGTTACACTTTGCCAGTTTGCAGCATAGGTCTGTCAAACATTGCAACGAGAGGATTACTTGTGCCTTACACAAAAAAAACAAAAATGTCAAACCAATAGCGATCCTGTAGCTTATTATACAGGGTGGCCGGTATGTAACTGAGTGGTTTGTATCTTGGATATTTGTGAAATGAAATAATAATTCGTCGTCCATTTTTTCTTTGTTAATATTTTATTTAAACTTGGAAATTATGCATGAAAAATAATATCAGAGAAATGTCCGCCTCTAGAAGTCACGCAAACCTGATCCTTCTTGATTACATTTTCCACCAGGAGGAATATTTTCAATCGCTTCCGTTTTTGTTCTTCAGCTGCTCTACTGTATTTGGTTTGTTGGAATAAACCCTATTTTTCAAAAATCCCCATAAAAAAAAGTTAAATCAGGTGGTCTTGGTGGCCAGTTGACATCACCAAATCGAGGAATGAAACGTCCCGGAAATATTGTTCGCAAAAGATTCATTGATTCGCTAGCTGTGTGACAAGTTGCTCCGTCCTGCTGGAACCACATGTTTTGCAGATTAAATTGTTGGATTTGAGGAGCCAGAAGTTTTGCAGCATATCACGGTAGCGCTCGCCAGTGACAGTAAGATAATTACCTGCAGCGTCTTCAAAGAAGTACCGCGTCTTCAAAGAAGTGAGGTCCAACCTCCATACCGAACGCCGCACCAAACTGTGACTCGACGAGGATGTAGTGGTCATTGATGGATGACACGAGGGTTTTCTAATGCCCAGATACGACAATTCTGCTTATTAACAAATCCGTTCATATCAAAGTGGGCTTCATCGTTCATTATCAGTTTCGGTAAAAATCGTTATTTTGGGTATTAAGCTGCAATATTGCATGACTGTATTGTCGGCGACTTTCATGGTCACTAGGCTGTAGTTCTTGGGTTAACTGAATTTGTATATGTAATTTCCAGTATGGGTAATTAAGTGTATTTGAGATAAGAACCTAATGTAATTATCATCAACACATACAACTTACAGCTTAAACCTCCAGTAATGCCATTTCAGAAGCTGATTTTACATAACATTAGAGCCTAACACTGATAACTAAAGCCTCATGACGTTTAGGCAACACATACAACTAAGTGCTAAGTGAACTCTTGTAGAAAAACCTACATAATGTCAAAAAAAAACAGCATAATGTCAAAAAAAATCGGCATAATGTTACTTTTCAAGATACGTGATACCCGTGTCGACCAACATTATGAATTAAAGCTACATCTTCACTAAACAACCTTCTCCCAATAATCTTATACAATTCTCTCGTTCTTTTTGAAAAAGGCGAGGTATTTTTGAGAAAATACATTTATACTGTCAAGTCGACAGTCAATATTATCGTTACTTAGGAATTGCATGTTTGAGGTGCAGGTAGTTAGGAAGAAAGCGAAGAAACGTCCTATTTGCATGGAGATGGTAACCCAAAAAAAAGTATGAGGTCGAGCCGAAAAACATTTATTGCGGGAAGCTAAAAATTCGATAATGTGAGTTATAGTCAACTTTCGAAAAATTTGAGATATCACTTATTTTAGAATAGTAAAAAGATCAAAAAGATGCATAGAAAAATTTCCAAGATCAAAAACTTTGCTAAAATAACATGACTTCCTTTGCTCACCTTGTATAAGTGTATAAGTATAACGCAACTGTCCACCAGTTTTTATACACGTTAAGGTCAAAATACCCGTGTTAATAAATGCATCAACACAAGAATCCTGGTATCCTAGTCCCGCTATCACCCTCATAAACCCTAGAAGTATGCGAGGAGTGCCCCCACAACAGTATTTCATAAACCATATGCGAGTGAAAGTAGCAATAATCAGATTTCAGAACGACATTGAGACACGCAATATTAACTAGACTGCGAAGGGCAAATACACTTTTACTAAGTTTGGTGGTCAAGTTCAAGCGACTGTCCAGATGAAAGCCAAGAGATTTTACATAGATAATGTTATCATGATATCCCAATGAGAAATCTATTGTTTGTGTTTTTTTGTGTTTGTTTGAGACTAGTCTATATGCATAGAACCAGTTTTCAATAAGCCCAACATTCATTGCAGATTGGTTAAGGTCTCCGAGTTTGCTTCCACTGCAGATTTAGCAGTAGACATTGAGTGCTGTATTTGAAAAAGTCATTAATAAAAATTATGAACAAAGTGGGACATAGAATGGAACCCTGGGGCACGCTTAACCTGACTGTCTGAACGTTTGACATTTCTTTGTCCAATGCTACATACTGTGATCCGTCATCTAGGAATGAAGAATTTTTTTCCACGACTAAACATGGGAAACACAGTCAAAAGCCTTCTTTAGGTCGAAAAAACTTGCCCTAGCGACTAGTACTCATTCATATATCTATAATATATGATCGAATTTATAAAAGAACTCAGCCGCAAAGAGATGACGCGGCTGCCATGCAACGTACCAGTGCATTGCCAACGGCTCCCATTTAGCGTCCATATAGCATAAGAAAAATGCGCCTTGCACTCTAGACGTTAAAAAGCGCGGCCCTTACAACATTCGCATAACATATCACTGAACTAAAGTGCTAAGATCTCTAAAATCTATTGGTGAGTGATGAGAATATATCTTACCTGTTGGCGCCATTTGACCAGTGGACATACTCAGGAACACAAATAACGCTGATATGCATGTTAACAAGGTCGACAAAATAAGCGGATCCGCAGGTCTGTAGGACAGACACGCCTGTAACAGTCTCAATCCAGCAGCAACGGAAGGTCGTTCAGCCGCTTGTAGAACTCTGCTGAGGATGCTCTCCAGGAAATTAGCTACAGCCTCCCACTCTTGGAATACAGGATCCGATGTCGTCAGACCTACTACGCTATTCGGTACTTGAAGGCACTTCAACAGCCACTGTTCCACGTAGTTGAAGGTTACTAGAGGAGCAACTACTGTTGCTTGCCTATAAAAAATTAAAAGTGTTGGATTCGCATACAACGCTTTGAAACTGGGAGATTGATGAAGTCAGTCTGTATATGACATTTTGTACTTTTAACTTTTAGCCTTACGTCAGCGTCACTCTTACCAGATAAATGTAAAATATACGACCGACAATCGCAACGATGTGGCAGAGTTGGCTGCGCTTTGTAAGTAAAAAATTAAAAGCCAAAAAAATCAACAATACAACCTGTTCACCAAAATGAACTACTACCTGTTTCTATGTTTCTTTCGAGGTAAGGTCGAGGAATTTTGACAGATCCAGTATAATTGTTAAGATTTTTGTTGTCCTCCACAATATCCCAATCAATCCAGTTATTTTTTGGTGGTGTTTTAACAGAGTTCTACTTAAACGACATGTCGTATGATATGTCACAAATCTTGTTAAGTGAATCCTAACTGTCATCAATTTACAAGCCTTGCAACTTTCATGTACCACTTGAGGTAGCAAATGTGTTAGGCCCTCTTTTGGTTAAACAGCAGTTGAGAACTTTGATGTCGTGAAGAAGAACTATGCACGCTAGTTTAGAACATTGCTCTAGCTCCTAAGTCGCATCTGGTCCAGCCAGAACAGTTTAGACAGTCTATTGCCAATTCCAAGGTCAAAAAACTGTAAAAGGATTGAGATGATGTCATAGATTTTCACACTTTGACAATGATGACCACTTTTCCCAACTTCAAACCCCAAAATGGCTTTTTAGTTAATTGTGAATCTCTACATGTTCACAATGCGCTGCTCCGCGGTTCATCCCTTAGAATGCAAGGGTATGAGAAAAGAAGTACAATGGGAGGATCAGACGTCAACAACATCACCCATATGATCGGCTGAAGGAAACATTATAACACTAAAATAATAACGCTAATAAAATAACGATAAAAGTTTTGCTTTGCACGTTGAATTGTCGCGACAAAAACACGTGAATACCAATGCAACTTTTCGCACATTTAGTCACTCTGTGTCTTAGCACAGGCACTTTTTATTCGATTACAATGTGCTTTAAAGCACTGGGTAAAGGAAGGTAGAGATTACATTATCCTCAAAACCGAAATTAAATTAGACAAAAGGTAGTATTAAAATAAGTGCTCAAATGAAGTGACCATTAAATGAGTTATGCAGTTTACATTATCATGTTACTTACCTGAAAGAATCCAACATATCCGAACGGCACCTATAAAAGAACGCCGAAAACTCCTCTTCGCTATCGAAATCAATCTTCGCATAGAGGGCGCCTTCACTCACATCACTGTTACCTTTACCGGCCGGGTAATTGAATTTGACAATCTTTGGCGCGGTGCACTGCACCCATTGGGGAATATAAGATAGGAAAACGGGATCTCTCGCTACGTGCTCATTTTTCAACATGCTGTTCCATAACGGATTCGTCAAGTGAGCCAGCACTAAGCTAGCCTGGCTGCTGTATGCCAGAATAGCTTCCAGGAACAGGCTGAAGTTGTTGGGGCGAGAGATGCTGTCTTTGCCCCATAAGGTGCACAGCTGAGTCGTTAGGCCGCCTAGAACCTTGAAATTAAAAAAAATCATCCAATAAAAGAATCTGGATCATACAATTTTACCTATCATTTCAATACTTTTAAAATGCAAAGATAGAGAAATCAACTGTTTATAATGAAGTGACTAATTACAGTGAAAGCTCTCTTAACGGGCAGCTCTAATAAGCGACCATCTTCCTTAAGCGGCAAAATTTTTTGGAACCGATTTTAGTCCTATATTTTAACATAGAAAGTACACTTCAATAAGCGAGCACTCTAATAAACGGACGCGGGTAGCAATTTTTGCACGTAGGACGAAATACTATCTCCTATAAGCGATCGCGAAGCTCTAATAACCGAGCAAATGAAGTTTAACCATTACTTTAATATGGCCATTCGGTGATTTCCCGCGAGGTTTTGGGGAATTTACTGTATAACACTTTTAATTTATAATAATATGCCGCCGAAAAAGCGAATGTTGACGCTAAAAGACAAGATGGAAATTGTGAATGTTATTGATAAGGAAAAATTATCAACTCGGGCTATAGCATTGCGATTTACTATAGGAAAGACAAAAGCGACGTTGATTGCAAAAAATAAGGAGGATATCCGACGTTTGTGTCAGTCTGAAGTAAATGAACAACAATAAAGAAGTTTTTGTAGGACTGAAGGCTTAACGATAAAGCATGTTTTGAGTGGTTTATTAGTGCTAGAAATCGAAGAATACCCATACCTGGGGGGCTTGTAAAAGAAAAAGCAAAGAAAATTGCACAAAAATATGGTTATCAAAAGTTTAGTGCATCCGATGGGTGGCTTCAAAAGTGGCTTAAAAGAAACAATGTTAGTTTTAGATGCATTTCTGGTGAAGCGCCCGATGTAAATCAAGAGACAGTCGATGCATTTATAGAGAAACTTCGTTCATTGCTTTTGGGATACTAATGTGAAGACATTTACAATGCCGACGAAAGCGGTCTATATTTTGGTGCGCTTCCGGATACGACACTGACTGAAAAGTGTTCGGGGGAAAATTATCGAAAGAAAGACTAACCATATTATTCTGTGCAAGCATGACTGGACAAAAAGAGAAACTGTTAGTGATTGGCAAATCTGCACGCCGTCGAGCATTGAAAAATGTAAACATTACGGATTTACCTGTTCTGAAGAAGTCAAATAAATAAGCCTGGATGACACTCGAAATAATGGGTGAGTGGTTAACGGAGTTGGATCGAAAAATGGGCATTAAGAACAGAAAAATTCTGCTATTTTTAGATAATACTGCATCTCATCCTCGAGACTTACATCTAAAAAATATTAAAATTATAAAACACAACAAGTATGTGCCTGGATCAGGGCATCATTAAAAATTTTAAGTTTTATTATCGTAATCAGATTTTTAAACATACTGTTAAATCATCCTCAGAATCATAAAAAATTAATGTTTTGGAGGCATTGTACTTTATAAAAACGGCAGAATGTTAATGAGACAATACAAAATTGTTTCCGAAAAGCTGGGCAAGAGGTTCCTCATTTTGATCCCGAGTATGAGTTTATCTGTTATCTGTTTTCGCAGCGATGGTCCGAGATGCGGATGAGCATTACCAACGATCAAAATTTAGATGAATATGTTAGCATTGATCAAAACACTCCAACTGAGGAAGATGCTGAGCTTGAACATTGAGTCGTAGAACTAGGTGGTGAATCTAGTCAAGAAAATGAGACGGATGACGAAATTGAGGATATTCAAGAAGAGGAAAATAAAGTAAAAAGCTATAATGAAGCCTTAATTTTTGTAAAAGAACTGATCAAATTAAAAATGTGGAATGTCATTTTCAGAAATGTCGTGATGATGCAAACCAAAAAGCAGGCGACTATTCTAAAAATTTTTCAAACTGTTTCTAAATAAGTTTTCTGTACTTTTGTTGTTATTTAAAAAAATTGTCTTCACATGGCATCAATACATATGTATGTACATATTTCATTATACATACATATATGTAATTATAAATTATAATTTTATGTACAATGTGTACATACATGTCTTATAATACGACTTAATTTAATATATGTAATTATCATATTATACTTTATAAATTCATATATGTAATAGTATGTATGTACATACATATATGTTATAATGTCACTTATAAATAAAAAACTGCAATTCCTATATTGGTTAGTTTTCTTTTAAGCGGTCACCTCCAATAAGCGGGCAAAAAAGCTGGAACCCTAGCTGCCCGTTTATGAGAGCTTTCACTGTATAAGCTTGCAATATTTTAATGGTAATTCCATGTTTATGTGTTGTCACTATGTGAGCTGAAACACATGTTATTTCGTAATTCATTTAGCACGCCAGATTTACAAAATAATTGCAAGTTGTATCTCAACGCATTGTAGGCTACAGCCATAGAATTGAACTGAATGAAGAATTCCTGACTAGTGAACTCTTCCCTAATCCTTATGAACTATTTCTCGAATTTTGAATTAACGGCGACCTGTGCAAATGCTGATAAAATTTCAACACAAAATCTATCCAGACCAAGTTAAGGAAGAATTAATAAATTGTAAATGTACAGGGTGGCCAACTAAAAATGCGAGGTACTGTATCCAGGAACCTACGAATCGTAGAGGCTTGGGGCAAAAAAAATTCTCACTAAAACGGCCAAGAGAAAAACTTGGAAAATATTTTCTAGTTTCTGAAATGGCCGCTAGGGGGCGTAACTGCAATCTTGAATATAAAAAAGTGATGTTTCTGTGAAGTCCGCTATATTAACCCAACAAAATAATGCCTGATCTTCAAAGTCGAGGATAATGGGAACTTTATTGTTCAATTTTGTTGTTTTGCTGTATTTCTAAAAATAAAGTGGTGGGGGGTATTCAAAGGTTTCCGTAAAAAACACCCTGTATCTTCGAAATGGCTGAGAGAATTTTAACAAACTTGGACTAGTCTCAAACAGCTAATCTTGGGCTTTTCTAAACTAATTTTTCTGGAATTCTTTTATATGAGGGATGTCTTTTAAGTTTTGCATATGGAAATAAAACAACACGGTAGGTAGTTTTAAATGACTTTATTGTTTTTCGAAGTATTCTCCACGAAGATTAATACACATCTGCATGCGCTCGAACCAATTTTCGAAGCACTTATTCCACTCGTTTGCTGTCAGATTCAAAACGGCATTTTTCAATGCGTCAACTGCTTCTTCTGGTGACTGGAACCTTTGACCACGCAATCTGTTTTTAATTTTCAGGAAAGTAAAGAAATTGTTAGGACTTAGATAGGGACTATATGGAGGATGGTCCAATAATTCCACGTTTTCTTCCGTTAAATACTGCCTTGTTTTTTGGGCTGTGTGCGAGCTTGCATTGTCTTGGTGGAGGATGATTCTTCTTTAGGGGTTGATTTTTCGAAGCTCGGTGATGACTTTTGGCAAACAAATGGTGGTAAACCAATCCGCAGTTACAGTTCTTTGCTCATTAAGAGGAATTGTTGCAATATGACCCGCTTTTGACACAAATGTCACGACCATCTTTTTCGAAACACTTCGAGAACGGATGACTTTTGTTGGCTTTTCTTCACCTTGGAATACCCAAACAGCCGACTGTCGTTTATTTTCTGGTTCATAACAGTAAATCCACGATTCATCACCACTAACAATGCTGTACACATTTTTTGAGTTTCCGGAATTGACACCAATTAACCCTGGCTGCTTTCTGCTCTTCAGTGCTCTCAGTGGGGCATCCAACGAGAAACTAATTTTCTTGCTCCTAATTCTTCATGTAAATTTTTTTGAATTGAGGTCTTTCAGATCTTCAAGGCCGCCTCAATCTCGCGATATGTCGCATGTCTATCTTCAATGATGAGTTTGCGCACGGCAGCGACGTTTTCCTGGGTGACTGCCGTTTTTGGTGCACCCACCCTGGAATCGTCGCCCGTCCACGTTTGAATTCTCCATACCAACGTGAGTTCCATTTTTCTAATGACTTGGTGACACTTGAAAATTCACTCTAGTGAGAACATTGCACATATTGTTGTGAAACTTTGAATTTAAGTTTACTAAAGAGTGAGGTTAAGATTCAGTACTGACGTTCGATCCGTGCGGCCTACTATGTTTCTATATGCAAAACTTAAAAGACATCCCTCGTATAAAATTCAAGTGATTTTCGTATACAATTTTCTTTAGCCTAAATTTTAGGTTAGGAACAAGATATCTAGATGCGGTTTTCGCGAGCTTATTGGAACATCATTTATCTACTTTTTCATAATTATGAAAAATCATACTAATGCACTTAATTTTTTTGAGAAAAATAACCATTTCTGTCGGAACGTCGATAAAAGCTATCTAGCGCCTACATGTGAAACTAACAAAACTTCAAATATTATATCATTTGTAACCCAAGAATATGTAGCTCTTTTCAACCAGCCCAAGTTTGTTAAAATCGGCTCAGCCGTTTCGACGATACGAGGTATTTTTTAAGGAATCTTTTGAATATCCCCCACCACTTTATTTTTTAGATACAGCAAAAATTATGAAACAAAAAATGTTTAGATTATCCTCGAATTTAAGGATCAGGTAGTTTTTTGTTAGGTTAATATAGTAGATTCGATTGCAGTTACGCCCCCTAGCGACCATTTCAGAAATTTCATATTTTCCAGGTTCTTCTCTTGGCCGTTTTAGTCAGAACTGTATTTTGCCGCAAGCCTCTACGATGGATACGTTCCCAGATACAGTACCTCGCATTCTTAGTTGGCCACCCTGTACTCCTTTTAGTGTAATCTCATATCATCGATAGTTACCTGAATCAATTTTTTATTGAACAAGTACTGCTGTTCATCACCAATACTGCAAGGGGTTTTTGCAGCTGCTAGAATACACTGCATTGTTTCAGCATTGAAAAGAATTAGAAGAGGTTTTCTTTCTTCCAATTTTCCTTTACGATTTACAATCTGGAAATAAAAATAATGAACTGAAATAAATTCATTTGCATCGGCAAACATACATTTCATGTGAAACCATCATTGTCTGAGAATTAAGATTAATTTTCTGACATTTGACAGAAGCCTAACCTCCATGGCAGACGTAGGGTCACATTCTGAGGGCCGTATCGTCAGTCCTAATATTGTAGGATGTCTTTATGACCTCCTTAATTTTCATATACCCTATTTCACGAGTATCCTTCACGGTAGAATGACAGCTGATTACCTAGTAATATTTCAAAATTCCACACACATAATTCTGACGAATCCTTCAATGCCAGCTAGACAGAGCTATATTGTATTGTTTTTTTTTTGTATGCTACAGATTCATGTTGTACTTGCTAAAAGCTCTTTTATTCATTTCCATACAAAAAACAAACCAGTTTTACTAGATTTACACCAGATTCATTATTGCCAACGTCGCTGACCTAACACAAAAATGTCATTTTCTGATCAGCTGTTCACCTCAGTAGACGTCAAAGCGTGATGGATACTCGTGAAATAAGGTATAGTTTCCTAATATTCCGTGTCAGCGCTCTATTTTGAGGTTATGGTTCAAATGTCTATTTGCATCAAATTGTTCATGCTTTTAATTTATATCACCTGTTATATAGCCTGTAATTTTCTACAATTCAAGAAGAAAACAGAGCCTGACAATAAGAGAGCGCTGACGCTGACACGGAACAGTAAAAATCTAGAAATATCCCAGCCTTTCTGAAGGAGAGAAAAGACTATGGAAATCAAGGAGGCCACAAAGGCGTCCTACAGTTGTAGGAACGACTGACGATATGGCCCTAACAGTTTAGTTACTACATCTTGCCATGAATTATTGTCAAGCTTTGACGCGAAATTTACGTTTTAGGACAATGTTTATCACTCCACTATCATAGAAAAAAATAATCAGGACATATACTTTTTGGATATAAAATATTAGAATTTTGGACTTGCACTTTGCACCTTTTAACAGAAAGAAAATAATTTATTTACATAAACCATTCTTACCTGGGACAAGCACTCGGCGGCAGAATTCTGGAATGCCCTGTCGTTCAATAAAAGGCACAGTATCTGCAGCAACCTGCCGTTCTGAGCCATAACATGTGTCATGGAAACCCATTCCACAAAACCAGCCAAGGTTAACAACACTACTTGCACCACACGACTGTGGGAGTTTGCTTTCGTCACGTTGGTACCGCTGAACGATCTGAATTGGTTGACGTGTAGCTCGATCAGGCGGAGGAAAAATTCGAAGATGATGGACATATTGGCAGTCAGAGCATGGTAGATGTCTTTGCGGCGTTGGTTAGATTCCAGTGTCTGAAGCAACCGAAAATGACGTTTAATTACACTCATTATGTTCAATGTCGGCATTTGGTTGGGAGGTGGGAAGGGGAGGGGAGAGAATGATAATGAGAGTGAACTGAGGAATACAACTGGTAAAAAAGACACTGAACAAAAGTAATGTCAAAGACTTTTGGTGGAACTGAATGGATACCTGCCAAATCGATAGGCGATACCATGGTGATAAAAACTGTCCATGGGACCTGGGCCCAGAAACTCAATTTTCGGTCAAAAGTCAAGCTGGAAACTGTTGATACAGCTATATAAACAGGAAACGGATGATCATTCCATAGTATTTGAAACGAGGAAATATTTGGACTAGTTTGCATAATAGGTACCGTTCAGGCCACACCTACAGAGATACAGGTCGCTGTTATTTAAATAACAATAAACACCCTGGTATGGTATAGTAGTATCTAACATTTTGAAACCCTCTCAGTGAGGGTCTACTAATTCAAATGATGTATCAACATCCATACTTGCATCTGGATTTGTTAGGATAAGACTGCACCTAAACTGGAAAGCACAACTATAGCCCCACCAACAATTTTTTTTCCATACTTCAAATGTAACTTAATATAATGTATTAAAACAAATAAAAACATCAAATAGTGAGGTTGTTAAAATTTATTTAACAACTAATTAGGTGATTTGTAGATAGTAACAGCAAAATAAGTGATAGTATTTGATTGTATACTATCAATAATTTTGTGTATTTTATACTTGAGTATTTCATATTGGGATAAATCAAATATTGTAAATCTATCAATGCAAATAACAATTAACAATGACAATTTACATATATATCAGGCTTTTGTAAAGTAATACATAAAATAACAAGGTATCAAATATTTATTTGCCAGGTATAACAATCATGTAAATATCTTTATTTATATGTGTGTGCATTATTTCTTAAAACCAAATATTTCATATAAGATATAGAAATGCAGTAAGCTTTTCAATGACTCACAACACAAGAGCTGTGTAAATCTACTTTCAACCATTACTAATTTGAATCAATTGCAGCAATAAATTTCTCTTTGACGAATATAATTTTTAAGTCATCTTACACATAATCATTTGAAGAAAAGTTATGTAGCGAGTTATTTCTCACCTGTAATAAGGCAACATCTTCAACAAGCCTCAAAAATACCAAGAGAACTAACTCTGTCTGCACCTCTCCACAGGAACAAGCCTCAGACAGCTCAGACAGCAAACTAGGCCACTGTTGAGGCCACTCTCTCTTCACCATTTCCACAATAACTCTGCTAAGTGCATCTTTCATGTGAGACTCTTCACTGATGCCACCAGCAGATAGCAATTTCATGGCATTTTCCTATGAGAAAAGGTCAAAATTTCTTAGCTTAGCTCTTAGCAAATTCTTATTGCAAAGTGTGACCATCAAAAGAATGCAGCCATGTCTCATATTACTATTAACTTATGAAGAATTTAATATAAAAAATCAAGATTTTAAAATGATAAAAATGCAAACATGTAATGTTTCTATAGTGTGAAATAAATTGGTTAATGCAAGCTCTTCAATTCTTTACATAAATCTATGAAATATGAGCTCATTAAATGATTCCCTTTTCCATAACTGTTTTTATTCTGTACATGATTTTTTAAATGTTCAACCTTTTGTATGTTTGTATATACCTGGGTATTTCCAAATTGACCCTCGCCACTGGGATCTCGGAAACGGTAAGAGATACGAAGTCACTTAAATGAGGGTAAAGTTGCGTATTTATGCAACTAACAAAATGCTGCATAGAAAGTTTTGAAGTCCAAAGTACTTCCAAGATGGCATAATTATTAGAATTTCAATATGATGTTTTGTCTCTTGTCCTCCAGCATCACTTTATTTTTTCTTCTGGACGCCATATTGGATTTTTCTCCATGTAAATAGAGTTTTTCATTCTGATTTCAAGAATGTATAATATGTCATTGCTAAAACTTCAGTTATTCCAGAAAAACATGTCATTTGTTTCATATACCAGACCAGACCTTAAATTGAACATAGTAACAGGGTTTCAAAGACTGAGAAAAAGTGAAATAAATTGAGCAGTGAGCAATGTACAAAGAGTCAGGCTTTTAAGAAAATAACATACAACATTTTAAACATTTGCTATGATTTATCTCTGCTTATTTATAATTATTATTGTTATTACCATCAATAACATTTTCTTTCTGTGTTCTGGTTAAACCATACCTTTTTAAAATACATCACTGAGTTTAGTACAAATGTACAAAATTGTAATATAACATCCATATGAAAAAACAAAGTTGGTGATGGAAGTAGAAAGAATAATCCTCAAATTGAAAATTTTACTACACCATTTTGTAGAGCATAATTAACAATGACAACATGCAATTTATTTTGAAATCCAATCTCAAATAAAGTTAGAAAAAAATTAAAACATATATGGGAAAATTTGCTCTCTCTCTTGAAGTACTTTGTTTTATTACTTACCTAAATAACCAGCTTTTCCCCCTATTTAAGCGACATCATATCTTTTATTGCTTCCGAGATCCCAATGGTGATGGTCAAAAAGAGAACGTATCATTACCAAGGTTTTTGAGCTACCTTTTACTTGAGGTGTTTTTGTAAATGATGACTTTGATCTAGTTTAGAAGCACAATATACAGCTGCGAGTATTGCCAGAGGTGACAGTCTATCTTAAATCAGGAATGTTGAGTTTTTAAAGATTTCAATCTCTGTCATATACTCATGCAATAAAAAACGTGTGTAGCATATTTTGGGGCTATTTTTCTCAATTGTCAGAAGTAAGTTCACTTAGTATTTAATGCATCGTATAATTAATATGGGAGCAAAATACATTTTTTCACATTCTTTGGAAAGAATGCCAACAGATGCCGATGGTAAAACAGAGTGTTACAGTAGCTGTCTCATCTGTATGTAATCTGTTAGCCATCAAGAACATCACCATAAGAAATATTTTCATGTTAGCAATTCATACATTTTTAGATAGTTCATGATGCAATGACTGTTACACATTTAGTGTAATAATAGTTAAAGTCTGCTAAAGAAATTTAGCAAAATGGATATCATACAATAACCAGTTTCCATATTATAACATGGCATAATCCTAAGAATATAGTAGATTAAGGTGTCTTTTGACATAGAGTATTATTTCCTACTGCAAAACTGACATTTCTAATCTCTAATTAGAGGTATATTCCAATCCCGTATTGTGCTTTATTCAATAGTAGAGGTGATTCAATATGAAAAGACATAACTTTTACCTTGATAAATATCTTCTCTTGCTGTGATATTTGAGTCCAACGATACTTCACAGTGTGCTCCATGAGCTGTAATCCGAAATGCCTTGATATGAGTGAGTGTTGAGTTCCAGCTGCAAGATATAAGCCTGCCTCTGCACACAGTGGTGATGTTTCCTTGAAGCTTTCACAAGCTTGGTAGGCTCTTAAACGGTCTTGTTGAGAAGCTCCTGGGCTCATTGTCAGTTCAACTGCTCTGGCTAAATCAGCTGCAAGAGCTGCTACATCTGGACCTGCCATTCTGCTCCCTTAAAACGGAATTGTAATATTTTGGAAATCACATGTTGGACAAAAGCAGCATGGTAATTTTTGTAAATACTTTCTTGATGAATAATGTAGTAGCAAGCAAGAAGAGGCTTCTTGACTTACCTTTAGTTATTGATATTTTACATTTGAATAGTATGAACTAGTTCATATCAAAGTTTTATTAAAAAAAAGTCCAACAAATTTACAATTTTCTCATTTGTCACATTGACGGTTGCCGGGTACAACATAGCACAAAACACAAAATTCGGGCAGTAAAGCTCGCCAGCGCTGCCATACTTCAAAACGGTATGAAAGCCATCCCTAACTGTATCAAAGATAGAAGTTAGCTAACATAAAATGGTAATTATTAACATATGATAGAACAAGTCTATAACAGCATTAAATTATAAAAATTATTTTTCAGTTGATTTATATCACATTTTCGGTTTAGGCTTTTTTTTAAGATATAAGTTTTCCAAGGAAAGTAAGAAAATCGAGCGATTTGGCAATGGCGTTCGACTATTTTATTTGAGATCTCTTGTCCTGTGAATATCCATGGAACAGTAACGTTCTGTGGCAACCATGTGTTTTGATTTGATTTTTTTCCTTCTCTGGGCATTTAAAATTGAAATCCTTCATTGAGATTTTAGTTTTGATTCCAACATTATACATTCGATCATTGAACTAAAAACTGAAGACGAAAGTATATCTATTAGAATGATAAATATTAAGACTAAATAATAATGTCATGCAACCGAGGTGTAATTTCTACAAATATTTATAGAGTTCTGTGAAAGGTTGATTTTAGATTACTTTTCCCCAAATATTACGAAATATATGAACTAGTGAGAAGAGTACAAAATAAACGTATAATACCATTATATTTAAAGGAGTATTAAGAGTTTAAATATATTTTTATTGAAATTTCATTTGTTGCTATAAAAGTAGGTAGATATAGGTAGTTGCGGTATCTTCCAAGACATGACTAGTACTTTGAGATATGATTGAAATTAAATCAACAAATTCATTAAAACGACTTAAGTGCAGTAAGTGTTTTGAATTTAACGAAAAATGCATCTGCACCTCGGATTCCCGCCTTTTTCGATTACCCACAACAAACGAGGCCTTTTATATTGTGAAACAGAGGCTCGTATTGGTCGTCAAAAAGAATCCCAAACGAAAACGTAACGAAGTTATGGAAACGGACTGTAATTGGTCGATCCTATGCGCCCGGTTCAAATTCAACCAATAAGTATAGACGATATATGTCTGTCTCTTTCCACCGCATAAGTGGCGTGGGTTCTAAATACGAAGCCGTGTTTTAGTAGTTTCGAAGCTCTCAAAGGTAAGAATTATTTTATATTTTTGTTAGTAGTTAGTGTCAGAGTGTCATATTCAATTTATAAGCAGATATAATTGTTTCACATTTATTTGTATTGCCGGAGGGAATCTAATATAATTTTTATATTTTGTATACTCATGTGCGGACTCCCTATTGCCGTACATATTACTGGGAGCAAATGGCTGCCATAAGAAAAGCATTGGTTTGATATGGAGGCGTAGCATTATTTTTTTTGACGGTCTTCCAGTGCTCGTAGACTATTTAAACTCTGTATAGGGCCAGTTTGAATTATTTGTGATTTTTGTGCGAAGTATAGTGATTCCACGGTTAGTATAAATCGTAGAAATTAATTATTGTAGATACGTACTTTGTTCATATGGCGAGGTATAGCCGCTATACAGACTCCATTTGTACAGTGTATTCCCTATGCTATGCATTACTACGGTTTAGTATAGGCTGTTATATAGGGTTTATATGGCAAAATATTTAGTAGATTTTTCTTGCTGATGTGTATTTTTTGGTAAATCTATGGTATTTAGGGCGTTGTTTTAGTCATTTCGTAATCACTTTTATTGATGACGTAGGCGACAATGATGCACAAAGCTGCTTTTTGGCTATAATTGAGGCGTAATATGTATCTTGTTAGTTTTGCCGCCAAAACTGTTTTTTAGAACTTTTTCGGGTTAATTTCGATTTTTGAGCGTGTAGTCGGATATTGATTTTAGAAAGTAAGCCGTGTGTATACTGTTTTGGCACCATTTTGCAGAACAAAGGAATTTTGCATGGGGTGGTTTTTTTACAGCTACCCTAGCTTAGTGCTTGTTTATTAGTATTATGCTTCTGAATTAAAGATATACGTGTATTTTGGTACATATTCATTTGTGTATTGAAATAGGCATATTTTGAGATATTCCTGGATAAATTAGCCTTTTTCGTGCAAATAATAAATCGCATCTACCTTCAGGGTTTGAATTTTGTAGTCTGTTCAAAAGGTTACCGCGTACACGTTGTATTTGATTTTCATTCGTTTGGAGTATGAACTCATTGCTATCAGTTCGTGATATATCTGTTAGGTCAATAATCGACTTTGTCGATATACTGAGGCCATTTCTTTCTTAGCGTCGCTTGTGGTTGCTATCCCGCATAATTAGCTTGGGTGAAAAGCGTTATGATGTAGGATATCCTGTATGACAAAGCAGATAGTTTGGTTTTCATGTACATTCTACAGCTGGAAACCATTTCAAACTCTATATATTTTTAAATGCATGCCCTACACAAGAGAGTGAACTAAATTAGGTAGCTTCAACTTTGTTGGAAGAACCTAATTCTTTTTGTAACCATTATATCTGCATTGATGAGTGGTTAAGATCCTTTATATTATACCTAGATCGACTTTTCAGTTTATTGAATGAAGATAAATGGCATTATGTGGGTGGTACTAGCTTTTCACGGCATTAGAGGCTCGTATGATATTTTTGCGATTTTAGCACAATATTATTAGTTTCAATCCAACCAGAATGTATCTACATAAAAACCATAAAAATCTCATAGGCATCAATTTGATTTTGTGATTCTGATCTGCTCTCCAGTTCGTTATTTATTGATTAATGTATTCTACTTTTAGCCTATTCTACTTGAAGAAAGGCAACCTGATACTATATTTGCGCGTCCGAAAAATTATCCGAGATGAAATAAGTTACCATCACGTCATGTATGAGATTTTGCAATAGATACGTTTCTCCTCTCAGCAATTATTAGAAATCTACTCAAAAGGTTAGCGTCTCATAGATCCAGTTCGTTATTTATTGATTAATGTATTCTACTTTTAGCCTATTCTACTTGAAGAAAGGCAACCTGATACTATATTTGCGCGTCCGAAAAATTATCCGAGATGAAATAAGTTACCATCACGTCATGTATGAGATTTTGCAATAGATACGTTTCTCCTCTCAGCAATTATTAGAAATCTACTCAAAAGGTTAGCGTCTCATAGATGGCGCTGTAACTGTATGCTCATATAGTTGGAGATGCTAACCTTTTTCCTAATTATGAGGAATTATGTGAATTCTGTTCAAAATGTAGGCTGCATAAACGTCCTGTCGTAAATACTGGTCTAAAGAAATTCCTAAATATTTGATATTGCCCAGTCTGTCAATTGTGACTTCCAACGCGTGCTTGCGGCACGAACGTTTTGGGTAAGGCATTGGGGAGAGGCGGCGTTGACAAATGGACTGCTGGTAGAGCGGGGAAAGAATGTCTATGTAGATTGATTGAATGGGCCTGTTTGACTAACTTTTTTTCAGATGGTCAAGTTTGAGCTGAACATGAACCGATAACGGCGTTGCGTGAGTCAATCTACTTGACGCCATTTCTTAAATTTGTATTGCTTATTTTGAAGGGAACATCAGGTAGACGTTTTGCGTATGATGTGGACAGAAAACGCGTTTTTGCCAAGTTCACGTTTAATTTTAGTGTTAAAAAATGAATGTTTTCAGACATTCTCAATTGTTATCTTTACAACATGCCAGTCTTGACCTTTATACAGTATTGCTGTGTCATCAGCAAAACTGACTATTTTACCCACACAATTAATTTTGAATATATCACTCAATCTTACATAAGAAATGGTTTTTTGAATCGTGAAAAGTATGATTTGTAACTCTATGAGAATGGCATTATTTGTGAATATATTCGTTGTCTTGTTGAAACCTCCTATGTACAATTTTTCCACATCAGTGTTTTCTGAATACCTGTATAGTCAAATATGAACTCCGTGATCAGATGTGCAAAAGTTTCATAATAAGAAACTCTAGCAATTCTGTAGGTATTTACTAAAAATCGGTACGAATGGAAGCGAAACCAATTTTTCAAATTTAAAAGAGTTTTTATATCACTTTGTAAAAACTGCTTCTAAACACGTAGAGTTTTCGGCAAAAAAAATGACGATGTAAAACTTGTCTGATTAGCATTTGCGGGCCACGCGGGAGATCTACACGATTTAGCTTAGTATCAAAAGATATATTGTCAGTACGAAATTAAATTGTTTCTAAACTTAAATAATACGCCATCCCCCGCGAACTTCACATTTAATAATTATTTTATGGTTCTTTGATCCCTTGTGATTTCTATATAGTGACAAGATAACCAATATAAGAAAGAACAGTGCAAACATCCTGCTGGTAGGGTGAGCCATGTTAGAAGCATAAAATGAAAAGTCAATTTTCAATACGATTTTATTGTTCTAAGAGGAAACACGACCGATAATTTTGTCCCCTGGAATGAGCAAATTATGTTGGAAAGATTTAATGGAAGATCCATAAAGTGATTCACATATTTGAAAGTAGATAGGTAGTCATATAATGTTTCAAACAAAAACCGCCAGTTTCATAAAATAAACAGGCAGGCATTATTAATGAAGCAGAGTTTAATTAGTGACAGGGAAGGGGGGTTAGGGGGGTCCGTAAGGCCTGGTAAACGAGAAATGAGAAGTGCACGGGTGAAGGGGGGGTGTGTAAAACGAGAGAGACGGGAGGAGAGAGCAGGCTGGTCCGATACGACGGCACCCTATTCGAACAGGATCGGCGTTATTAATTTTGCCGAGTATTGAATATTTATGATGCAATATTCCATTAATGGCCCGGGAAGTGATCTAATACAACTTCGATTTTTTTAAATTATCTTATCCATCAGAATGGAGCGCAGCTGACGCGAACCCACCGAAATTGGTTCATCAGATTTTTGAAATTCCATTTTTTTTGCTCTTGTCTTTTAGACCCCTTCATAATTTTTTGTTTTTGTTGGAAAAATTTCAGAATTTTTCGATTGATTTTCTTTGCTTCGATGTTTTTCGGGTAGTATAGGAAAACGACAAAATTTCATAGCTTCATAACTCCAGACAAGACAAAAGGCTTATTAGAAATTACAGAAAAATGAGTTTAAAAAAACCGGGCTTAGATTGATAATAGAGAAATTAGCGACGTTTCGAGTCACGTGGCGGAAATTTAGTTTTCCGCATTTCCTCTTTTTGAAATCCTACTCGTGCTAATTGATTGTATTCACGCAAAACCAAGATGGTTTCAAGTTCAAATAAAAATGCTTTTTAGTATGATCTCTCGCTAATAGTAATTTGCGTAATGTGTACATTTCGTGAAATCAATGAGTGTCGGCTTTATCGTTGCAGAATTTTCGAATACACCGGCTAACATAATTATATAGATTACTGAAGTAGTTGATAGTATATAATTAACTTGTAGTCTTTGAATTTTCTCAAATTTTTGTGTAGTAAAACTGCAGTTGGTGTATTTCTCAGCGATGTACGAGACATCAAATAAGCGATAATTCACACTAAACAATTGTCTTTAATTGTAAACATTCACCCAATTATTCTCGGACTACGTAAAAAGTGAATGCTTGTAATGTTTTATCACGTCCCAATTATTATTGTGAGATATTTTAGCGGTAGTTACATTCTTCTGCTGGAATTGAAATATTGTGCTGTTCTTATTACTGAAGCTGCCGCGTAGGCAGAAGCCTAAATACCGGAGCACTGTCGCTGCTATAAGAAACTTAAAAAAGATACCTTGATAATTCGATTTTTGAACTGCCTAAGGTTAGTAGAACTGCCTCTCATCAACTTCCTAGCGACAAAGGAATAGTCGTACCGGCCAGTTCCGCATGTACGAATTTCGAACACGGTGCTGGTGGATGGATTCTATTTTTCCAATAATTTATAGACATGTACTTCTCACTTATCACATCCTAGTCTCTGAATAATCAACTTAGATAAGTTTGACACCTTTTTTTGACGCAGAAAGCATTCTCTTGTTGCTGGTAGGGTGTGTACAAAATTGGAAGATGCTGATGAACTTCCTATTTAGAGGATAAAACAAGTTTCTATATAGTGTATTTGCCTCTATCTCAGTTTATTAGCAGATCCCTGCTGTGAAGTCCTAATAAAATTTTGAAATTACTGGTCCCAATTTAATTGCCACTTTCTTACCAACCTTTTTGTATTAACTGTATATTTTGAACAAATTACGTTTATGGTATAATCCGTTAAAGCTATAAAATGGTAGTTTAAAATCTACATATTTATTAAGGGTGATAACATCTGGATGGGGAAAAGCATTCAGGTAGATCCCTTACTTTAACAACCAGCTGCTGGTCCCTTCACTTTTATGAGGAACAGATGAAATCGAATATTTGAAAATTACATTTAAATCCATTGCTAAGCACCAACATGGATGGAGATTTAATTGACTGGCAATTTGTAATTCCCATGCATCTTACTTATTAATGAAATTTAATTTAGCCATTCATGCTTGGATTACCTGCTATGGGTGATCGTTTCCAAATACCAGCATCCACCACAAATAATTAATTCGTGAATTTTGGGTTGTTCTTTCATCGCATTTCACATTGTCTCATGGAAGTGTAATGTGAAACATTTACTTTAAGTAGGTAACAGGATATTTTTCATGTTGTGTTTTTGGTGTTATGAAATACTAAATTAAAACACCTCATTATTTTAATTTTTGAGTACTGAGGTTTGTGTTCATGAAATGTGATGGTCCATAAGCTTTAATAATCTCTTATAATTACTATCAAAGGAAAATCATCATAGCATCCTTTATATGTTTCAATTCTTCTGAAATTGCCTATACAATAAATACCTCACAATGGCAAAACTGCAAAAACGAAAATTGTACCCATACTTTTTAACATGTAAACCTCAACAAATGTCTTTCTTTTTTTTTAAACATTGCCTATAGTTTTTCCTCTTTTACGCTTCGTGTCCTACCAACTATTGTTGATTTCTGCGTCTTTTGCTTTTGGTTCACATTGCAGTCTACCTAATGATGACTTAGTTAAGGACTCATTGAGCAGACGCACTGTTCTTTTATCTTCTATTTTCTGTAGGCTTGCAAAGGGTGTCCCCAAATTTCTGCCAAGTTTGGATCAAGCTGAAAAGTTTTTTGTTCAGATTATATTTTTAATGAATCAAACTACATAGGATAGATTTGTGTTATAGAATAGCACATCCGTGGTTTTACTTTTTTCTCATTCAATATACGGGCGTCTGTGGGATTGTTGGCATATATATCTTCGACTTCAAAAGGAACAGAATTCAGTCACATATGTAGCCAGCAAAGTTAATAATGATATTTGCCTGAAGTGCTCTTTTTTTCAATTTAAATGTTGCGTAAATTTTGGACAACTTTTAAAATTCTGCTTGATAGCGAGGAATCTGATGGTAGAGCGAATGTGCCTGAGATTATCATTTTTGTCATTAGAGTGTAACATTGATAGTCCCTTCTGTGGTTATAGCTTTTTAGTGTATTTTGGATCCTTTTTGTCGGCAACAGCACAAAAATGGTTTCTCAGGAAGGAAGGAACAAAAAAATCATTATCTGAAATCGATTGGCAATTATTCAATTCTTTTGTTTGTTGGCCGGTCAGTTCGGCGGTTTTCGGCGTAAATATGCAAATGAAGTCCGTATCTGTAGATCCTCGGCGGGTTCGCTGTTGAGCCTGGGAGGCATTTCGGTTCGTCTTCATATTGACCGCTGTACGTGTAGCTCTCTTCGGTCCCAGCGTTGCCACATCTACACAAATGATTTCTCATAAGAAGACGGAACCAGTTTCTCGCTTTTTTTTTTTTGACGACGTGATTTAACTTTTTGGCGACGTTCGAGTTCTTTGTTGGATTCTGCCACGTGGCATTGTGATTTCATTTGGCACAGTTACATTCTTGAATGTTTCTTTGTGGTTACGTTATAGAAACATAACGGTTTGGTCGTAAGCAATCTGGTGGGCTGGAATTAGATGTAGAATTTTGGACCATAGACAGTTGAATAATCACTGAGGAAGTGATAAATGAGGCATGAATTTTATCTCGTGGTACTCTGTTTGCTGTAATGATGCCCTTTGTTTTCTGGAAGCAGTTTTAATATTTTAATGCGGTCATAAACTCTTGTGCTACTTGTCGGTTTTACTTGCAAGAAAGTCGTCATGCAAGATGTAGTGTTTTTGGCATCCGACGTGTTGTGGTTGTCGAGCATACAGACACAGTCTTTTCCTCGCGGAAGTTGGTACACGCACAAAGATCAACCTTCGGTCGATTCTACTCATGTCAAGTCATTGACTGAACGGTAGAACATAAACGTACGAATTGGTGCCATACTACATATATTTAAATGACGATTTAAGACTGTACAATCAAAACGCAGGATCAGTACGAGTGTCTATGCCAGCATTTTGAATACATTTTTTCTGTGATCAACTCTTTCATTGTGGTATATGGCCATTTATTGCAAGATAATGTAGCCTTGGTTAGATCATAACGCATTGTTTACCTAATTCCTCTGCAGAAATGGCGTCCCACTTAACGCCGCCCTTTGAGTTCTTTTCGTGTTCAGGTGGCTAAAATGAAGGATGCCATTAATTTCATAATTAGCGACTGTTTTTTAGTTCACCATTTTTTTATTAAATGTAACTAGATATATGAAAGATTTTTCCGAATAATCGGTGGTGTAAAGAAAATAACGTAGAGGATTTTTATACAAAAATTTAATTTTTCAACCTTATACTAATTTTCTGGTATTTTCAAAGTAGAAAAGATTGGCGTTCTCTATATGCAAAGTCAATACGTTAACCTTCTCAGGAGATACATTTTCTTCGGTTTCGAAATTATAACTTCAACACCATGTGTGCCGATAATTGAGCATTTCGTGGAGTAATGTAAATTTTGGCGTTGGGACTATTATTAAACGCTGTACTGGAAAAAAATTACGGTTTTGAGACCATTTGAGTCGGCAGAAGTTTGAGGTTATTAAGAACCACCTTACGGTAATATAGTATGTGTCTAAACACTAAACTAGAAATACTAAAAATATGTGTGACGACTATGACTTATTCATGTAACCTTGGTTTTATGCTATTTCAATTAGGAACAGATGTACAGTTGCTTAGTAGCTCCTGTTGACATAAAGTTTGGGCTTCATCTAAATGTCTAAATCTGAAGTTATTAGGGGTTTCTTCATGTACTCTTTCAACATATTTCAGCACTTATTTGTTATATAGGTATTGTGGTGTAATTTTTAAATATTGCAGTTCATTGTAAGTGTACTGCTGCATTTATGGCTGAGTAGCTTGGAGATTCCTTAGTTTTCCTGAAGATTGAAGCTAGTTGTTGGTCTTCTACTTGTTTTATATAACATATATACCCACTATAACTAATGTGTCATAAACTGCTAGATTGATATTCTTCTGATAAAGATATACACAAAAATGGATATCCTTGTTGTTCAATGCTAGTTTGGCAACGTGGCTCCTCTTGTACCCATGTAGCTTAAAGGCGGTTGCGGGGCTTGTTGGGAGGGGGGAGAGCGTCCGTCTGCCTGTTTCCAACCGGCTCCGCTGCGTGTGAGGGCGCCGCGATCGTCAGCCGCCTCGTTCCCCGCACGTATTGGCGTCCTCGACCATCCTCTCCGACCACCCTGTTGCCAGATTTCGAGCGACGGTTGCCGCGCGAACACCTCTTGCTCTCCGTCCCGCGCTAGTGTAGTTCGTTGTGCGTTCGTTGATCGGTGGTGCGATGACAATGATGATAAGGGTGCTTCGATAGTGCGCGCCCCTCGCTATGTCCGACAATCAGCGCGGTTGGGACGAGGAACAGCAGCAGCAGACAGGGGGCGGCGGCATGTGGTGGCAAGACCAACAGCAAGCGGCGCTACAACAGCAGCTGATGCAGCAGCAAATCGAAGCGGCGATTAGCTCCTCCGCTACGGCCACCCAGCAAATGTTTAATTACAAGATGGCTAGCAGCTTCCAAAACCCAGCAACCACGGTGTCAAATTCGAACTCTGTACGAGCGTACGCCGGCGGTGATTATGGCGGTGGTGGCGCCGGTGCGGGTCAGTGGTGGTATCCGCAGACTACCATGGACAATATGTTGCAGCAGCACCTGCAACAACAACAAAATATGCCACCTGTACATACTCCCCCTCCAGCGGTAAGCGACCCATTGCTTCGTTGTGTTCTTTAGTTCGGTGGTGAATCGGTCGTCGATTCTACCCCCGAACGATCGTTGCCGAGTGCTCCCGAGATGAAAAAATCGCCACCAAAGCTATTTGCCGGAGGGATTAGATGATGCGGGGTTGCCGGATTTATCGGTGGTTTCCAATTTTTTCGTACGTTTCACGCCGGCGTTTTAGCGATTACTAGTATTCAATAACTGTTAAAATAAGAAAAACCTCAGTTATCTAGTATTTGCATCTAATTTGTTTTTTCATTCGACCCATTTTAAGAATCCACATAACTCGTGTACTACGCAATTGAAACTCGTGTACTACGCAATTGAGTAAGAGATATAAATATCAAGGGTTGATCTTGCTGGAACAAAGTATGGTCTGAAATATGAATTAAACTCATATTTTCCATATAGGTAACGTATTATTTGAAAAAATGTTAAAAGGATCAGCAAAAAAGATCAATAACCTCCTACGATCCTAAACACGTAGGCATTGCTAGAAAAATGGAACGCCACTATTGTAATTGTAAAGATTCTTAGGGTGGAATTATTTATTTTAACTATACAATATAAAAAGTAAATAGTCTAAAATTAGGTTATTATTGTAGCATATTGAAGCGGATATAGCAATAAATATTCTTTGTATGATAAGAGTAACTCCTTTTTCAACAACAAAAAATACCTATGTATATACAAATCACCATAATTATGAATTATGCAGCCTCATGTTCCAGCGCCGGTAGTCAAAACTGACGGGAATCATCGGCTAGAAAGTAAAATTATGCTATAAACCTTGTTGCTGAAGGTAAATGGTACATGGAAGGCGTAGATATATAAACCTATTTCATCTTAAACACTGACATGGATAATAAATAATTCAATCATGAATTGTCAAACTGTTGAGATGTTAATAAATAGACAATTTTCAAAGTTCACGGTTTCGGGATTTGTGCATCATCAAAACATGAAATGTATAATTTATGCCCTAAAATGAAGGATCATGTAATTCTCAATACCTATAAATAGATGCTGACTTCAAGATGTGATTTGAGGGAAAATGGTTCATATTAACACCAGTGCCAGATAGCAATATTTTTCTGAGAACCAGAAAAAAGTATACATATTACCTTAACTGAAAATTTAATCAAAATCATGTAACATTAACTAACCCTGAAAAATAATTAATACTATATGTTGTTGGCCTTTATTAAAATTTCCATTTGGCGGTCTGGGTTTTTTCTTTTCCGTAGAATCTAGATTTTCGGCGATACGTCTTTACCCATTTGTCATCAAATCTAAATAAAATTGGCCAAAGTGCTATTATTTTTTCGAAAAAATTAGTTTTCAAAAAAAGTTGACACTCTGCATCTTGAAATCGATGCCCTACGTTAATATGATTCATTAGAATCCACAGAACGAATCGCCTCCCGAGGTTTGGTCAGGTAGGTGCTTTATTAACACGAGTATGCTGTATATACTGCAGATTTGAATATTCGAAATTGACGAGAATAAAATCTTCGAAGACTAAACAGTGCCCAAATGTCATAATGAAAGAACATTCGGCAATGGTCTGAATGCTGTCATGTACCATTCATAAATAAGGTAGAACATCAATCAATATCCAAATATACAAACGCTTGTACGAATCAATGCCCATAAATTAAACAATGGAAACTGGGCAATACCTCATTTCTGTGATGAATGACCCTAGGAATCGTATTTTATCGTTTTATCTTTCATAGAAATATATCGACCGTAACAAAATAGATATTTAATTTCACGGGCAAATCAAGGTATGATTAATTGAATAAAAAGCATTTTTAGAAGGTCATGGTTATGTGTATCACTCTCACTACTTGGCAAAAAGTTCAACTTTCAAGTATGCCTATTGTTATAAATGCGATTTTGAACTTGAATATGTATGCCATTTTATGCAGTTTTAAAAATTAAAACTATCTTTTAATATAAACTTCCGTATTACGGTTAATGTTTGGCAAAAAGTTCTTTAACTAACTGTATAGTGTTTCCATCATAGTATCACAACACAATCTCTATTTATTATTTGCATACTCTTAAGCTGTAATGCCTAAATTATAGCTGTTGTGCCTTATGTTCCAAATCAATTTTGTAGTTTGTTTTTAACTTATCTGGAGCAAAATTGAGGTAATTTTGCGTTAACAATCCGATTCTAGTTATTTCGATTTGTTTCATTATTAATACTAACACTGTCTTGTGAAATTACTGATCATCTGTAATTTGCTTAAATTTTTACTAGGTCAACATACAAAGCTTTTTAATAATGACATCCGTGTTCAGGCAATTTGCTTATTTAATTGAGCAGCTAAAATCTTTTTACCTTTACCTTGTTTTGCCGCATGTTTAGACTTTTGACATATTTTTAGCAATGTCCTTACTTAATTCAACAAATGACTGTTTTTAAGTGACAAGGAGTTGGATAGCGGAAAACCTCGTGGGTTGCAGATTTTAAATTTTCTGCTTTGTTCAAAGATTACTGCCAGTGCACCGGTTTTTTATCTCCATGCATAAGGGTGAATACAGGGTATTTGGATTTTCAGTGTTAACTTTAAAAAAGCCTATTTTGTATTGTATTCATTGTCACAAGCCAATATATGTGGTACATACTTGACAGGGTCGGATATGATTTTGAAAGCTTTAATAGGTACAAGGGGAAATGTGTGTCTAGGGGGTGACATTTAAACTATGAAAATTATACTTTTCACGTGATATAAATACCGTTAGCTAAATGAATTCAATAGTTCTCTTTTCAAAATAAGTATTTTGTTCCATGGGTATTGAAACAAGAGAATCGTATAGAGTTCACAGACCCTCAGGGTAACGGTTGTGTTTGGAAGCTAGACATTCTTTTCATAGCAGGTCGCAGCCATTGCTGTCATTTTTATAATATTTATTTTAAATAAATAATGACTCGAAACTATCATTTCTTCATTAGCTACATATTGTTCAAAATCAAATATTGAAATTGTCACACGAAAATATGCAATCTGAATTTTGCCAGGTGAGAATGACACAATTTTCAGGAAGCACGAAAAACGTGTTTTTTATCATAATTTCATCATGTTCCAAATAAAGCATATTTGACACTATTTGGATGGTATATTTCCACAACTTGTCGATTTTTTTGAAATTTTTTTGGCGGAAAATTGAAGTACCTAATGCTGCTGTTAGTAAACGATTTATATGCTTATATGTGAGAAGATACAACGAAATTTGAAATTCGACATGAAATTGGTTCCGTATACGAATGTAGTAGAGCTGTCTAGTTTCAGTATTGAGAATATTCTCATGATTCAAACTCGGCTGAATTCACCAATTTCATAAATTTTCAGCAATACATTGAGTGTAGAATTGTTTTTGTTGGTGCTCGCCGCCGTAAGAATTTGCTTTTCTATACTATTAACTGTGTGCCAAATCAAGAAAATAAGTAGAATTCTCAAACTAAATATCGGTGCTGGAGTTTTAGTGCGTTTGTACAGTGATTTCTATCAGTTTTGTAAAGGGAGTTGAACTTGGAATTGATTGAACCTTGGAAAACCAAAGATAAAATCTTTTCCGATAGATAAGGCGATGAATGAAGGATAAATGATATAAACTGGACGGCATTCTGTCGATCCTCAGTGGCCTCAAATAATATTGTCCTCAACTTTATGGGAGTTCCGCCGCCTCCGTTTTCGTGACATCATTGTAAATTGTATCATTTCGCTTTATGACAAATCTAAAATTAATATCTTGGTAGATTACAAAATATGTCCTGAACATGCCGACCGTTTCTAAGGAATTTGAAAAACTTACTTCACCTGTGATATAAAATTACATAGGTTGGTCTTTTAGTTTACTGTGCATATTATCCAGATGGGTTGAATAGTCTTCAAGATACTAATTGTAATAATAAGAAATCAGTTCTTTCTTACAGCAAACCACACAATCATAAATTTCACAAAATTTAAAGCAAAACTTTTTTACATTTGCTTTGAGCTTCGCAAAATAATAAATTAGCTCATTAATTCCAAGATCAATTTGCTAACTGAGTAATTGTTCGGGCTAAAGTGATTCATGTACATTGCCTGAAAGTCGAGAGGATTGACCTTGAATTCTAGTTCCTTGGCATTTTCGTGTATCGTATACGACGCTCTCTATAATTTTTTATTTTTAATTATTAATTAAGTGGTACAGGCAAGTGAAATTATTTTTTTTACTTTACGGGACTAAAAAACTAAGCATACTGCACTACATTAACAAAGACTCACAGGAAGTGCAGTTAACTCTAGCCTAAACATGTGTAACTTTCTTAGCTCTACAGGGTAGATATAGTTTATTTTCGATAATATGTATAGGGGAAGTTTTTTTCAGTAGAATCACTATTTTAGTAAAAAAGTCGTACCATTGAGTTCCGTCTAGAAATTATACTTTAACACAGATTTTGTTGAAATTTTATAACTGGTTCTGGAAATTGCATACATGATTTTTAAGACCAAATGCAAAATGATTCAAATATTTCTTATGAACTATGTATTTGCAAAAGGTTATCGAATGGGAACGCTGTTTAAAAAACTTTTAAGATAATGCAACTTTATGTGGGTGAACAGTAACCAATTTCAATAAGCGGATATGTTCTGAAAATACAGTAACTTCGAACTACAGTACTAATAATACGATGTTAATTTTTAACTTTCCGTCCGAAAGTTTCTATCAAGCATAAGCCTTGAATTGTCTTATTTTTACGAAAATTAGAATTCGAAAAATTGTTTATACCGAGTGTTTCATATTCGACTTTCACAATTGGGATCTCAGAAACGGTAAGAGATACGATGTCGTTTATAAGGGGACCCATTTGTGAGTTTAGGTAAGTAAGAAAATGGCGGTAATTGTTAGAAAGTTTTACAATTCCGATATTTCCGGAGATGGAAGATTTTTCCCAGACTTTGAGATGGGATTTCAAGATAAAGGTACATTAACATTGCCACTTTTTACTTCCCACGCCTACTGGCGGGAAATATTGTAATCCAGAAATTTTTTGAAAATGAGGTTTACATCACGAAAAACTATGTCACTCATTTCCGTCGGTCTGTCTGTGTCTGTCGGTCTATCCGGTAATCTTGTAACCGTTTATAACTTGAGAACCGCTCTGATTTCGACTAAATTTTTATATAATGTTACTACCTGCGACGTGACGAAGTGTCGTCGTCGGTGGTCATACGTCACAGTCGGCAGTCGCTTCCGCACTACTGTGGACTGGGTGCATCTTGCATGGTGAAAGCTAATATCGTCATTCACGCGGGGATGGTAATGACATCGTGTGCGCCTGAAGCAAAACTCATTTAATTTTTTGTTATAATAACTTTATAGCTAAATGTTTCTCTCAGAAGGGCTAACTTGTGCCAAACATAATCCTTGACGAACTGATTACAGCATAGCGTGGGAAGTATAGTGTCTACATACTTGACGCCATTTTTTTTACCTACAAGATGGTATAATTAGAATTTCTATAAAACATTTCGTCTCTTGTCCTCAAACATCAACTATTTTCTCATATGGACGTATTTTTGCACAGGTTATGATTCCAAAAGTGTATGAAAATGTGACATCTAACGTTACCAACCCCTAGTTGATTAGATTTGCCTAAGTAGGCCTTGAATTTATCATATAGTCACTTGTTTCAAAATATCATGTCTTGCATTGGTTCAGCTCTTATGAACTGAATGTCTTAAAGGTAATATTCATATAGTCGGTCTTAAGGACAGTAGTGAAAGCATTGAAAATAGTATTCTTTTCTGTACTTGATAGAAACACTTTCTACATAAACAAATTTCCTCTCTGCCATATCTAAACCGATTCAGATCTCTTGCATTGAAATAATATTATTCTACAGCTGAGGTGTCTTGTAGAGTGCCTCCATCATGCTCAAATAACGCTTGTTATAGTTGGTAAATGGGCAAATTATCTGAATGTCCTTTGAACACGCTTCTCAAAAACTGAAGCATTAGTGATGTAATCGGATAAACCTTCAATAAACTGTCTTTTTTCAAGGCAAACTGAAAATCTTAGTTTTTTCAAAAAAAAGTTTGGTTTGACTATGTAATTACACAAACATACACACACGTACATTATACATTTTTGGAATCAGAACAATAAAGTTATTCGCCTGTGCAAAAGTGCAATATAGCGTCATATTGAAATTCTAATTACGTTTCCTTATAGAGAAGTGGCAGTGTTGATGTGCATTTGATTGGAAACTCACCTCAAATAAAGTGAAGAAAGTTTTTTCGCTCTCCGGAAATATTCTGAAATGTCGAAACTTTTTAAGCGACATTTTCTTAATTAGCCAAATGTGCAACTTTGTTCTCATTCGCCCAATTGCGTGTCTTTGAAGAAGCTGTTGACAGTCTTTAGTACGGGTGTCGCGGACTACAAAGTGAGAAGAACCTACTTATTGCAATATGCAATAAAACATTTGCATCCTTCTACAGGTCATCTTCTTTGTTTCAGCATAGTGATTCTCAGTCGTTGCAGCAGCAACAGCAGCAGCAACAACAGCAGGCGCAGGAAGCCCAGCACCAGCTGAATCAGCAACTAGCCGAAGAAGTGCGAGAGCATCTTCAACAGCAGCAACAACAGCAGCAAGAGCAGTCGAAGCGGCACCAGCAGGAGCTTCATCTGTTCAACCGCGTCCAGCAGCAGATCGAGGAAGCGAATCAACGCTTCCACGATTCCCAACAGCAGCATTTGCAGCATCTGCAACAGCTACACAACACCCATTTGCATAATAGTCAACAGCAGGTTAGTTTTTGGTATAAAAATCTTTTCATATTCTTAAACCTTAGATTTAGGCCCATATCGGTAGTCGTCCCTACAATAATTGTAGGGCGCATTTATGGCCTCCTTGATTGTCATACTGCTTTCTCTCCTTCAAAAATTTCTAGGTTGTAGATGTCCCGTGTCAGCGTTAGCACTCTCCTATTGTGAAGATATGTTTTCTTTTTAAATTGCCGGAAATTTCAGGCTGATAAAACATGATATAACTCAAAAGCAAGCACAATTGATAAAGGCGCCCTACAGTCGTAGGGCGCCTCTATGGCCTCCTTGATTGTCATAGTTTTCTACTTCTCCGTGTCAGCGCTCTATTTTGAGGTTATGTCACAAACATCTATTTGCATCAAATTGTGCTTGCTTTTGAGTTATATCATGTTTCATCAGCCTGAAATTTCCTAGAATTTAAAAAGAAAACATATCTTCACAATAGGAGAGCGCTGACGCTGACACGGGACATCTACAACCTAGAAATTTTTGAAGGAGAGAAAGGAGTATGACAATCAAGAAGGCCATAAACGCGCCCTACAATTATTGTAGCGACGACTGACGATACGGGCCTTAGCTACTCCAAGAAGTTCTTCAATTATTTCTTCTGTAAAAAGCAATAGAGCCCTTTTTTCCGTAGATATTTCGTTGTATAATAACCAACTATTAATTACAACAGTGCCAAATATTAACTCAATTGCATTGTCAAGACTATCATAGCGAATCAAGTACATTTTCACAAGCTGCTATAGAAATCAATTTCAATGGTCGAAATTCATTTAGAATCGGGCCCCTGATTGTTAAAACTAGAGCGATATAGGAACATTTCAATTCAAACCTTCCAGTTTATCTCTGTAGGTTTCACATTTACAATGTAGATTAAGCTCCTTAATGCCTACCGTCGATCCGCAGAGTTTCATCTAAACCACTCGTGCAAATTAAAGAGAATTGAAAACTTGATAGGTAGACTTTTTAATATACGGTAACCTAAAAGCACTCTACAAGAGTGTCTGTGGGCTTGCCGGCATAACACTTTGACCTCAAATAATCCCATCAAAACAAATCCAATGGTGTTCAATCGTTCAATCATGTGATTTTTGATCGCCGAAATGAAGTCGAAAAACCCTGAATAACACCCTTCTCCATTGTTCCAGGTGCTTCAACAGCACCAGCAACAGTTGCAGCAACAACACCTAAACCATCTGCAACAGCAGCATCTGCAACACCAACAGCAGCAGCAACAACAGCAGTTACCGCCGTTAGCAGCAAAGGGTAGGATGCCGCGCGCAAAAGGTGATTCCCGTCCCAGGGGCCGCATGACGGCCTACGCCTTCTTCCTGCAGACGTGCCGCGAAGAGCACAAGAAGAAACACCCCGATGAGAATGTTGTGTTCACCGAATTCTCCAAGAAGTGCGCCGAAAGGTGGAAGGTGAGTTCCCTTTGTCTGCTTGGTATATATGAATGGTGTTCCAATTTGGGAATGGGGAATTGCGGAATCTCTACTCTTACAGACAATGGGGAATTTCCTGACTAGCTGTCAGAGGAAGCGGGAGATCCGGAGTTTCAAACTCAGTTTGGGTGTCAAAATAAGTTAAAATGATTGTTGTGGGATTATTTCCAATTCCATATCAAATGTTCGGCCTATTCAGTTTGTTCTATGTAAAAAACGACATACCAATTAACTGCTAGGAAACAATTCTCATACATGAATCACTCTTCAACAAACTAAAGGGAATTGGAATTTTATCATGTTATATCCATATATTTAATGAGAAGTTTATGGCTCTTTCCGAAACTACGGAAAGAACCGGGTCAAAGTTTTTCAATCAACCACATTTTATATTTCTGACATGTCATATAGGTCCTTGGGAATTTAATTATGGTTCGCTTCAGGACAAAGGAACGCAGAAGTACACATCTTGTATTAGGAAAGTTTACTCTCATTTTTTTTATAAAAAATACTATGGTGGGTGTTGACGGCGAGCTTTTCCACAAATTTAGAATTTTCTTCGCGCCGATTGGATATTCTGCACCTTAAAAATATATCCATTCAATAACATAGCTCCATGTGTGATTACGGCGAGGGAATCTTTGGATTGTCACAGACCAGTATTCCTGTAAGCCGCACGATTTCTCCCAATGTTGTCTGCCGGTTAAGCAGGGCGTTTTAAAAAAAATCGGTTCCATTTAACACATGATAGCCACTGATGACTTACGCTGAACTATTTCAATGGAGTCATGTCAGTCATTAAGATTGACACTCCGTAACCTATGTTTAACTTGTCAACATGACTTCTGTGTTGAATTATATCACGTTTTCCTGAAGTTTAATGCATCGAAATAAATATTTTATAAAATATTCACGGCAAACGGATCGCGTACTATACCGGCCGCGTGGTGAGTGTTCTGTTGTTCTGGTATGATATCGCACGTATTTCTCCTGCGCTACAGCATAGTGTTTCCTATGCCTTGACTGCACTGAAACCTCTGACCGGGTTAAGTAACGGAGAGAAGCGACGTTTCCAGTTGTACTACCGGTAGTGCAGGAAAATAATGTCTATGGAGTAATTAGGGTTAAGTGGAAGAATAGCCGGCAGCTAAACTTCGCCCTAAATAAAGACTTATTATATTATAATTGTATGGACCTGTATGACTGACTTTTTTTCAGAGGGTCTAGGTTGTGCAGAACATAATCCTTTATGAACTGATAACGAAGTTGCGCGGGAAGTGCAGAGTTATCCTACTTGACGCCATTTTTTTCAAACATACATAAGGGTGTCCATTTTCTGTAAAGAAGGAAAGGCCACGGAATCAAAATGTGGTCAGGCACATGTCGAGGATTTTCAGATAAAAAATGATCAGTCGAATGTCGAGGACAAAACTACGATTTTTAAGTTCCAGCTCTCTTTTTACACTCGCATACACTTAATTTTTTCTTACAAGATAGGAGTTGGAATTTTTGAAAGGATATCAAGAGAAAAAACGGTTTTTGTGAGAGCGACAGACACTGATCTGTTTTTCTCGGTACCAGTACTGTACATTTGTCGAATAGTATAAAATTGTAAAAATCAAAACGTAAACACATTTGGTTTGTGATCCCCAATTTCAATATTTGAGCCAACTTCTGGTGAGTCCGCAAGTCACTATTTTGACTAGATACGTCGGAAAATCGGAATCTGCATAATTGTTTTCTATTAAAGACAGGTTGAAGTTGAGATGCAATAACATAAGTTGTGTGAAGGAATTCACAGTCTTTTATATTTGAAACTATCCAGTTTACAATGATTTCAGCATAGATTCAGCTGAATTTGGGCGATGGTAGTTATGATGACTTTGAGAGTATCAGTATTGCTGGATTGGGCCTTATTGGCATAGCCCTGCGACGTCGGTTGGTTAATGCATACACTAAAATGTGTTTGATACAAATTATGGGCCGATTTGGTGGCGTAAACAAACAGCTCCCGATTTGATGTTGCGTTTTCTGTGGCATGCACGTTCATATGGATAAGACAAAATCTATCAATGCCTTAAAATTGAATCAGTGTAGTCGCACAGCTTCGTATGAAGTCAAATTAGGAGTTCTTGCTAGTACGTTGAACGCTAATCTACCAGAATTTGTTTCCTGATACAATCAGCAATATCAGGATAAGGCACTCCTTCATCTCCGTTAAGAATGCCCCCTCCAGCGCATTTCCGTTATTCACACCTAAATCAAAGAAGCGAATTCCTCATATCGTAAGATATTAAAATTTTATAGTTTTCAATTTTACAGTACGTTAAATGTGGGTTGGGCCTCTGCGCGGTTCGTTCTTTGCTTTTTTTGTGCTTGAATTACGAGGGTTATCTTGAAAATATTCCATCTCGCTTAAAGCCTCAAAGAGATAAGGTGTACCTTAATAGCACGGAATGTTTATATTTATAGTATGTCCTCACCTAGACTTGATTATTTGATCTCTACGCGACAAGTATGCAGGTAAATGTTTCAAATGGAATGAAAATATATCCGCCAGAAAATTTTTAAAGGCGGCGTTCGCTGGCCATTGAGATTAGGAGATTTTAAACTGTCAATTCTCTTATGATACTAATATAAATCGAGTGATCTGATGCATAGACCGAAAAAACGGATTATCTGTAGGACAGTATTCACGAATAACTTCTGTTTTCATAAAATTAAAACAAATATCAACTGTTTAAGTCTTATTTAACACTACATGAAAACAGAAGTTATTCTTAAAACCTGTAAGTTGTCTCCTAGCTGATATTACACGATTTAGTTTAGAATTGTCGGATCGAGATTCAAATTTTCCCTAACCTCATTATCCTGCAAGCCTCATATTAGATCATGACTTTAAAATATGATTTATGATATGAGCGAGAGAGATATTTGAGATCAACCTCTCTTGCATTTTTTCGCCTTAGTTACGAGTAGATTAGAAGGTGATGTTGAACTTTGTTTTTAGGTTGCGGTGTGAGTTGCGGTACCAATTTTCTTCAAAGTGACCTATTACCTATAGGAAAAAAGTTCCGTAAAAACAGCGGTAAAACTATGATTTTTAGTAACACAATAATAGTTGTGTGCGAAATGTTAGATTATTTTGCAAATGTTGAAAAATAACTTGAATAAATGCGGTTGTATAAAATTTTTGAACAGCCCTGGTAAATCTTTCTCTCGAAGAACCGAGAACGAAGATTGCCTTGGGCGAAACTCTCGACCACTAAAACTAAAATATTTTAACGATCAGTTATGGTGTTGTTGACCCAACACACTCTCATAAAAAAAGAGGTTTTGCTAGCAGCAACGTTGGATTTTTTCGGATTGTCTTACACTGGCCGTGCCTAATTGAAACTATAATTAGTATAGTAAAAAAATTCGCCATGAAACTTACATGTAATCCTTAGTGAAAGATTACCGCGATTATAATTATTATGGTGATTTATCATATAATCCGAACATTTGACCATTTAGTTGATCTCGTCAGTAATGGTTGAAAGCATCTGGTTTAGGTATATGATGTAGGCCACATTTTCTTCCTCAAAAATTCGAAAAACTATTACAATTATGAAATACAAGAACAGATAGGCTATAGTGATGAAGCATTGTGATTTTCGGATTTTAGAGAGGTATATTCGCCTACACATTATCAAGGTTTTAGGTTTAAACAAAGGTGTATGTGGATGTGGATACAATCTCAAGAGTCAATTTCACTGACAGGAAACGAGATATATGTGATCAATACTTGATAAATTGTCATATCTAATTAAATACGTAAACACTTCAAAAATATGGTGAGAAATTCTGTGTATGAAAATATATGACAATCACCTTTATTCAGCAGAAATGAAGGAACAGAGTTTCCTTTGTCTTTCAATTTGCTTTTGGCACTTTTTAGAATTAAAGATTCACTATTGGAAAATTTAAATTATGCGTGACGTGTACTTGAACCGTCATTTTAGAATCAACAAAGACGATTTCGAGAGTACTGAACTATTGACTACGACTATCACAATATGCTTTCAGATGATTTATTTTCACGCAATTTTTCTTGAGAATTTCGTACACGTGTTTGCTAGCTTTTGAATCTGACTGAGCTGAGTTGCAAATACTCAAAATTTTTATTCCTTGTAGTAATTACAAAGGCTCACTGCTTTAATAGTTTTTTCCTCTACTTGTTTTAGCTTAACTAGTAATCTAGCAAAACTAAATTTAATGGTTTCTGTTTTTTTATTGCTTCCGCTATCGAATACAAATGGTTTTCAAACATCGTAGGGGGACTTTGTAGTCGATAATATCTCACTTATTTGCAATACTCAAAAATCATCTGATCGCCCCTCTCGTACGAACAAGTGTGTGATTGGGTTTTCATCTAAAAACTATATAGTTCAAATACTGCAGTTCCCAAATTGCTCACTGACGTGAAAATGGGATGAAAATGTAGGTTAATCTGGAGTAAGGCTAATCGAATATGTGTGGTTGATTTTCTTTGTGTGGTGAAGCATTTGCAATGGTGGCTGCTATTCGGCAGCTGGCAACGTTGTTATGTAAAATGAAACAAAACTACGAACGGGCGGCACGGAGCTGAGCAACGACTCTTTCGTTTTTGGTTCAGACGGCCGGCGAAGCGGAGAACACACACCGCACCGCCGTGCCGCTATCGAACAGGTTTTACAATTTATAGGTTCGGACAGTGGTGCAGCATTATGAGATTCGTTAAGGATGTGGGATATGTTGTGCTTGTTTGGAAAATGAGTCTGGAATCTATTCCTCGTTCAAAAATGCATCTACCCGTAAGAGACAAAAATAAAATTCGCGAATCTAGTCATTTTTTGCTTAAATCAACCTCCTTAACTATATATCATATAGAAAAAATCGGTATGTGTTTCGCCAACTATGTTAGTATCTTTCAGAGAGAAATGAGTTTCAGTTGCTCTTGAACATGCCATAATTATAGCCAAACCCATGTCACAAGTAAAAAATGGGTTTCTTCATAGTCGAGTCACTACGAAGGCGACAATCTTGAATGTAATAGATGTTGGTATACTTCTGCAGAAATCCATCCTTCGTGAACATACTCATCTCTTGTAAGGTTCGATTGACTCCCTCTTACAGCTAGTTTTGCTCATACATGTGAGTACACATTGAAAACAAAAAAAAATATTTGCGAACTTCAACAGTGAGGCAATATCAATACCAATTGAAAAATGAATAGCTAGCCACGAATGAAAACAAACATTTACATTATTCGATGTTGTTTATTTAATGAACCATGATGCTTCATCCTAATTGGTTAGACTCGCATATTCTCAGAGTGAGACACGCAGGAATTGTATTGTATTGACCTCCTACTATCCCGGTAGCTATCTATGGAAAAATCGTTGAATTCTCAAGTTTAATGCTTCCAGAACGCAGTACTGACTAAAAAGAAGCGTCCTTGCGCTCATCCGATTTCGATGGAAGGCCGAGTTCTACCAAAGAACTGTTCATTTTGATTGGTAACTCTTCTCTAATGGACAGTCCTGGGCGACCGTCGGCGAACTGGCTCTCTTCTACCGCTATGTCAGTGGTTCCTATTCTCACCATATCGAAGTTCGTACATCCAGAACTGGTCCGTACAGCCGCTTCTTTGTCGCTAGGGTGTCGATTTGTGGGACATTCTGCCTGAGGATACTTTTCCCAGTTCTACTAGAATTAAGTTCAGTTCAAAAAGCGGTGTTTCAGCTCCTTGTAGCAGCCGCTAGTTAGGCTTCTGCGTAGTCACGTGACTGCTTCGATAAAAAAGTAAATTTTTGATGCCACTAAACTTTATACTGTTTTGGATATTGAAACATTTAGGTTGCTTTTCCCTGTAACTGAATAATCCAGAATGTCTGTCTAAACTATGAAATCACCCAGTAGTTATTTTACCAGCATACTGTATTGCCGTACATTTTATTGCTTTCTCAAACGTCGAAAATAATGAGGAAGATGATTAGAGGAATGTCCAAATTAAGTTGCTTCAATGGAATGAAATAAGATTTCTCAAATTTGTGAAGTTTTGATTTGGGTACTACCGTTAGAAAGAACGCATGTTTTTCGAATGGGTACTACATCGAGTGGGCTGGTCCCGTGTCGGTAGGGAAGGGCGTGTTGTACAGTGGTAGAAGTGCCGTTTCAGTTGGCAAGAGGGTTTGGAACGTTGAGCATCGTGTGTTCACTGTACGTCGGTACTTTCAAAATGGCGAGTCTGTCGTTCGAACGCAAAGTGAGTGTCGCATTCAACACAACAAGTAATGTGATGAAGAAAAAACCGCTAGGGCGAAATCTTACTGTTAGAACCCCCGAAAATGTCGACAGAGTGAGAGTTGACTCGCTGCAAAGCCCGAATCGTTCCTTCCGTTTGCGTGCCAGTTCCCTAGGGATCCACGCGTTTTCTGTACGTCGCATCTTGAAGAAGGATTTAGTGTTCTATCCTTACAAAATCCAAATTTGTCAACAACTGTTTCCAGTGGATTATGCACAACGTGTTAATTTTTAACAGCTCATGATTGAAAACTGTCGATATTGGTTTCCACTGAACCCCCAACAGTTGCCATGAGCACGCCCTGCATACCCCGAAAGTTACAGTTTTGTGTGCAGTAGGCTCAACGATGATTATTGACTCTTATTTTTTGAGGATGATGGGGAAACAACTACTGTAAATTCAGAGCGTTACATCCACATGCTGAACAACTTTTTTTCCGAAACTTCGATGTCGACGTGTCCGTCTCAGACAAGTGTGGTTCCAACAAGACGGGGAAACATCTCACACAGCTCGCACTTCGATGGTACTTCTTCAGCAAAAATTCCTAGGACGTCTCATTTCACATCATGGCGATATTCCATGGCTCCCTCGATCCCCGGACCTGTCAACGTGTGATTTTTTTTATGGGGCTACTTGAAATCAAAAGTTTACGAAAGCAAGCCTCGGACCCTCGTCGATTTGAAGGCGGAAAGAAGAAGAGAAGTAACCCAAATTCCTGCACGGATGCTGGCCAACGCAATGGGCTTATTTCGGGAGAGGCTTGATTCCCGCATTTCGGCTCAAGGGCGCCATATGGCTGACATAGTTTTTCAAACGTAAATGTTGTTTGACTCAAAAAATGTCATGTATTTCTGAGTGTTTTGATATCATATTTTTTCCGTACTTATTTTGACTGTACTACTCATTTAAAAAACATGCGTGCCTTCTGACGGACCCTGTAGTAATTTTATTGGATTATGCTACATATTGTGCTATTAGTATTGATTTAATTTTATCCTTCATTTGCAGACCATGTCTGACAAGGAAAAGAAGAGATTCCATGAAATGGCTGAAACGGACAAGAAGCGTTATGACGCTGAAATGCAGAACTACACTCCTCCCAAAGGCGAAAAGCAGAGAGGGAAGAAGAGGAAGCAGACGAAAGATCCCAATGCACCAAAAAGATCTTTGTAAGTACTAATCAAACATATGCATAATCACGTCCAATTATGGACTGACTCTTTGTTTTCCAGTACTCAAAATCTCACAGAATATTAGAAATTAGGTGTTTATTTAGAAGATACTACATCTCGCACAGTTTGATCAGTCTACAGCTTCAAGCATATAGCTGTTAGGTTATAATCCTGTGCAATATAGACTGTAAAATTGTACAATATATTTGAATATGTCAATTTCAAATGTAACATAATTTTCCTACATTCACTATTGCACAAAACACTCTGTTTTGCTACTGTGCTTTTAACATCTCTATTTTACATCATTATAATATAAAGTTTTAAATCAGAAATGTTGCTGAAAGTTGACAAAGACATTTTGATGGGTGCCCACATCTAAATTGAATGGATTTCGGTGTTTGCAATTTCATGTTGTGATGCTTATTTTTTGTTTCTAGGTCTGCATTCTTTTGGTTCAGCAATGATGAGCGCGGTAAGGTCAAGGGTGAAAATCCCGAATATAGTGTTGGAGACATTGCCAAAGAATTGGGGAGAAGATGGGCTCTTGCTACTCCTGAGACCAAAGGCAAATACGAGGCTCTTGCTGATCAGGATAAAGCCAGATATGAAAAGGTATTTATTTTTCAATGCTCTTATTTATAACGATAACGGCTTTTAATTTCTGCATTCTCATGTACACTAATACGTCATTTTAAAGTGTTTATGTTCAGATAGAAGGATTTATCGCTCAAACCTACGTATTTTTGATGTAATTGTACTACATGGTAAACTGTACTAGATGTTGTATCGAAGGCGTGGGAAGTAAATATAGTTGATGCCATTTTTTTGTCCAAATTTGCAGCAGCGACACTGCGCGCCTCAAATCCGATATGCGTTTCGAAAATTACTGCGGTGCCGCCTTTTTGGAATAACGTCCCATTAGATCTGAACTATATCATGTCAAAAACAGCAATTGCACCCTTTCGAGGTATTCTTCGTCTACTTAGACATGGTATACTTCTGCAGCGCTCGAGACGACCTCCAATACGCCATATAAAATATAAAAGCAAAATTTGGAAATTTGTGACAAGGAAGGTGATAATTAATATTTTGTAACTCAAATATCAATAAGTTCCTCTGATATTATTACTGTATACTTTAATCCACAAAAAATTACAAAAACAAGGTAAGTTATCACCAAATAGCCATGCAGTCTATATTGAAGCATGAATTGTTGGTTTCCTTTGTGACCGTGTGATACCGCTACTACTTGATAGAATAATCCCCTAGAATCAGGTTTGACCAATACAGAGAAATCAGTGTCACTGACGAGGTAATATTGCAAGCCTCTCCTATATTGCAAGATATAATTTTTGTTCTGTTTATAAAATCATAAATGAATCATCACTCATAATAAAAATGTATCCCCCTCCTCTAACAGCTGTGCTACTAGTTGATGAGGTTCTTCATGGGCTCCCTATGGCACAACCAAAGAATTCGAATAGATTAGGAATCAAACCTATAAGCTTACGTTCCATTGTTTGTCGCCAAAATTGCGTAGTTTCAGAGTGCATACTTCTGACTTATTTGTCTATCAATGCCTACCAAACTGACAGCGTTATAACCAATAGGTTTTGACGTCTACCGAGGTAAACAGCTGATCAGCAAGTGACACCTTTGTATTAGTCTGTAACGTTGGCAATAATGCATTGGGTGTAAATCTGGTAAAACTCGGACCGTATTCAGAGCTGTTGGTCACATTATCTAGGGAATTTTTGACAATAAAAAATGCAAAATACTTATTAGAAAAATGTGTATTACAAAATTACGAAGCAAGTCAATAGGACAGACTGCATTGTCCTTGCCGGTAGCTTTAATTTTACCTGTAAATATAATATAGATACGTGCTTCTGGTTAATTGTCCGTCAAAAAGTGTAATGTTATCCAAATATGGTTATTTACTGCCTTTTAAAATTATATGGTATTTCAAGTTGAAAAAAGAGTAAAGATGATTAAAACTACATATCTATCTTATCCATTTGTGACTTGAAATTTAGTCATGATCAGTATCGCTAGCAGCAATTTTGCTTGTAGCGTTTTTTTTTGTATGCTAGGAGACTTCTAAATAAAATAGCTGTTAGTTAGCAAGTACAAAATAAATCCATAGAGTACAGGAAACCACAACGAAATATGGCTGTCTACCTGGCGTTGACTGATCCGTCAGAATTGAGACACTGGCTGATATGCGGAATATTGAAATATTACTAGATAATCAGCTGTTATTTTACCATAATAGATACTCGTGAAAAAGACTGTAATAATACTTACCGGCAGAAACATCTAGCTTCGTTAGGCTTGTGCAACTCTTTGCAAATTATTCAAAAAGTATCACGGCTTGAAACCGTCTAACACCACATTTATCTTCAAACAGTCGCACATTTGAAAAAATTGTACTAAATATACGAATTTTATAACAGAACTGTCAAAGATTGCCTTATGTCAAGTGCACCTTGATCCTTACTACAGACTGAGAATTTGACAATTCAACGGTGGAACATCTATGCCTCGGTACGCGGTTGATTTGCTTCTACGTGCCATGATGGATACGATTCTAGTATGATCCTATTATCGTCTGGTACAGTGGACAAAGAGGTCTAAATAGTGGCAGATTCTATCAACAGATTGCACTTGCGTATGCGTATCATAAATTTTAAATAAGTATTTTGCCAAATGTGTACAAATTTCAATATCTAGAAGTTACAAGCAATTTTATTTGTTGCAGGAGATGACAGCATACAAGAAGAAAAACAACCCGGCGTTGCAGCAGGCGGCGCAACCAGTACCTGAAGAAGCGGAAGAGGACGACGAGGACGCGGAAGATGACGACGAGTAAACGCGAGTAATCAAAAGGGACTTGCGCCCTCTACCTCTCGCTACTATCACTACGTCGTCTACGCCTTCTCATTCCTTTTATTGTACATATACATTAGTAGCAGTGTTTTTTTATTTCTCATACATATTTTTACTGTGTGTACTTACAAAAAAATCATTTTTTTTTTTTGAAGTCTCGACGTGTGTGCGTGCAGTTATCCAATGCGATGGACGGTGATCTGAAAATGGAGCGCGTTTCTACATTCCTAAATTATCTTGAATAAAATTATTTTTTCGGACTAGATTTAAATGAAAAATGGCAGAGTTTTTTCAGCGTCAATTACATTTCAATGTCACAAATTTTTGGAAAAGAACTCAGCAATTTCCTTATGAATATCAGACATCCGCTAAATTGATCGAATTTTGATGGATATTTTTTTATCTCTTAGTTCATTGTGAATCCAGTCATAAACAAACCCAGTTGCCAAATCTTATCAAGATGATTTTTCCTTTTGCAGACATGATCAATTAATAATATAATTATTCATAATTCGGACTGTTTGCCTACACTGTTCCTCATAAATATTCCTTACACTTTTTCTTAAAGATACCACAAACATTGGTTGGTAATCACCAGAAGTCTGAGTCTGATTTAATTCAGAAAAGTGCCGTGGTCTTTTTTTATAAATTCGCAGTTTCATCTTTGATCATTAACAATCTCTGAATCATGTCTACAAAATTGACTAACAATATATGCGGTGAACAGAAACGCGGTCTGTGTTGCGAACGTCCTACATTTCACGTTTCTCGACGTTAAAGTATGTAGTGTAATTTTATCGTTCAATTATATTTTTCCGTATCTTCTTGTGCTGTCAAAACTCAGGACAGTAGTACAACGGGTTGAAAATAATTTTTAGCAGCATAGGAGAGGTTTTGCATATAGGGTTGTATCATAACACTCCATTATTTCTTGGCTGCCCATCCTTGCAGGTAAAGGTAATGGTGGTTAGATTTCACTAGGTTTGTATCAAAACATAATTGTAGTGTTTTGGGCGATAATGATCGTATTTCAATATATATGGTTCTTTTCATAAATTGGTCATTCCAAAATGATTTTCAAAATCATAAATAAATTCTTGGCTTTCTCTCAATATTATTTTTATGATCTCCTTAGTTTCCTCCCAAAGTATATAGAAAGTGTGAATGAACATGAGCCATCATTGCACAATTTATAATCAAAATTTTTACTCAAGCTTTACAAGAAAAATACTCAAATATACAGTGAGGTGCCATACAGTTAATTTCAATTTTGACAGTCCTAGGGTTCACAGTATGGCTGACGGTTGGAGCTAAAATAAACCTGTACCTTAGCTGCTGCTGTTGGTCACGTCTGCTTAAAACATACAAACATAATATGCTGATAATTATTAACGTACACTCTGTTCCTCTTGAAGACATTGTATATACTACTAAAAGCAGTTTTGTTTGAGAGATGCGACAGAATATTTTCTGCTCTCATCGAGAAATGTAGAATTCCTTAGCGATGCTAGAGAAGTGGATATATTTCTTTCCCTCTCTTGCGTGTAATGAACATGCCTCTGGTAGTAGAATAATAGCTGGATGTTATACCAGCAAAAACTGCTGGGTAATATGTGGAAGATACATATATTTATGAGAGACTGCTGCTATTACATGATACTACTCATCAGTCCACTAAATTTACCAAAACGAAAAGGATTATTTTTTATAAAAGGAATCATATGAGTGAAATAACCCTGTGTACAAAAACGTTTTAAATCATTATATGCGAAAACAACGCCGCATTTAGCTGTGTTGTTAGCAGCTGTTGTATTACCTGGATTGTAAATGAACATAATCTCGAATTTGCGTTTTAGGAAAAACTATCCCGACTGAAAATACAAAATTTTTAAGTTTCATTTACAGTCCCGCATAGGTCTAAGCGCTGTCGACGTCATATGTATTTATTTGTATGCTGTAAAAGTTTAAGTTTTATTCACAGATAGCGTAAAATGAAAATGTATGATTATCCATTTCCCCCTACAGTATAAACAGAGCCAGGCAAGTCAAACAGTCAAAATGCCAAAGTGGATATATGTGAGTGTATCTTATGGACAATATTTTATTTATGTTTTTTTTGTGTAGAAAGGTTCTATCAAATCCTAAAGCATTTTCATTACAAACATTTGAAAAATTATTTTAATGCAATAAGGAAAACTTGAGCGATTTTAGCGGGCTTATTTGTGACATTACGTGAAAATGGTCCAACTCATGGTTACACGTTAATCAAACCTCACTCAACGTCGTGTCAAAAAACAAAAACCCAGGGAATTACGGCCAGTTGGCCAATAAGAATACGAGAATTCAAAGATCTCGCGCTGATTTGACGGATGTAAATGAGGGTTGTTGAACACAGTTTAGGTTTTGGTAGGACTTTGAGCTATCCGTGATCAGCAGAATACTTTGAGTTCATTAATTACTGTAATTCTTCCGTTATTACCATATACATATTAAGAATAGTATTACTTCATGTGATGTGAAATGTTTTCATTACATTTGTATGTATATTTCCAGTATAATTTTATATTGTTACTGTTGATACAGTTTTAGTGGATAAACATTTCATCACATTACAAAAAGCTCTGTGTTATTTTAGGGAGATGATAGACAAGCAATGTTTGTTTTTATATCTTGATAGGGATAACTAAACAGATTAATAAAATTTTCAGTAAAATGACATTTTGTTTTTATACAGCAGTTATACAGGGTTACAGGAAAAGTCGTGCTAGATCCGTTAAGGGCGTGTAGTACCCATCATTTCTGACTTATTTCATTATGAAACACCCTACCCTAAACTTAACCCTTTTCGAGATATTCAACTTTTAATGTTTTTATTGAAAATTGCCGATTTTTAGGCTACTAAATGTATTTATTTTTATTTTGTGTGTGTTATTATTACTATTATTGCATTTTAACATGTGTAATAAGATGCTTTAGGACGTCAATCATTAAAATAGTCCATAAGTTAATTGAATAGGCTGTAGTAGATAAGTGAATGTTAAGAAATTGAAAAAAATATCAGAAAGTTTATTTTTCTCTAAGGGATATCTAAAAAAAATATTATGGCAATTGTTCGGCAGATGTGTTTTAAAATATCTATGTTTTATCAGCTATCTAACGAGGTATAACAATCTAGGATTTTATTTAAATGCATTGAAAAAACTTAGTTTCATAGGCGACAGTGGAGAAGAAAATTGATACTTAGCCCTAAAAAGTAAAATAAAACAATAGGTAAGCATGAAATATCATTTATTAAATCAGGTTTTCACACAACTTTTTCTTACTCTACAGTTCATGTTCAACATGGCTGCCTCTGTTTCTAATACATTGTCGCATCCTTCTATGGAGACCAGTCTTTACAACTGCAGTGGTCAACGTTGTCCTTAGTTGATTTGCTGCATCGACAATCCTTTCTCTTAATTCTTCCACAGACGAAACTGGATTTGGCTCGCTGTAGACAAGACTTTTCATGCACCCCCACACATGAAAATCCATGGGGGTTAGGTCCGGACTTCTTGCTGGCCATGGCAACGGCCCACCTCGTCCTATCCATTTGTTTGGATAATTTGTGTCCAGCCAGTCTCTGACACTTCTCCTGAAATGGGCAGGGCAGCCATCATGTTGGAACCACATGTCCCTTCTCAAGTTGAGTGGCAGATCATCCAGCAAATCTCTGAAGTCTCCTCTCAAGAAGTTTTCGTAATTTTCCCCATTTAGATTGTCCGGGAGAAAGTAAGGTCCAATCAAATGGTTGGAGATAATGCCCATCCACACATTCACGCTGAATCTTCGTTGGGACCTCGCCACTCTTTTCTTATTGGGATTCCTTAGTACTTTTGGGGCCCAGTAATGGGCGTTGTGATAGTTAGTTATGCCATCGTTATCAAATTTGGATTCATCTGTCCATAAGATATTTCTTAGAAAATCTGGGTCTTCTACGTCAGCATTTAGCATAAATCTGCTGAAGTCCAACCTTCTCGCGGGGTCTCCTTCTTCAATAGTGTGTACCGGCGTGTAATGGTACGGGTATAGGCCAGCAGTATGCACTGTAAACCACACTCTCCATTGCGAAAGTCCCAGATCACGGGCAACACGATTAGTGGAAATGGTCGGATCCGCTCGAAAGCGTTGCACTATCTCATTGTCCTGCAGTTCTTCGTTGTCATAAATTCGTGGTCTTCCCAGGTCTGTATTTCATCTCAAAACAGAGCCAGTTTCTCGAAGTCTTAGATAAACTCTGTTAAAAACGGCCACATCCGGCACTCGACGACCGGGGAAGCGAGTTCTGTATTCGTTGCGAGCTTGCGCAGATACACAATCGCAGTATCCGTAACAAATAAGCATATCAGCATATTCCTCAGGTGTGTAGGACGTCATCTTCAACACTTCCGTATCACAAGTACAAATCAGAGTCCAGTGAACAAGCACAGTATTCACAAATCAGAAGAAATAGTCCAGAATCGTAGCCAAGTCGAGGAAAAGAGCAAAACGACATCACATCTACTATGTACGAAGCACAAAAGCAGACTGACAACCAAAACAACATCCCGTGTTGGATTTCCAGCCCTAACCGGTTATTATAATATGTTTTCTTTCATTCGCACCCACATTAAATCGTCATGTCTCGCTCGCACGGTGCGTCTAAACTTGAAGGAGAATAGGCGTGGGAACTGCTACTGGAGCGTCCCAACTACTTTTTTTCTACGAAATGTAATACAAATCCTAGATTGTTATACCTCGTTAGATAGCTGATAAAACATAGATATTTTAAAACACATCTGCCGAACAATTGCCATAATATTTTTTTTAGATATCCCTTCGAGAAAAATAAACTTTCTGATATTTTTTTCAATTTCTTAACATTCACTTATCTACTACGGCCTATTCAATTAACTTATGGACTATTTTAATGATTGACGTCCTAAAGCATCTTATTACACATGTTAAAATGCAATAATAGTAATAATAACACACACAAAATAAAAATAAATACATTTAGTAGCCTAAAAATCGGCAATTTTCAATAAAAACATTAAAAGTTGAATATCTCGAAAAGGGTTAAGTTTAGGTTAGGGTGTTTCATAATGAAATAAGTCAGAAATGATGGGTACTACACGCCCTTAACGGATCTAGCACGACTTTTCCTGTAACCCTGTATATATACAGCTATATACAGCTTTATTTATTGACTCCTCCATCCGCCAAAACCAGTCCTTGAACCAGCTCTGCCAAGTTTCACGCGGGAGTGCGCGACGCTCGTCCCAAGGTCCTCGTCGCTAGAAAACAGTTTCCTTTTAGCGTCATTTTCACAAGCGGAAAACAGTGCAAAGTCGCAGCGAGCAACATCTGGACTATAACGAGGGCGCTCAATCCAGTTAGGGTCAAATACAGTGCAGGCTTTGTCGCGGTGAGCTGGACCGTTGTCATGGTGGAGGTACCAAGTGTTGATTCTTGATATTGGCCACAAGTTTTTTTATAGACTGACTTTGGGTAGCGACTGTTCCGTGTACCACTTAGCTGACTGCATTCTGTGTGTCCAAAACGACACAATCCCGATCATTTTTATCTTGACAGATAGGGATTTTTTGACAGCTACGGGTGTGTCCTCGTCATCAAAGACCCAAACTTTGTTTTGAGCCTTGGTCCGCACATCGTAATAATAGAGCCAAGTCTCGTCACCTGACACGATGTTCACATACCGAGATTGCCCCTTGTAAAACATTTTCAGCATCTTTCGGCACCAAGTCGTACGACGAGTCTTCTGCTCTTCCGTCAGACTATGCCGTACCCAGAAAGAAGTTGTCTGTTGGTATGTCACTTTCCGGTCTTCGCCAAGCATTTTCCTCGCAGCAGTAATGTTTTTCAGTTACTGACGTTAGCGGCCTTCCTTCCCTTTCAGCGTTCTCCATAGTGAAAATGCCCCTTTGGAATTCTCTGTACCACCTGAATATAGTTGTACGATGAGGACAATCGTTCTTTAATGCAGCGTCATTACTTCTAAGCACTGGTCTATGCTTAAACCACGCTTAAAGTTACGTATACTGTAAGAGTGCCCTTATCTCATTAGACTACATCTACATCCAGCATCGGAAATGGAAGGACCTCTGAAGAAGCTTGCCACTCGTGCTAGCGAAACACTAGGAAGAAATTCCAATCGACGACGACCTTTAGACCCGAATGAAGACAGCAGTACCTTTTGTGTTTCTTATCTGGTAATTGCATTGTCAAACAGTACAGAATATTCTCACGGAATTAGCGAAAAATCGAGAGGATAACCTGTTTTATCACACTAATACAATGCCGATCACCGACGATTTGATCTGCAACGAACACATCTCAATAGCGGCAGTTGCTGGAAAACACCTAGGCTATTTGTTTAGGGCTAAGAAATACTTTTCTCCACCTGACCTCCTCACTCTATAAAAGCCCCAGATAAGACCTAGCCTCGAGTGTTGCTCACACGTTTGGGGTGCTGCCGCCCCAACTACATTATTCAAGGTCGATGCTGTTCGACTGATCGATGACTCTTCTCTGACAGTCGCGGGGGGCCCTCTCGCACCGGCGATCTAGTTTTATTGCACCGAGACACCAACGGGCTTTGCTCCTCAGAGCTCTTTTGCATGATGCCGCTGCGCGTTGAGCCTGCCAAACAGACCGGCCTCCCATCCTGATCGTGTCGAACTTCATACAGCCAACTGGACCGCTTGTTGGTCCCTAGGGTGTTGAGATTGCGGAACAATTTACAAGAGGAGGCTTTTCCCAGTTCTCCCAACCCTAGTCGGTTCAAAAAACGGATTAACAAAGTTTGTTTAGGATCCTCATAGCAGCCGCGGTGTACTGGCATTTAGGCCTGTCTGCCGGCTGCTTCGGTGTACAGGTTTTTTAGATGTTTACTTCTGTATAGCTTTGACAGTATCCCTTGGATTTTAATGAAATTTTGACAGGGTACTACTTTGTTAAGGACGGAACAGCGTAGTAGTTTTAGAAAATTAATCCAGTGGTGGCGGAGCTATGGGTAAAAGACGAAGAAAAAATCGCTCGAACTTCCGTCTTTTTGCGTTTCAAGGATTATTCAGTTTTGTGAAGAATTTGTCGTAAAAAATTGGGTGAATGGATTGCAGGGAGCGGGGAAGATATCTCTTTTTGGCGGTAGCTCTAAGCTCCTACCGGTAATTCTACAGACCAATTGAAAATTTCATACACCGATTTCCCCCTTTGCTCTTGAGACTTGAAGTGACGATAATGAAGATTAACCTGCCGGGGACTCGCTTATGGCTGGCGAGGTTTGTCAACGCAACGTTACCAGATACTGTTAGGAGAGAGGAGGAATTTCTAGACCGCAATATTACGGCCCTATTTGACTGACTTGATCTATTTGATTCTATTCTATCTGTTATGTTCGTAGTTGAGGGCTAACTTGGCCCAATACAGTATATGAGTGAACTGATGAAATACTTTTGTTAGAAGTACAGTTCCAAACTACAATTTTCGTTACTGCCATCCCACAGAGTTTGAAGTAACAGCTGCTTCGCAACGAATCGTAACTAGAGCTCAAATGCGAAAATTCGTGCAGCCATTTGGGCTGTACTTTGGTCTCCTTTTTTATAATAATAATGTTATTGCCAAACACCATGGTATGTTATGTAGCGTATTACAATAAAATTAATGAAAATAAAAGCTAACCTCCTCTTATAAATATATCTTAGTGCGAAAAAGCAGCTTTTTACTGCACATCTTTCCTCAACGTAGTCGGTGTAGGTATATGGAGAAAACTAATTAGATAATATTCGAATAATACATAAAATCTTGTGATTATGTCCATCACTAGTACGTGAATACCCCGTCAACGATGACGTTTATATGTCAAGACGACACTTGTGCTTTTTGCTTTTATGAGTGGCATTCGGCAAGTTTTTTAAACATACAATAATTTCAATAAAATAGTTTTATATTTATGAAAACACAGTTTTTCCAAAAATCATATGTGTATAAACAAATTCTATGGCTACTCTTGATGCAGAATGGTATAATAATGAGGTTATTTTTAACATGCAAAGTCTATCAGCAGTATTTTTATTTTTAGGCATTTATCCAATACTGGAGAACATATATTAACAAACAACGGAAGCATCAAAGATAAAAAAGAGATTTTTCAACAAGCTTTAAACGTAAGCTACAATTAACTAATTTTTCTACGATAGTTTCATCTGAAATTGAAATATTTTAAAGATTTTGCATAGTATGAATAAACGAAACCTTTTGTCTCATTTTTCTATATATCTGTCCCTCGATTAAACTATGCTACCGATTGGTTTGTCCTTTTACAATGTCTGGAGTAATAATAACGTTGAAATTTTAGCTAAAACTACATTTTTAAAATCAATAGCTTATGACAATTATTTTCCTATTTTCAGACAGACTTAAAAGAAATATGTAGTCCAGTATTAAGCAAAGAGCCTGCCAAAGAAGTATTCTCTAAAGTAGTTTTGCAAATTCAGAAGATAAAAAATATATCAGCACCAAAGGCAAATGAGGATTCTCAAGCAGCTCCTCGCATGTTAAAACTTAGTTTAACTGATGGCGATGGATATGTTCAAGCTTTGGAAGTAAAAAATATTGGTACTTTAAGCCATAAAACTACACCACCTGGTACTAAAATATTGGTCCAGAATGCTAAGTATTACTCAGGATATCTACTGTTATCACCAGAATGTTGTACTGTTTTGGGAGGTAGAGTACCAAATTTAGTTGAAAAGTGGGAGCTTGCCAAGTCTACACTGCCATCGAAAAGAAGATATTGTAAGTAGCACTCTTGACTATTATTTTGCTTACTTCTACTCAGTAGAAGAATGATTATCAGTTCCTGAGTAGTCTAGCATCATTTTATACATACAGGATTGTCAATATGTAATTAATTTGTTCATCCAGTACCCTCAAAATTCTGATCTGAGCTTTTCTTGATTATGCATTCCATTACTGTTTGCTTCCCAAATTTTACTCTTCAGCTGCTTGGTTTGTTGGCATAAACATTGTTTTTTCTAAATTTTCACTGAAAGATGCGAGGCACCATTAAATCTGGTTATCTTCTGAGTTAAGTGATATATACAGGGTGTCCGCAAAGTTGGGGTTTTCCTTTACGCAACGTGTAGATCTTGAAAACATAAGCAATTTTTCTTAGTACCATATACACCAATGTAGTAAGGGAACCGAGATAAAGGGCTCTGCAACATCAAAAATATCTGAATACCGTCCTGTAGCCGCGACTCGCGATATCCCCAACTGGTACCGGCTACTAGCTCAGCCCGACGACAGAACTGGGTCGGGGGTCGGGGTCAGTGTGTCAGGTCAGTATGCAACCTTCAACCGACGGTTACGGTCACGCGTGTAGAGGTAAACGAACTCGTATAATCGATTGCGTTTCAAAAACAACAAGCAGGCTAGAGAAGTGCAAGTATCAAAAACTAAAGTGTGACAAACGCTCCGTGAAGAGGGGCTGTATCCGTTTCACGTCCAACGTGTACAAGCCCTTCAACCTGACGATTTTCTAGCAAGAGTGCGGTTTTGTGAGTGGTTGTTGCATCAACATGACAATAATCCGGACTTTTGAAGTGCATATTGGTGACAGACGAATCTACGCGTAATGGGGTGAATAACTTTCGCAACACTCATGTTTGGTCAGTAGAAAATCCGCACGCTGTCCGTCGGGCACATTTTCAACAAACATTTTCGGTGAATGTTTGGGCCGGCATGGTGAACGGTAGGCTCATTGGACCATTTATTCTCCCAAATCGATTGGACAGGATGCAATACCTAGACTGTTTACGTCTGCTCGGTAGCGCATCAGCTGATTTCATTTTCTGTTGGAGCGGTATGATTTCGGGCAGAGACGTACTTAGCCCTTCTCGCCAACTGGAGAGTGAGTACTTTTTCCTTTATTTTTTTTTAACTTGGTCGCCCTTGTTTCACTACACATTACCTTTGTTATTACAAGGGTAGTTGTTTCTGAAAAGGAAAACCCCAACTTTGCGGACACCCTGTATATATATATTATAAGCTAGGGATGTCAAAGATCCTAAAAACATTTTTTGCAGCTTTACTGTTATGTACATTTGTGGTATCATTTTTCATACACACCTCCCAACATCAATAGAAGATTTAAATTAAAGAAAAAATGGATTTATTTCATTTGAAACATATTGGTGATACAAATTTTAGTAATATGTTAGCCATCCTATATGAATTCAAAGTATGTTATTGTTGATTTTAACTTTTTATTACCACAGCAAGTGAGGATGGTCCACCACCATGGGTTCACTTTGGTGTGAAAATTAAAACTAATATTCAAGATGATAACTTTGCATCATTATCTAGCAAGGCTAAAGATTCTAGTAAAGAAAATCCTGAATTTGAGCAACAGAGGCTGGAGGCTATTGCTGAAGCCTCAACTGGAGCTGTTAAAAAGGTAATTATGAGAATTATTGATAAGCATATATTTAGCTAGACCTTTAGATAAAAATGTTGTAATACATGAAGGCAGTACTTGGGTCTATGCTAGATTCTGATTTATATATACATTACTACAATGTGATGGTTCAATATGAATACTTATTTCAAGTTCATAAGCATTTATGTCAATTCATGAGCCTTTATAATGTATTTTAAAGCATCTAGGATTCACCATCCATTGTGAGAAATGTTGATGTTTTGAATCACCAGAGATTACTCAAAAAATGTCAAATATCAACATTATTTCCAAGTTTGTGTATAATTATATAAAGGGTTAATACTTGTTTTTAAGGTGTTTGGTGGTAGAGTTAAACAAAATGTTCAACCTGTTCAAAATTACCAGAATAGGAATAATCAGAAACAAAGGAGAGACCAACCAAAAGGAAAGGGCAAAAAATGCATGGATGATGAAGAAGATGTTGTGGAAAAGCCTTTGAAACCTACCAACAAAGTATCTCTATTTTCATTCCTTGAAGATAAATTACCTGTTAACGAGAATCCTCAACATACTAAATACTCAAATCAGTTCCCATCAGATAGGTATAGACCTAATGAAAGCTATAAACAAAATAACATGCAATCATATCAGACCAGCAATAATCAAAAACCTTCAGCAAGACAATCAAACCTAAACAGTTTCAAACACCAAAATTCAGAGAGGTTTGAGAAACCATACCCCAGCTATAAAGAGCAAAACAGACAGAATGAAAATGCATCAGCTCCAATAAATGACATTAAGTTATATCATGGAAACTCAAATCAAAACATCACAAATCCTATTAAGTTTTATCATAGTGAAAATTCAAAACAAAGATCATCAAATTATATGAAGTCTCAAGATGATGCAAGTCAAGAAAATAATATAAAATTTTACCATAGTGATATTTCCAAAAAAGTGCCAGCGAATTATTCTAATGACTCCAGACAAGGCAGCTCTAATAATGCAGCTTTTCATCAAGATAATTCAAGGAAAGGTAAGTATTTTACAGTTATTGGAATTTCTATTCCATAAAACCATCCCTTCTAGTATCAAGAATGAGGCATGAATCAAGTATGATCAGTATGCCAATTATTCTAAAAGGTTGATTGGTTATTGACCATGTTTAAATGCTATTATTGTTATTTGCACTCTGCTGTAATTGTCTTTTACTTACAATTGCAGTTATAATGGAGGAGGGTTAGTTTTTTGGTAAATTTTAAAGAATGACATTTTATGGATTGGAGACAAAAAAAGACAGCATTTATGGTGAATAATAGTTTATATTAAATGTATTATTGTGTTGAGTTCAACAAATCCTGTCTTTTTGCCTCCAAGCCATAAAATGTGATTCTTTGATATTTGCGAAAGCTTACCCTTATAACTGCAATTGGAACTAAAAAAAAAAAAAAAAAAACAGCTGAGTGCGAATAACAATAATATTTAAATATTGCCAATGACCCACCAACTTTAGTTGAATAACTGGAATAGTGATCATATTTGATTCTCTCATACTACAAGGTATCAAGACAGACATAAGAACGGCAGGGCTATTACGTAAAAAACCTATATAATTAAAAAAAAAACGAAAAATTGTCAACTTGCTGACTAGATATTCCTAGTGTGTAAATAGTTCATTTCGCGTTTGCTCGCTATGATCATCTATGCAGAAATGACTCGACTACACGACACGTTCAATGATCATGCAGCAATTCAGTTCCCAGCATGCTTTGTTGATGACCCGTGAAGTATAACTGCACGAGACGCGTTATTTGTGTTGTCTTTTCTGACGAGAGGTTATGTGCAAAGTTATAAATTACAATTTTTCCCGTTTTTTTGCGTCTTCAAAAACTTTGAGAAGCATTACAGGAAATCATTACCACGATAGCGTGTAATTGAGCCTCATCCCGGAAAAATTAAGAATGACGCATCACACACAAATTAGACAGTGCCTGGTCTTTCATGCCAAAATCTCCAAAACCATAAAACAAAATTTTGCCATATAGGAGGCGACGTGACCTATTTGCAAGATCTCCCTTGAATTAGTTTAAATATAATAAACATTGACTACTCAAATACCTTTGAATTACAATCGCTTCTTTTTGAATAAATAGGTGGACACAATAGTGGAAAATATAATAGCAGTTATCAGCAGAACACACAGATCACTTATAATCAGGGATACCAGCAGAATAATTATCAGCAAGCTAATTACCAGAGAAACAACCAGAACAGCTATCAACAAAATCAAAGTACTTACCAGCAGAATAGTTATCAGCAACAAAATCATAACAACTACAAGCAAAATACTCAACCAACAAAACCAGTTCCTACTAGTACAATGGTAACTAGCAATGTTGACAGTACAGTGAACAGTATTGATGTGGAAAGTGTGACCCAAAATCTCGGAAAAGTGTCATTGAATAGTCAATTTGCCAGTAGAAGTTTAAGGCAGCATCTAAATTTAAGTACAAATAAGAAGAACGAAGCTTCCACACCACCTATAATGCAGTCGGGTCAAAGTGGTGATTCTTCATACAAGATTGGGGATGTTTGTCTGGCGAAATATTGGGAAGATGGAAAGGTATGTTAAAAAACATTGCAGACATGGATATTAATTAGTATTACATATTTTTGTTATTTTCCTTATATTTCGTTTTATGAGAGTATTTTAATGGAACTTTGGTAAAGTAAACCTACCAAAAATTGTATTGGTCCTACCAAGAATAATTTGTACAGAGATACAAATTGTGATAATAATTACTCCTGGTTCTGTTTATTCAAGTATTTCAGTACTAATAGTCTAATCATATTACCAAAGTTCCCCAAAATAATTGTAAAGTCTGGTTTTATTGATGCAAGTTGTTCAAGGGGTATTTAAAACATGGACGCATAAAATGGGTACACCAATTTTTGTGGGAAAACTTTTATTCGACAACAAAGAATGAGTAAACGGGTTTTTTGGGATTCAATCGAAAGTGTTGTCAGGAACCAAAAAACTCTTCAAATAAGATTTTTAGGTATTTATGAGGCCTACAGAATGAGACCACACATTTTGCCTCGGTTTTCGGCCATAACTTTTTTACTATTAGTCGGATTGTATTACGTGTAGTCTCATTCTGTGGGTCTTATACCTAAAAATCTTATTTGAAGAGTTTTTTCGTTCCTGCCAACACTTTCGATCGAATCCCAAAAAACACGTTTTCTCATTCTTTGTTGTCAAATAAAAAGTTTTCCCACAAAAGTTGGTGTACCCATTTTATGCGTCCATAAAACTAGACTTTACAATTATTTCGCAAACCAGGGGCATTTTCATCTAATATGATTACACTATAAACTATAATCTTAAAAGCATGCTTATTTTAGTTCTATGAAGCTACTATTACTGCTATAACAGATAAAACCTTTGCTGTAAAATTCAAAGGCTATGGAAACATAGAGGAAATTTTGAAGACAGATTGCCAACCTCTAGACAATAAACAATATAATCAGCAGAAAAGATACAACAGTAGGCAGTATTCAGGTAAACATTTGTGGATTTTTGGATTGTAATATAACTTAACATTTTTTAGGTTCAACAGAATTCCGGAAGAGCACTAAAACTTACAACTAATGCCATAAAAATTAAGTATAAAACTATGTTTAAATTGATGATCTGATGATCATTCTTTCAGTATGAGGATCAGCAGGAATACTGGCGGACTTTTTTTTAGTTATTTATTTTCATCTTATAAACTCGTTTTATGATTTTTAGAAAAGCAGGTTTTCTTCCTTCTCATGTGAATTTGGCGAGGAAATGTAATCGCGAAAATGAGATTTTGGTTTTTGGTCATCAACATGGACGCCCGCAAGGGGCGGGGGCAGTGGCACTGGACCTTAAAATTTGCATGATTTTGTGTACAATTTTGAAGATTTTTAGGGTCTGCGAGGCAAATAGTTGGTGCTACAATGCAATTATTTTTGAAGCAAAAATTTTATATTTTATTTTCTCTAGTGCCCCTTCAAGTCCTGCGGCCTGACGCACAGTGCGTCACCATAGATCCCCGTCCGTATTGGGCACATAGATTTCCCCAAATATTGCCGAGAGACAGAATTATGCAAAAGCTTTTCGCAATTTCAAATTTTTTAGGGAGAGACGTAATTTTTAATTTGACCAATATTAACACAATTAGTTGATGAAGTGTGCCAGTTTTCTGTTTCCTCTTTGTAACCATTACGAACTTATGAAGATTCGACACTTTTTGTAATTAACTAATTAACCCATTTATTCTCAGCGAAATGTTAACACGTTAATAAAAAATATATGAAAATACATTCATTTCCTTGTGACAAGGTATAAAAAGATACGTGTTATATGCTAAAAACACGTTCTCCTGCAATCCAAGTAGACTGGATATCGAAGGTATCATTCAGGATAACAAAATCTGCGTCAGCATCAAAATTAAGAGTTCCCTTCTGCTTCTGTATCCCAAGAACCTCGGCTGGATGCAGGCTAGCAGCTTCCAGAGCATATTCAGGTGGAGATCCTATAATTTTGAGCAGGTATTGGTATTGGAGAATAATCCCGGGAAATGACGGTCCCGAAAGACCCGGATATCTCATGTACCAGCATTTTCGACACATACCGGATTAAGTATAAATAAACTTCTTAATAAATATATGAATTTCAATTATATTTGAAACTCCAATGCTAAAAATAGTCGTGCTTGTTACTAATTAATGTCACTAAATGCTAGTTTGATTCATGACTAAGAATATTGTTTCTTATAATAAATAAGTGAAATGCGATTCTATTTGCATAGAAAAAAAGGCCAAAAATTTGATGAATAACCAGAATTATCCATTCTGACTTCATTTTAACACCAAAACTGTGTTATTTTACCTTAAGGTCCCGCAAATCCGGGTCCTCGCGGCCCCTTTGATATCTAGCGCCGAAAGTCCCTAATTTTCTGTAAGAGTACTGGTTCATTTGGTGTATTATGCGTAGTCACAGCATATAAAATACTGCACCCTAAAGTTTTACACCCCCTCGTCATTATCGAACAATTACCTGTGGCCGACATAAAAAACTGTATGCATTCAATCATAGATGCCATACTGCCAGCAATCGTATCTGTTCCTTGTATATATGCTTTCTGATCTCTAATTTCCATATTGAGCGGACCTATTTTGTGTTCTCCTTCATATAAGCCCAGAGCTGATATGGCATCTGTTACTAAAACCAGTCCTAGAATTGTAGAAATAATAAAATTTTTAATAGATTTCCAAATCCCAAAAATAAATTGCAACTTTGTGGGCAGCAATAAAAACGTAAAATTTGTATAATACATTCAGCCAAACTGCGATGGGTAACTTTGACATGCTGTCGTCTTACGAGCAATGAGGTCGCCACAGTTTCTTCCTTGTTTTTACGATTTATGAATTAGAGATCTGTTTGTCGGAAAGGTGTCGATCTGACGCATATTTTTTTGAATTGATTAAGATATTACAGAAGATACCCAATTCAGTTGTAAGCCGTGCCTGCGCAAAAATAAGCATAAGTATTGCGGCGTCGCGTGTGAAAGGTTGATGTCAAGTTTAAGAACATTTTTTTAAAAGGAGAAATGGAGTCTGTTGTATTACATTTAAGGGAATCACTTACTGCCTACTTGGCAAAATGGATGTAATGATGGATACTGTACGTGAACGCCACAAAGCATAGTGATGGGGAATACGTTAATCAATGCTTTTGGTTATTTACCTCTTGGATTCACTCTGTAAGCTATCCTTAGGGCAGCAGGATCGGTGTGGACATGGTCAGATATAATTCCATAATATATACTTCTAGGAATGTTATGTGATGCAAGTAGTCCAACTAAACCAGGATCTCGGTGATGGAACTGAAACACGACACCTTTAGAATAATCTTAAAAACCTAGAACAGTTCTAAAAAATTGTTGATTTTTCAGAGGATTTGTTCACACACAAAAATTATAATTGTGGGCTCTTGCAAAAAAAAATCCAATACGAAAATAGGGAGTTTCCATTTATTTTTAATGCTCACAATTCCGTCGCTGTTGCGCAGCTTTCATTGGCACTTGAAGAATTTTATAATTCCATTGAAAAATGGATATTATGCAAACGTAAAAAATGTGCTGTAAAAATATCGTTTATAGTTCACAAAATGATAAAATATGTATTACTGTTCAGTTCTGTATAGTTTACAGATTACTTACAGGTAACATTGCGTTGAATAGGTGAGTGATTAACGATGCTCCATGTCTGACAGCTTCTTCAGCCTCGGATAGATGCGATGTGGAATGACCTAAAAAATAATATAATTCTTTTTGAAATGATTTTTTTAACGTTTCGTGGAATACGTGCCTGAATTTGCTGCAGCGCGTAGATCTTTTTAGGCAAAGCTAAGGCCTAGAGCCCAGTGGTTATAAGCTAATATACTTAGTGACAAAGAAAATATAACACCCAGCAACGTTTATTTTATTTGAATGAAACTTTATAAACAGTAAGACCCAGGTGGGAGGAAGTTGTAATTGAATTTTTTAAGTGAAAATATTCGCTGTTTCGTTGGATTTCACTAATGGCAGCCTCGATTCCATATCTATTCGTTCAGTTGTCGGAGCATGCTTCTGAGATATCTCATACCAACATAGCTGTGCTTGGTTTTAAAGAGCTGCCAGCATTTGAGGATAATGAGGTAAAGAGGTCATTCTTTGTCAAATCAGCCTCTTTTCTTGGCCTCCTAAATGTGCAGACCTTTCGTCAATATTCATATTCTTGTCGATTTAAAGAAAGCTTTCGATTCAGTAAATCATACATTTTTATTAGAAACGTTGGAGATAATTGGTTTTTGAGGAAAAGCATACTCAGTGATCAAAAATTATCTATCAAACAGCCCACAACCTGTCCAGATATCAAGATCATTTAGCAACGAAATATATATATATTAAGTGTCGTGTACCACAAGGAGCAGTCTTAGGCCCACTGTTATTTAATATAATATTTAAACGATATTTTCCAAATTGATTGTGTTTTCAAAATAACCAGTTTTGCAGATGATACTGAAATATGACGGCACTGACTGGTCTGATCTAAAAAATGTAATTTAAAATGATTTTGTCAAAATTGTTCGGTGGTTTAATAGCACAAAATTGAGCATTAACTATTCTAAAACACATTTTTTACCATTTTTATCTCATGCTAGACATTTTCCAAATTACACAGATTTCTCCTTAAACATTAATGATCAAAAACTGCAAATTAATGAGTGCCAAACATAAAATACCCTAGATGTGACATCCATGTCGATTATATTTTAAAGAAAATTATATTGGTATAGTACAAAACTAAATACCTTCCGCCTCCTCAAATATGGTATATTAGCATGGGGAGCTGCATGTTCATCACATATCTACAATATACATATTTTTCAAAAAAGTAAAAATTATGTTAAAATAACCGAAACTTTATCCCACTGACGAATTATACGCAAATGTATAAGATTTTATTTCTTACTATACATTTGTCAATACCGACCAAAAAATTAAACAATCATTATACAAGGTGCAAAATTCCTGGCACAGCAGTTCCTCAGCCTCAGAAATCTATAATGCAGCAGTCATACCTCTGTTTAGCGCCAAAATTTTATGAAAAAGTACCCAAAGATTTAGAAGATATACATTTTGGAAATTATTTCAAAATAAATTTGAAGAAGTGGCTACATTCTATATCTAGAACTGAAATTCATACATACGAGCATAAAGTAAATACATAATTCACTATGACTAAGTTTTGCTCTTTTTTGCAATTTGTATTCTACTGATGCAGCTTGAAATGTTTGGTTTATGCACATGCAGTGCCTCGTATTGGGCCTGTTTTTATTTTATATTTATTTATATTGTTTTCTTTGTTCATTGAGCGAATAAATATTATCATATGATGCTAATAATAGTGACCTCTTTATCTCGTTCATCACAAATGCTAGTAGTTGTTCGGAACCAAATACAGCAAGATTAAGAACAAGTCAAGGGTAATCAAACCTTTTAACTTCAAAATTTAGTTGCGACGTCCCCTTACTTATGTCTAACTGTGTATTCAATCTCATTTAAATCAAATAATTTTCAATGGGTGTTCTATTTTCTTTCTCAGTGAGTAGTGAGTATATGTAACCGGGAGAATATCTAAAAGTTTTGAATTAAAACGCTCTTATAATTCGTAATTTTTACCTACCTAAAGAAACTATGATGTTTCTATTTGTAAGATATTTGATCACACTGCCTGAATTAGGAAACTCTGGTGCCAAAGTAATTATCTGTACATTCTCTAAGCTGCCATATGTTTCTTCAATAACCGATATATCCTGTTGGTTAAATACATGCAATTATTGTGCAGTACGTAAGATGTAGTAAGAGTTTGTAACGACTACCCGGACCTCGTCTAACTTCACAGATCAAACGTTCTTGTGAGCTATGATTTTTTTCTGTCAACTATTCTGGTTAATGTCATACAAATATTTACCTGTTCATATGATCTGATAAAAGAGGCACGGTGGGCTCCTTTTTTATTTGGGTTGATAAAAGGTCCTTCAACGTGGGTACCCAGTACAGTTGCTCCATGAAGACCTCCTTCTTTCCTCTTGAATTTAGACAGTATCTTGTGGTACACCTCAACTGAAGAAGTGACCACCGTAGGACAGTATGAAGTTACACCATGGCTCAACAGTTTTTTTCCTACAACGCTGATTGCTTCTTCAGTTTTGTCCTCAAATGAAAAATCATAGCCATATCCACCTACCAACAGATTTTGAGAAACCAGTTTTATAAAAAAAGTAGGACATCGGTCTAACGCAAAAGGTAGCCCTTATTAAGCTCCGTCGATTTTCTATCGTATAAAATTTGGATCATCATTAAACATTCCTTGTCGAAAATTAATAAATATGATGATAATAAAATTTTCGATGATAGTTGAAATGCCCGATAGGACTACGCACCATTCTCACAGGAATGTGATTACGGTGGATTTGCTCCAGACTTTGAGGTTGTGTATTTCAAGTGATGCTTATCAAATATTTCCATTGCACTAACTAGATTTGAAGCCATCTAAATGACCCAGAAGGGTTTAAAGTTGGCTACTTACGCCTTATGCAGCGACACCGAAAAATCCTTCCAAATAACTAAGAACAAAGCATATGTATGTTTTAGGTTAGTTAATTGCATCACAAATGGCTTAAAATAATAGTTATTGCAAGTTGTGTCAATCTTTATTTCCATTTTGCCCTTACTACCCTTCAAAATCGGAGAAATGTCCCGTACGAGGGGGTATTTCTCAGGAAGCACTATTATGCCACAATGACAGTAGCACGCCAGTCACTGGAAGATGCGTGCGTGACTCTCGCTGCCCGTTAAAAGGGCGTTGACATTATGCTTGTTGGCTGGTACTATCAAACTAGCGCTAGTTCGCTGGTACTGCTTGTCCTGTTTTCATACTAGTATGTGCTATGTTGTGCAGTTGTGCTAGTAAAATAATTACATTTTAGTTTGATGGTTTGGAATGGCTGTCAATTCGTGAAAATGAGTGAAGTATTAGCAAAAGGCATTGAAATAGTGGCTACAATGTTACAAGGGGAATTAAGAAGTATCGCACATAAAAGAAGTCGTCGACAAAGAAGGTGGTGGACGCGGGAATGGATTGTACAACGAAAACGTTTTGGTGTCAGTGAAAACCTATTAAAGGAAGTAAAACTTTCTGACCCCCAAACATTCACGAATCATTTACGGACTCCAGATCAATTTTCATTTTTATTACAATGCGTTACTCCGATTATACGAAAACAAGATACTTCGTTCAGGGAAGCGTTGACTCCGGAACTGAAACTTCAAATTATATTACGCTACGTAGCATCTGGAGACTCTTTTAGCACACTATAACATATGTACAGGGTTCCAAAAAGTACAATTTCAAAATTTCTGGTAGACATTCTTAACGCAATATATGCTGTGCTACAAGATTGCGGACTCTGAAGAAAAATGGAAAGTAATTGCTGATAGATTTAATTCAAGGTGCAACTTTCCAGGATGTTGCAGGAAAATAGATGGAAAACATATACGTATAAAGTGCTCTGCAAATAGTGGAAGCTATTTTTATAATTATAAGGGGTACTTTAGTACAGTTCTGTTTGCTATGGTTGATAGTAATTATGAATTCTTATACATCGATGTCGGTTCCAACGGAAGAATGAATGATGCTAGCCTTTTTGGGGCATCACGTTTGAAAACCGCACTGGAAAGTAATACATTGCGTTTCCCAGATTGGGGAGTTCTTGTCGGAGATGACACGTTCCCTCTGAAAAACTACTTAATGAAGCCGTATTCAAGGAATGGAATTACCCAAAAAGAAACAATATTTAATTATCGTCTTTCGAGAGCTTGACGAATATCCGAAAATGCTTTTGGGATTCTTGTATCTAGATTTAGAATATTTTTACGTGGTATAGAAGTATCCCCGGATAAGGTAGATTATATAGTAAGAACAACATGTGCTTTACATAACTGGTTACGAAGAACATCAGCAAATACTTACATACCACCAGGAACAACCGATTACGAAGATATTGATACTGGTAATATAATAACTGGATCATGGAGGAAAGACGTAGCAAATAATCAAGTGCTTCAGCTGGGTCATTCTTGGGGCTCCCACAATTATTCTAAAGAAGCAGCTACCCGACGAGACAACTATGCGGATATTTTATGAATGATGGGGCTGTTGACTGGCAATGGAATATGATTTAAGAAACAGTGTAAAATTATTGTGATTAGTGATGTAAAATTTCCGACAGGACAAAGTTGTACATAAAAATAATAATCTTGAAATAATAAAGCTATCCAATGAGGTAATCAAAAGTTTATTGAATTAGTGTTCATACATATTTTGAAAACATAATTATGTATTACTTAGTACTTACAATAAATAACAACAAGTAAAAATGAACAAAACCGTTTTCCTTTGTTTGTCTAACATGCAGAGGAAAATGTTAGTCAAAGATTCGTTATCTCAATTTAGAACTCTGCCTTTTCAAACAAGTCGCCAATTGCTGCAGACAAAATATCAGTATTTTGAACTTCGCTATTTTCTTCAAAATCATTATAAACTGATTGTTGTGGTGAATTGTAACACCTTAGTGAGCTGTTGCTGTAGCCATCTTGTTGAATTTGTTCTGCATTTATCGGCGATTGTAAAGTCCTTTCAACTGGACTAAAACAGGTGGAATGTGAAGACCGCGAAGACGAAGATTTTTCCCTTTCATACTCTAGTCGCTCTCTCATTAATATTTGCTGGAATTCTGTCTGGCATTTTAGAGCTCGTTGAATAGACAAATTTCTTAATTGGTGTGCTTTAGAATGCACATTGCAACCTGATTTAGTGAACAAATATTTCCTAAATTCCATTCCAGATAATTGTGTGGATACCAGTATTATTCATCATTACAATAGCAATGTTTTGCCATCTATAGACAACTTGTTTCAGTTAAAACCGGTCACGGAGGATAAAATATTACAGATTTTCAATAAAATAAAATCTCGGGCGGTTGGACTAGACGGTTTGAATATAAATATGTTAGCTCTAGTGTTTCCTTTTTGTTCTAAAGCGATTACTCATATAATTAACTATTCGCTTGAAAAAGGGTTAGTTCCTAAAATTTGGAAAGCCGCATGCGTTAGGCCTCTTGCTAAAGTTGATGCTCCGGAAGGACCTGATGATTATAGACCAATTAGTATCCTTCCAGTGTTATCAAAACTATTAGAAAAAATTGTATATGAGCAACTGATGCAGCACGTCACTACCTTTAAGATAATTCCATCTACGCAGTCGGGGTTTCGAAAAAACCACAGCACCGTAACAACTCTGCTCGATGTCTGTGACGACTTCATAGGGGCAATAGACAATTCTAAAGTTACTACTGCTGTCATGATAGATCTAAGTAAGGCCTTTGATTGCCTCAACCATGAACTACTTTTTGCAAAATTTCATTATCTTGGCTTCTCCGATAGTTCGATTAATTGGTTTCGCAGTTATTTTCATGAACGCATTCAGCAGGTAAAAATCGGTGACATCTTATCACAGGAGGGTACTATCTCCAAAGGTATACCACAGGGGTCTATTCTTGGACCTCTTCTGTTTTCTCTTTATGTAGCGGACTTAGATAAAGTCACTAAATACTGCAAATTACATACATACGCCGATGATACACAGATTTATCTATCTTACAACCCTGCTATGTACATTGAAGCGAATGAGATGCTGTCTGAGGATTTAAATAGTATATGTGTGTGGTATAACAAACATGGCTTATGTATTAACCCTAGAAAGTCGGCTATCATAACTATTAAATCTAAATTCAGCAAATTCAATAGTGAATTAATAAAGCTGTGTATTGGAGGTGATGAAGTTTGCCACAAGACATCGGTTCGCAACTTGGGCATCACATTTGATGAGAACCTGTGCTTCCATGATCATGTCACCAAAGTTGTTCAGGGTTCCTATGCTAAGTTGAAGTCAATTTATAGCTATAAAAATGTATTGTCCAAGCAGACCAAGGTTAAGCTGTGTGACTCCCTTATCCTAAGTAAACTTGAATACGGGGACCTTGTCTATGGTCCATGTCTAATACAGAGCGAGGCATACAGACTTCAAAAAGTGCAAAACAGCTGCATAAGATTCAGTTTAGGTATTCAAAGGCGGGAGAGGGTATCTGATGATATTAAAAATATTCAATGGCTTACTATGCGACAAAGGTGGATACTGCATCTATTATCATTGGTCCACAGTATTATGATCAATAAAATGCCTCTTTATTTGAAGAACAAGCTTACCATGAGATGTGATCATCACTCAGCGAACCTGCGTTTTGTAGGATATACTCTTGACTTGCCTCGGCACCGAACAACCCAATTCAGAAAGAGCTTTTCATATGTGGCGCCCGATTTCTACAATAAAGTACCTCAAGCTTTGAAAACTTTATCTGTGTCCAGCTTTAAAAGAAAAGTTAGGCTCTTTGTCTTTGATGACATGTAGCATGTATTTTTTTTTTTTTTTTTTTTTTTTTTTTTCGATTCCATCTAGCATGTATTTTTACGTAATTTTGTTTTTATATTTGTTTATTTGTGCATGTTTTCTCACTCGTCACTTTTCATTTGTTTGTGTTTTGCTTACACATTTGTTACTGTTTACTTTTAATTTTGATATCCTCTGTCATATACCTAATATTTTCTTTTTTAAAGTTACTTCTAATCACGGTTTTTGATTCTGCTACGTACTCTGTTGCTGCACGTTTCTCTTTTGGTCTTTTGGTCATTATACCATGCTACGATTCTGTAAAAAAAAAAAATTTTTTTTTTCTGCTTTAAATGTTATCTTCAATGTATTTTTGTTGTATTTGCATGTACTTGATTTTTTTTTTTTTTTTAGCCCTGGTTGGTTCTGAAAAACAGCTTGTGCTGATGTAACCCGCCAGGTAAAATAAAGGCCATTTATTATTATTATTATTATTATATTCATGCCAAAATAGTCAAATTAATCTTTTTCCTGTACAACCCTTTTGAGATCCTCCAGTTTTTCCATTGCGTTTGAAATATGATCTGGAACATCTTTTTGTTTCTTCCTTTAACACTTCCCTCACTACTGGATTTTGCTGGTACGAATGTTTTTGATCAAATTCCTTCAAGTTCGCCACCATCTATATCTTCGGAAGACTCAACTGAGGTCATTTGTGATTTATCCTGTAAGAAAGTATTATTAGGTATATTAATTTACTATAAAGAATATAAAATCAAATGAGTATTTGGTTTGAAAAGTATGTAATTGGTCATTACCCAAATAATTTTGCTGAAATCCATACCAGACTACTAGAAGGTTCTCTACAAGGGCAGTACTCAAGGAATGTAGCGGCTTCATTAAACCAAACAAGTCTTGGCGTGTATAAGTCAACTGGTAATGCCTCAGATTTCTTATACTTTGTTATTTTATTTTTCTCCAAGTGATAGGTATCTCTGATCGCTTTTATTTTCTTCTTTATCATATCCAGGGTCAAGTTGTTCATGTTCATTTCCTGCTGTATGTATTCAAATGCTTTGTTTCGCTTTTCTCTGTTTTTATAATTTGTATCGTGAACATTCCACAGTATTTCACATTCTTTATATAAACTCACAAATTTTAACGTTTCATTTTCACTCCATTTGTGCATAGGCGCCATTTTTATTTCTTTAGCACGTTCGCTGCGACCTGCCTCGCGCCGCGCGCACGGTAGCGGCTAAACGATTTTAGGCGCTGCACAAGCGAAGCGCGGATTCGCGTCGTGTAATTGAAAACTATTTCATATATACATTTTCTTCTTCTATCTCGTTTTTTTCGTACAGTTACACGAAACATGTCTTGAAACCCTATTAAAGATTTTTCTTTAATTAATTTCAGACCAGACTATAAAATACAAAAACAAATATTCAGTAAAACAAGTTTATTATGGAAAAGAACAAAATAATGATATTCAAATAGAAGCTTAGAATAATAACAAAATAATGTGAAATAACACAAAGTAACACTTCAAAACCTATCAAAAGATATGTGGCACTGAAACAAACTTAACATGTATTATTCAAAGTAATAAAAATATTTAAATTGGGACCAAACAAAACAAACATAGCCTTCTAATCAAATATAATATAAAAAATCAAACAAAGGATAACAAAAATAATGCAAAGAAAAATAAATAATATTTTAAATATTTTTTATCTCATCATTCCACATGCTCGTATCTACTAAATTCGCAGCTGTAGGTGGCTGTGGGCTGGAAAAATCATCACTCGTTTCAGACATATTTCCATCAGACTGTTCACTTCCATCTGAACTGGGAACATAATTGTCTGAGTCACTTAGATTCTCGATTTCACTCCCCGAATTTGCAAGAATATCATACAGTTCTTTTTCTGTAAGCCCTTTATTACGGTTACAATACGTTTTCACTCGTTTTGGACGTGAACAACCTGCTTCCACATCATCCGCCATTGCGCAATGTAAAAATAAACGAAACTTGATCCCACGCGTAAAATAGTCCAAAAAGATGTTCAATATGTAGGCAACCAAACAGAAAGCGAGTGCGGTACAAACTGACAACACCACAGTCTTGTGAGTTTGTCAGCCAGAAGCGCGGATCCGCGCCCGCCGCCTTTCCTTAAACATCGGTCGGACGCGGATCAGCGTCGTTCGCAGTGAACGTGTTAGCTGGTACACAAAAGTACAAATGATTTTAACTTTGCTAGCGCTAGTAAAATAAGCACGAGACTGGTGCTAGCCAGTGTTTACATTGTACTTGTCGACTGACATGGACCAACTGGTACCAGTCAATAAGCAAAAGGCGAGAATACACATGCTTGTTACACGCACAGAAGCATGCCAGTTACTGGATTGTGCGTGCTACTTGCATGTGTGACATTCTTTGCCAGCAAGAAAGCACGCTAGAAGATAGCACGCCAGTAGACGTTTGATTTTTGTGTGCCAGTAGCAGGATTTCGTCGAGGGAATGGAGGGGAGGAAACATGCGAGTCATGTTCAAAGGTGTGTGAACGACATCGTTGCCAGAAACTCGCATGTGAAAAACGGATTCTTGAACTATAGAACTATTTGTTTAGTTCCGGGCAAAATGGCTCGTTGGGGAGACGAAAAGACTTTATTGTTGGTTATGCACTATAGGGAGTATCCGTGTTTATGGAATGCATGATCTCCATTGTATAAAAAATAAATCGCTAGAGACAATGCTTACAAGTCTTTATTGAAGCAAATGACTGATAACAATTTAACATTGAAATTTATGAAAAAAAAAAGATAAAAAACCTAAAAACAACCTACCACCAAGAGTTAAAGAAGATAAAGGAAAGTTTTCACAGACTGGCATATCCAAAACTAGCATGTGTATTTTGGGATGTCGTAGGACAAGTAGTTAGCATACAAGTTACTGGCCACTGGCATGCTATTTTACTGGCATGTGTATTCTCGCCTTAATGTCAACGCCCCTTAAAAGAAAGCATGTTAGAAGATAGCATGCCAGTAGATCGCAAGCAATTTGATTTTTGTGTGCCAGTAGACGGATTTCGATAAGTGCGTGGAGGGCGAGAAGCATGTAATTCGTGTCGAAAAATGTGTGAACGACGTCGTTGCCAGTAGCTCGCATGTGACGAACGGCTAGTCCTCAAATAATTTTTTTTATAATTTTCGAAAAATGTCCCGTTAGGACGATGAAAAGACTTTATTGTTTATAATGCAGTATAGGCAGTATCAATGTTTGTGGGATAGATCATTTCCACTGTATAAAAATAAAACCGGTAAAGACAATGCTTATGAATCTTTATTAGAGCATATGAATGATGATAACATTGAGCACGTTCATTCGATCAACTCGAAGGGCAAGGCAAGTTACTGGCCACTCGCATGCTATTTTACTGGCATGTGTATTCTTGCCTTATTTCAACCCCTAAAGTGGAAAACAACTCTCTAAGTAGTACCACCGAGCTGGGTGAAATGCATTTTTGATTAAAGTAAAACTGAACGATTAGGTACTAATAAATGCAATTATCAATTTTTTACGTATGTATAGCATAGGAAAAAGGGTTCGGTTTACATACTACCTAAGATAAACCACAATTTTATTGAAAAATGAACATAATCATTACTAATAATGTTAAAAACAAAGTAGCCAAATTTAATGTCTGATCCTATTTTGTAGAGCGACTATTAACTCTATGATTTCCTTCATCTTCAATTCGCCCAGATTTTTTTAGTATTCCACTTTGGAATTGCCTTTATTCTGTGTTTTGGAAGTCCATTTCAGTTACTTCTGTGTAGATAAGAAGGACCACAACAACCTTTTTAGCCATACAGTTCATCATGATAAATTTAATTTGTGGTATCAAATCCTCCATTTTAGTTGTTAGTTTTACCTTAGGGAAGGGTGTTTAGAAGCAAAATGAAAATCAAGGTTAAAACGACTTGCAATAACAATTCTTTTGGGGCATTTGTGATGTGATTAACAAATCCAATTCATAAGTCATGTGCCTAAATAAGAGACGGTTCCTCCATTTTGTAATTTTAACAGACAAGAATGTTAAATTAAAGAAAATTGATTAACAAAACGTGTAAGAGGATAATTATACAAAATTGGCAATGTCACATTAATGCCAAATAGATCTTCAAAAAACAAACATTCTCATCCCTCACATCAAATGCGAGGATATATACTGAAAACCAAATTTGTCGGCCGGCTCGAGTTCAATGTGTACGAGAGAGAAGTGAGTATAGACATAGAAGCCGCCTGGATAGCGAAGTTCTTCATCACTGCGTTACCTAGCAACGCTGACGCGACAATCTGCCGCGTTGCCAATATGTTCCTTGAATTAAAATGCATATTAAAAATAGGCGTTAGTTTATTTTTTTTTGTCGAATCTGTTTAGGACTGGTTCACGATCGATCCTTACGGCGCTCCATTTTATGTCAGAATGAAAGGTCAGGTTTGCCACAAATTATGCACATTTCATCATTGGTTCGTTTGAAAACATTTTTCGCACTGTGTTTTACATCTAGGCGCTGATTTGTATTTTCTACTTGGCATCGTAAAATAAATTTCTGTGAAATTTGAATGACTGGAAATAAAAATTAATGTGAAATGTAATAACTTTTTACGCTTCATAAACATTCCTCTATAACAGCAAGCTATTTCTCTCAGCTTTTATATCTAACAGGTTTTTTCATTACTTCATGTCAACAGGCAACCAGTTATACAACCTTCGGATTACGGTTTTGTTCCGTTTCATTTCTCCTATCTCTTTTTTCACTCACAATCGCTTCGCTTGGATCATCGTCATCAGGATCCCATAATACCAATGTTCGTAGTGAACGAGTTGTTCAAGGAACGATTGAACTAGTTCACTTAGTTCAATCATAAGAATCGTTCGATTGAACTAGTTCGTCGCGAATTACACATTACTAGTGAACACGTTCTACAGAACAAATCTCAACTTTGCGAACAACTGCCGTTTATAAGTTATGGTCACACATTTTTTGACGCCAAGAAGCATCAAGCAGGCTATTATCAGAAATCTACAATTTAATAAATATTGAGATATACAATGTGTAAACTGGTACAATGTACCAGGCTTTTAGCTCATTACCAGGTATTCCTTATTATTGGATATTTATACAAAGTGTCCTGAATTAATTTGCTCTCAGGTTCTAAAGACAATTCGAGCGAGTATTTTAATGCAGTGCCGCGACTGAATTTGAGAAGGCATGGACAAAATATTTTGAACGAGTAATCATAAGTATTTGTATCCTCTGATCGAAATCAATTTAAATTCGTCGGCATTTCATGTAGGGTCATAAAAATAAATGAAATTGAAATCTGTGGTGTGTGCCAACTACATAAAATACCTAACAGGAATGAATGTCCATTGTCACTTTAACTGACGTACCTCTAGCTGTTTTTTCACTTTTTCCGTGAAACAAATTAGCAAAATCACGAACAATACAACATGTAGGAATTAAGGATTATTTGTTTTGGTACAGTCACCACAAGGACTGTGCTATAACGGTATACCCAAGCAATAAATAATTCAAAAACAAAGGAATGTTACTTACCGTTGATTTGTAGATCTATGAATCCGGGTGCTATTATATTATTTTTGCAGTGAATCACAGTATCTGCTGTAATTTTTTCATCAAAAAAGATTTTTTCTGGGTTGACTATTTTTCCATTTCTGACCCACAAATCTTCGTTTATAATGTTATGATCCCTCAGAATTCTACATTCTTTAAATTGAACGAGTTTGTTGTCACTACCCATTTTGAAATATGACAAATACTTCGTGCAAGACAAACCAGCCTATAGTTTTCGCACTTTGCATCAAAAAAGTAAGGTTAAAGATAATCAGCTGAGCTGCAAAACCATGTCAGGTGATTGACCCACTTTTTATCTTTACAACACTCGACATTCACTTTAGCCTTATCAAAAATCGATATATAATTTGTTGCAATATGGCAGTACTCATTCATGTTTTTATCGTTAACCTATCAGACATATTATAGTACAGGTCATGTAGTTCATGAAGTAGAGTAAGAATATTAAAATAATGCATCTAACCTTCCACAGGTTTTTGGACCGCCAAGTCAAAACATTCAAACTATTATCAAAAAAATGTATTGTTGTGATTTTATCAACACTGAGCGCTAGACCTAGATGTTACTCTTCTTTCACAGCATTCGTTAAGGGACGTTCTAGGGTTCCTAAAATACCAGGAAATGGAATTCGAAATATTTAAAACACAAAAAGATCAGGATTGATATAAAAGGACGCAAATATGCAACAGGCAACACAGTCTCAAAACTCTCAGTCAAATTGTTGTTTGGTTATTTGTGCCACATTCAGGGTGTTTATTAATTGAATGTCAATATTTACGTGGTCGATTTTTGGAAAGAACTGAAGGTTATCACTACATGTGGACGCAACAATCCTGTAGAGTTCAGTTTAATGCTTCCAAAACAAAGTATTGTACCTTGACGAACAAAAAGCGTTCTAGGGATTATCCGGTTTCGATGGATGGCCGAGTTCTACCACAGAGCCGTTCGTTTCGGTCCAGATCACCAAGGATTTGTTCTGGCACAAACACGTCTCGTCAATAGCGGCAGCTGCTCTGAAAAGGCTACGCTATTTGTTTAGGGCTAAGAAGTTATTTTCTATACACACTGCGTTGGCCTCACATCCTAACCCTGTAGAACTTCGTACGTCCAGCACTGGCGGATACGATCCTTCCTTTGTCCCTAGGGTGTCGAGATTGTGGAACCATCTACAAGAGGCTATTTTCAGTTCTACTAACTCAAAAATCGGATTAACGTTTCTTTGGGATTTTCAAGGCAGCCGCAATGACCAGGCATTAAGGCTTCTGTCTGTGCGGCTACTTGTGTAAAAAAGGCCATCGTGGTGGCCGAAACGGCATACAATAAAAACGAATTAACATATATGTGGTTTGATTCGGCCAGTCGTGAACATGAAAACTACAGGATAAGTTCCAGGAGTTAACGTGAGTTCTTTGTTGCATATTTATAGCAAATAAGTTTTAGGGTAATAACACTCTCACAAATACCTATTTTCATAAGGTTCTTTTACCTATTTTGCTATATTCTTTCGAACTGATTAATGTCATGAAAATGACACTGATCAAAACGCCATCATTTCTATCAATTCCTGAACTCAGCAGGGAAGTGATTTAAATATGCAACTATGTTACTGCTATCATTTATAATAAGAGCAGTGAGAGATGTGGTAACTAATAAGAACGTTATATACATTTTTAATGTTTATTCAAAAACCAATATAACTTACAAATTAAAAACAACCTTCAGTACAATTTAAATAAAAAACAGTTCCAAAAATACATGAGCTTGTATGCTCTTGCTACCCTGAATAACCAAGATTGCAACAGAAATCTAAGCAAAGTTACAAGGATCAGATTTAGAACAAGCAAGTAACGGTATATGATAAAATTGTGAAAATTCTGTATACTTTCGTAAAGGGTAAATGTCTGAATCATGTCGTCACAAATCCTAAATTACGTGTCTGAATAAACAAATCTAAAATTCATAACAATAGTACAGAAGCATACTAAAAACACTCAGAAGTATAAATATAGAGTACATAAAATATGAATATGATAATATAGGAATATTTCGAGTAAGGTCAAACTATGTTCTTTAAACAACAAAAATTTTGCATAAAGGTTAAGCAGAGAAACAAGAGTACTATGTTTATAGTTACACATAAACTGGTATGAGGATAATCTGAAGATTAATATTACATGTGATTGTTACAGAAGATACAATGCATCAGCAGGATGTACAGAAACTAATTCATTCATACATCAATTGATTAATCGATTTGTGCAAGTTAAAACATGTGGGTAACATGTCGTCATACTGGCTACCGCAGGAAAATGTATCTTGTCACTTTCAACCTTAAAAAGGTAAAACCTGAAATGTGGCTCCATTTGTTTTATCAGCTGTTATATTAGTCTAATCAACATGTGGGTAACATGTCGTCATACTGGCTACCGCAGGAAAATGTATCTTGTCACTTTCAACCTTAAGAAGGTAAAACCTGAAATGTGGCTCCATTTGTTTTATCAGCTGTTATATTAGTCTAATCATATTAGATACCCCTAGTTTGAGAAATAATTGTAAACTCTGGTTTTATTGCTGCAAGGTGTTCAGGGGGGTATTCAAAACAAGGACGCGTAAAATGGGTACCCCAATGTTTGTGGCAAAACTTTTATTTTCGGCAACAAAGAATGAGAAAACGTGTTTTTCGGGATTCAATCGAAAGTGTTGGCAGGGACGAAAAAACTCTTCATATGAGATTTTTAGGTATTTATGAGACCTACAAAATGACCACACGTAAAAAGATCCGACAAATAGCAAAAAAGTCATGGCCGAAAACCGAGGCAAACTACAGGTTTTGGCATTTATTGGTAATGCGACGATGGTTTCTCGCAGATATTTGAAATTCTTCAGATTCGTACTTCTAAGTAACCAGAACGAAATTGGAGTAGTTTTTTCAAGTAGTTTTTGAGAGTTTCTAATTGTTTATCCCAAAACACCTGTTTTCCTGTCATCACTACTCGCTTAGTTCAAAGGGCATTTCATAGCAAAATACACTAGTTTACCTTGCCGACATGAATCGCAAACCATTCCGGAAGGTAAATGTTATTATTATGCAAAAAAGGATGGGTAACCTTTTTTCTTCTAAACAAATTCAAACATGTATTTGTGAGTAATTCGCAACTAAAGATGTTAAGATACATTCGCTTTGTTTTAAAATGTATATAGTTTCCCCTGAATCACCCTATAGCCCCACGGTACCCAATGGGTGTTTAGGCGTTAGGCCTTCGTGGTAGTTGGAGTATAAAAAAAGTAACGTATGTTTTTCGAATATCGTAACACATTTGATCAATTACTCACAAATACGAAATGTTTGAATCTGTTGGTGAGAAAAAAAAGTAACCTTTGTTTTTCGCATAAAAATAAAATTTATCTTTTGGAATGGTTTGTGATTCATATCAACAAGGTAAACACGTGTATCTTGCTATTAAATGCTCTTTGAACGAACCCTGTATATTGCTCAATAAACTAGTTATGTTGGCAGAAAAACAGGTGTTTTGGCATAAACAATTAGAAATTCTCAGAAAACTACTTGAAAAATATAATCCAACTTTGTTGTTGTCATTTAGACGTATCAATCCTGCCGATATGAATAATTTCAAGTAGTTGTGTGAAATTATCGTCGCATTACCTTTCTACGTGTGTGAGTTTTGTAGGTATCATGAATACCTAAAAATCTTACATGAAAAGTTTTTTCGTTCCTGTCAACACTTTCGATTGAACCATCACAAACACGGTTTCTCAATCTTTGTTGTCAAATAAAAAGTTTTCTCACAAAAATTGGTGGACCCATTTTATGCGTTCATGCTTTCCCCTTGAACAACTTGCACCAATAAAACCAGACTTCACAATTATTTCGGGGAAATTTGTTAATATGATTGGACTATACGTATTTTTAACGGCAAGCTAAGAAGAATCAATATGTCAAACATACCAACACGTAATTGTTGAATATTCGTACTGGAACAAATATTTAAAAAATCTTTTATAGCTCTTGTGTTTTCTGCGTAGCATTGGTTGTATCTCAAATTGCTTGATCACATACTTGTATATTAACATACTTTAGGATATCCATCAAAATCGGCTGATTTCAGAAAATATTTAGCGTTGAAGTAATTGTAAGAAGTTTGCATTTGACCAGTTAAAACTACAAAGACTAATATACAAGTCATACGATGAAGCTCTAGGGTTCCTGTACATCCTGTCACATGCCGTCATAATGATTAAAAAATATATTCTATCAAAACACCTTAAATGCCACAGCTCAACTGCTTTTTATTGAAAGAGGCGGGGTAACTTGCAGATTCATTAACAACGATTAAAGGGGCACGAAGATTCCAACATCTACAATAAAAATTCAAAAAGTTATTATTTAAGCAATTTGGGTGCTTAAGGCTTTCCCGTCTCCATGGACACACCTTCTATGTAAAACACACCAATTATTATTTCAATATAGGTTATTCTATGAGTGCTAGCTGAATGTAGAGCACGAAGCACTCCAATCGCCAGGGTATTTCAAGCAAAATAGCGCTCAGTAGTGTTTAAAATAAAAAACAGGAATGCATCCCTCAAATGACAACATTACATTTGCACATAAACGTAGTAATATTAATTCAAGTCATCACTCAAGCAGCTCTACATTCTGATAGGTAGAATACGGTAAACAATGATTCAGGTGAATGCAATCTTTCTCGTAGTGTCTGCGTGCACGGTAACGTAGCGTAATTGGCTCACTCGTTTATATACACTGAAAACCAAATACCACTGACGTCGTAATGTGTGCGAAAGAGAAGCGATAGAAGCGTGCTATACAGTCATATCGCACGTTTATAGCGCTTCTCTCTCTCGTACACATGACGACGTCAGCCAAATTTGAACCTCATCGTATATATTACCGCAAATGTGACTAAATCACGCCCTCCTTGATTTTCTGAAAAGATTTGAGCTATGCTTCTAATAGGCAAAATGGTATAAGGAGCTGCTGTTAAAGCTGGTAGGCCTGTATGTTTCTCAAAAGCGTGATATAAAACTTCTGTATTGAAAGTTTTTTTTTTGTTATCATACTCATCCTGACGATTGGAATAGCATTTTTATTACCTTATTTGCTAAATATCTTTGGAAAGAGATAACAATAAATATTAATTTCAAAAATGTATACATCTTAATTCGTTTAATATGACAGGACTAAGACACAGTGAATTTATTCGTTAATCATGAGACTGTAAATATGATATTCCTTTATCAGCTGTATTCGAATCCAAAATTTGACATTACACGGATGATGTGTGATCGAATGTAGAATGCTGTAAAAGTTTATCTGGATTTTTACAGAAAACTCGATCAGCTTTTAATAGTGTTTTTCTGTGTCCTCACATTTTTTGAATAGAATATTTTAGTGTAAAAACAACAGTTTGTCATTTGATTCATCATTTTGAAACTTCTTATGGTTCTCGTATCCATTTGGTTATAACTCAATAGGCAATTATCAAACCGGGTTTAGGCGCAGCGGTGTCAGTTGTCTTTCGCGCTCTTCCGAAATTAATACAATTTTGGGCGATAGCAATATTCTCCTTCTAGGATTACAAAGTTCTCATAAGGAGCTTCAAAATGAGGTATCACATAAGCCCTCATGCCATTCAAAGACAAGCTTGAACATGGCTGGCGCTTAAAATAGAATGCCATGGATCATACCAAATCACTTGCTATCTTGATCACTTCAAAAAAAAAATGTGTCGTGACTAAAGAAAAGCATTGTAGGTGTTTAAAAGAAATCACATCACTTGACCACAATTATACACGCGGCGTATTTACCATAGGGTCAAAAGGGCCATCGCTCGGGGCGACAGGCTACGCACGCACGTGAAATATCGTGATAAGGGAATAGCAATCGATGATCGTCTCATGATTTGTTTTAGCACAACAAGAACGATGTTTAGTGGCAAAACAAATGTCCCTGTGTTGTCAGTAGATAAGAGGGGGATTAAATTATGATATGTTGTCCATACACACATAAAACATTTGTACTTTAAATGACTATAAAAAGTGTCTAATTGAAGCCACGAATGGGACAATGCAGGATATATTATTTAGTAACCCACACAGCGTCAAAATGTTTCAAAAAAATAAAATTGGAATAAAAAATATATTTTATGTATATATAATATATATATATGGCAAGTACACTTCCTACCATTTTAATATCTTATTGCTTAAATATATTTAGCATAAAAATATTTAAAATCATAGGCTTTTCTTTTTCAAGTTTTCTTTTGAATAAACTTTTTTCACTACTGTTAATAACAGGCCATTTGTTATAATGTGCTTTTTTGGTCGACTCATTCTAAATATGCTACTTAATAATCATCTAAGGGTGAGACAATAATGACGAACAAGTCACGATCTACACGAAGGAAGTTAGTAGTGGATTACAACAAACAGCCTGGCATGGAGGAAAATATATGGAAATACATATTTATGCATATTGTATATAGATAAAAAAAGTAAAAATAGAAATATAATCAATAAAATGCTTGAAAGCGAAAAATATGGAGAATATACAAAAAAATCACATTGTTGAAAAGATAGAAGATACTCAAATTGACATCCAACTGGGTTTTGCCAAACCAAATACATAGTTTGTTAAATACTACAGATTTCCAGCAATGACATTTATATTATTCTTTACACCATAAAAGGTTATTAGCTATCATTATTATAACATATGATCTATGCAATAGTTTAGAGAAAGAGAGAGAAACAAAAAACATGGAAGGTTAATTGTTAGACACCAATAGGGTTGTGATTATGGCTTTTGAGAATAGCACCTAGGATCGTTTTAATGAAATGTCTGATAGATAGCATTATGTGGGTTGTAAAACTCCAAAAGAAATTAATCTTGCTTAATTGTCAGCTGAAAATCTGTTTTTCTCAAAATTTTACTAACCCGGTAAAACTGTTCGGTGTGGTTGATATATTTGTCCAAGAATAAAAATATGACTATACTGCAGCGATATTTTTTCAATCAACGAGAACAAGAAAACATTTTGCCAAAAATATGTGGAATTTGAGAAATACACCAGATTTAGGCACATGAGTTTTTGTTAATAAATATTACTTCGGTAAAACAATAACTTTAACGCTGAAACATGTTTGTTTATCACACTATGTGTTACCAGGTACTAGTCTAGACCAAAATCACTTGCTAGTAACCGACTGATCAATTGATGAAACTCAAACTTAACGTCAAGCTCATCAAACTTTAGATATCTTACATAGAAAAATGCTTGGCATGATAAACTATATTGTCAATTCTTTTATGCTACATAAAAATCTATTGAATAATTCATATGACAAATTTTAGGTTGTGTGTATCGTAACGTCTTCTACACAGTAGCTAGTAACAATTTCTGTAAATTTACACGCATAGTGATTTGGTTCTGCGTCAAAAACACCACCTAAGTTCTGCATAAGGGCTAGATGTTCTGGAAATGAAAGGAGCACAACTGCGATCTACTCCGCACAATTTTGGTTATGGTATTTTTCACATAGTACAAATCAAAGTGAAAAGCCTTTACCTTTGAAACTGGTGTACACTCATCTAGATTTTTTGTTTAAATGTGAGACTAACATTGTACTTTAGAATTATTCTTGTGCTGTTTTGAAGCACTATTAGTTTGCTCTTTCAGCATAACACAAAGGTCAATATTCGTTTCAGAGTTTTGCTATTAAAAAACTCTGAAGTGCACAGACCTTACAATAAGGATTTCACAACCGTATGTATGGTCTGAAATGGTGATTGATTAAAGCCTACGGAGCTATATGGTACATTAATATGTCTTCTTTTAAGTATCTGACTTGCGATTTACAAATACACAAGACAAGCGAACTCTTGAGTAAGTGTATGTATAAATGGGAATTCAAAAGTAACAAATTACTTAACAATAAATATTTGTCTACGGGTAAGCATTTGATATAGCCACAACAATACCATATTCCATAAAACAAATAGTGGAAAAGCTTGCTTCAGATTAGCATAAATATATTAAACGATGTTTGACTACTGTCAGCTAAATGATACAATCACTGTGGCTTTACCAAATTTTCAAAATTAACCTAAAAGATACCCAAAATATACCACAAATTGAAGCATTGATATTACCCAACATGAAAAGTAAAAGCAAAAATACTTGATAAACATTTTTTGGCACAAAAGTTTGCTTATAATGAAAATAAAAATATCACATATAAGTCATAAATAATAATGACCATTTGTTATTTTTGAATTCGGTATATAAATCTATCCTTACCTACTTTGCTAATCCTATAAAAAAATAATACGAAAACAAAAACACTCTACAGCATTAAAAGATGCTGCTACTTACATAATGGAATGATTCAATTTTTCACTCCAATACTGACAGAAAATACTTATTGCTAATGAATATCGGTGAGTTACATGTTAAGAATTACGTGTATATGAATGATAATAATTAACGAGGGTAAACAAGGGCAAAAATTACCTTTAGTCATGTATAATTTATGGCAAAAAATTACTGGTATTGGTATACGAGTATCTAAAACACACTTGGTAAATATACTAAGACTTGTGATTGTAAAAATCATCGAAAAATTCTATCACATTGATATATTCATTTGAATTGAAAAATTAACCACTTTTTTGATTCATAATGGTGTTTACTTCTCCTCCGATTCTTGTACATACGGATTTTATTGTAACTGTTCGAAAGAGAAATATACGTCTCCCAATAAAACGTGAGCAAATGCAATATATATATGGATATCACTATAGCGATACTAAAATAGTGTGATAACTTATATATCAAAAGATAAATAATATTTGGTAAAATAAGAATGAATACACAGTATATAAATAGAACTGTCGAATATGTAAATTGTGAGATTATTGACATCACATATAATTTTGAAGAACAACACCCCTAAAGAGAAACTGTCATTCTACCACAAGAAAAAATAAAATCAGCTACAAGTGCTGACAAAAAATGTAAAAATAAAAATATAACTCTTAAATATAACAAAATAATAAAAGCAAGAAAAAGGTCTTACTTTCATATAAATGTAAAACTGAGCATATTAGAAATTGTATAAACAACATTTTGGAAAATAAAAATTCCTTTATACAGGTAACTTTCAAAGGCCATCTTTATTTTTGTACACAAAATTGCAACCAATCAATAGACGGGATTGGGGTTTGTCTCATATACTGAAGACCTCGTGGCACATGATAATGTGAACCTTACCCTGTGGTGGATGTCTCGTCAATCTCTAAGTTCTGCTGGCCGCCAAATGAAACCACAGATGTTGATGTGAAAGTTTATTAGCACTTCTGCTATCTCGGTGTAGCAAACTTTCACTACACCATCCGTGGTTTCATTTAGCGACCAGCAGAACATGGAGAAATATGGTAATCAATTATAGTTTCAGTACATTTTCATTGATGCTTGAAAAAAACTTGCTAGCAACTCTTTCATTCTAATTAATGTAATTCTCTCCTTTTTAAACGGGTATAGGGGAGTTCCACCATATCCTTGTGATTTTATCTAAGCCAGAGGGCAGGCTATAGGTCACGACAGTATAATAAAGAAAATACTATCCATTGGTTTACATACCTAAAACGGTACGAAAATAAACAGTCATTTCACTAACCGAAAAAAACAAACATCGTGACAGTTCCGCTTTCCGGGATTTTTGGAACAGTGTATAAGAATGATTACTTTGAAATACATAAACAATTTTCCTTAAAATTCGAGTATTTTTTTGTTGTTTTTTAATTTTTTTTAATTATATACATATAATTTTAAAAACGACTTGTGGCGACCAACCGTCCGATCACGGGGAATAACCCTAGTCACCAGATAGTATCGCGCACAAAATAACAACATGAGACTAAGGTCACAACTTATCCTGAAGAATCTATTATCACAGGCATGGTATCGCCGTAACACGGGCCTACATCTACTATAGTCTACTAGGCGACAGTAAAATAATTAGGGCTTATTGAGTAAAAGGACCAAATCTCTGAGTGTTGTTCAGCTGTCCATCTTGTTGACCGACAAAAATTTAGAAAGCTATAAATACAACTTTTAGCATTTGCAGTTAGCATAGTTTTCTCCTAAAGGTGTCTTTTTCCTTCTTTGTTATCAACAGTATTATGAATACAAGAATTGTATGGCTAATTGTATGCACACAGGGTGGACTCAAACCATGGCAACCACTTCAGAATTTACTGAGTTTTGGAAGTGGTATTTGGGCTATATTGACATATATAATGTTGCTCATTAACTCTTCTGTACTCATTAATTCAGATTATCCATTTTCAATATTTTGGACTTACGGTTGAACATAGACTTTAGGCCAATGTTTATACATTTAAATTACTTATGTTAACATCTGATGAACTATTCGCTGTACATTGGATTTTGGAATAGTACTCATAGTATGCTAGCTTAGTTAAGCTGTTTTTGACAATGAGGAATTGTGATAAGTTAAAATTGTGTTGCTATATTGGTCTAAGTTCATGGTAACCATACGCTATAAATATGTCATTAATGTATTTAAATTATTTATCCAACAAGTTTGAAATATTTTGGAAGATCACATCTAATGTATCCAATTCTATACATACCTACTGATTACGCATAGTGATATCGTTTGATTAACGTGAAATTGAAATGCCCGACACTTATGCAGGACAAGCTCATCATATGTCAAAAACAATTTGTTAAATGTGCCTTCGAAGTTGATGTACAATTTGATAACTCGGCGAGTTTTGGTCCTTTTACTCCAGGTATTTATAATAAGCAGTAGCATTGTGACAGTTCAGATATGTCAAAATTAATGAAAGAGGTACACTGGAGAGGGTAAAAAAACAGTTATGGATAATCCACTAGGGCACACCTTAACGTTCAACTTAACAGGATTTTATAACACATAAGTCATTGACTAAATGTCAAAACAGTGAGATAAGGTTCATGTCAACGTGTGTAGTAATACGATTACCCACAGTTATATTAAGAATTAATAATTCCTCGATATCAATTCAAAAGTTACGATCATACTTGCTTATAAATACCACTGTAAGCGAATATATACGGCCACCCATCTATTTGCATCTAATTTTTAGACGAAATAAACATGACATATGAAGCCCGAGTCGGCTAGTTTTTATCTGAAATAGAAATCTCATACGCACGTTTGACTGAAATTTTTGAATAAGACGCAACAACCCTAGATAATTTAATTCGTTTTCAAGAATATTTCATATGTGAGAGAGGAAATCGTCGTTTAGCATGAAGCATAATACTGACTTGGTAAATCCAAGACGGCCTGTTCAGGTTTGACTGAGATGTAATAAGACGTATCTTCATTGGCGATGATTAATGAAAAGATGATAATATAAAGCTTTCATGACTTTCAATTATCAGCTTAACAGTGCGACTCAAATTATGGATATTGAAGGTATGGCCATAAATACTCCTTGTTTGGATAGAATTCCAAGGAATACGAATAAAAAATTACAATTACATATATCGACACTTTCTAAAATGAAGCATTTTAAGTGAGTGATCTATCAACCAATGCATGTTTGTGTGTGCAAGAGCGAGTAGCAGCTGCATTATGGATTTGCTTGCACAGTGTGCAATTTCCCTTCGGGAAGTCATGCACATGTCACCATTAGTCAAACTGTTTACTTATTTCGTATGACATTGTAACCGCCAAACCCGTGAAAAGAACTACACTTAATGTGTAGCATTCCAATTTGATTCACACTGTATACGGACGGCAAAGTATTTGTAATCAGTTTTAGAAATTGGAAATTTTAGTAATACTCATTTTGTGCTGCATAATCCTGTGTAAGATTATAAAGAGAATGTAATTAATAGTTATGTTTACAGATGATATACGCTACTGTTTTCAGTTTTTCCTCTCCACTCTGAATGATAAATTTTGTACACAGTGTAAACTGGTTTTTAGGCTGCAACCTTAGATCCTAACCTACATGGCACTGTCCGCGATCTGTCCGTCGCGAGGAAACGCTAACCAACCTGAGTATTTTCATATTGGTCTTGGAAAAAATGTTTAAAAAACCTCAGTATTTTTCGAATTTAGAAAGAACGAAGATCGGATCCATTGCGGTATGCATCATCCTTGAAGCCTAATAACGATCTAGAAATTGTTTAAACTCGCTATCCCCAAAGGCATAGGACAGGATATAGAGCAATGTTAGACTATTGAGAAAAGGTAAAAAACATACTACGCGACTAATTCGGGAATAAAAAACAAACAGTACATAAAATATAAAGCAACCAGCTTCAAAAATTACAACATTAAAAAATTGAGTAAAAAAAAGTATAAAATAGATAACAATTATGAGTGAAAAATTGCCAAATTATGAAAACAATCTCAAATGCATTGCTCTATGCTCCCTTAAGTGTTCAGTGGGGGATTATGAGCGCAAATGTTGAAACCGAAGTAGCATTTTTCTAAACTAAATCGCCTGACGACAATAAAGCAATGGACCGATTTATATCTTAGCAATGCAAAGCAAAGCGTTGAAACATCGTAAATCTTTGGTAATAATACTGAGACTCTTCATATAAAACTCCGTCTTCCTTCAATACATGGCGAATGCTAATATTGCAATTATTTTTCCAACTGTACTTTACCTAGCTTTCAGCTATGTATGGGGTACAAACATTCTACCAATGGACTTTTATATGTAGTGTCAAAGTTCAGTTTTGATAACCTGAATGAGCAAACTATGAACGAATAACGTCAGATGCACCAAGTATTGGATAGGACTTAAAGCATATAGAGAAAACTGTAAGAATGTTGTCATCCATATTCTTAATTGTCAAAATATCCTTCAGTGCTCATCTATATAACCACATTTGATTAAAATAAAATACCCGCGTTTTAAAACACAGGGCTGCCTTCAAGAGATAATACTTGGATCAATAACTATGTGGAATTGTGTACCTTGAATTGAAATAAATAGGTCATCAAAGAATTTCTGGTAGACGTTATTCGCTCGTGGGTTTTCATTTGAAGATCGCAGCAGTAAACTTTGCATAATTTTCCCAGACTATATGATCAAATATAAACTCATTCATTCGAAATGCAGTCACACAAAAAACAAAACTAAAAATCAACAATGGAGATTATATCCAAAAAGGGTTAAAACAAAACTTAAAAATAGAAAAAAAATTGGCACATTCAGCATATCCAAACATTCAAAGAAATATGTGTGTATATATAGTATTAATTGACTTTTAAAATAACAAATTAGGAACCATATGCAATATGCCTGACGCTAAAGAATCAATTTCATAAGTAAACTAAACAAGAAAATTCGCATTCTTAAAAACAAGAAAGACGAAAAAAATAAATATACTTCTAATAAGCTGCAGCTCTTGCTACATTTTCGCGAAAATAAAAGCTGACGAAGAGTCATCCGACGTAAATCTTTGATAAAACCGTGTTTTTGCGTTATGGAAAATAAAAAATATAGCCTACTTAATGTAAATAATAAAAATCAGTTCAGTACTGTTTACAGTGCGAGATCAAATCTTGCTCGGGTCTTTTACAGGATGTAGAGTGTGTTTAGGACCAGCACGTGATGGTTATTCTTCGCCAGCGTTACAACATAACCCTCTGATGTTATCTTTAATCCGCAGCACCTGGATACCTAGAAAGAATAGTTACATTTTTGAAAATAGTAATAATAAAATTTATTCAAAACAATTATAAATTGTGAATAAATTGATATGCTATGAAAGAAAAATATCCTTGTGTGAAGATTATCATTCTAACACATAACATATAGCACAGTAGTTACAATAAAGTGATTGATAAGTTTTTTCTTACATATTTTTGTAAGTTATGATAAAATTTTGGACCTGAGTATATAAAAGATTTCAACATCATTTCTTTTTTTGGTGTTGTGCTTATTTCTAGTATCATAATAATTTTAATGAATGGCCGAATGTTGGTTTTTATGGTATTCTAATATAACAATATATCTAACTAATGTTTTATATTCAAAAGCTTTGATTCTATAACAGCGATTTGGAGAGATATAATAGAGGTTTGTTATGCATTGTTTTTATGAATAATGTTTGTATTATTTGTAAAGCATTTAGATGTTGTTATTAGTGGATCCCCTGATAATAATTCCATAGGTTATGTGGCATTCAACTAATGTTTGATATATAATTTGAGTTTCATTGAAAACTTGTTCGTAGTATCTGAACATAAGTTTTTCTTTTTAATATACTGTGACATTAGAAGTGTTACACCCAGAAAAAATAATTTCTTCAACCTGATTTTTGGCAACATAATGACTATATTTAAAACATGCTGTGGCAACAATGTTAACGTTTTATCTTTGTTTTTGTTTACCCTTGTCAAAATGTGATCTCTTAGTTTTTGTGAAGAAAGTTTCTGAGAGCTGAGTAGTACAGATATTTTTAGTTATTGCCATTTTATTTACTAGTGTTAAGCATAACAAAAAACTTCGAGTTCGAATACGTCCCAATTATCACCATGTTTAACGACTTTGATAAGGGTAGAATTATTGCCTATCGAGATATTGGTTTGTTATATCGAAATTGGCCGCCGTGTTAAAAGTACTGCAATGACTGTAATATGTGTGTGTGTCGTGTGTGGATAGAAGGTAGAGGAACACGAAGAAGGCCAATTGGTCCACCAAAGCGTACCATAGAGCGTCAAGATAGGCGCTTGAGACAACTAGTCCTACGACACCATTTTGCTACTACGCGTCAGATCGCTCTTCCACAGGTTTGGCCTATAGTAGCCGATCACCCCTTTGTTCAAGGCAATATGACTCCTGCGCGTCAAGTTGATGATATCCTATAAACCACTTTACTGCCGTATCTAGAGGGCCGTCCACACGTCCTTTTTCAGCAAGGCAACGCACGTCCCCATATTGTTCGTCGGACTAGGGACTTTCTTCAAGAAGTAGGCGTTAATGTTTTGCCGTGGCCACCCCGTTCACCGGATTTAAATCCCATCGAACAGGTGTGGGATATGATGGGAAGGAGACTATCCACTTTGCACCATCCGCCACAGCTAATCCACGAAGTTCGAGTTGTTGAATGAATGAATGAATCGTCATATTAGAAGCACTTCGGCCACCATAAGGAGCCAGTGCATAGGCCGCGTAAACGGGCCCTTATGCACCTCTACATTCGTTAGATCACAAGACTCGCCCTTTTAGGGTACAATTATCTTTCGCTGAGGTGACGTGAAATGGCCATCATGATCTTGAAATTTGACCCCAATGAACAATATGCCCAACCATATTGCTTATTAGACTTTTTCGTATCAACTGCAGCTTTCCTGCAAGGGTTGCTGCTCCAACTGACCCACAAATAAAAAACAAATATGTTAGGACTAAGTCTATGTTAGAAGAACTACAGTGGTTGAATGTGAAAAATTTCATCTGTTATTTAGTTCTCGTTTTCATATTCAAATTAAAAAATCATTTATCACCACCACAAAATTAAATAGTCATTATCATAACTACGAAACTAGAGGCAGTATAGATTTTCATCTGCAAAATTGTAATAGTAGCATAACTAGTAAATCTATATTTCAAAAGCGACTATTTGAATTTAATAAATTGAATAATGATATTACACAGTGTGTTAATTAATTAATGAATGCTCAAAATGCATAGTGATGTAATTTTAATAGATAAGAATGTAAAATTACAGAAAATGGATTGAAGAAAATATGTTAGAGAATAATTATACAACATTAAAATTGTAGCCATTAATGCTGAATAAATCTTCAACAAACAAAGTACTTTTGACTATCGTCTATCAATGATTTTTGGTGAAAACGGTCGGAAACAGAAGAGTCACAATGACATACACATGTCGAAATCAGGTTTAAGGTACTAAAACAGGCCCCAATATTCTTTCAAAATGAATTGTTAATTTTTAAACATGACATCAACCTTCTATGGAAAGGTCGCCCCTCAGCCCTCCTCGTAGGTATGCCTAACATCGCTAACCTAAATAGCGCCATCTATTTCTCGCTTCCCAGATTACCCCTCATTAAACTGGGTATCCTCTGGTGGTATAATATGATCAATGCGTCAATATAATCCACTCAACCAGATCTATGCGTCAATCCATTACAAATTGCAAAGTCGTGGCGGGCAGTTGATCCACGTCTTATTCCAAATTGCAATACATGAGTCTTTAAAACATAATGTTTTATAATATCTCGCTTGCAACGTTGCTTACCTTTACATAGGGGCACTCAAACTCAGAGATGAGAGACCCGTCACGTGCAAAAACGGTAACATGGAATCTGTTACCATGCGAATCCCCAATAAGGATGTCGCCAGCATCGGATATGTCAATTCCATTAGGGAAGTTGGTGAGGGTCTCGCATCCGATACGGCGCAGGTACTGTCCCTCTTCGCTGAACACCACCACATTGTGTCCTTTGAAGTCGCAAACGTAGAATTCCTTGCCTGTAAAAGATCATTTCAAATTGAACTTTTAACTAGTCAAATTGGGCGGACCTTGAGGAATGTAGTGCATCAAGTTTATGCGGTCTATGCGCCAGCTCCTCATGGTGGCCGGTATGCTAATTTCGTTATTCTTCATTAATTCAAGTTAGTTTAATGGATACCATAGTATAGTGTGATTTATTAGAAACTTATATTTGAAAAGTAAATCGTACCGTTTATGGCGATATCAGACGGTTCTCTCATATAATCACTGCAATCAATCCATCTCAGCAATTCTCCGCTTTCAGCAATGATAAATAGGGTTGGACTGACACTATCCACAGCTACGATTTCTCCGCGGCTAGTCACAGCCAATCCGGCCACAATGTCGATGTACCTGATGGCGATCTTCTTCAAGAAATGACCTTAAGAGCGAAAAAAATGGTTCAATAAACAAAACTGTGAAGTAATACTTCTCAGATTGATTAATTGATATAGACATTTTTAGGTATTCCTGTATGAGGATTTTTGGAGTAATATATAGAAATAAGCCATTTTGTGTTTAATTGCTCCTTCATCTTTTGGCAATTTGTGTTGAAAAGTAATTCAGTGGGAGAGTTTTTTTCAGTATGTGACATGGTACTCTAAATACTAACCATTTTTGGTGAAGATCTGCATACGCGATCTTTCGTTGCCTCTGTCACACACCACATATTTTCCGGTGGTGCGCATCACAGCCACTTTACGGGGGTACCATAGCTGCCCCTCTTCTTTACCAGGAATGCCAAACTGGAACTTGAACGTGCCTGTTTTCTCAAACACCTGGAAACAGTTAACTTGTAGCTTAGCGATTGTTAAGTTTCCTAATGTCATGCATAATCCACATATCTTATCAGTACTTAATTATTTTCTTTCTAAACTCTGTCGTTGACTATTACTTTATTTTGTTCATGTAATTGTTCGGTAAATGGGTGAATGTCCTGTATAATCCACCATCAGTACTTAATTATTTTCTTTCCAAACTCTGTCGTAGACTATTATTTTATTTTGTTCATGTAATTGTTGCATAAGTGACATGTTATACGAACGCTAAAAGCGCAGTGTTGACGACGCGCTGTTAGGAAGATTGCAGGTTACAAGGTTAGTCGCAAAGTAAACAGGAAAATCGAATTTATTTTATTCAACATAGTCTCCTTCAGAGTTAATACAGCGATTTGCATGCAACAAAAGATTTTCGAATGATGATTTTAGCTCATTGACCGGGATGTCCTTCAAAATGGTGGTCGACGCCTTTTGGGTGGCCTCTACGTCGGCATACCACTGTCCCTTCATGGCAAAATGTAGTTTACCGAACAGAAAATAGTCACGCGGTATCATATCAGGAGAATATGGGGAGTGGTTGATGGTTAAAATGACATTTTTTGTCAACAAATCGCAAACGCAAACGGCTCGGTGGAACGAATTCTTTGCGAATAATTCTCTTCGAATCGTAGAAACAAACCAACATTGTCTTTTGGACTTTTCCAAACGGCATTTTTTCGGATTTGGATCGGGTGCTTCTATTCGGCACTTGGACGCTTGGTTTCGGGATCGTACTGAAAACACCGCGTTTCGTCACCAGTCACAATGTTGTACAAAGTTTGTCTTTTTTGGTCTCGTGAGCTTGTGCGGGACAAACCGTAACACACCTGTCTCATGCCGAAACCACTCGTGGACTCCGCTACGAAATAAACAATCATCACCATACACTTGTATCAACATCTGATGCGTTTCGGTAAATGTTTTACCAAGTTTGACACAGAACTTAATATTGGCTCTTTGACGATGCTCATTTTTCACCGATGCTAAAAAGGTACACTTTGAGACCGATAACTCCGCGTGAAGTGGTTCGATTGTCAAATTTTGACAGGGCATCAATTAAAGATGTACCTATCCAATGCTAGACTCCGATAAATAATAGATGACGCTACTTGTATCAGATATCTTTCATAGGTCCTGTTTACTTTGCGACAAACCTTAAATAACGCTTGGATAATAAACATGATGTCGCCGAAGTGAGAACAAGCGCTTAGATGAAACAGGTGATGTCGGCCTTCATATATAATAATAAGACATGCGTTGTCATGTTTACCAAACTGTTCCAGTATATAGTATGTCCGAGATGCAGGAACTAGTTTCAGCAAATTTTTGAAATGTATTTGACCTGACTTATGTTTGGTGTCCATATTTTTCAGAGTTACTGTGTAGCACTTGATACTTTTTACGAGAATGATACGCGGCAAAGAGCTGTTGGAGTCCGTAAAAGTTGTCCCATCGAGGTTTAGGCTTTAACAGTAGTTTTTCAGCTGAGTGTTATCTGAACATTCTAAACTGCGCTAATAACGTGCACGTTGAAGGTTAATGGATAATTTTTCTAGATCATACTGTACCTGAATACGATGATTGTTGGTATCAGCGACGATAATGTCTTCCTCCAAACCAAGACAGAACCCATGGGGAGAATTGAACTGTCCCTTGCTGGGTCCCAGCTGTCCAAACTTGCACCGTATCTGCATGGGGCTGACCTTATTGGTGCGCGGCACTGGGGCGTTGGACGCAGCAGCGGCGGCCGCAGCTACAGCAGCCGCGCTTCCGGGGGTGGGGGGTGCACCTGCAGGAGGGAGAATAGCGGTAAGGGGATCGGGGATGATATCATCGGGAGTAGATAGGAGCGGAGAGGTGGACGTCGATACGCCGCCAAAGTTGTTCATCAGGTTGTTGGTGAGCGTTAGCGAAGCGGCCGAAGTGGAGCGAACCAACGCCGTGTTGGAGGCTGTGACGTGGTTGCCGCCCCCGGGTGGGCCACCGGTGCCATTCGTCATTGTCGCTCCCCCACCATCAGCTGTACATGCGTGCAAATATGCCCGGTTCAGATTAAATTTAAGGATCTATATATAAGCTGCGCAAATCTTTTTATCTTTATTCTACTTGAAACATTATTTTAATAAAAAATAAGATTTGATAATTTTGAAGTGAGTTTTGAATCTCAAATGAATTGGAAACCTTTGATATGAAACTGAAGCGATATACTGCTAATACGAGTTTAAATAAGTAGTGCGGGGGAAAGTTGTTATCTGATGATTGTTGATGAGGTCAGTTCATGCATTAATGATAGTCCCATGGCTGTGTTGCAGAAACGTCTGCTTGCTACTATTTTCATTGCGCAAATAAATGTAATTATCCAGCAATTGTCATTAAATCCAAAATTCTAGTACATCATTTAAGTAGTAAATAGTTCATAGACCATAAACGGCCCAGGGATACCGTACAAAGGGCACTATAAAAGTTTTGCAATACAGCTTTATTTATCGACTACTTTGTTCAAAGTAATTTCCACCACATTCAATACACTTCTCTATCCGTCAAAACCAGTCCTTGAACCAGCTTTACCAAGTTTCACCCGGGAGAGCGGCATACTCGTCCTTAGCCTTCAGAAGGTCCTCACCGCTAGAAAACCGTTTTCCTTTTAGCTTCATTTTGATATCCGAAAACAGTGCACAGTCGCAGGGAGCAAGATCTGGACTGTAAGAAGGGTGCTCAATAAGTTTCAGTCCAGTAGTGGTCGAATAATTGGTGCAGGTGAGCTGGAGCGTTGTCATGGTCGAGGTACCAAGTGTCCATTCTTGACTTTGGCCGCAGGTTTTTCAGAGACTCTATGACTTTAGGCAGGCACTGTTCAATGTACCACTTAGCTCTGCATGTCTTCTGTGTATGCAAAACGACACGTTCCACAATTCTGCTCGATTTGAAAAATACAGCTATAATTTTTTTCTTAACAGATTTTCTGACAGCTATGGTGTCATCAAAGACACAAACTTTGTTTTGAGCCTTGGTCGGCACATCGTAATAATAGAGCCAAGTCTCGTCACATGTCACGATGCTGTTCACATACCGAGATTGCTCCGTATCAAATTATCAGAATCTTTTGGCACCAAGTCGTACGACGAATCTAACAAAGTTTCCTTACGTGTAAATGGTCATACAGAATTGAATAGACTGCTGGTGCATGAAGGTACGATGAGGACAATCATTCTTTGATACAAGAGTCATTTCTTCCAAGCACTGGTCTATGCTGAAACAACGCGTAAAGTTATACCGTAAAACTGCCCCTATCTCATTACGTGACCACGATGCCATAGTCCTTACTTTACACTGTCAATACGAATGAACAACTAAATCAACAGACGTGCTGCTGGATATGCATGGATATGTCTCGAGATGCAGTAACATGAAGCCTCCTGCGTCCGTTTGTTAAGTCAGGCAAAACTTTTATAGTACCCTTTGATTTTGTTCCCAAATATTAGTTACCTAGACATTTACCCTATAGAGTGTTGCAGAATGTGGTCAGGGAAATTGAGGGTAAACTCAATATGTTAGAAAATGGGGAAAAAAGTGCGGTGCGGAAGTGTTGCGTTCTCATAAGCTTGTTCGTTTTTGATAATTCACCTTACATTTCTCAAATCTCATCGGAATATTAAGATGAGTAATCCTCCATGTTTGACTGCCATACTAAAGCGTATATGCTTGAAAACCCTATTTGAAAACAGTATTCCAAGCATACGCGTTTTCATTTAGCGGCCAGACAAACATGGGGGATTATCAACACGAAAACCCAGGATAAGTTTTAGGTATTACATTATTAAGATGAGAGTTGGTACACGCAGGTTTTATCAAACGTTACATCAATATTATATAAAACTGTTTTTTAAAGCACTTACATTAATGGCGTTTCTGCCGAGAAGAGTCTACATTTAGAGAAAAAACAGTACGGCACTGGATTTTTTAAACGTTAATAACAGTATCTCAAGGCCCGATTGCTCCTACTTAAAGGTGACTATCGTGTTTCATTCAGACCCATCGTTTTCGAAATTACATTATTTCATTAAATAATACATATTCGTTGTTAAAAAATAGGTATTAGGTATAGAAGTACGAACATAACTCAAATACAGTAATGGACAAAAGTATATAGACAAATTAATATTGTGCTGTATTTCTTTTTTAACTTGTTTCGTTAATACACCAACCTGTATACATAATTCGTTATAGCATAATACTCACTTATACATAAATAAACTCTTTAGACTCCCTTCAATAAAAAATTAATTGAAAAAAACTGGAACTATGAAGGACAAAAATATATAGACAAAGCAAAACAATTATAGAAAAAAGAAGGAAGGTTCATTGAATTATAGAAAACCAACCATGTTTGTGTTAATATTTTGTAGCATAACCATTATTATCAATCACTGCCTGGCATCGTCTCGGCATAGATTGTCTAGAAGTTTCTTGATATAAGATTCATCAATCTGTCTCCACTTTTGCTCTAAAGCGGCAAAAAGTTCAACCTTGTTTTAATAATTTTGATCTCGTATTTGCTTATCTAAGTATTACCATATATTTTCAATGGGGTTTATATCGGCAGACTGTAAAGGCCATTTGAGAACTGGTATTTTTTCATCCAGAAAGAATTTTTTTGCGAGATTTGAAGTGTGCTTCGGGTCATTATCTTGCTGGAAGATTGATCTTAAGTGCATATCGTCTTCCATATAGGGTAACATGTCATGTTTTAGTATGTCTGTGTATACAAACTTATTCATAATGCCATCTATTCTATATAAAGGTTCCATCCCAAAGCCCGAAAAGCACCCCCAAACCATAACAGACCCGCCTCCATGTTTGACAGTGGGCAAAGTGTACTTGGGGTTCAATATTTGTCCACTAGGACGTCTAACGTAATGAACACCATCTGATCCGAACATATTGAACTTGGATTCGTCACTGAAACATACCCTCTTCCAGTCACAGATGCTTCAATCAAGATGCAACCGTGCAAATTGTAATCGGTCCTTACGGTTTTTCCTCGAGATTAGCGGCTTCTTTCGGGCGACGTGCAAATAACTTCAAATCATTTAATCTTCTATTTATAGTTTTCGTAGAAACACTGACAATTCCTTTTGTCTCGATTTCGGCTTTTATTTGTCTTGGGGTTTTAAACGAATCTTTGGACGAAATTACTTTTATTAATCTAACTGATCTAGCATTTAGTTTTCTAGGCCGACCACTTCTCTTAGAGGCTTCCAAGATACCTTTTTGTTTATATTTGTTCAATATTGCCCAACTGCTTTACGCTTCAGCTTCAAATTTTTGGCAATGTCGACTTGACGTTGACCATCTTTGTATAACTCATTGATCTTAGTTTTCATATCGAAAGAAATTTCTGGACCACGCGGCATGGTCTTAAAAATCACTCAACTCATTCCACAATATTTGATGAACACAAACTAATCCTCTTCTGACACGAAACTGTACTAAACTAATGTTGAAAAGAACTTGTCTACATACTTTTGTCCCTCATAAAAAGTGCTTATATTCAGACTTGTATTGTGTTCATTGCAGATAATGTAAAAACAAGGAATTTAGTTTTTCTACTAATAACGCATTTGTTTATGGAGCAATGAAGTATGAATTCGTTTTCTAAAGGTATTTAGGTAAATATTCATATTTGTCTATATACTTTTGTCCATTACTGTATATTTTTTCAGTTGTAATCAATATGGCTTCGGCAAAACTAAAATTAGTTTTGAAAAAAAAATTATCAAAGACCAATAAGTCTGAATACTTCGTATCATATAGCAATGGGGAATTTCTGGACCCATGTTTATATTCTGTAACACCCTGATTACTTCCGATTTAGTAATATTTTATATGTTAGAGGAAACATACTCACCTTGAAGTTAATAATACATTAATTAGAAGCACTCGATGTTATCCATAAAAAAACAATATGATGCATGTATTTAAATCATTGATGTTAAAGAAGCAATTTAATAAAGCGGAATTTAGCGAGCGTAGAATTAAGAATATACAGAATTTATATGTTTAACTGACACTTAAGGACTTTAATTGAACATAGCTATTATAAAGGATCTAATCTATATAGTCCGAATTTAATAAAAATACATGTTAATAAAAACAGTGGTATCGATATTAGTATCCATGAATACCTGAGTGGTTTTACAACAAAAGCAATTTTGATGAGCCATATGTATGAATGAGTAACGCTACTTCAAAATAACATGATAGTTGAGCTTAAGCTGTACTTAGCTTATTCTATATACTGACATAACTGCACCAAATCTTGTGTACCCTTATTTATAGGCAAGGTTCAGAAAATAAAAGTGGATTTATGCAAAAACCAAAAAATTTATTGCGGAACAAGGTAGAGAAGTAGTACACAACTAATCAGTCTAAACATCAAAATTGATGATGAAAAAACTCACCAGTTCCCGTTAGCCCCAACTTGGCTAGCGACGCCAAGTTCTTGTAAGCAGTATCGTTGGTCAGTATGTCAGCCAAAGTGAAAGGTGTTGGAGAAGGTGATGCTGCAGCACTATTGGTGGTTTCAGCTAACGTGGCTAACTGAGCCAAATTGTACTCTGCAATGCTGTTGAAGCCCTGTAAAGACATTTAATTTGGAATAAGCAAGCGACTAAAATATTAATATACTTGCTATGTTTTCATGGTTTAGAATTCACGTAACTGCATTCTAGCATTCTATAATATGGGAAATGATATATCAACCTAAGTCTTTGACAGAATGCTAACAAAATAACGTTATGCAACTAGCTTATCGGTACACGTAACTCTGGTGAGCATTCTGTCTCAGAAACTAAACTCAGCAAAAACGTATCGTAACAAATTGTTTTTGAAGATACATAAAACTCGAAAATTACAAGTGTCCAATTTCAAATTCTTCATATGACTTACTTGAATGGCAGTGTTGTTGACATGCGGTAGCGGCGGACTATGGCCCATTGTAAAGTTTGGAAGATGGTTATTTCCCATATCGCCATCAAAGGACTGCAATGAAATGGGACTGGTGTTGCTCACTGGTCCACTGCATCCATTGGTGATGATAGCTGGAGCAGAAGTGCTGACGCCGTTCATGTTCAACCGAGATGTCAAGGGCACTAAATCGGTCACCACCGAGTTCGAGTTAGTTGTTACAGCTATTGGCGCGGAGTCGCTTTCGGTTGTAAACTTTCCGAATTGCTCTGTAAAAAGAAAATTATGCTCTTTCCACTAGCACAGATCACAAATTAAAACATAACAGCAATTGTCGATCTGACAGTTGACACATGGGCTAAGAGATCCGTTGACGTTGGAGGAATAACCCATACCTATAGGTTTGCCAATTGCATTGTCACTTGGCAACATCGCTTTACTAATACGAGGTCTGTAAATCAAGTGAAGAGTCTGGCAACGTAGCCTTCGATCTGGCAACAATGGAGGTGCCGGGCTTGGAGGGGAGACAGGGGCCATCTGATTCGCCTTCAGTAAAAGTTTGAACTCGCTTGAGTTGTTTGGTTGTCCGTAGCGTTTTTTTTTGTGAAACAGTTTTTTCTATTGCGTTCTAAAAATGAGTTTTGATTCAGACTTGCAGTGCAACTTAAACTCTTGCTAAACATGCCTAAGGAGATAGTGTTTTGTCTAGAGCCCAAGTTGTTTGGTGGTTTAAGGCATTTTCAAGAGAGTAGAGAGTCGATTAAAGATGAACCACAAAGCGGAAGGCCTTCACCTTCAAGAACTGATGAAAATATCGAGGAATCCGGGATCCTGCACGTTCAGATCGTCGGTTGACATTCAAATTGATCGGGGAAGAGTTAAATTTAACTCGTACCACCGTTCATCAGATCAAGAACAACTGGGTGTTGCATCACATAATGCTAATTGTCACATACACAAATGTCAATGAGATTTTGACCCGTAAAAACATTCCTGTGGTTCCTTGTGATTTTTTCCTCATCCCGAAGTTGAAAAATCACCTCAAGGGAACTCATTTTGGGACAGTCGACAATCAAACGGCTGTAACCAACCAGCTGAAGGCTATTCCAATATCGGAGCTCCAGCACCTCTATGAGTGGAGCAACCGTCTACAGCGCAGTGCGGCTTCAGAAGGAAGTTATTTTGAGGGTGATAATATAAAATTGTAATTATATCTGAATTAAAAAAATCGGTCTCATCACTTAATTCACAGACCATCTGTTGAACTAATTTTGAGAATGAAAGTGACAATTGTATCATAGTGATGGCCAGGTTTGCCAAGTTACCAAGGTGCCCTCTACTTGAGAGAACAGAAAAAATTCATGACATCCAATGCGGTCCTGCTTCAAGCAAAGGATTAGGTGAAAATATATAATATAGATACAATTTTATACTGCTCTTTGGTGCGGATTATTTTGGAGTACAAGACAGTGGTATGGTCGTCAAATTTAGTTGGTGACATTAACTCCACTGAAGCAGTACAAAAATTTTTAAAACAGGCAGCTATTAAAACGGGTCAAAGTCAGAATGGTCCAGAACTACTAAGTATGTTGAACATGGACTCTATGAACCACTGCAGGGAAGTTTTTGTTTTCTGTTTAAAATAGTTAATGGTATCATAGATTGCCCAGAGTTGCTTGCACAAATAAATCTTAATGTGAATGAAAGACGAACTCGCAATATAGGACTTTAAAGATTCCACATCAATCTACCAGTAATGGTATGAATATAGATATTTTCAGTAGCAATTAAAAAACACATGAAAAATATACATGAATCCTTAGTTCTTCTTTAGTTCAATAATTTATAAAAAAGCTATTTTTAATCTGTCACATAAACGTAATGTTCTTCATCTGTAATGGGAAACCATACATAAATATACGTCAGTATCCAACCCAGGCGATACGCGCCCTGTAGTTTAAGCAAGCGGTTCGTTTGTAAATCGGATTTGAAGGAAAAACAAAAAAGAATAATCTTATAGGATTGATAAACTTATCAATATGTTAGTTTATGTTACATGTCATTTATATATATATATATATATATATATACATAGTCGTGCCATAAGTTCTGTCCCATGATAATCTCATGATAAAAATGAAACAAGATAAGATATATTTATATGAAAGATATTATTTATTCGACAACATTTTTAGAATTCATAATCAAACAGTTTTATTCAAAATGTCCCCCCTTGGCCTTCACACACTGCTTCAATCTCGCGGGCCACTCATCTATCACTGCACGCACAGCTTCCAAAGGAATAGCTGCCGCTGATCGGATCAAATCCGCTTTCAGGGACTCGATATTACGGTGAGCTTTGGAGCAGGCCAACTGCTCTAGCAGGTCCCACAACTTGTAGTCTAAAGGATTGAGGTCCGGACTCCCTGAGGGCCAATCTTCCGCAGCAATGAACTCTGGCACATTGCTTTCCAGCCAGCGCTGCGTACTCTTAGCCTTGTGAGCGGGGGCGGAATCCTGCTGGTAGACCCAGTGTTGGTTGGCAAACAATGTACCACTTAAAGGCTTGACGATAGGATCCAGTATGTCGCTCTGATAGTTTGCCGCTTTTGTTTTCACGCCCTGTTTACAGAAATGGAGCTGAGTGACCCCTTCGTAGGACACCCCCCACCAAACCATGACTGACGCAGGGTGGTTGCCTCTCTCAACTCTCGGAATGATCTCCGAAGCTTCCTGTGAACTCCTTGCATACACTTTGTCATTTTGTCGGTTGAATTTTTCTTCTATGGTGAAGATTTTCTCATCCGTGAACAAAATCTTTCGGAATCCCCCAGCTGCGTACCTCTCCAAGAGCTTCTTGGATCTTGTCGCCCTGATGTGTCGCAAGGTGGCCGTAAGTCGCTGGCCCGTACGTCTCCGGTAAGCCCCTAGCCCTAGGTCTTGTTTAATGATGCGCGACATCGTCCGGACAGGAATCTTCATTTCCCTGGATAGGATCTTCTGCTTCCGGAGTGGATTCCTTTGAATCCTGGCTTTTACGGCTTTGATGGCTGCTGGAGTCCTTACTTGACGAGGTCTTCCGCTTCTTGGCCTGTCATCAACAGAGGACGTCTCATTGTACCGCTGAATGGTCCTAGTCACAAATTTACGCGATATTTGAAGGCCGCGTAAGAGTTCAAAATTCTGACTAGCACTGTGATTACACTTATGTAAAGCTATCACTGCAATACGGTTCTTTGCCTTGCCCCACTCCATCGTTATGCTTCGAGAGATCAATACAAACTGAGGTATATGTAATTACCCGAAAAGCGCTTAATCAACTGACACCACAATGTAAACAATCGGACAAGTATTAACAGGTCTACACTTGTTTGAAAACGAGGGACAGAACTTATGGCATGACTACGTATATAATATATAATATCCCCGAATGTTGAACAGTGTTTCAATTGTTATACTTTTCGTTGCCTTTTTTCAATGCAGAAGCAGCCACGTCGGCAGAAGCCTAAATACCAGGACACCGCGTCTGTTTTGAGGAGCTTGGACACACTTTGTTAATCCGATTTTTGAACTGCCTATCTGTTATTTCAAGCATAATGTTTCGAAACTTCCAGAACATAATATATTTAATAAAGCAGTTTAGCTACAGGTAAGATAACTTAAATTTCATTATGAAGTTTAAACATGGGCCTGAGATCCAATATCAGTGATATCTGAAAATGATATAAAAAGCTTGAATAAAACAAACCTTTGACAATCTGCTCGAACCTAGAATAGTCGGACTTGAATTCGATGCTGAAGAATTTCTCAGTATTGGGCACCTTCTGGTTGAGCATGAGCAATCGCGATGCGACGATTTTTCTCAGATACATCATTTCTGGCACGGTGGCGTTCTCTAACAGGCGAGTTGTGTATCTGCATGCGTCTTCGAAATTGTCGATGGTTTTACCCAATTCGTCGGATTCCTTCATGATCTTCAGCTCCCTTTCATGGTAGAGTCTGTTCAACTCTTCCAAAGCATCTTCTTTGCATCTTTCCAGCACAGCCTTGTAGCTCTGATATGATTCATTGATGAGATCTCTGGCGGCGGACCTTTGGTGAGCTAGCTCTTCCATGTTGTTGTTCAGACCAGTGGAAGCCTTAATCAACTGTTCGATTCTCTCTTTGCTTTTGCACAGAAGGGCTTCCATCTCTTGGCGGACCCTTACTTCCGAGTCTAGGATGCTCTCGCAAGGGTGTCCTTTAACAAATAAAATATAATTTATCATTCCCCAATTTAAATTAGTTAGAATAATGCCCGGTCGCACTAATTTGCTACGGACGACGTTAAGCTAAGCTGAACTAGCTCAGTGGTCAGCGCGTCGAGCTAACAACCCGGAGCTCGCGGGTTCGATTCTCCTCACTGGAAGTTAATTTCTTGCCATGGATATTGTGTTGTCTATATCACGCCCGTGGTGCAATACTAACAGGTACATCTAGTCGCTGCAGCTGGTTTATTATAACAGTTACCAGTAGATGGCTCGTGGAGTAGTACAGTGTTGCTACTACACAGTAGTAGTAGGCCAGGTTTCGCCACCCCACACTACTACTAATAAGCTGAACTTTATTTTCGATAGTTTTGTTGCACCAGATACATTTAAATCTTGGGTGGAAGTTAAAAAGATGAAATACGTAAATCGATTAATTCCTCTGCTTAAAACCTAGTTCATATTAACGCGAATCGCGAATGCGAATTGCGTAGTTGAAAATTCATACCAATCATGTAGACACGAATTTCACAATAATTTTAGGAACATTTACTTTTATTTTTCGGTGGTTTTTGATTCTGTCTTTAGGTTGTATATTTGGATGGTTTTGAATTTGTGATTTCGATGATCATAACGCAAAATGGTCGGTCAAATGAAAGACGATCAACAAAATGGAAAACTAACTGACAGTTGCAAGTAAACAGTACTGACAAGTAACCATTCGATAATGATGGTCGCCTACAGAACCTCTTTTCTTCTGAAAGAACTTATTAATAATAGGCCACAAAATTAACCACAGCGATAGCAAAATGTTAGATAAAAATACCAAAACTACTAACTTTGTGCTTTTAAAAAGCGATTAAGCGCTAAAATAAAAATATTGATGAAAGTTTAAAATCCATATGTTCTAAAATATTCAAGGGCCGTATCGCCAGTTGTTCCTACAATATAATAATAATAATAATAATAAATAGCCTTTATTTTACCTGGCGGGTTACATCAGCACAAGTTGTTTTTCAGAACCAACCAGGGCTAAAAAAAAATTCAAGTACATGCAAATACAACAAAAATACATTGAAGATAATAACATTTAAAGCAGAATTTTTTTTTTTACAGAATCGTAGCATGGTATAATGACCAAAAGACCAAAAGAGAAACGTGCAGCAATAGAGTACGTAGCAGAATCAATAAGCGTGATTAGAAGTAACTTTAAAAAAAGAAAATATTAGGTACATGGCGGAAGATATAAAAATTAAAAGTAAACAGTAACAAATGTGTAAGCAAAACACAAACAAATGAAAAGTGACGAGTGAGAAAACATGCACAAATAAACAAATATAAAAATAAAATTACATAAAAATACATGCTACATGAAATCAAAAAAAAAAAATACATGCTACATGTCAGGGACGCCTTTATGGCATTCTTGATATTTATAGTTTTTTCTCTCCTTCAGAAAGGCTCGGGAATTTCTAGATTTCTACTGTTCCGTGTCAGCGTCAGCGCTCTCCTATTGTGAAGTTATGTTTTCTTTTTGAATTGTAGGAAATTTAAGGCTGTTAAAACAGATGTGCGACTGTTTATGTGGAACTACAATTATGGAGTGTCGGCTTGCCGCTTTTGGTGATTGATTTTGACATAAAAAAACCACCCAAGTCGACAGTCATCATTAAGCTACAAGGTGCAACTGTTTTTGTATCTTACCTTTATGCTCGTTCTTAGAACACTCTGCACATGCAGTGACATTGCAAGTGGTGCAGTTGTAGATGACGTTTTCCTCAGGGTGGACGTCGCAGACGAGGGGTTTGTGAACGGTGATACGGGTGCCGTCTTTGCGCATATCGTCTAGCGCGACTACCTTGTGCGACTCGAAACAGCGCATGAAGTGATGGGCGGTGTCGCAATTGTTGCAGAGCAGGTTGTGGCAAGTGCTGCATCTGGACTTGGCCACCTCTTTGGCGGTGCACGAGGTGCAATGCAGACTGGCCGAGTTCGATACGTCAGAGATGTTCGTTTTGGTGACGTCCAGGGGAAGCACCGAGAGTTTTTTTGTGCCAACCTGTCAAAGATAAACAGTTTAAAAATTTTCATTCATGATTACTCTACCATCGATGCAGAAAACAGTAATGAAAACCTACTCATGAATGTAGACACCCAAAACTCAGACACAATATAAATTCACTAATGTATCCTTCAGTATAAGTAGATTTCTATGTAACCTTATACATCAATGATAACTGCTTTGCATATTTTACCTGAAGATAACCAACTATATTTTAGTGTCTAAAAAATGATCCCATATGCAATGAGAAACAATAGCGTCATCTATGAGAATCTGTCTCAGAGGTGTTTCTCCTCTCCACTCTAATTAAGCATCCACTTTGAAAAAATTGTCTCTAGATGGAGCTATAGCCGACGATATGAGAATATGAGCACTAGATGGTTGGTTATCTTTAGGTAGAATATTTTAATCAATGTTGAGGTCCAGGGTTTATGGCCAATAAATAGCACATGATAAATACTGATGCATCACAGTAAATATTGATTCCGTCACATCTGTCATAGGCTGATTCCTCTGGTGGGATATGTATAAAGAGTATTTAACTGTACAAATTTCAAATAATATTTTTTGGAGATGTAAGCGAAAAATCGAGTACACTTTATCATCATTGAAGAATGGATCTGGATAATCTATTTTGATTATAAAAGGTGCAATTTTGTCCAGGGCAGTAGATACCTACTTAATTAGTGAAATGTTAATGTGAGCTCTCTATCATCACTCATAACACCATACTTCCATTTTTTTAGGGGTACACTTGAAAAAAATGCTTTTTAGAATATTTTCTGAATATTAATTTTAGTCAATCTTGTAAGTTTTCATAAGGACTCTAGTTATGAAGTTGTACTGAAAATATACCTACATCTTATATTTTTTTATTTTGAATAAATGTGTTGGGGCTTGGGGCATCACATTAGTTTGTGTCATGATGAAATACATTTTTGTTTGGAAGTTACCTTTATTGCATGTTAATAATATCGCGTTTTATCATACATATTGACAGATCCAGCTAATTTAAATTGTTCTCAACTTACCTTTGTAACATAGTTACAAGTTGGACAGCAGATAGATGCATCCAAAGTGCCAGTATCTCCAGCTTCACCAACCAGCTTCTTATCAAGACATTCTTCACAGAAGACATGCAAGCAGTGCAGCATTCGAGGAACCACTAAAAGCTCCCTGGAATATTGCATAGTGGTTTAGTGATGTTTAGAGACATTTCAAATTTCTGAAAAATGTCTAATATCTCATAAATAAATCGAATTTTGTTACATTTGCGAAATTCACGCGAATATGAATATCAGAAAAAGAAAATATGTAAATAATATTAGGTACTTAAATAACACAAAAAATATCAGTTAAATTTTTGGTATAAAAGCTGTAAAAGACAAACAAAAGCTTTATTCTTCACATAAATGTTTTCCTCAATTAGATATCTCTCAAACGAGTTTAATTCATTTTGTAAGTGAAGTAAAACAGTCCATAAGTGACTGTCTGGCTTCAGAGTACAAAAAAAAACAGCTGATCTAACCATCATCAGAATATAACCTTAAAATCAATTTCATGGAGCTACACTCAAGTTTAAGCATTTTTGCAGTTTGTTGACATGGATCGCAACAAAAAAATAATTGTAAGCAAAGTTAAAAATCTCACAATTTGACTTTAGAGGATTTTGAATGTAAACAAAATGAACTAAACCTAAGCGCTGCAAGTGAGCACAGATCTCACTCAGCTGAGGTTAGTTAAAATGAGTTCTGGTGACAAGGATGTATAATGAAATGAGCAATCTGAAGTGAGATTTTGTGCAAAATAAATGGAGCTGTAATTATGTAATAACTTCAAACAACAAAATATACTTTTTTACTATCATCTTTGATTATAAATGTTTTACAAATAAAAAACAAATAGAAATGACAATTCTTTTCTTAAACTTGTGAGAAATATTTTTTTTACAAACTACATATTCATTCATGAATGCCTGAAAATTGACATTTGTTACATCCCTAATGCATAGTTAAGTAATGACAGTGTGGTTAAACATGATGTTAAATACTTCCTCAGTTAATCCATGGGTATTAGTAGCTTTATGCTTGAACAATTTATTCAACAATCACTAATCAATCTGTTACAAATTTAATGCATTTCCTGACATGTAAGAAAATAAGACTATTATGTAATTAAAGATAAAGGCTTGATTCCTTCTATTATGTGGAAGTAAATATAATATCCATAACACACAAAAATAGGCAAAAATATATAGTTATATTCAGGGTTCTTGGCAGTTACACAAACATGCCATATGAAATAAGAAAACAATCCATCACTCAGCTGCTACCCATTCTTGCACATACACAAATTAAGTGAGAGAATCGTTGTTACCACTCGCTTTCCGAAAATACTTTTAATATAGACTGTAGATATTGCAGTTGAAACTGTATTTTTATATTGAAGATCAACATGGGTAAACAAGCCCATGACAAGCAAGTTTTCGTACTTACAGTGACAAGCATAAAAGTGGAAGACTAGAATAATGATGAGAAAATGTTCCAGGCACTGGACAAACTGGACAAAAAATGGATATTGGTGAGCTGCTACCCACTCTTGCACACAAATTGAGTAAGAGAATCATTGTTACGACTCACTTTCTGAAAATACTTTTAATACAGACTGTAGATATTGCGGTTGTATCTTCAGGCATTACTATTTTTCACATTGAAGATCAACATGGGTGAAGACACCCATGACAAGCAAGTTGTCATACTTACAGTGACAAGCATTAAAGCGGAAGACTAGTATAATGATGAGAAAATGTTCAAGACACTGGGACAAAACTAAAAAATGGATATCCATGAGTTTACACAAGCAAGAATCTGTGACAATTGCATATGTATGTGTGAGGGAGATGGAAGTATGAAAGTAAATTCTGTACTCTTACTGTGATTTATCAAAAACTTGAAAAGACCTACAGATAGTCAAATATTTGTACTGCAAGCATATGTATGTTTCTGGAACTAACATAATGACTGTCAGAAAGGTAAATATTAAGAATTTTATGAGTGTTTTGCTCAATGCATATGAAAAACATTGTTACAAACTCCTGCCAATATTATTGTAATTATCACTCATCAAAACTGTACACATAATTAATTTTTCAATAGCAGTTGATACTCAAATGATAATGGACAAACTAATACCAACAATAAAACCTATAGAATGAGTTCTTTTAAATATTGGACATGACTGAAAAAATCTATAAAAATAAAGGCTTGATTTCTTCTATTATGTGGAAGTAAATTTATCCTAACACACAACAATACATACATGAACATACCATACGAAATATGAAAACAATCCAATGCTAAGCTGCTACCCACTCTTGCACACACACAAATTGTGTAAGAAAATCATTATTACTTTCTGAAAATACTTTTAATATAGTCTGTAGATATTGCAGTTGTATCTTCAAGCATTACTATTTTTTATATTGAAGATCAACATGGGTAAACACACCCATAACGAGCAAGTTGTCACACTTACAGTAACAAGCATAAAAGTGGAAGACTGATATAATGATGAGAAAATGTTCAAGACACTGGGATAACACTAAAAAATGGATATCTGTGAGTTTACACAAGCAAGCATCTGTGCATAGAGGCAATTGCATATGTATGTGTGAGGGAGATGGATCTACAAAAGTAATTTCTGCACTCTGTGACATCACAAACATGAAAAGACATACAGATAGTCAAATATTGGTACTGCAAGAACATAAGTTTCTGGAATAAACTGACACTGACAGTCAGAAAGGTAAATATTAAGAATTTTATGGAATGAGTGTTTTGCTCAATTAGATGTGAGAAACATTGTTACTAACTCCTGCCAATATTATTGTAATTATTACTCATCAAAACTGTATACGCATAATTAATTTTTCAATATCAGTTGATACTCAAATGACAATGGACAAACTAGAATTTCCTACAATAAAACCTATATAATAAGTTCTTTTAAATATTAAGCATAACTGAAAAAATCTATACATACCCACACATGCCACAGTTATCAGGGTCCGCTAATAGAGCATCTTCCAATGACTTATTGATACCCATCTTATCGCTTCCCTCAAACATGATCCCAGATAATTCGTCGAACTCTTCGGACTTAGGGATGAAGTCCTTAGCTTCCGTGAAGTCTCCTTCTTTACCATTCGTACTCATGGTTGCAAATACTATTTGTGTTAAATGTACTACAAACAAGTTGCTTATAGGCCTTTTTACACGAAATCTTTAATCCCGTGGAAAGTTTATCTAAAAATAAAAATCAATTAAAAAGGCGAAGGTCTCTACCGAAAAAATCATTAGTTTCCAAGATGATTCTGCTTTATCCAGGCAAATACAGAATATCAACAAACTTAGGTTAGTGTTGAAATTACATGAATAGGATATTATTTTGGAAGTGCAAGAGGTAAATATTGATTAAATAGGCAAACACTTACCACTGCCATGATGAACCGATGTTTAGCAAATGGCGCGTTTACGTCTAAAAAGCGCAAGGGCAATGGGTTATTGAATAGTGGCAGGAGAACGTCAAACATCCGCAGAACCCGGGAAAACGGATCAGTTTGAAAAATACCTTTAAATACTACTTGTATAAGAGTCATTCTTCAATGATACATCGACTACCGCCAGTTTGATTTGATTATTGAAGATATAAAACTAGTTACATGAGCCGCATTATTTTATTGAGATTTTGTACATGTCTATCCATAGTATTAGTTGCCACTTATGAATACTTTTTCTACAAAAACGCAATGATAAGGTCAAAAGTGCGATGCTTTCTATTGAACTATGAAATGAAATACCTCGAAGTAGTATCGGTACCTACCAATTAAGGTTTCCAAACAGTATCAATAATTTTAAAAAGTAGGCTTCAGTGGCTAGGTCAGTACGTGCCTCTTAACGCTATGCAAACGTAAAAATACCAAATACCTATTTCCCAGAAATAAAAGAAAAATGTAGGTATTTATAACATTATATGGAATGTATACTCACCTTATTAAAAGTTGTGTCTAAATTCGATAAAAACCCATAAATATAATAAAATTAGACTAAATTGTTAAACAATATAATACTTTCGTATATTTTACATCTGTCAAAATGTTAATATTTGTTTGTGGACAAAGCCAACTTGGCTTTTCCTCTTTTTGTGTAACCACTGGAGGCGAGAGAGGGATAGACAATAAAAGCCTGAACAATGGGTGATAAGATAAAGAAAGATAGGAATATAAAAATGTGAAGATAATTTCCATAATGTAATGAGGATGTGGTTATAATTGATAACATTTCTATTATCACAATTTGATTGCAATAAGATTAATCTGTTCAAGTAAAAACATTTTTTCTCCATGAAATCCTATTACTTCCAGGTATTTCCTTTCTCCTCACAAAACATTTTCTCCCTCCCACTAATCGGGATGGGTGTGCCATTAGCCATTGGTATTCGTAATCGGTTATACTGGCGTATAGAGATGGGGATAGTCAATACGAGCATGCTGGCGGCAGTTGATAGAATTTGTGTTAGTTATTTAATTGTATTTCACTTTTCGATATAGCACAATATTTCCCTACACGTGATTAGAATTTCTATATCATATCTCTAGAACCCCAATAAAAACTACAAATTAATATGTTTTGAGCTTATTATACATTATAATAAATGAAATACCGAAGAAAGATTCATTCTCATTACTATTCACATCATGAATAGAAAAAAGTTAACAATACATTACATGCAACTCGCAGGATTTTCTGGATGTGACTTTTAGTCACCACTTCATTCGACATTAAGGGTAAGTATACAGGGTGTTCCTTAATGATATGCGAATATTTAATAGTGTGAATCTACATGAAGAATTAATGTTAGTTTGCTTTATAAACTATGGTCCAAAAATGTTTCCTAACAAATACTCGGGGTGTTGAAGTTTTAGGAAAAAAATAGAAATTAATTAATATTTTCAGAACCGCTTCAGATATTTTACTGATATTTAGTACGTAGTGAAAGTTAATGAAGTTGCATATTTTTCAAGGCAAAAATAATTTTTAGCTTTAACAGTAGCGTGCGTACGGGTATTGGCTTCGATATTTTTCAAGAAAAAATGGTACGCCAATGGTTCTTGCCAAATAAAAGTTATTTTTAAATTCCCCATTCAATTTAAAACAAATAATCTCTCTTGAATTGTTTTCCTTCGATGAGCCATTTTTAAGTAAAAAATAAAAACCATTCTATTGTCCGAGAAAATTAATGTAATAATTGAAGAACGCAATTTAGCAATATATCTAGTTGCTCTGGAATATGACATCTGACAAGTCTCTATTATTCAAATCTGTTCGCAGTGACATCTTTTTCATTATTTAGTTTTTACAATCTTGTTAATGGTGAATTATTCAAATGCAGATATCGCGGAAATGCATTACGTACATGGCCTTGCCGACGGTAATGGTGAGCAAGCCAGACGGATTTATCACCAGAGATATCCCGATCGAGCTTTGCCAGATAGTCGAACCTTTTCTAATATTCATCGTCGTCTTGTTGAAACTGGTTCAGTCCGAAAAGGAATATCTGAAGGTAGACCTCTAAGTGTGAGAACACCTGAAATTGAGGAAGCAATGCTGCACGAAGTCGAAGAACATCCTAAAACGAGTACGAGGAAGATCGCTAGACACTTAAATATTTGCCATCAAATTGTTTGGAGAATTTTAGTGGATTTTTTGTTATATCCTTACCATATTTTAAGAGTACAGGCATTACTTCCCATTGATTTTCCAAGGCGTGTGACCTTTTGTCAGTGGAATCTTCAAAAAATTACACAAAATCCGCAATTTGAATCAATTGTTCACGGACGAAGCTAATTTTTTTCGAAATACCATTCAGAATTTCCACAACAATCATTTGTTGGCAGAAGAAAATCCCTATGCCGTAACCGAAACCCATTTCCAACACCATTTTTCAGTTAGCATATGGGCAGGAATTATTGGCAACCACTTTATTGGCCCATTCTTCTTGCCGGGACGACTTGACGGACAGAAAGAAACAATATGTGGTACATGCATGATTGTGCACAAGCGCATTTCAGTGTAGCGGTTCGTAATTATTTACAAACTGTTTATCCAACTCGTTGGATTGGCCGCGGTGGGCCCCAAGAATGGCCACCAAGGTCCCCAGACCTCAACAGCTTAGATGTCTTCAAGACACTAATGTACACAAGACTCATTAACACTGTAGATGAATAAAGAGAAAGAATAGTTGCAGCTTGTGATAGAATAAAAAACACTACAGGGATATTTCAACGAGTGCGCAATTCCATGAGAAGGAGGGCGGAAGCATGCATACTAAGTGAAGGGGGCCATTTTCAACAATTTTTGTAATCATTTTATTGCTTTCAATGTTATGCTTATGTTGTCAGTTGTTGCTGTTCATTACTCCTAATGTGTTTAATTTTTCCAATTAAATCAATAATAATTTTGCAAGTTGGACAATAGAATGGTTTTTATTTTTGTTACTCAAAAATGGTGCATCGAAGGAAAACAATTCAAGACAGATCATTAGTTTTAAATTGAACGGGGAATTGAAAAATAATTTTTATTTGACAAAAAACCATTCACATACCATTTTTTCCTTAAAAAATGTCGAAGTCAATACCCGTACGCACGCCACTGTTAAAGCTAAAAATTATTTTTGCATTGAAAAATATGCAACTTTATTAACTTTCATTACGTACTAAATATCAGTGAAATATCTGAAGCGGTTCTGAAAATATTAATTAATTTCCATTTTTTACCTAAAACTTCAACACCCCTGAGTTTTTGTAAGGAAACATTTTGTGGACCATAGTTTATAAAGCAAAACTAACATTCATTTTTCATGTAGATTCACACCCTTAAATATTCGCAAATCATTAAGGAACACCCTGTATATTATATAGGAACAATTAAACTCATTTCAACAAAACAGGTAGCTTTAATCTCACTAATAACACACAAATACATAATAAACAAATTTTGTCAGCAGCTTGCAAAGGGCACAGTTGTGGTATATACAGGGCTGCGCTCGTAAATTGTTACATAGTGTACTGTACTACTTGTACTACTCTGTAACAATTAGCGTTCGTAACTGTTTGACGTACTTGTTTTATGCGTTCGGAAATAGAACAAAGTAATCCTTCTAGAACGCCAAAAGTGTGCTTTTCTTCCCGAGCTTAAAAGCGTGGGCACAAGAGTTCTGTCACTGTCATTTTCATGGTTCATTGTTTGTTTACTTTACTTGGTTATCAAAAACTGCTCAAAATTGATAGAACATATTATTTTTCATGATAAATGCCACTTCGTATCCCTAGGGTCTCATAAAACAACTACAAAGGTCGCAGAAAACGTGGTTAGAAATTAGTCGGCTGCCATCAAGTGTCATTACATGACTCTGTAATAATTGAGGCGTTCTAAAAATAAAAGTTTCACAGTATTCCACAGTAAAATTACATCTATCAATCTACATTCCATGACTGTAATCAAATCCAAGCGAACAACCAAAATGTCTGTATTATGTACCGCGGTTATAATATGGTTTAAGATGACACACGGGTTGATGACGTCGTTACTCGAATCGCTTGAACGCGTTGGTTTTAACTGCGGTTTTGTTGCAAGTTGTTTATTTTAGAAAAGCGCGCGTGTAATTTATGATTATTTTTATTATCACGTAATAATCGGTGCTTTTTCGTCTAGAACAGTGTATGGAAAGTTTAAAAAATTAAAACTTTCATAATATTAATGGGAGAGTTTATTTTTCAGAAATTTTTTTTAATGATGGAACCATGGCTTTGTAGCTATGATAACCTTCAATTCTCTAAACTTGAGTTGGGTAAATACCACAATTTTACGGCGATGACTATGACATATAAAAGCAGATTCATGACGTCACGGATCTTATAACCAAACTCGCTCGAACGGATCGGTAACTACCAATACAAAATGGTAAATACCATTTTCATTTGGTTACTCGCTTGAACTTGATTTGTGTACGGTATTACATTGCCAAGTGATTTACAAACGCACCCCTGTAGTTTACGGAAAGCGATAGACATATTTGAATCCATATACGAATATAAAAAATGTGCGATTTTGATGAGTCGGCTAACAACTAATACCAAACATAACATATCTAAAATAAACTTAACTGAAACTTCGGATGCCGAGGCTTCATAATAACTTACAGAAAAATAAAAAAAAAAAGTTTGGCCAGTGAAATCGGAATCAAACAATTATAATTACAAGACAGGGTTTGGAAGTCACAAGTCACATTTGTACTTTTTATGTCTATGTATTTCTTAAGATTATGCATGTAAAGTGTGTAGAATGTCTCTTAGGTAGTTGCTTTAAAGATATCACAGAAGTTGTATTCTACTTAATAGTATAATACCACTACTATTACTACAATATTGAATACAATATTTTCTAAATATTTTTGGTGCTTCCGTGACGTTGTCACAGGGCTGTTTATTTGCCAAACTGGTATCGGGCATTATATATACATACATGACATAATTTAGTCCATTTCTTTGCGTTTTATTTGTCACTCTTTTTACCATTTTTTGTCGCCGTTTGATTTAATATAACAAGTCCATTATCTGACGAATCAACCGATTCATTATCTGACAATGGTCCATCATCTTCGTCACTAGTTTCTTCTGAGGAATCTTCGCTGCTCAATATATCACTACCACAATCGCCACCATATAAAGCTATTTCTAATTCCTTTTCTGTAGTTACGTGATCCAGTGATATAGAAGAGTTCTTCAAGCCAAATGTAAATGGGGTACCAAACGTTGCTTGGTGAGAGTTTAAGCTTGTTGGGTTGGTGTTAATTTCTACTTGTATATATCGTAACATATTAGTCCATTCTTCTTTGGGGTGCTGAATTATCCAACGTGATATGATCTTCTCAATTTTCATTGTGTTAGTCTGCTTAAGTCTTTGTTTCCCAAGTATGACTTTTATCTGACGCCATTGTTTACATATTTTTCTGATAAGATAGTGGGCAAAATGCCTGGTTCCACTAATGTGAAGAATGTTCGGTACTCCCAATATTGCGAATATGTCCAAAACTGCCCCAGCTACTTCGCTAACCTGTTTTGACTTCAGCGGACGTAATTGCACTAGTTTGGTATGGTGATGATACACAAGTATATAAGAATACCCATTCACTTGATTATTTTGCATATCTATGATATCTACCTGACATCTTAACTCCATGTCCATTTTTTTCCGACATACATCGCAAGTTTCCAAGTACATACGAATCATATCTCCTGTTATGTTTTGATATTTGCTCTTCAATGTTTCTTTCATTCGTAATACTCCGCTATGGTTGGAATCTATGTGAGTATTGTGGATAATATCGAATATTTCTTCACTGTAAGCGTACATTTTGAACAAAGTGCTACCTTCTTCCTTATGAGTGACAAGCCTCTCAGAATTTTCTGTCTTCATTATGTCGTAACTGCGCACACGATGTTTATCTATTATTGAATTTGATGACAATTTAGCCTTCTTAATTTGTCCGATTAAATAGTAGTATGCTTTTTTGGATATCACAAAACCAGATTTCGTCTCCTGCAGTCGCTCCATGAAGCGTGATTTTGGTTCAAAGACTGATTCATCCTCCGGTTTATGTAACTCACTATCCATATAATGTTCTGTTGTTTGAGTACTCGCTTCAACTGACTGGCCGTTCATACAGTTCATTGTATTTGAAAGGTGGTCTATCCGAAATTTGCTGGGAGTATTTTCCGTGTTCTTGTCTATCAGAGTCTCAGCAATATCACAGTCTTCCTTTATAGCAAACTCTCTCTCTTCCTCACCTGCTTCAAATAACATTTCGTTTTTACACAGTATGTCAAGTGGTTGATCTAGAGTACTTGTAAGTACTTCAGAAAAGCTCATTACTTCTTTATTGTTAATCTCATTTACTTGGTTCCGGTTGTTATCAGCAGCTGGCACTTCATTTGTTTCGCATTCGTTAACAGTTGTTTTATTGCTATCAGCACTCTTTGTAAGACTATTATCTTCTTTCTGGAGAGAGTGCATCAGACGAAATCCATTGATTTGGCCCACTGACCCTCCTAAACTTCCGTTTTCTTTGACAATTTTCTCTACCAATGATATCTTTTCATGATGATTCCCAGTATATGTCTCTACGTTTCCAATTCTTCTACGCTTTATGCTTTGTTGTAATTTACTGATATCATCTGCACGAATCACTATATCTTGGCTACCCTTATCATATACCATAGTACTTTCATCATTGTGTGGCGATGCATATTTCGCAATTATTGTATCTGTAATTCTACGGCATCTGTTCAGCTTAACCACAAGAGTTTTTTCTATATTTTCCTTGTCGACTGGAAAACCTTCATTGCATGAAACATTTTCCCGAGAATTGTTACTATTAGCCTCGATTTGATTTCTAGTGCTGTTTTCCGAATAGAAAACCTGTGTATCCGTTTCATTTATTTTTTCATCTTCAGATTGGTAACCGAGCCCTATTTGTGCGATAATAATCGTTTCATTTGTCTGTCTTTCTTCTTCAACACGTTCACTATTCGAGATGTCCATATATGTTGTTTGCAAATGACTCAGTTTTGTTTCCGACATACTGACATTATCTATATTTATGTCAAATATTTTAGTAACATTTCCTTCTTGAAGTGTCATGACTACATCATTGGGAATGCCATTTTCAGCTTGCTCCCCTGCTTTACTTACAGTTTCCGTATATTGAAGGCTAGAGTGGTAGCTAGGTCTTATGATATCATTTGTCCGTCCTGATCCAGAATCCGCAGCTTCACGATTTGACACGTCCTTACCTATTATTAGCATATTTTTCGGTCTTGTTTCCAACTTGCTGACATCGGCTACGATTATATCGTTTTTTCCAGTAACGCCCAATCCTTCTATTTCAAATTTCATATCCATATCATTCGGAAGGTAAATTTCGTCTTGTTGACCCACTTCGCTTGCAGTTTCTGTGTATTTGACATCAGGGTGGAGACTAGGGCTTAGGTTTTCAGTAATAAAAGATATTTCATTTACTTGTCGTTTATCTTCACCATTTGACACATCCTCATCTATTCTTAACAAACCTTCCGTTTTGGCTTCCAGCTTACAGACATTGTCTATGTTAATTTCGTTTTTTTCAGTTACGCTAGTTTTTTCTATTTCAAATTCCATGCGTACTTCATTCGGAAGGTCTGTTTCGTCTGGCACACCTGCTCTACCTGATGTTTCTGTTAATTCAACTTCAGAGTTACAATAACGGCTTATGTTTTTATTTGCTATATATTTTTTATCTTCACGATTCAATACGTTAAGATTTTTCGGTATTATTTTCGAATTACTGTCAGAGCCCATGCCATTTTTTTCAGTATTGGTAACTCTTTCTGTCTCAAATTCCATGTTCACATCATCTGGAACGTCATTTTTGTCTTGTTGACCTGCTTCACTAGTAGTTTCTTTGTATTCACTTGGAGAATTTTGATGATCTAGACCAAATTCTTCATTAATACGGAGCTCGCACTCATCATTTAATGTGTCTTGAACACCAATAATCTTATTTGATACACATGTTTCATCTGTTTGATTTGCTATTTCCCCCTCCATGTCGCTTGAAGAATCGCTACTTATCTCTATGAGCGCATTTTGTAGAACTTTTTCTTTCTCGTCAAGATACGTTTTATCAGAGTATGTAATTTCATTGGAATCAGCTGAACTGTATTGTGATGTTGCATTATCTACAGAATCTGAAGTGTATCCATTTGGAAATCTAATGTATGATGCAGTTTTATTCATACAAGAACCACAAAGCTCCAAATATAAGGCGATCATATCAGAGTTAATATTTTGAATTTTTTTTGATAATTCTGCCTCCATAATGTCCGCATTACCATGGCCAGTAAGTATGTGACAGTCATGTATTATCCTAAAGGCTTGTTCCAAGTAGATGTAGTATTTTACTTTGCATGGCGAATCTGCTGACTCTCGAACTCTAGTAGCCAACCAGCTTGTATTCTTGTTTCGGCACTGTTTAACATCATACATTGATAAAAGTTCTAGGTCGTGCTGATCTTTAGATGCCGTTCGGTGTGCTTTTTTCACTTCACCAAGTAGAATCGAGTAAGCACGTTTTGTAAGGACGTCACACTTGGACAAGTCAACCAGTTCTTCCAACCGAAGGTTAAACAATGAATGCATTTGTAGAAATGTTAAGCTGCAATTTGGACTTTTATCCATCATATATAAATCCATTACTGTTTCATTAGACTCAAAATAATCGATTCTTAATCCTCCGCTTAAAGTCGTTTTGCATACAGCACAAAGTTGGATGTATTCTTCTATTGCTGTTATTGCAATATTCGCATACATTTTGGATAAGAGCTGAACCATTACATTCTTAGGGATATGCTTATTTGTAATGTGTACTTTGTGGATTGCTGCAAAGAGTTCTTCGATGTTCAGGATTGGAAGTACTTCGTGAGCAGCCGTCAGTTTTTCTCTTCCAGAAACTGTCGAAATACCAAATTTGCGTGCCAGCCGGCTTTCTTCGTGTGTTCGATTTGATTTTTCCTTGATGTTTTTAATATTTTGGAGTATTTTGCAGTACATTGACTCAGTTATAAAGTAGAAGCTATTGGTCAGTGAGTCTGCAATTCGCTTTATTGCTGAATTGAACTGCTGCTGCATCTCTTTAAGCTCTTCAACCGCTACTAGCTCAGGTCTATCATCAGTCAAGGGTGTTAGTGCCACTTTTCTAGCTTGCGCTCTTGACGCATTCAACCTATCATCTGTCAAGGGTGTTGGTATAGGTTCACCAACATGCACTAGTGACGTATTTACCCACCATTCATCATTATTTGAGGTATTTAAAGGTATGCGCACTGCCTTACAAAATTGGCATAAGTCCAGAAATAACGCAACTACTTCATGTGTAAAATTTTTATACTGTTTACCAAGTTCTGTAATCATCCCATTTTTTCCAATGTGGCCATGCTTCAAGTGATAGTCGACCAATATCTTGAACATTTCTTCGATGTAGACATATAAAACAATCCGAGCTTCTAGAATGCAGATCGGTACAATAAGTCTTTCTTCTTCTTCTATCGTGATAATATCGTAGTTTTTTAGAAGCCTGCGATCATTAGCTGACAGCGTAGTTTTCATTTTCGCTTTTTTGACTCTATTTATTATTTCTGTATACCTAGCTTTTGTCAGCAGTTTTGGACAAGAGATTTTAGCTTGCATGGAGGCTTTTACATTCTCCAGAAATGTGGTTTCTAATCCGAGAAAACTTTCAAGCTCATCATTTGTGTAATAGATCGAACTTCTTGCAAAATGTTCACTATTCACACTAAAATTCATATTATTCTCTGTTGTTTTCAAATTACCGTTGCCTTGCAGATCTACTATCTGGAAACTTGAAGAATTGTCTTCAGGTATTGGACTTCGTTCTGGAGATGGTATGTGCAGCAAAACTTCATTCTGATTTTCCTGTGGATTAGGCTGATTGAGGGTTGCTTTGGGAGGGAAGATTATGTTAGTTGCGTTTTCCGCTGTGCCAACCTGATAGCAAGTATAACCCAATCTTTCCAGTTCTTCAACTGAACAAATTAGTCCATATGTCTGTTCAATGTTCTGTGTGTGGTTAATTTCGGTATTTATTTGACATTCAATTTTAGATGTGGTAGGGTTAGTTTCAAAAGTCGCATGATTAGTCTCTTCCAACTGCACTGCATGCAATCCAGAGTGACTTGCTACAGTATCAGTTAGATGGAGCGGCTTATTTAACTGATTTATTCCATATGTTTCATCTAGCAGATGGTTAGTAACTTGTAACTGTGCTTCATCCAATTCACTGTGGCTTCTTTCAGGATCGGATTGGTAATCTGACGTATTTGACCGATTTGTTCGATAGTTCGAGAAATCCATGCGCTGCAAACGCACTATCAATTGTTTGCATTCGATTTTTTTATCGTTTAGATTGCCGCAATGTTCATGTTCATGATGGTATTCTTTTAGTTGATTAAGTATACTTTGTTTCATCCTCTCTATAACCTCCATGTTTCTTCCTTGACTCTGTTGTTATCGAATCCTAAGGTACGGCTGAGTTCAGGCCACACTTCTGCAATTTCAAACTCTTCAACAGCAACTTTTTATCTGGATAGAATATTAAGAATTAGTATATAATGTCCTTGTACCCAGATGCATTTAAAATTATGACATCGAAAATGTGTAAATTTTTAATGTGCAAGATATTTAATCAGTCGAATAAAAAAGCAACTATACTATGTAGCTACTACTTGCAAGTTTTTTTATACATATAATGGAAGAATGAGTGTTTCCACACGGCAAGTATTAATCCCCTATTTGTTGCTTCCGGCATCGATGTGGAGATTTACCAAAAACATAGCATGCATCACGCGACAAGAATAACCTACAAAAAAGTACGAAACCTATCAGTAACGTTTTTCTCACAAAAATGATACAGGCAAAGTTGTGAAAAGTAATTTGAATTCAGTTTTTTTCAATCTAATTGGAGAGTCTAGTACTTTACAAGTAGTTTGCAAGTTCATATTGAGTCCTTCTTTGTCCGCCCTACAGTGCAAATATTTACTTGATCATTCAGTTATTTTTCTCAACCGACCTATTGAACTATTAAGTATATTCGGAATACGACTTAAAAATGTAGAAACACCAGGTCAATTATACACATCTAAAAAATTCTACGCGCGTTATAAAAACAAAAATGAAGTTACTTCATTTTGCATCTACGCATCTGTTTATCAGGTAATCATGCAATGCATGTAGTGCATGCATTCATATACATCAAAATTCGAGTTTACTCATCGCTAGCGTTTGAGCACGCAGCGCCGCTTTCATGGAGCCTACCATGGAGCCTACGAGGTCTGTAAATTAAGTGATCAGACTGATTCGATATTTTTTTTATACAAATATCCTTACAATTTTATATCATCACCCTCAAAATAACTTCCTTCTGAAGCGACATAGCGCTAGAGAAGGTTGCTCCACTCCTCATAGCAGTGTTGAAACTCCGATACTGGAATAACCTTCAGTTGGTCGGTTACACTAGTTTGAATGTTTTCGACTGACCCAAAATGAGTTCCCTTGAGGTGATTTTCCAGCTTCGGCAAGAAAAAAGTCACAAGGACTCAACTTTAGGTGAATAAGGAGCCACAGGAATGTTTTTACTGGCCAAAACTCGTTTATTGACATTGCTGTGTGACAAGAAGCATTATCGTGTTGCGACACCCAGTTGTTCTTGATCTGATGAACGTAAGGCAAATTTAACTGTCCCCCAATTATTCTGACGACCAACCGATGATTTGAACGTACAAGATCCCGGATTCTGTCGATATTTTCATCGGTTCTTGAAGATTAAGGCCTTCCGCATCTTCAATCGATTTTCTCCCTTCTGAAAATGCCTTGAACCACCGAAAAACCTGGTCTCTTGACAAAACACTATCTCCGTAGGCCTACTGAAGTTAAGCAAGAATTTCCGTTGCACTGTGCCCAAGTTTGAAGCAAAACCTGATAGCGTGCGGTTGCTCGAAATTGATGTCATTCATCAAACTGTTTCGCTACGGACAATTAAATGACTCGAGCGAGTTCAAAATTGCACTGAAGGCGGATCACATGATCCCCTATTCCCCTCCAAGCCCGGCGCCTCCAGTATTGCCAGATCAAACGCTACGTTGCCAATCTCATCAATACATTTACAGACATCGTATATACCAGAAGAACCGGCGAAATAAGAAAAAAACGACCCCAAAACTTGACGCCTGACTGAGGACGCGTGATTATGAACATTATATCTCCCAACAACAAACATCCTAAATTTCGGGGAAAATCAAGTTTTGCCGTGGTTTATCTTGGTATAGGGTGAGATTCAAATTTGGCTGACGTCATAATGTGTACGACAAAGAAGCGGGTTAAGCGTAAGATACAGTATATTAACTGAATCGAAGCAGTTACGTCACAACGTGACAGTGAGGCACATGGTTGTCACACTTATTAAAACTTCTAGATCCTAGGAAATAAACCACAAATAAACAACAGCCGTTGGGGTAATTACCTGTCAAGCTTTGCGCCAATGTCACAACACAGAAAACTGTTACTAACATAAATGCACCTGGGAAATTCAAACTATACGTACCAATTTAGGATCTATTTAGTATCAAGGTTGGAATTCACATTTACTAAATATGACGTAACTGCTTTGTTTCAGTCAAATGACTAATATGTATGTTGGAAAGGCTGAGCCGATGGCTTCCGTGACCTCGTACTGGGGTTGCTAGGCAACGAGGTGCTGCTATCTCTTTCTAACACACGTATCGCACGTTTCTCTCTCGTACACATTACGACGTCAGCGGTATTTGGTTTTCAGTGTTTAGGCTCCATGGACGGTTCGCTGCTCGGCTAGCCGACATTGCGTAACACGCATGAGCACATTGTTGCCAGTTAGGGCTAACATTTTAAAATATATGTAAGCTTGTTTACAGAAATTGCTCAAAAAACTATGTATAGTGGATATATTGCCTGATCTGGAAGGAGAAGGGGACACTCCTCTATCTTTTATGTATTGCGCAATGTCCTTCCTATTTCCAAACCTTCGCTTTCCGTTATCAAAATAAGAAAGCTCCGTTACGAAAGTAACGGAGGACAGGAGAGGGCTGATTTCGTGAAGTTATTTTTTCCCTATTTTGCGCTGTTGCCGGAATTCGTGAAGCTGAGTAAGCTTAATTAAAATAATTTCAAGTTATAAAACATTTGTTAAAATATAAAAGAAATATGAGTTTTAGATCACAGATAAAGATAAACGCAAAACATTTTCCTTATTTTGCGCTGTTGCCGGAATTCGTGAAGCTGAGTAAGCTTAATTAAAATAATTTCAAGTTATAAAACATTTGTTAAAATATATCATTTTGCATCTACGCATCTGTTTATCAGGTAATCATGCAATGCATGTAGTGCATGCATTCATATACATCAAAATTCGAGTTTACTCATCGCTAGCGTTTGAGCACGCAGCGCCGCTTCCATGGAGCCTACCATGGAGCCTACGAGGTCTGTAAATTAAGTGATCAGACTGATTCGATATTTTTTTTATACAAATATCCTTACAATTTTATATCATCACCCTCAAAATAACTTCCTTCTGAAGCGACATAGCGCTAGAGAAGGTTGCTCCACTCCTCATAGCAGTGTTGAAACTCCGATACTGGAATAACCTTCAGTTGGTCGGTTACACTAGTTTGAATGTTTTCGACTGACCCAAAATGAGTTCCCTTGAGGTGATTTTCCAGCTTCGGCAAGAAAAAAGTCACAAGGACTCAACTTTAGGTGAATAAGGAGCCACAGGAATGTTTTTACTGGCCAAAACTCGTTTATTGACATTGCTGTGTGACAAGAAGCATTATCGTGTTGCGACACCCAGTTGTTCTTGATCTGATGAACGTAAGGCAAATTTAACTGTCCCCCAATTATTCTGACTACCAACCGATGATTTGAACGTACAAGATCCCGGATTCTGTCGATATTTTCATCGGTTCTTGAAGATTAAGGCCTTCTGCATCTTCAATCGATTTTCTCCCTTCTGAAAATGCCTTGAACCACCGACAAACCTGGTCTCTTGACAAAACACTATCTCCGTAGGCCTACTGAAGTTAAGCAAGAATTTCCGTTGCACTGTGCCCAAGTTTGAAGCAAAACCTGATAGCGTGCGGTTGCTCGAAATTGATGTCATTCATCAAACTGTTTCGCTACGGACAATTAAATGACTCGAGCGAGTTCAAAATTGCACTGAAGGCGGATCACATGATCCCCTATTCCCCTCCAAGCCCGGCGCCTCCAGTATTGCCAGATCGAACGCTACGTTGCCAATCTCATCAATAAATTTACAGACATCGTATATACCAGAAGAACCGGCGAAATAAGAAAAAAACGACCCCAAAACTTGACGCCTGACTGAGGACGCGTGATCGGAGTGCACCAGCTACTGTGCATGCGCAGAGTATGAGGTTAGGAAAATTTTTGATCTCAAGCTGACAATATGTGCTCTTACCACTAAATCATGAAATCTCCCGCGTAGATCCCTAAAAGCTGATCAGCTAGGTGCAAAGTTGAAGGTTTTACGAATAACTTCTGTTTTCACAGGTCTAAATCACACTTTTCGCGGGTGATTTATAGACTTTATAGAAACAAAAATCCCTCAGAATTGCTACTTTTAAAAAGAATACGACAAATCTCAGTTAATTAATGGAAACGGGTAGGTTTGGTTCAAAGAGCGGGGGATGCTTTCTATCCGCGAAACGTGTGATATCCCCCAGAACATTATATCTCCCAACAACAAACATCCTAAATTTCGGGGAAAATCAAGTTTTGCCGTGGTTTATCTTGGTATAGGGTGAGATTCAAATTTGGCTGACGTCATAATGTGTACGACAAAGAAGCGGGTTAAGCGTAAGATACAGTATATTAACTGAATCGAAGCAGTACGTCACAACGTGACAGTGAAGCACATGGTTGCCACACTTATTAAAACTTCTAGATCCTAGGAAATAAACCACAAATAAACAACAGCCGTTGGGGTAATTACCTGTCAAGTTTTGCGCCAATGTCACAACACAGGATCTAGGATTTAGGATCTATTTAGTATCAAGATTGGCATTCACATTTACTAAATATGACGTAACTGCTTTGTTTCAGTCAAATGACTAATATGTATGTTGGAAAGGCTGAGCCGATGGTTTCCGTGACCTCGTACTGGGGTTGCTAGGCAACGAGGTGCTGCTATCTCTTTCTAACACACGTATCGCACGCTTCTATCTCGTACACATTACGACGTCAGCGGTATTTGGTTTTCAGTGTTTAGGCTCCATGGCCGGTTCGCTGCTCGGCTAGCCGACATTGCGTAGCACGCGTGAGCACATTGTTGCCAGTTAGGGCTAACACTTTAAAATATATGTAAGCTTGTTTACAGAAATTGCTCAAAAGACTATGTATAGTGGATATATTGCCTGATCTGGAAGGAGAAGGGGACACTCCTCTATCTTTTATGTATTGCGCAATGTCCTTCCTATTTCCAAACCTTGGCTTTCCGTTATCAAAATAAGACAGGAGAGGGCTGATTTCGTGAAGTTATTTTTTCCCTATTTTGCGCTGTTGCCGGAATTCGTGAAGCTGAGTAAGCTTAATTAAAATAATTTCAAGTTATAAAACATTTGTTAAAATATAAAAGAAATATGAGTTTTAGATCACAGATAAAGATAAACGCAAAACATTTTCCTTATTTTGCGCTGTTGCCGGAATTCGTGAAGCTGAGTAAGCTTAATTAAAATAATTTCAAGTTATAAAACATTTGTTAAAATATAAAAGAAATATGAGTTTTAGATCACAGATAAAAATAAACGCAAGACAAAGGCAGTGTTCTAAATGAATTGAATTATCCTGACTTTTGTTATATATGCAATGTGGCTCTGCTGGTTTTGTAGTCACTTCTGGTTCTATGATTCTAAACATATTAAGCTATTGTCCGATTTAGACACAATAATTACTGAAACTTTTTCATGAAAAGTATAACCAGGTTTTGAAAATTTGCACACGTCAGAAAAATTACCGACCTGTCATGGCTGGCAGCAGTTGGTACTATCAAATTATCACATCACAGTTCACTTTAGTGGTCATAAGAACTCTTGTTTTTCTAACCATCATTATTTGCTATCGCTTTAAAAATAAAACGTAACCGAATGCTTATTCGTTATTTTTGTTGCAACTCTCTATTGTGGTCCCGACTCGACTGTGAATAGCGATCAACGTCATCATCCGTTCAGTTGACTGATCTGCCTATTAACCGGAAACAATGTTTTCGTCTGTGGAGGCGATGTCTCCTATGTCCACCTTGAACATCCAATACTAACCTACACAAGTTAACCATGCAGCAATATGCATATCAAAGTTGATTCTCCCTTGTTGCACCTTTCAACTCTTCTTCCAGAAGCTTCAGCTGAGACGGGGCCTTTTAGGATCCCAACGTTGAGTGTGTAACGTTGATAAGAAGATATTTACTAGAGTTGTGGCTTCCTAAACAAAAATCTCGTTGAAATATCAGCCTACAGGCAATGGTGTATTAAGTGGATAGGGATATTCCCGCAGGACTGTCAATGGGGTCCCAAATAATATCTCTACCACAGATTAGTTATATCAACAGAAGATACTTCTTTATAATCTTCCAATCAGTACAATTGACCTTGGCTTCCACCTGCATTATAATAGGGGGCCGACCCAAATTTTTACTGATTGGTATTATAAAAACTAGCGAATCATTACGTATTCTAATGTTAAACAGCAAACTTGCATAGTTAAATGTAGTTCCGAGAATAAAAATACGTATGATTTGGCTAGTTTTTAACATATATTAGTACGTTATTTAACAAAAAATTTGCGCTCGGCTCTTTATTACTGGTTTGAACAAACACAGCGATTATGAGTGGATCGCTCTTGGTTTGGCGTTTCGCTCATAGATGGCTCAACGTCTCTCAAGGATATGTTGCTAAGCTGACATAAGATGTTTAAAAAATACTACATTTATGCTAAATAATGTACCTATGTATGTGAGCTTACACAACCAAACGTCTGCACATTGAGGCCTATTACACATGTATGTGTGAGGGAGATGGATGTATGAAAGTAATTCCAGTAGCGTTACTGCTTTATTGTTACCCGCCGCAGCGGCTAACTGTACTTGTCTGATTGGTGTATATTTCCTACATTCATTTTCCACAATATGATGCACACTATCAGAAAATATTTGATTCAGCAAGCATTTTAACGACCGTCGCTTCTACTAATACTATTTACCATTGGTTAACGTGAAAGAATATTAGAATGTCGTCTTTTGTGATTGCTTCGCACGATACACTTGCGTAACTATTTTGTAACATACGTGGTCTTTCTAAATTAAGTAATGAGACTGGCAACGTAGCATTTGATCCGGCAACACTGGAGGCGCCGAGCTTGGAGGGGAGATAGGGGATCATGTAATCCGCCTCCAAGTTTGAACTCGCTCGAGTTATTTGGTAGTCGGTAGCGATTTTTTGTGAAACAGTTTTTTTCTATTGTATTCTAAAAGTGAGTGATATCAATTTCAAGCAACGGTGTGCTCTCAGGTTTTGCTTCAGATTTGGGCAACGGACACTCTTGCTAATTAGGCCTACGGAGATAGTGTTTTGTCAACAGCCCAGGTTTTTTGGTGCTTTAAGGCATTTTCATAAGGGAGACAGTCGTTTGAAGCGATGAACCACGACGCGGAAGGCCTTCATCTTCAAGAACCGATGAAAATTTCGACATTATCCGGGATCTTGTGCATTCAGATCGACGGTTGACAGTCAGAATGATTGGGTAAGAGTTGAATTTGACTTATACCACAATTTATAAGATCAAGAATAACTGTGTGTTGCATCACATAATGCTCCTTGTCACACATCTATGTCAACAAGCAAGTGTTTGGCCCGTAAAAACATTCCTGTGGCTTCACAGGCTCCTTGTTCGCCTAACTTGAGTCCTTGTGACTTTTTTAACTTCCCGAAGTTGAAAAATCACCTCAATGGGAACTCATTTTGGGACAGTCGAAAACATTCAAATGGCAGAAGGAAGTTATTTTGAAGGTGACAATATAAAATTGTAATTATATTTGAATAGATATCAGTATCATCACTTAATTCACAGACCTCGTATATCGTACTCACATAAATTTGAACAAATAATAATGCTTTGCTACAAGTAATGGACAATGCATTCACCCAAAAAGGATATCCATCTGGAAACACCGCATATATCTGACCAAACAACACAGGCCATCAGCTGTTTTGTGGACGGAATGTTTGATACAGCTCTACCTCTCTTTAATTTTATTTCTCGTGTCTAACTTCCTTCTCTTGGTATGACTCTTTGGTTCCACAGTATCTCTTTACCGATATAAAAATACTAAACTACAGTTTGGTGCTCTAACCCCTTCATCTAAGATACTTCAAAATATTTTTGTTCATATTTTAAGAAACAAACAATCACGGAATTGAACATTTTTCCATAAAGCATTATATTGCTTACAATGAATATTCATTGAAAAAAAGCGTCCCAAACTTTTTGTTTATATCTCAAAAAACAAATGAGTATGATGAATTCGGGTACTGCCAGCATGACCTACGGACGCTTGGTACGTGATATTCCCCCACCCTCTGTTTACATGCGTTACCATTATAGCAGCTTCAAGTTCAAATAACTTACTTGTACATTATAATTAGTATTCTTCACCACTGCATGTAGCAACAGGATACAACTCAGCTGTAATTAGTAGCGTAGATAACACATCTAACTATACTGAGCATTTGTACAAAATATCGATTTTACGCAGTCGTATCACTACTACCTTCCTCAACGGTGCCACCACCACTACTAGTTCTACTACCAGTATTACCCGTGGAGTTTAGTGGTTCGGTCTGCTGCGCGGTGTTACGCGTTCGCGAAGCAATTAGAGATGGGAGTGTCCATATTCGCAGTATTCGAACGGGAATAATCCAAATACTTGAAAGTAAAAAGTTATTCTTTTTTAGCGGTCATGTTGTCAGCATCAAAACTTTACGCTTCTTATTTCGGGCTCCTTATTTTGTTGCTAGTTTTGGTATCATACAACACGAATGAATTTATGGGATGCTGATAACAAAGAAGGTATAATTGAAATCAACTTGTGTTTATGGCACCAGAATATGTGTATGTCATCTACACAAACATGTTATGACCAACCTGTAGCCCTACCGTATTCAACCTTCTTGGTGCGACTAAAGGTATAAAGTTTTACTATGGGATTAGTGCGACGCAGCGGTTGAGGATAAGTTTACCCAATAAAGATGTAATAGTTGTAGGTAATTTCTTACCTTTCTATTCGACATTGTCTGTCAGAGCGTTCCGTAGGACCTCTGCTCTTAGTTAAAGCCTTGTAAGTCAGTAGGTCTGTCAGGACTGCTTGCCCAGATACCAGTCGGGGAGAAAGAAGGGTAGACTGAAGAAAGGAAGGAAGGAGGGCGAGCAAAGAAAAAAGAAGTGCATCAATTTGAGGGGTGCCTTGGCATTGCTAATAAGTATTCGGCAATTTTAAATTGATCCTAAAATCAATTTAGAGATTGCTTGACTGTGTAGTCTACTGTCTCGCACAACAAAGGGTTGCTATGCGATTCCGCTTGACTATAACGTAGCTGCGCTTGTTGTTTGATATAGTCCCTTGGGTAAGGGATGTCAATATCTCTGTGAAGGGTCTTGTTGGAAACATACCATTGGGCGTTAGTGATTGTACGCAAGGTTTGTTCTGCAAAACCTGCAGGCTACGCAAATGCTTTTTGGCGAGAAAACACCAAGCCGCACTTGCGTAAGTGATCGCTGGTCTAATAACCATCTTGTATAGCCGAACTTTGTTGATTAAACTTAATTTTGAGGTTCTACATACTATAGGGTAGAGTTGTCGAAACGAGATTTGGAATTTAGTTTTTAACGCTTCAGTGTGCTTCTGCCAGGTCATCCCCTTGTCAAGAGTGACATCGAGATAGTTAGCAGAACTTTCCCAAGGTACCCGAGCTCCATTCACTGAAACCTTAGACGGCGCCACTACGTTTTTTAGCACAATAGACAGTCTGCGTTTTCGAATGATTAATTTTGATCAGCCACCGATTCGCCCATTCCGATACCTCGTCCACCGCACTTTGCAGCATGTTGTGAACTAGATTCTCAGAACACGACTGGATCACCAGGGCAGTGTCATTAGCATAGAGATAGATTTCACAGCTGCTGGGGCAAGGGACGTCATGAATAAAAAGTGAATAAAGGACTGGTCCAAGAACTGAACCCTGAGGAACACAGGCTTTGATAGGCCGTGTTGTCTACAGCACGATATTAATTTTGATCCGAAATTTCATATTCTCAAGGAAGGGTTTTAAAAGTTTTGGGAGTCAACCTTATGGAAGCATTTGTAGAGAAGGCCCTTGTGCCACACCTTGTAAAATGCCTTTAAGACATCCAGAAGCAAGATGCCAATACTTTCGTTACGGGTGAACCCTCTGGTTACTCGTACAATAAGCCTAACCGCCTGTAACTCCATACTATGCTCAAACCGAAAGCCAAATTGCAAGTGAGGAATCACATTGTCGTCTGACGAGAAATTTTCAAGGTGACGTGGAATCACATTTTCAGCGAGCTTAGAAGTGCTGGGTCCTTAGCATGGCATTGATTATAGCCTCGAGATAACTTAAGGACTTCCGCGAAAGCGGTAATGCGGGATCTCAGGAGATTTCGCTGACGTGACATGCAGCTCTTCAGTTGAGGAATCTTCTGAAGACTCTCCTGAGGAAAAATCACTAAGGGAGGCGCTTTTGCCACTGACGCCGTTGGCCCTAAAATATCTTCTGACGGATCTTACCTTGTGTTGATCCTCGTCGAGGTGATTATCAAGGTCATAGTTGGGAGAGAACTTTCTTTCCATTGCATCAGCGAAAACCTCGACCTTTTCCTCTGTCCTACAGACTATGCCCTAGGACCGTGGATGTGCGAGAGTCTATAGCAGGTTCAGAAATTCTACATCGATGCTTTTTAATTTGTCGTCATTGATAAAACATAACTTTTGGATCTGTTTATAAATTGTCTGCACTAGTAACAGTGATTATTTCGATTTTCGAGATAGATAGACAGGAAAATCGGGGCTTAGTGCCACAAAACGTGGGTGTATTTGAGACATCTTTGGCAGTCTATGACGAGGAGATTGGAGTTTTGTATTCTAGCTGGGGGTATTTAGCCGGTATTTTTTTAGACTAATGAGCTTGTTTTTTGCTAATGCTGCCTTATTATATTTTGACTGTCTTGGATTTTGAAAATTGAGCAGTTTATCGAAAATCGACAAAATACAAAATAAATGGTCCAAAGAATCACCCTAGAATTTTTGCCTTCTGCATGCTTTACTGAGTGTTTATGCATCAACAGATATCGAGGTTAAAGCCTCAGGTCGAAGGTAAATAATAAAACGTAGTTTGTTAATGAGATGATATTTATTTGACAAACAAAACAATCTTAATGGAACAAGTGAAACATATCACATAACATAAAACGAAAAAATTGGAATTCATGTTGATTCCTGGAAAAGATTTGAGGCTTTCGCCGTGAGAGTTTACGTTCAATGTATTTTCAGCAGAAAAGCTTACAGGATCTTCACCATAAGGAAATAAAATATATTCTAGTAAGATAGTATTTCTGTTTGGACGGTAGAATTGTATCCAATATAGCTACACACAATACTGCAGATTTTGTGAGATATCTGTTATACTTGAGACGATGAAAACCTCATTTCTTTTGCCTGTATAACGCAGAACCAACAACTACGTTATTCTTAAGTGATACCATCATCTGTAATATTGAGTCTATTTTTTCTTTTCGTACAACATTTCGTACTACGTGTTATGTACATATAAAAATCAAGGAGTCCTATATTCATGGTTGGTATCTTGACAGGCATCCATAAAATTTAGGTTCTATCGAATGCAACTATGCAACCAAAAGTTCAGAGAATAAGGGTACGTACATAGTGAAAGATGCTTACTGTGCTTCCTCGCGACTTTCTACATGGATGTAGGTGTTCATACTGAATTCACCCTCGATGTTTTCTCTTCTCTCCTCGAACGCGATTCTTAATGTTTCATTTGTTCACGACCGAATAATAAGGCAGGATGTAGTCGAGCCACAGTGACAGTGAGAATGATTTGTCTTTAGTAACCGAGTGGTGGATGTTTGGTTCTCTACCACATCGAAAATACAGTGCACATCCAGTAAACAAAGCGAGACAGGCACATGGAGAGCACCACACCAGCTTTTTCTCGAATTGAAGAGACACAAGGAAATATTCCACTCCTGCATGAGAATGTCGAAAGATACATTTGGTTACATACTAGACCTAGTTGAGCCTCTACTGGACGACCGCAAGTACACCAACTTGCACAGTAATCCAATTCTTGACGAGGAACGAGCACGACTTTGAAAGAACCAATCACAGCTAAGCCCACCCCGATGTTTCCCTCCTGACAGCGAGGTAAAAAAAATATTTGTTCTACCGCGCGGTCGAGAAGGTAGCGGCGCAGAATGCATCGTCGCCATGAACGCTCCCAACTTAAAACATGTGTTTGCTTTACATCGCCGTCAGATCGAGGAAGCGATCATGGAGGTAGCGAAGAAAGCATCGCAGTAAGCGTCTTCACTATGAACATACCCTAAGTGGTAAATGCTTCGATTCAAAAATCTCTACGTAATCTTGGCAACACTACAAAATAAGGAATAAAAATGTACATTTTAGAGAGTGCCATTGAGAAATTATTTTTTTGTAACATCAACCATCTTAGGGACACTAGATGAACAGTTTCTAAAGATAAAGAAGAAGAGAAGCAAGACAAAAATTTGACAGCATGTACTATATACTACTAGCCAACGTGCGAAAGTTCAGAATATTAAACCATAAATACAGGACGTCAAATGTGTTCAGTAATGACATTTTTGTTCCACTGGCTGATAAAATCACTTATATGATTAAACCTAAAGCTTTTTTTCCAATTACACTATGGTACACATACTTATTTATGTTTCTGGTGTAGTGTCGGTATAGTATATAACTCTTTGTGCAGATGCAATAACTAGTTAAATATCTCGAGAAGAGTTACTTTAAAGATTCTTTTTACAAGATCTATTAGCTATATTTTCTATTGTCATCGATATACTAGCCATGAAATTTTTTATGCGATACCTACACGCTGCATATTCGTTAGAAATATAACATTTATTATACAAAAAGTTATATGTACTGATAAACTTTTCGAGTAAATAAAGAAATGCTACATACCTACGTTCAAGATACTTCACATTTACGATCCTTGATTACGGGTTACAACTGTATCAAAGCAAACTGAGGAATGAAGTAGGTGTAACAAGGTCTGAAAAATACTTTGAAATGTCATTGAGCAGGTAAATGTTGTTTTGAAGATGTCATAAGCAAATCCGTCATGTCATAAGAGGACGACGTTGCTATTGTTTTAGCTTACAATGAGACGAGTACGAGTATTACTGTGATCGTTGTAAGAATGAGACAACCTCTTGATCGTAGATATTGGTCATACTAGCCGGGATCAGAAATCTACTTTTGAATAACGTGTAAGAAATATTAGTTTACAAGGAAAAGAGAAAACAAATTATATGCTATATAAACATATTAGACGATATGATATATCACATTGTGACCGTCAATTATTGTACATTGTTAACTAATTATACTTTTACAAGGTGAGTTCAAAAAGGCCAGTGAGCTTCAGAAAATACAACATTGCGAACACTAAAGTATAGAATAAAAATGAGACATTTTTCTATATGGCGTAAGACTAAGTACGAATACCCAACGAATTATTTAAGAAGCAATATGTGTTCAGAAACCTTAAGTGACAGATCTATGATGACTCGATTTCTGTATTAACACCATTACGAAACGCAACGTTGTATTTTTGGCCAGCTCAGGCTTGAATCGACATAACCTCGACATTAAGTACGCTAAATTTTCGTTATGCGATTTCACAAATTCATATACAATTCAATAACAGAATCACTAAAACGTAAACTGGAACTGAGACAATTTCCTATCCGAATGAATATTTCTAAATAGCGAAAAAATCAGTCAAATGCAGCTTTTTTTCGACATTTAAAGGCATTTCATTGGGTACTTAAGGAAACTATACATACTTTAAGCTAAACTGAATTTCATAGTTAAGTCTAAGTTTTCCATAATGAGCTATATAATCATTATCATCTACAGTATATTAATGTGAATATATTTCTCGATATGTTAAAGCAAGGTCTATCTACTTACATTATACGTACAGCCCGTAAAACAAAAAACTATGCTGCATCAGAGAAATATATTTACACTTTGTTTTCAGAACTAGCATTCCAATTGTCATTTGTTCTAGACATAGTAGTTAATTCGCAAATTTTGAATATTTCTTACAGACATCAGAAAGCTATACAAGTGACATGATGCGTTCTAGAATAGTTATAGCGATACTTTTTGGATTTTTGACGACGATTCAGCAGTGCTTGTGAAGTTTATGCTAACATTTATCAAGCTATCAGAATCAGAAATAGTAGATGACTGAATTTGCAAACAAATGACAATTGTTGCTTAACCTTCAGCATGTTATATCCATAAAAATAGAGCAATGGGGGTTTTAGCACTTTATATACAATCGCACAACATCTTAATAAATCTATACATACATTTCGAAATTATAAGCGCAGCATAAGGAGTTAGAGATAGATGAAGTCATTATCGTTTATAGCAGATCATTTCCTTTATGCGATGCTGACCTTCGACCTCGTCAGTATATAAGATTATGCGATCTTAAATACTTCTTTCTTTTTTACATACCCATTAACTTCGTTTTGTAGATAATAAACGAAGACGACTCTTTTATCAAGATTCTTTCCGATACGTCCTCTAGTTTCACAAAACTTGAAGTAGCTTGTACAATTTTACGATTGATTTGCTATAAACTTGAAAAATATTATACCTTTTATTCTACTGCGAATACTCCCATTGCGTGTATTTCAATACTCATTTGAATATAGTTTTAACAATTTTTAGTACCCTAAAGTCCATCTATCCAAGAAAGACATTAAACCGAAACAAAAACCAGCCGTGTTCAGTGCGTGATCAGCACGTTGATATATTCCAAGAAATGGGGGGCTGAAGTGCTATTGGGCTGAATCGGTCGAGCCCATATGCAGGACCAATGCCATCTAGGAAGGTGGAGTGGGAGACGACACAGCGGTGCCGGCAGCCTTACCGGTCGTTAGTGTTAGCTCCGCGTTGTGGTGTGTATGTTTGGGTTTATTATCTTTCTTCGATATATAGACTTATAGTATTATCTCTATGAACATAATAAGCTAGTGAACAACTGTCAACATCAACAAGAATGCATAGTAGTGAAGGCAAAACGATTAATAAAATCGTACTCAGGATTCCTTTAAACGACTTTTTTTGATGAACGAAGGTTTATGCTCATGCTAGGAATTGGGTAGAACTGCAGAAACCTGTAAAGAACAGTGATATTTGTACATAAATTGATCAGGCAAATAAAAGATATATTGGCAAGGGTTTCATATTGTTTTTGTATCAGATAGGATGATTTTGAGAATATTAATAATCATTTATTTTGCTTTTATAGACGGCGTCTCAGAATGAGATGGCAATCTATCGAATGCATACAAAACAAAAAAAAACGACTCTATACTTTGCACGTCTTCGAGACAACTTCCAGGACAATTTTCCATGTAGAGCAATGGTATAAAAAAGTCGTGAAGCTCCTGACGAGTACTTTATAACCCTAGAATATAACGACAATACCTTGACCTACTACAAAATGGTGGTACATTTAATAATTACTTGAACACAAACCCACTAACATTCATATCTCTAGAAATAATTGTAATTCCCTGTCGTATCCACAGCAACAGCGACAAAAACTTGTCTTGTTATTTTTTGTTGACAGTGACAAGAATATCAGTACGGAAACAATCATCATTGTACAGTTAAAATATTCTTATTTAGTTTTCGGTTTTAGTGCCAGATACTGTTTGAACTATTTTTAAAATGGTCAATTCTCGTCCACTGGAAGAAAAAATCGAAGCGATTTTCATTTATGTTGCGACGCGTAACTTTCACGAGACCGAAAGGATTTTTAATGATCGTTTCCCGAATCGTCCTATATTTAGAAAATATGTAAGGGAACTTGTATCTAAATTTACAGCTAGTGTAGTGTAAACAACAAAAAGCCCCCAGGTCATCCGACCACCCCGGAAGAAAAGCAAGTTCAAATAATTGGTGAAATCATAGTAAATCCCCAACAGTCTACTTCCTCCATCGCGAATGTATGTGAGGTTTGTCCTTCTACTGTATGGAGACTTTTGAAAAAGAATAAGTATCACCCATACGAAATTCAAATGGTACATCAGCTAACTGAAGATGACCCTGATCGAAGAACTATGACGGAAACCATACCTACCTATATCCAAAATATTTGTTTTAGTGATGAATGTACATTTTTTCTCAACGGTAATGTGCATAAACAAAATCCTCACGTCTTCCGGGAAACTCGTACTCAATATTCACCAAAAATTAACGTTTGGGCTGCGATATTGGGAAATCATATTATGGGGCCTCTATTCATCGAACAAACTTTAACTGGGGAACTGTAATTGGATATGCTGGAAAATACTATTGACCCTCTAATCACCGAAATCGTCGAAGGGAATCCTAATGAATTCGATACTGATATTGTATTCCAGCAAGATGGTGCTCCTCCACACTACTACAGACAAGTTAGGAATTATTTAGATAACAATTTCCCCGGTCGTTGGAGTGGCCGTCGATGCCCTGTGGAATGGCCAGCTCGCTCGCCAGATTTGACACCTTTAGACTTTTTTTATGGGGCTATTTGAAGCAAGAGGTGTCCGAAACTGAACCTGCTTCAATATTGGATATACGGCTGAGAATAACAAATATTTGTAGAAATATCGATGTTACTATGTTTGAAAATGTTCGACGCGAAATTACGGACCGGTTGTTATTGTGTCAAGAAGTTCAAGGCAACCATTTCCAGCATCTTCCAAACTGAACTCAACGTATTTATTCGAATTATCAAGTTAAATGTCAATGTATTCTAGAGTTATAAAGAATTAGTCAGGAGCTTCAAAATGATGTGCCACAAGACTCCCGTTTTCTTAAAATAAATTTCCAGCGGCCATCTTGACATTTTCATCTGTCAATTTTACTCTAAAATATGGTATCGACGCATCAATTTCATTACCTCAAGTTTTAATTTCAAATCAAATGGGAGGGAGACATTAAAGAAAATCACTGTATATATAGTATATATATATACATACAAAGTTATATATATATATATATATATATATACAAAGAGAAAATGATCATGCGGAGAAAGGTATATATCAAAAAATAGGAAAATAATGGGCAAATTCCGCAAAAAGAAGGAAAGTGGATTCCAGCAGAAAATAGGATAGGTAACCCGAGCGATACGAATTTCTGCTGGTTGGCTTCATCAGGCCCGGAATGAATGCACATATGCAACTCCAAAAGTAGATACACATGCTCATACATCCGGATACGGTTGTAACCTGGGGAAACAAAGATGGAGAGGGAAAAAATCACACACGAAGTCCACAACAAGAGCCGACCTACACATTGTAGTAAAATTTGCATTTTTCCGTATAATTTGAACTGTATCCAAATTTTTTTCTACATCTAAGATATCTACGTTGGAATCCATAATATATTTTTTCAATGATTCGAATCCTGTAATTGTTTAATACAGTCTTAATAAAAATACCTTACATAAAAATAACTACTTGACTGAAATATGTTTCTCTAAGACTGCAAGAAGTTCCCAAAATACAAACGAATTATTTCAAGTGTGCCCGCAATATTATTTTTTCAACAAAATAAATAAACTGTAATGAAAAACCTAAAAATAACAATTTTGCAAAAACATTCCATTTGTATTTGGAATGAATCTATACTTTGTATTTTTGTATTCACTTTGTGAAAACAGTCATAGAAAATCGGTGACACGGTTGACGCGGCTTGTACAAATAGCAAAACTTCAGAAACATGGATATTTTTATAACTCACCTATGGAATACCACAATATAGATCTCATGTTCATCTTCCACTTTAGTCCTTCTTTTCATCCTCTGGGTCCTTCAAGGTATGCCATTGGGCGATGGGCCTACGCGGTGACGCCAACATGTCAGACCAGTGGCGGAGCTCGGTGCCGCTTGCATTGTAGCCTAGTACCACTTTTCCAATTGGTTCTGAGGTACCGATTCTGTCGTAGTCTACTACCGTTACTACCAAGTTCACTTTCTGCAAAGAATACGACATATTTGTAATACCATCTTATTTTATTACTAGCATTTATGGAGTCTCCCATGAGTCTTAGTGACTCTTTTGGAAGGTTGCAGTATCAGACCTTGTGGGGGACGGTAGCCTCGCAAGAAATAACTTTTTGTGAAAGGGTACCTGCCCCCAAAACTTTTTGAAAAGCGGGGGTAGCACATTTTATCAGAGTGAGGAAGGAAATTCTAAAAGTCTCCAAACTTGTACACAAAAACATGCTAAATATTATGTAAATTTTAAGGTCCAACCGAATTCTCAGTGGGGGCCAAGGTCCCTTTTGGTACTTCCCTGATCACATGGATAGAAAACGTTATAATTATAATTTTTGAAAATCAGTCTAGCGGCGGCAAAAAATGCCAGAAACGAAGAAAATAAAAATCGCTCAATCTCCGTCCTTTGACAGTTTATAGAATCATGATAAATTTTGAAAAAAAAATTAGGGGTAAAAAATTGAGGAGTGGAGGTTGTAGGTGGGTGGCAGAGAGTGTTATTACAAACTTTTGGTGTCACTATATTAATATACTTCCAACGCCGGTAGATTTACTCATTTCACACATCATAGATTTACCTGTGCATTCGCCCCTAAAAGTTAAAATGTTTTCAGCAGACGAATCGCGTACATAACAGTCGCATTTGCCGTGCGGGACGAGGTTGTGACTATTGCATCCCTGTTAGTCCATCCGGGCAACCTATAAAGGCAGGTAGCAGATGCAACGCAACATGCACAGATGAGGTGGGCGCGATACTATCTATATATCCGAGCATTACGCTTGGGGTCTAATTTAATGAGGTTACTTGATTTCGTGGAATAATAAATAGCATGGTACAGAATTTGCATATATTGTATAAGCTACTATCGAGAACTGTCGTAATCCGTTATCAAACATTTTTGACAAATGAGGCTACGGACACGTTCCTGGCTGCAATCTGAGGATATTTGGTCCATGAACACCTCAAATATTACGCTAATGGTTCTGACAAAACCTACGTTTTTTGATGCATGGGCAGGATAGAGTCAATCCACTTGATGTCACTTTTCAGTCGATACTCGACTCTTAAAACAGCGGAATCAACATAGAAGTTGTGACATGACACCGGTTATAGAAGCACTTATATCAAAGCAGGTGCTTTATTTTACGTTATTATAAGATTTTAATATGTGTATCTGAATGTCTGTTATATTACTGAGGTAAAAATACTCACTTGGATTTGTTCGAAAGGTACTTCAAATGTAAAGGATTCGTTATAGTACGGATTCAGCGTACATTTCTTGATGCTCGTCTTCTTCTTCTTTAGTCGCTTTCCATTTTGCATTAAAGCTATTTTCACGTACGGGTCTGAAAAAATATTTAGTGGTGATGATGATGATGGAATAAAGAATCTCTTGCTACTCCCGGAACAACTAGATATTTGGGGGTTTTTAAGGGGTATGATGAAAATAAAAAAATATGGTTTTAGGATGTTCTCCTAGACTTTTAGTGGTGACCTCGAATTTGACCTTTAATGAGACTTGGGAGGTCAAATCAAGGTCAAGACGATTTTGTTAAATGGGATCCTACACTTATGACACCCAGAACGAATTAAGCGGAAAAGAAAAGTGGCTGAAAATTATTTAAACCTTGAACATTCCTGATCAAAGTCGTGTCTAAAAGTAGACTTTTCCGCTCCATCCATTTCCGGAGTCAAAAATATAGGGTACCATTCAACAAATTGCCTTGATCCTGGTTATCTATGAATAACCATAAACAAATTTAAGCTCGTAGTGTCTTTGATTCCTTATTGCTTTATCCTAAGAAATACCCCTTGAATCTTTTTAAATGAACTACCTACTTCTGTGGTAAAAAATATAGGGTACTAGGCAAAAAGTTGGCTTAACTTTGATTTGACCTTGACAGTCATGGTTTCAAGGTGACCGGCGACACGACAGGAAAAATCCTGATATCACCGCTGCCGTAGGGTCCTTATTCGTGCTATATTTTCAGGAAGATCCCCGAAATCTTTTCAAATGAGTGCTTTTAATGGTGACATTGATCATGATGTTCAAGGTCAAAACAATTTTTGTTCAAGGTCACATAAGAACATATAATTTCGTGCTCTATCCGCTTTTGTTGTAGAGTCTAATTCATCAAAATCGTGATTTGAACTTTAAGGTCACGTTCAAAGTCAAATTCAAGATTAACACTAAATAGCTAGAGAGACATCCTAGATCCTTAGTATTCTAGTTTAACTATAACCCTTGAATACAAATATCTTTCCATGTTGAGACTTTTGCATCATCCTGTAATAACTGTCTCATAATACGAGTGAACCCTTAATACTAAAGATTCACAAACCTGATAATCCACCGACGTCCATTTTTTTGAGGTTCTTAGCTTCGAGAATGACAACGGTAAGCTTTCCAGCAGTAGGTACGTATCTCAAAGAGAAGCATATGTCTCCCAACTTGTTTTCCTGTAATATGAAGTCATATAATTTCCCTTCGATGACTGCAGTGTGGAAAATTCACTGTATGAATATAAAGAAATTATCCGTTGTAGGACAAATAAATAACTGTATTTACACAGCTTCCTCCAGGTATTATAAACGATTAAGGACCTTTAGTATTAGTGTTAAGTATGGTATACGGAAAGCTGATATCAATATACATAATCCATTAGCTGCATAACGGGGTTATTGATAGCAATTCTAATGAAGTAGTTTTCACATTTATCAAATCCGAGATATTTATGAGTGTAACGTTACAATTTCATTAGTGCAAATTTCGTAGTAGGTTCTTCATTTTGTCAGTTGCTAAGTTGCCTAATTAGAATTATGAGAAATTATTAACAACTTGTTGCGTTTAAAGTAGAATTTGCCGAATTTGGAAGCCTCCAAGTTTTTTAAAAACACGAATTCGGTTTTATGATCTTTTCAGTTCAATCTCACTAGTTTTCTGACATTAAAAGCCGAAGTTTAATGACCTCTTCTCTGAATCATTCAAGTCCACAGCATCAATTATATGTTGACCAACTGCGCGAGTTTTCTTAAAATCCATTCATATAGTAAGGGATTAAATTACTATTCAGATGTTAATTATCAGGAGTATCTTTTGGATATAAGCTCAACATGTATGGATGCATTAGTATGAAACCAATTTATGTGGCAGCAGAACATTAATCCAGAATATATGAATAATAAGGAACACCTAAGACGCAAGCTATGGAACAGTGCCAATTAATACGAACATTTAATGATAAAATACACACATTTTCAAAAATGACGAAATAGTGTATGAGACATATATTTACATAAGTAAGAGATGGAAAACACCACATTTTTGTACAGCACCACATTAAATGTACATTAATACAGCCCAATAATTTTAGTCTCAATATTACATGCCAAATTTTACCTACGATACAGTTCTGGAGTCATTCTCTGTTGATATTAGAAGTAAATTGTTGCCAAGACAATTATATTATGGCATAAATCAGGTGTGTTTTGTAATACACCATGAGAAGAAAATTAAACATAAAATATATCTATGATAGAACAATTATTGTTGCTTCCATATCACTCAGGGTATTCCGAACTTAAATTGGCATACCTTTTCATATGTGAAAATGAAAAAGTTCTAAATACATTTCTTACTGATTTAGGATTTATCTCAACAAGCCAAATCTTTAATATCAGGTATAGTCAACGCCAAACAAAGTGGCGTGCACGTCATCACGATAAAAATTCCCCGACCTAATGCCTAGGTTTCTATCACAAACAATTGCTCTATTGCAGTTTCATATTAATGTGATATATAAATTGTAAAATGGTCATTACTCTCTTATTATGGTTAATAGTCATATAAACATTGTTATTAAAATATCACATAAGTTGCTTTCTGATAAATTTAGACGCATTATGCGAAATAAAATGTTTTGCAAACGCTCCAATCACTTATCGACATGTAAACGCACTTAACCGATTTCGCAGCGTTGACACATTGTCACCTTGAAACTTATTTAAACTGGGAACTGACATTTGTATTAATTTTGACACTGAATCAATTTGTGGCATTTCAAATCTTTATAAATCCTTTGGCCCCGCATACTGTAAATCAACAACTGTTTGTTTCAAAGCAAAATTATTCATTTTACGAGTAGATAAAGGCAATTTTGGTATATAAAGATGCCCAAACAGTTAAATAGTCGGTGTAAGGAACTCGTGGCCTCGTTAATGCACTACTTTGAGCAAGAAAGGGACAACAACGGGCCTTTGTTGCCTTTAAATGCTGTTCAAGAGGTAGGTTACTAATAATTATATGTAATGTATATTAATAATAGTGAAATTTTATTTCATTTTTTGTAGCGTGTTGCTGCTGCTTTAAAAATTAGTTTAAGGACAGTTAGTCGTATTTCCGAGGGTGTGAAAAGTGATGCAAATTTAGAATCGCCCAAGAAAAAGCGGAGTTATATTAAACGTGTAACCAACACAGCGACATTGGATACAAGTGCCATTCGAGAAGTGATCTATAATATGTATCACAAAAGTAAGATCTTATTATAATAACTTATCAGAAATTTGAATTAATTTGTTAACTAAATTATAATGTCATATTACACATGGTTTCAGAAGAACAAGTTACGATACAAACTTTATGGTCTCCATTAAGAGATAGGGCATTATTTGATGGTAGTGCCACGTCTTTAAGGCGGTTGCTTAGAGATCTTGGATTTAAGTGGCTTAAGGACAATCCGCGACGAGGGCTCATGGAACTACCAAGTATAGCTTTGAAAAGGGTGGAATTTCTAAGGCAATACAATCAAGCCAAGGTTGAGGCCTTATACCAGTTTGTCTTCCTCGATGAAACTTGGATATTTCAAAATGGGACCATAGGTCGCTCTTGGCAAAATGGAAACCAAAAAAGCATGAAAGCTACTAAAACAGATGGTAAAAGGTATGTACTTTTACACAATTTGCACTATAAAATTTAAAACTAATATATTTTAGACACATTATATTACATGCTGGAAATGAAAATGGGTTTATTGAGGGTAGTGAAGCGATATTTTCTTCGAAAACAAAATTGAGCGATTACCATGGAGAGATGAACCAGGACAATTTTTTGAAATGGTTTCAACATCAGTTATTAGAAAAATTGGAGAGTCCATCTATGATTATACTGGATAACGCCCCTTATCACAGCATGATATTGAACAAAGTGCCCAACAATGCATGGACAAAAAAAAATATCCAAGACTGGTTGACAAATCAAAACATACCATTTTTAAACACAATGTTTAAAACAGAGCTATTGAGTATTGTTGCTCGGTACATAATGCTTCTTAATTATATATATTTTGGTCGACAGTTTATATTTCTTTTGTTTATTCCTATTCTTAAAATAACTGCTTTTTTAGAAACAAACCACCTAAAATATACGTGATTGATGAATTGGCGGAACAACATGGGCACAAAGTTCTTCGTCTGCCTCCTTACCATTGTATATTTACCCCTATTGAGTTAATTTGGGGCATAGCAAAAGGTTACTATAACAGACATGTTGGTAGAGATGGTAACAGTGAAAAAGACTGTTTGGATATGTGGAACGAGGCTCTACAAACGGTTACCCCAGACATGTGGAAAAATAGTGTTCGACATACTGAGCAAGAAATTTTTAAATGGTATGAAAGAGAACGAATTTTTGATCGACCAGGCATCGAACCTTTAATAATCAACTTTGAGAGTGATGAAGAAAGAAACTCCGACTAACTTTATTGTACAGAAAAAGCTTACACCAGTAGCTTACCTAATTTTAGAATGCATTTTTCTGTATGAATTCTGTAAAATAAATACCATGCATAAAATTTGGAGGACCCCATTTGGATTTTTATTCAGTACCTTTAAGCTATCAATTAAATATGGTAGTTTCATAGTGTCATCTGATCAATAATTGTCATACTTAATGATTATGCAAGTACAGATCTATAATTTTATTATACTATTATTTTTGTTCTCATTTGAGGTTAATATTGCTTATAAACCTAGATATGTGAATAATGAATTTTATTATTTTACAAAAAGTTTGGCAACAATGTAAATTTTTCAACACACCCACCTTGATGACGTGCACGCCACTTTGTTTGGCGTTGACTATATCTTACGGTTAACTGGATTTAGTTAAAATTTTTCACGATAACAAAGTTGCCTAGGAGTAAGGCAAAACGACTAAAAATGTTATCAAAATCACCTTTTGAGCTGAATATTCAAATGTTTGACTATGTAAAAAATGAATAGTACTAACTTATTAGTAAAACACATTGCCTGAGCGAGCCTCTTTTGGTTTTTTGCTTAAACATATTTACTTATTCACGTAAGTTTTATCAAAATTTTGTAAAAAAATAGTGCTTAAAATTGAACTAAAGGTGTTATGAGAGTTCAAAATTCCAGGGTCGGATTTTTTCTTTGAATTTTGTCAAGTGCAACGCCCTTTAAGTTATATCCTGAATTTATCATTATTTCGAAGTAAGCCGAGCAATACATGATATAAATAAAACAAATAATTAATAGTATTTAGTTTTTTCTGCAATTTTTTAATGATTCAATTGTACCAACATGAGCCCTGCTGCAAAGGAATACGGCATTTTGTATGTAAATGCACTGAATTTGATTTTCCAGACCAATACGAAATTATGATGAAAATATAGAAAAATTCAAACTACTGGTCCGGACTCAGCATTTTCAGCGTAGTTACGTTTAAGTACTCTCACCACAACCCTACGTTAGTTTTACTTACATAATGCACATATGACATCAAAGAACTAAATGTCAAGTCGGGTGCTGCATACGATGTTTTTGTAAATGAATAACTTAATTTCAAGATGATTAGAAATGTACAATTTAGTGAAATTGTATATTAAGTGCCGTTTTCCCTTTAAACACAACTAATGTTGTACATTATCAGTTGGTAGCATTAAAAAATTACGGAACAAAACAAATATGGTGCATAACATTAATCGTCTTTCATTTATGTCATTTATTGCTCATTTGTACGAAAAAATTATAAACTCAGTATAAGTTACAGGGCGTTGCAACTTAATGCGGCCCTGGAGTTTTGAATTCCCAAAACATCTTCAGTTAAATTTCGAGCATTATTTTGTGAAATGTTGATGAAATCAAGTTCTTAGCGCTTGAAATTGAAATTGAGTAGACTGTGTCACATAAACTGATAAAATATTTGAATAAAAAAATGTTAACCAAATAAAAAAAAAACTTTGTTGCTAATTAATTAACAATATTCATTGGTTTTTTTTGAACACAGATAAATATTTCATTGTTTGGCTTTGGAGGTATTCAGTTTAAAATTGAAAAATACAAAAAAGTTAAAAAATCTAGTCTGGCCCTGGGTCATGAAACCGTCCGTATGGTTTTACGTATACTCCTAGGTAGCTTTGTTATCATGAATAATTTCAACTAAATTGG